AGTCCTGCTGTATGTTTTGCTAGTGATCCGTCTGTGCTATGTTTGTATTTGGTAGTGCACTGCATGTATTTGTTATGTTTGGAATTCAGTGCCATTTCCCCGTTTAAATCGGATGTGATTCGATCCTCTCATCAATGGCCCGAATGATCCGAATGTGACCAGATATGAAAAGCCGATGAGATCAACGCCATCCAAAATAGGAGACTCAGAATGGATCAACGCCATCCGAAATAGGAGACTCAGAATGTACAGACTAGGCAATTATGCAGACTCATTCGGTCTTTACCCGCTCATGGTGAACGTATCATAGAGCAGTGAGGGAATTGTATAAGGCGGCTAGTGAGGTGCTGATTGTAGGTCTATACGCAACGCACTAGCCGGCTTGCATAGGTGGACGCGTGTGCTTTGTGTGTTGATAAATTATATAAAGATTTCAATGTATCAGCCGCTGATATATACCTCGAAACTCCGGTGTACTCTACCACACTTCCCTTTTTACGTTCACGTGCAAGCGCTCAACTTGTATTTAGACCTTTCAGGATTAATGTATGAAACTGACCAGCTTAATCATGATCAAACATGTTACAAAGTGGTAGTCGACCCCCTTAGTTTAGCATATGTCAATCCAGACATATATACAGGTTCGTATGGTGCACTCAAGGGCCTAGCGGCATACCTGCAGCGGCACGCAAAATTGACATTGATACGGGCGAGAAAATATGTGCGCAAGAGTTTTGGCGCTGATCACGGTTGTTTTTTTCTTCCATGCATAGACGATCCGCCAAGTGGGTTCACGAAATCGATGCAAAGTAATGGTGTATCACAATACATTAACGTCCGGCAGTCACTAGTCACTAATCACGTTAGGCATGGAACACATGCTGGAAAACCCTGCGGATTCGTGTAATATCGCGTTGTGATGATACATTGGTTGCAGGAGGTCGTGCCCCTGGTTCATCCTCCACTGGATCATCGGGCGGTGCTATACGCCGCGTTTGCATCTGTCACATGTAGGTCAGAACACCTGCAAAATTAATGTGTATCGTTTCACCTCTTGAGACATTATAAGGCGATCCCCTTGAATCATGTCCGCAATCTTGGAGCGCTCCAGATACCTGTACTCTTTCGCATTTTGACATGATGCCTGACAATGCATGATATTCTGAACGAATCGGCCAAGCATATTGTATTTTCCCCAGTGAATGAGCTGGGGATCGAATGCATGAACATCTGAATTTCCCTCGTGCGCGCGAATTAGATCACTTTGATGTATCTCCCTAGAGCCAAATGAGTTATAGTCCGAGACAGAACTCTTCGCTGTACTCACAGAGCAGGTATACATGCGCCTTTAGTATTCCTGAGGGCTAACCGATATGCATGATGCGATCCCCGTTGCTGAAAGAGCACGTCCCAAGATAGGAGATTCTTGTACTGCTCTGGGGATTTGGTCCGTAGATTTTCACGCGTGTCATCGCCCTCAAAGCAAGCTCCATTGATCCCAGCCACGAACGCCCGTAAAGCTGAGTAATTGTTGTGGGCCCTCAGCTTGGAAGCGACATCCAAAAACTTCTCAATCTGTCTCGCGCGCTGCTTCGGCTTGTCATGACACAATATCAAAGAAGCAACCCTAGGTACAGTGAGTACACGCAGAACAACCAAGGTGATGGCTTCTTACCAATCTGCCAGGTGGTTTGAGAGCATGTTAAATTGACCTATGAGGTCGTCGGGATCCTTCTTGCTCGAACTGAACGTGTACTTGAGCCAGTCCCTAGGCTACCATCTCGCGTCAACAAACTAGCAAATGAGAAAGGGTAAACTGCGATGTTCACCTCAATTTCCAAAAAAAGTTTCACTTCAATCCTGGTAATCTCTTCCGCTATCTCGTTACTATCTGCCGCCAATACATCCATTGCAAGGGTACGAAGCTTGGTCAGCATGACTTTCTCTGACATCGGCTTGTCGCCATCGTCCTGCGAATGAAGAGAGGGGACCGAGATTGTCTTAGAACCAACTTGTATACTGGGCTTGCGCTCCCGCGAACTCAGCGGAGACGAAGCACCATCATCAGAGTTCGAAGCGGATAAACTGGCAGTGGCTGATTGCGCATCCGTAGCCAGCGGCTCTTCTTCTTCATCATATAGTTCCTCTGGTTCTTCGAGAGTCGTCTCTGCCTTTAGGGACCACGACGCATCCTTGTCCACTAAGCCTGGTGCACGCTCAAGAAAAGGGAGGAAATCGGCTCCATAATGAAGAAGATAGGTCTTGGAAATGATGGACTTCACAACAGCATTCAAAGCACTTGCAGCCCCTGGGACGGCGAAATCGTGAGGAAAATTGTCCATCCAGGTGTCCAAGAGATGACATATCCTGATCAAGCACGACGAGGTTAGATTTGAAACGAAGCGGCTGGGTGATCACGCTACCTCATCTGTGCATAACAGGCAAACATGGGATCACAAATGATGGCGTCGAGCTGCCTCATTCGCTTCTGCATGGCTAACAGAAGACTCCGTGGGGTTGCAAATCTTCTGTAAGTGAGGAGGAAATGTGATATAAAATTAGAGTCTTTGGAAAGGGTTAGTCGTGAGTCTAAGCTCTGAGGAGCAATACTCACCATCGCCGCTGACAGACAGAAACACGAGTTTGTCGAGAAGCTCATCCAACGTAGCATAAGGGGTGGATCGACTAGCCATGATGATTAGGGATAAATTCGTGATAGAACGAAGATACTGACATGTCTCTCTCTTTGAGGGGGGCACTAGGACCGTCTTCCTCGCCAGCTACAAGATCATCTACGGGGGGACCTGATGGTTGTGGAGATGATGATTGTAAGTCATGTTCTAACCGGCCTAAGTCACTGCTGTCTGTGTGGAATGACTCTGGAGTGGCACCTAAACCTATGCCAGAGTCTACAAGTTCATCAAATGGGTTCATTTCAGTGCCGACAGCTGGCCGAGGCACTTGTGGAACCCTCGAAGCTATGAGCGGTGATGTTGAAGGAGAGATGGGGTCATCAGTCAGGCTGGGAGCGGGTACAGCGGGGGGCGTTGCGGATGCTGGGCTCCGTCTCTCCCATGGAACTGGAGAAGACAGTGCTAGAGGCGAAGCCGGGTTGCGATAGTCATTGTCTGCATAGAGAGAACATGTGAGTCATCGACAAAAACATAGGATAATATCCTACTTGGGTTCGAACCAACAAGCCGAGACCGCAACAGCCAATTAAACCCCCTGCGCACCTTGTCTCTTCCTTCGGGTGATTGTAGTGACACTGGAACCAAACCGATGTTGTAGTTGCTGAACATATCAGAAGCACGGGAGATGCTAGCTTCAGAAGCCAGATCTGACTTGCATGCTATTGCAACGATTGAAGTCCCAGAAGGTATCTCATCTACGAAAGATGAGGAAATGCGAGACCGGTGACCTGAAACACACACCGAGAAAACCTCTGACTAACTCCAAAGATGATATATCAGAGGCGTCATAACAAATGAAGACTGCGTCGACGTCTGAAGCTAATTTCGCTTTCATCATGTCCAACTCATAAACGACGAGGCGAATGCATGTAACTTCGTCCTGATTTATCCAATCGATAGGACGAGTATCTGAGTGAAGAGTCAACCAATGCTAAACAGAGGATACATGTCGAATTTACATCGATAGGTTGGGTACGGATGTAGTTCCGTCGCCGAGGAAGATAGCACGCTGGTATCGCTGCGCTTTTTTGCATCCTCCATGATGAAACTAGTTTTCCCACAGCCTGTTGGTCCTACGACAGCTATCTGCAGCTCAGTCAAGGGCAACACCTAAGGATATCCTCAGCATATTAGACGTATCACAGGCATTGATACCTACCATGCTCAAAGACTCAAGTGGCAAAGTCCTAATTGGCCTGTGAGACTGAGATTGTAGTCCTAAACTGCCACTCCGCACACGGCCCTGTGCAGCAAGTGTTGATGTTCGCTGAGGGAATGACTGCAGCGACGAAGCAGAATGCAACCGTGGAGGCTCGGCTCGAGGCCGAGACACGGACGGTGCGGAGTTCGACAATGAGTTATGGGTATCGTTGGCCGGAAGTCGTAGTTCTCCCGGGCGGTGCGTTCGGGGCTGCTCTCCTTGACGTAGGGAGGTACGTCTACCAGCTTCGCCATATCGAGTTGATGGTTGCCACATCTCTGGCTCAGAGCGCGGGGGATCGTAGGAGTCGCTCGTTGCTGTGATGCTTGTGCCTCGATTCGGAGACTTGTCCGCAGACTCCCGTTCGGACCTGCGGTTTGTCCTGTATGTTTGCTCAAAGGCAAACGGTATGTGAGAAGGGTGGTGCCCAAAAGAGTCAATGGATAATGATTTCTTGAGAGCAGACATGTTGGAGGGAGTGAACGGGGAAGTTGACGTGGGAGATGTAGGAGGTATCTCAGGATCGACGAAAGACGATGCGAGGACGGAATCTTGAGACGCGAGAGAGGTAGATGGATGAGAAGTAGACATGCGAGTAGAAGAGATTCGACGTGGAGTAGAAGGGCGATCTAGAACGTCGCCGGCAGCGGGCATGACAATGGGGGGAAGAGAAGGGATGGCGGGGAGAGGTGGGGGAGTATCGTGGGGAATGGACATGACTGGTCACGGTCAATAGACCATGCAGTGAAAGAAGCGATGAGCGGCTAGCGCTGCCACAGCCGGTCTGGAGGATGGACGAAGGGATGTGCTGGAGGTTTTGTAACTAAACTTGTACTTCCGTGCTTGTTGACTTCGAGATCTATTCGAACTTGCGCTGTAATTAATGCTGTTTTTGACTAGCATTTAATTCAATCCAAAGTATTGTGATCCCACGTCAGAATACACGGCCAAATTTCTAAAATATCTGGAATATTTTTGAGACATGCAATCGTGCTAAATTTAGGTTTGGAAACCCGTCCGGACATAAGCTCTCATCCAAAAAATCCCTGAAGTGTCAAGGTTGCGGGATCCCTCTTGATTCAAGGATCGGTGAATTTGGACGTTATCGGGGACCCACGTCAGAATGCACGGCTTGTAATGCTTCCGGTGGCGGTGGTTCACGCCAAATTGGGAAGGAAGGCGGCTTAGGCGAGCCCCAAAAAGGGAATACGGGTTCATTAATCGCGTGTCGCTAACGGCGTTACGGTGGCTATTGGGCGTGATAACATCCCGAGAGCGAGTTCTTCAGCTATTTGAAGTTATAGAGAGTTCCTGCCCTTATGATATGCCCAACTGTATCTTAAAGTCAGCTCAAGAGGCGTACTTAGCACCCTTGGCCTATTCAAGCTGTATAGCGCAACTGTATGAGCGCGTAAAGTTTGATAAAGCTCTAAATTTTTTCAAAGTAGCCCATTTTTCACCTTCTAGTACTCGTAGCTCGTCATCCAGATGTTACCCGGCCCTACAAACGTTATGGCACATTGAATATGATCCAAACATAATTGTCATGAATTTACTTTGAGAGTTTTGCACGGGGAACGGGCTAGAAAGCGAAGTGTGCATCCTGACGTGGGTGTGTATTCTGACGTGGGATCACAGTACACCATAACCCCAGGCCCGAGTCAAGCCAAAATTGTCGGGCTCAGAACGAAAGGTACAGTACACACCTGGACGACCTCGGGCGCCCTGGTACAATATTACATAATAGCCATTTTGATAGTGAGTACATCGACAATACTCATCGCCCTGGCGGGCATACCTGGAACCTCAGGCTAGCGGGAGCTTCAAGTACGATACGGGAGAGTAGGTAATGGCGATGGAGGCCACTAGCGCATTCACAGAATACAACAGAAGTTAAGGTCGCATAAACTAATACAAAGTTTACGATCATATACTACAAGTTAGACGTAGTAAACTCAGAGCGGAGTACATAACAAGCGCAGGCAATTTCGACATTGTTGTATGTTATATTCGTTATAGTTTCAGAACGAAGTTAAGTTGGCAAAAACATCGTCATCTCCAACCTCTTCATCGCCCGTCTCAATGATAGGCGATGAGTAAAGCAAGTGGATTGCCGTAAACTCGTATTGAGCGCGACTAAGCCACCTACCCGTGTCAAGTGATTTCGTATTGTATTTGCTGATACGCGCTTCAATCATAACTATGTTGTGTTTCTTGATGTCCAGAGGTGTCAGCTTAGGTCTCACTGTTCGGGGCAAAATACCGAGTTGGGCATCGTAAACAGAATCGAAGAGGACAATCTGATAAGAGGCAATGGGTTATGAAATATAAGTAATAGTATGATGCATATACGTACGGGACCTTTCTCGCCGTTTGGCAACTTGCATTGTTGGAACCTGCTGAACTGTACGGTATGCCACGTTAGCGGATCTGGCACTAGAATAAGTCAGAGTATGTCAAAGACACCTATCAACAATTAGAGCTTACTTGTGAGAGTAGGGTCAGATAGGCCTGAAGTGAGTCGACAGGCCTGGATTGAGAGAGGTTGCGAAGGTGGCAGAATGACGATAGACGCCTTAGGGACAGGCTGCTCTTGGCTACCAAATGATAGTGAGATGACTTTACCACAGCATATGACATTGATAGGCGTAGTGGTATGGGGATTGCAGATAAGTTTGTCGGTGTTGGCGATAGAACTCGTGATGCTGCCCCACGCGGCGTTTCGCGGAAGCTTGCCCCACGCAAACGTGTTTTGAGACGGGTTTTCAAAGGCCATCAAGTTCTTGACACGCCTGGAAGGCATAAAATTAGTGAGAGGTGTACGAGAGAATAGTTAACACAAACTGTTGGACGTCATCGGGCAAATCTTTGATATAATCCTCATCGACAGCCGTGATAGTTACGGACCCTAGCAATGATCCAATAGTGGCACATCGGCCGCTGGTTCCTGATATTCCACTGGCGTGATTGATCTGAGGTGGGCGATGAATTTGTGGACTACCAGTACGTATGAGTCACAGTATAGGAAGACAGCGGAAAGATAACATACAGACGTGGCGGTGACACGGGACTGGAACTTGAAGGTGACGTTGTTGATTGAGGCGTAATCGAATATGCTCCAAGGTCTGTCGCTTGGGAAGTCATTGGCACCGTAGTAGGAATGGACAGAGTGACCGCCAGCCGCGCTTCCGTAGCAACAGTTGTGATAGTTGTTGCGTTGGTAGGAACCAGAGGTGCAGAGGTAGGGTCAGTTGCAGACATTGTTGCATTGTTAGTGCTGGAGAATTAAGGGCGTGGACAATGACGTCATGAACGCGTAAGTTGTTGGGTAACATACTGTTGACTAGCTTGAGAGCTCAACTGTATGCTGCCTGCGTCGGTCGCTAAGGATGCGTCGGTTTGATGCTTGGTTCTAATACCGAGGTAAGAAAGAGAATACATCACGAAGGATATGACACGTACCCCGGTGGTGCTGCAATTTCATCAGCTTGGTTCACCACCGACGATTCATCAAGTCTACACAATGGTAAGACAAGCATGTAATGAGAATGCAGGGATATACTTTGGACGTTTTGCATCGTCCGACGCAGGATTTTCCAGCGTGCGTTTCCGGTTAGTCATAACAGATGGTAGATTATGTTAGTCAACGGGAGAGGAGGAGCTGTGGTCGGCGCGAAGGATGAAGACGCCTTTATGACATTGACGGGATAGGGAGACACAGCCGGTTTTCATTCTTAACCAAAAAGGGGGGTTGATGGATAGGAGGGTGGAGAATATCATTTGTGCAAAAGTAGAAGTACAATGACACAACGGAGCCCAATCAAGAGTAACCTATTTTCAAAATTGGTACGCACTCGTCAATCAGCAGTTAGCCTAGCCCTTGACCGTCTCAGTGTATGAAATTGGGGGAAAGCCGCTGCCTTTCATCGCGGTGGCCCTCTCGGGCATGTGATGCAGGAGGCGATAGAGCTCGTTTGGATATGGCCTACGTTCATGTTGAAAGCGAACGTCAGTTAATGATGGTCCGGACGTCATCCAAACACATACTGGGGGAGTGTTCTGTAGCTTTGGCTAGTCTGGTTATGCCAACAAAGGAGAGGAAAACCTTTAGCGTAAGCCGTCCTCGGTTGTTAGGAGCAAGCACGAGGTCAATCTGTGCAAGAACCTCGACAAAGTCACCAGGAGAGAGTACAGGAGACGGCAGGTCGGAGATTTTACCGCCGGGACCTGCCGCCCGCACGTGCACCTGTGGTGCTAGCCTCCAGCCAGGAGGGATTTTGGGTAGAAGACTAAATGGATCATCCAACTCGCCAAAGTTCGTATATGCAGTGGAGTGATCGTCAACCGTGGTGTCGTTGATCTGAATAATCACGTCAATATGGGCCAAGTAATGATGAACACGGACACACCTTATCAAATACACGGTGCTGGAACAGAAGTTGTCGACCAAAAATTGGGAAAGTGCTATTGAATGGATGACGCAGGACACGTGTGGCATATTGCGCTATGTTATTGAGGGGGTCGGTGGTCATTCCCCATACGTCACGGTGGCTGCCCGAGTTAAGGATCAAAAAATGACTGGCGGTGTTGACTGACCCTGGCTGTCTAGTAGAGAAAGAGTTAGTTGACGCATCTGGTGAGACATAGATTTACCCTTTCCAGTCGCCAAAGGTGCTAATGTTGAGTGACTTGATAAATCCGTGGATCTTAAGTGTCACTCGACGTGCTGCCATGTCAGATCCGAGGTCATTTGAGATCTTTGCGCTGTAGAGTAGCCACTTCCTGCGGTATCTGTCACTCGCATTGACGTTGTCTTGTATGGTCGCCCAAGATGCAAAGTCATCCATGTCTGTTGGGACAACAGACCGTGCTGTCGCGACATCTGTCCCGAGCCAGGGGCAGTTAATGTTGGGATATAGTCGTTCAATATATGGTTTGGTGTCACTTGGCCAGTGCGCCAGGACAACAGTACCATCGTCAGCTGTGGTCGTCAGTGGGTAATACGTGTGATAAATGTTGAGGACTGACCGTTCAGAAAAGACATGGATGGGGAACATGAGTAAGAGAGAGATAGGGGTTTCAGACGTAGGTGCACCGATGACGTGGATGTGCGGCTGATGTTGAGAGGCGCAGTCAGTGACCTAAGCGGTAACATATTAAATGTTGCAAATTAGCATTACTTGTGAAAACGAGGGGATAGCTGCGTACTGACAGCAAACCCGTGCCTCAGAAATGGCACAGGGCTCATCCTGCGCGAGTGCAGAGGTCGGGGGTGCGGTATGGTATGTGAACAGACTCAAAGGCGGTTGTTGTTGAATTCCTCCCGCAGGCGACCATGCAGATGACGTCCAGAATGGTCGTCGAACGCGTTCGGCTTCAAATGAAGCGCGTTTGAGAGCCGGCGCGTCGTTGATGGCACTGGACGTGCGGGCTGGAGTGCGTTTTGAGCACACAGGGGCGCGGGGTTTTTTTTCTTCTTGCAGCACGTAGCCACGCGAGACGGAGAGGAGGCAAGGGGGGGGGGGAAACTCTCCACGCGCGCGGGTATTGGGTGTGCAGTACGCATGCGTAGGCGACATGGACCAATACCCGTGCATGGAGAGTGGTGAGGGTGAGGGGTGTGGCGATGCGACGCAAGCATCAGGTGCACGTTATTGCCGTTTGCAGAAAAGTTGCGCCGCGCGTCAAAACACACGCTTTTTTCGACGTCAGCCCCTCCACAGTCGTTCGGCCATATCTCGTGAACCGCTGGGCCGTTCGACTCGCCTCATCAATCTCCAGGTGCGTGTATATTTTTTATTTCGTTTGACACAGTTCTCAAAAATCATGCTTCAGGGGCTATTGTTGGGTGCTGTCTGACATTGTTCACTCATATCTCGTGAACGCATGGGCTGTTGAACTCAAAAGTGGGACCAATGGATTCGTACTGATGGGGCCGAGGTGTGCATATACTTTCTACGTTGATTGAATCACACTCGAACGTCTGTCATTAGGGATAGCGCTATCTACACAAGGTCTACAAATGTTCGGTCATAACTCATCAACAAACCACTCCCTTGACTCAATGACGACGTCAATCATATGTCCTGGTAAACTCATAGGTGTGTATATGGTTTCCGTATGGATTGAGTAACGTATGGTCTTAGTATCACACGGAGGTGTGTCGAGGTTACTGTACCATTACGACCTTAAGTTCACGGTGGCGTGGGAATTTATTAAATTAAATTCCGCCTGTCCACCCCAACAAGTTCAACGGGTAGGTGGCCTGGTGGACATTGTTCGTGTTCTGGAACAGAAAACGTCAAACATTGCACTAATTCAGGTCAAATGATCCTCTCAGCCTTATCCCGAAGTGAGAATATCATTACAAGGGATATCAGTTAATGAGAACGTTTATGAGTGTTATTTGTATATTTATTCTATTTTTGGTATGATTTTGTTGTTTGCACGTCTGTCCACCTCTCTAAGTTCGGATGGGTTGACCGAGGGTGGACTGTCCACCCTAACTAAGTTCAGTTCGAGCCCTGGGTGGACAGGGGACGAACTTAAAGTCGTAATGGTACAGTATATGAGCGGCTGTTGCGCTATAGATCCTCGTTGGGTGGCTTTCCCAACTTAAAGATGGTCTCATTCGATCTGAACTCCACCCTAGAAAGTAAGTACATTGTAATTGTTGCGGTTGACTATGACTTTTTCCGTTTTTGTTGACCATGAGGGTTGGAAGATCTGTCATCATTATGTTATGCATCACATATCGCCTTCACTCTCTCGCTCCTGTTACCTGTTCTTTATATCCTAAACGTAACTGATATTCCACATGAAGACTATATACATATTGAGCTTGTACAGGTGATTCTAGTGGCCTCAAGTTCATGAATTTTGAAAAGAGGACCTTGTGCGATAGCACCATCCACAGTGCTGCAAACAGCTATAACGGCTCGCACTGACGACTAATCCACCTTGCACAGAGTAGATGGCCACACAGCGCTCGCTGTTGTGCCCGACATTGACCTCGCGTTGAGGTGGGTAGTCGTTGCATGGAGAGAAAGTCGACAAGCATACACAGGAGCTACGCGCACACATTCTCTAGGCCGGATTCTGTCATGTGTGTGCGTGCGAAGTCTGTTGACGATTTGTCTGCTGCTATGTCAATTCGATGTAACTCGTTTCTTAAATCATGCGCTGCATGTTGTTGAATCTTGCTTGCGGAAAATGTGCGTAAGATTGCTAAATTATCTAATGATGTAGCCCTTGAAAGCATGACATACACATTTTGCAATGATGTTGCTGTAGTAAGGTCGACTACCACACACGACATAGTACGCCCTTGAGCTTTATAATCTATCATGCACCATGCAGGTAGTATGGGAAGTTGCGTTCTAGACACAGAGTATTTTTCTCCATGGGGGGGCTGATAAGTGAATGAAGAAGAGGTTGCAAACACAGGAACAATTCCGGCGTCAAGGTCATGAAAGCGTATGTCAGTACCTATGATTTTGACGTACACACATTCAGCAAATCGTCTCCCTCGTGCATCCGTTGAGAACTTTACAGACACAAGTGTACCTTCGGTCCCATTCACTATACCATCGCCTATTGAGATGTTTTCCGTGATCATGACAGGCATATTGGGTACAAGTGGCAGCTTAGACAGTGCGTCGTCAGTGGACGAAGAATCCAATTGCCATACCATTTTCTGGATGTCTGAACTTAAAGGTTTCCTGCCTCGCCTGTCTTTGCTGTAATACCAGTTGAATGGAACGCCGAGCGAATCAGCGAGTGCGCGACACTTCTGCATATTAATAGCATCACGCAACGTTTTACGACCGACGATGATTGGGACATCACGGAATCGATGAGCAGAAAGCAGATCTGTGGCTTTCAGTGTCGACAAGATCCGAGAACAAAGAACAACGTGATCGGGAGGTAAGCCCTCTTGATTGGCAAATTTGCGAGGTGAGCCAACACGGATTCGATTTAGCAGAGCAATGAAGTCGGGATCCTTCTTTGCACGAATGTTTTGCTTGAGCTCGACAACAGTGTGTACCTGTCGCCAAAGGCATATGCCCTGCATTGCAAGCTGACCTACGTTTGCATGCGTTAGGTTTGGCCGGAGTTTACTGACGAGTTTATGACTATACAGAGAGAGTGCTCTAGGCTGCGGTAGTTGACCCATATCACCAGAAAATATGACGTTCATACCTCCAAATGGTAACGAGTTTGCTCCCTCTTGCCATGATTTCGCAGCAGACATACGCTGGGAGATTTCGGCCAGAAATTGGGCACCTATCATAGACACCTCATCGAGAATAAGGTATAGAGTCAATTTCCATGTACCTTCTAACTCGGTGTGATTCACTCTGAATTTACCAGAAGGTAGAAATGTCAATGAATGGATAGTGTACCCATTGATCAGAACAGCAGCTGCACCTGTTGGTGCAGCAAGCATCAAGCGTTCAGAACATCCACATCGTCTAAAAAGCTCGACAACAGCACGAATGACATGCGATTTTCCGGAACCACCTATACCACTCAGGAACATCAGCAATTGTTCTGTCTTACCCAACAAGAAATGCTCCGCAATCATCAGAAATGCCTGCATTTGCTCCTTGTTACTTCGAAGTTGAAATGCATCAATGATGTTGTCCATAATCTGTGCCTTCGTGGACTCATCCAACATAACGGGGTCGAAAGGAATGTTCGTAGAGTCACAGCCATCAGCCATCCGGTTTGCTGATATCTGTGGTAGTATCTCATCTACACGCTGTCGAACATTACGATCATCAATGTTGGAGGGTTCATGCTCGGGCCGCCTCCGTTTTCGTTGAGCACGCATCAGCTTTTGGTGTTCTGCCATTGGACCCTCGTCAGAATGTTCAATTTGTCTAATAGCTGAACCAGTGTCAGCTACACTTGGAGAAGACACCAAACATGATGGACCAGCTTGGAAGAGACCGGCAGCGGAGGCTGCATCAATGCACAGCAAGTCTCGATCTGATACAAAACTCAGGGATCTGCCAGCATCATCATCACTCATGTCACCATTGTCTGACATATCATCATCAGACGGAGGAGAGATGTGTGGGTCTGTTCTGAGAGTTGCTTCAAACATAGTATTGTCATTGATCTGATCGGGGGACAAGCCAAGCTGATGCAAGTCACGGGCGATTTCTGAGTACATCTTTTTGGCGTAACTTTCCTTTGCATCAGCACATTCATTTTCAACATCAAGGTTGTTGATGGTGTCAATGTCGGCTGGATTAAACGAAAACGCGTTGTAAGCATCAACCCAGCTTTCATAATTCCCTCTGAGGTCAGAGAATTGACGCCATGGCTTGAATAACAGTAATACAAGCCGACAGCACCGCTCCTCATCTGCAACAGGACCCTGTCGTCGAGGAATGTCTCGGGAGAGTAATACAGGAACACTTGCTGTCTGGCGTTTAACCATAACATGGGTGAGAAATTGCGGATGTTCGGCATCTGAGAAACGAACACATTTAGGTTCATTGAGCAGATCTTCATGATTATTCTCACTAATAATGTCTTCTACAGCAGGCTCAATATCTGAGTTTGCATCATCATCATTGATAACCGCGTGGTCAACACCTGGGGAGAGATTTGGATCGTCCGATTCAATCTCCAAGCTGTTAGATTGACTGGTATTCAAAGGTGCGTTTGTGGCAGAAAGTCCAAAATAGACGTGTTCAGCAGAAGTCATTGTGCGGATTCGTACAAGGGATGCAAATCGGTATAAGGATAGTGACTCATAATCAGACGACTGGGACCTGAATTGATAATCCTGAACGTGATTACTCACGACAACACCTTCATGCTGTGAAATGGAAAAATGCATAACATCATCGCCATCTTCAGTTGCTCTCTGATCGTCGAGTACATTGTTCTCATCAGTAACAATGCCGTTTGTGGCTTCCCATCTCTTCAACGCTGAGTCAAATTCATACAGCTGCACTGTCTCAAAGAAATGACTTGCATAATGATCTCCACTGCCACATAGATACCTCATTACCTGTTGCTGAGACATCTCCTGACGGGCCATCATTGAGTTCACACATTTAGTCATTAAGTTACAGGCTCGTGTAGGGTTCGGGGTGACAACATCGTGCAGGTACTTGGCCTCGTATTTCTTAACAGCATAATCAAGGGCTGTTATACCCACGTGCATTTGAAGGTCTAGCTTTGTCACGTATTCTGTAATATAAAATACGAGGGCTTTTGCAGCTTCACCTGATCCAACAAACTTGATATCCATATTGCATTGCAACAAAAAGATCACAACGGGGTGATAGTTATTAATCCACGGATGGAGGCGCCTTAACAAGATGGATCCTGTCTCAGGATCAATTTCAGTCGTAGGACGTGTTGACCCATCTATGCGCATGCGGCATGTAGAGTTATCACGCCGTTGTCCAGGTTTCAAGTACTTATAACATGTGTCGGTGTGATCATGCCAGTTGCAGAAAATGACTAATAATGTGACAAACCAAATAAAATCAATAGCGAATGAGTTGTTATCCAGTGTGCGACGATCGGGAGCTGCATGCATACGAGGATCAGGCTCAGCACGTTCACGAGCAGGTGGTTGGACGTTATTTGACACAATAATGTCAGCAGCGGACGTCTGATCAGGCAATTCATATTTAATGTTATGCTCAATCCACCGAAAAACGGATAACTGAAAGCCTGGGTCAGACGACATTCGATCACGCAGCGCTTGCGGGTTTGGACAGCCCTGTAACCAAATCAACATATGACAATGCAATGTACCCCTCCCTTGTGCCTCAACCATTCCATAGAAAGCAATACACCGCCCAAACAATCCTGGACCTTTTTGACGATACCGGAGGACTGTGTTTATGAACGATAAAATTTGCATGTCAAAAGCAAGTGCAGCATGGAAAGGATGGTCGGCCACATGTTTTGCCTGTTCAAATGAGTCCATCACGCGCCACAGCGGACGAGGTATACCGGATACAGTCGCCAGCACACTGCTGCCAAGATCGTAAGGGTTAATAGTGACAAATAATGCGGGACTACCAAACGTTCTCGAGAGCCCGCGTATCTCATTGCGACGTGCTAATTTGTAGCCGCTACTTCCCGGAATATTAGTAGAGACAAACTGTATTCGTCGTAGCAGGCTGGCAGCTTTACGCTCTAAAGGTGTGGATGGTTTTGCACGAGGATCCTTTTCCCACTTAATGGCGAGATCCGTAAGTGATGGTGCAACGTCTAATAAATCCCGTTGAAGGGATAACTGTGAAGTGCCAGACACAGAAAACTTGGTATTCTGGCGGACAGCGCGTTTCTGGACGACGTTCCAACATATGAAGGGGAACAGAGGGTCCTTCACAAAATGGGAGTTATGTTGCCTTAGTAAATTAATGACTTGCTGCTTGAACGAAATTCGCTGTGATACGGAGCGGGCAGGATGGTTGAATCCTCCTATACCCCATGGATCTAAATGAGGAAATACAAGCGATAAAAAAGAGGGTTCGTCTTCAGAAATAAAGGACGTGCCCACTCGAGACCGTAAGAACACCCTTCCACCCAAGATATGTCCCAAAGCGAGATGTTTCATTTTATCTCGAGAACCTACAGAATGATCGCCGATTGTGTAACCTACACTCGGCAAGACAAAGTCGCCATTTCGATAATATGAGGATACAGAGTCATCCGTTGAGGCTTCCCTACCCGACGAGTGTGAAACAGTGAATGTGTCATCAGACACAACATCATCCTCGCCAGCAATAGCACAAACATCCATAGATTGTAATGGGGCACAGTTTAGATGATCATGTTCAGGATAAAAAAGGTTGCTGACATTTTCTTCACAGTACTGAATATCAGATTCGCGATAGAACTGATTATTCTGTATGAGAAAATTCAGCAGAGTCCGCACAATAGATTTTGAGGCAAGTAATGGTCGAATGCGGAGCAACGTCTCTCTGGTGACGGGTGCCGTAGAGCCGGAGAAGAGAACACATATGGACTGCTCGATGTCGTCGGGCCCCAGAGGTAACAATCGCCGTAATGCAACGCTGTCCTGTGGAAGAATGGCAACGTTTCCTTTGACATAGCGTTGAGACGCCTCCTCAGGGAAACGTGATGAATTCGAGCCCTGCTTGTGCGAGTAAACATGAACTATCTTGCTTGCCTGAGCACGAGCGATCAAGATACGATCGACGGGTGACGCGGCACTCAGAGATGAACGCACATCGTCAGGCAGACGATCACGAGCATAGTACTGAAAATTAGCCAATGCATTCTTAGGCTGATGTGGCGGGTGAGATAACAAGCTGCGAGAACATGAGTGACAGAGACGCAAGCCGTCGGGCGTGATGCCTGAAGGTTCAAGTATGGCGCGTTGATAAGCCCCGATGTCGTACGCAATCGGAAGGAGTTCATCAGGGATAAACTCGTTCCCCAGCAGTTGAAGGGGAACGCGTGCAGTGGGGATGGTCATCAAGTCCACCTCTGGGATAGAATAAGCGCAGACGGCACATGCAGCCATGGCCATGGCGGTCTCGTCAAACGATAACTGCCATTCTCGTATGATACTTTCCTTCAACGCGTCATCATACAAGTAAGGAAACGAAAAGTCGTCGCCTGCACCGGCATCAGCAGCCCGTCGATCACGATGAGAGGCAGCATTGCGAGCACGGTACTGAGCAGACTCCTGTTCTGATAAGCGGCGAGTGAAAGCATCCAAGATCTCCCTACGGCGATCAGACGCATCCTGTCGTTCGCGCATAGAATCCTGGGGAGCAGGTAGGGGGCTTAAGTCAAGAAACTCTCGTGGTCTGCTGCGAAGCGCAAAAACAATGATAACAGGGCTGCAGTTAGACACACACCGGTGCAAACGGAGTAAATCTCTCAGGTAGTCCTTAGTATCCGAGACGCGGTAAGGCACGCTATGCAGTTCACACAGAGTGCGGTAATGTTCGACCTGAAAAAAGCGATAATGATACACCAAAGGTTCAGTCAATAACGCTCGGACCGGCAGCAATGCACCAGTCGGATACAACGATGACTCTGATATATCGAGCGTCGCGCCATCACCGTGGATGGAGCGGACCACGAAATATTCGCGCAAGAGCGCACTCGAGGCGATACGAATGCCATCTCCAGGGAGAGTGGCATCAGAGACGAGGAAGGTAGCGGATCGCATAACCGTTGCGCTGCAGTACATTGAGAGAGGGAGAGGGACGAAGCGAAAGCATGCAGGATGAGATGTGAAACATGAAGTCACATGTGCCGAGAGGGGGCTCGTGAGAAAGAGGATGCCGAGTGGCACTGTCACCGGCAGCGATTTGGGACGGTAAGCAAGGAGAGCAGGGGGACACACCTGTCACCTGAGGTTCCAGGAATATATACTAAAGCTATTACTATTAAATATAGTTACAATTACGCAGGATAATAATCAAGCGCGCAATCATTATTATTGCAAACCCAAGCTAAGCTAGCATCTAATGGGACCAATAACCTGCGATCAGCGGCGGATTCAGCGCTTAGCGCTTTGCACTGAACTACAGAGATGGTGTCGGTTCTCCTCGTTGTGAGTCTTTGGGGCGACTTTCGACTTGGTCCATACTGACATCTTGAACCTTTTGACGCACAAGAACGATGACGGCCCGCCCGGCCCTGAGTCCCCCTATGTCTATGGGCTCTTCCATCATTTGACTCATGCCCTTGGTGATTGCTGCACTACTTCATTAATATTCTTGTGTCTTCCCGATACTGACAAATGAAATGATGTATTAGGCTGGACAGTGAAGGTTGTTCTCCCAAGCTCTCAGAAGTCTTGGATCGGTGACACCAATTAACTGTGTTTCCTCTCTGGCCCATATTAATCGACTACACTAGGCAAGGCTTATCATATCACTGAAATCACCAAAGGCGGTTACTATTACCCCTGTCATCCAGGTAACTATGTACCACTTCTTCAGCTTGATCTCTGAGCGACTCTTGTTTCAGATGGCAAGGGAAATACCTCAGCTGTATCCCGCCCGTTGAAAGAGGGGGAGTCTGCTGAATGGATATTACTAGATGGTGTACGTCGTGATTCTCTCACAAACATACCACCTCCTGAATTGTTATAAGACTCCCGCCACGTGCGCAAACATTGCCTTACACAATCTATATCCTGGTCAGATTGATTTGGTGGTTAGTCTTGAAATAATTGTCGTAAATGAAATGTTTGGTTCACATACTACAGATCTCTGGGCCAAACTTTGGACGAAATTCTTCAGGTTTGCTTAACAGCAAGCTCATATTGCCAATATGTCTGACATCCAGCTTAGCGGCATTCACGCTATCATCTGGCACTATCGGAGCGGCGATGTCGTCTGCTCTGTCTGGCATCCGATCTATCGCTGTTTCCTACGGCAATGTTCTACGCCCGACACCGACTAATCTGTTTGAGCCTGCCCACGTTTTAAGTGGAAAAATCATTCAAAATCTTTGGGAGCACTGGGGGGAAGATCCTGGTGGCTTGCGGAATGGCGAAGTTGACCTCTACAATGTGAACATTCCCATGATTCAGAAGTTACTTGACAAGGATGGTCTTGTTGTTTATTGGACAAACATCTGGCGAAATTCATACCAACGACTCTTCAAGCCCATCCCACAATCACAGCCCTTAGCTACAAAGCCCGCAATCCCACCACCTGGTCCCGACACTCTTGCCAAAACTGAGTCCACCACCAATTATGGTGTCGATGCTTCGTCGGACAGTATAGGAAACCTTGCGTTCAAATTCGCACCTGACATCCAACAATTGATCACACCAGCCATTTCAACTATACCTATTGGTTCCGACGGATGGGCGATTGCTCAAGGAGCAGCCAGTATAACTGCCTTGAGGGCTAGTTTTGCTGAGGCGGATACAAACAACGCTAGTAGAGATATCGCGCAAGTGAGGACCATGAAACTGTAGTTGGCGAAAAATGTTCATCACTAGTCTTGACAAGCATTGGCAACCCTCTGAATTGTCCACTTCGTCATCAGTCTTGTAGATCGCTTCATGTGTTCTAAAGCTTGCATCCTAGTCGATCTACTAGTAGATTGATAACTCCGTCAATGCTACGACCACTATCAGTGACCATAACCAATTGCTCTCTCCCCTCGACCCGATACCGAAAGCACCTCCGGTAGTTGAAGCGTCTAAAATAGCCTCCTTGTATACCTTGAGCGAATTGATTATCCATGAGGCGTTCTATAGAACAAACTGAATAAATGGTAGTATGGGGTCCAGGCGGCGAACATACCACAAAATTTGAACCTGTCATTAGCTGGTCCTCGCACGTTCCAGGGCAACCAGACGTATCATAAGAGTTGCCCGCCCAATCTCCACAAAAGGTTATATCTACGCATCCGGGAGACTTAGGGCAAAGCGGATTCATAAACGCCAGTCGATAGCCTACCGAATATAATGGAATGATTAACAAAATATTGTGTCAAGTTACACTGAGTTGGGTAGAGTGCCGCGACGGGTGTTCCCCAATTCGACGGGTTCGGTTCTCCATTGTCGATATCCGAAGGCACGGCAGAGCGGTAGAATGACCCTGCCGGTGGTACATCACCGCATGTTTCTTGTGAGCACCCTGGATTTGAGCTCCTTGCATATCACTCACAGACCGCGATTCCATCGGAATCCCACTTCATTGCGAATACACCACCTCCTATAGAGTCAAAGTAAGGCCCATACGAGGATTGGCTCCATTCAACGACGCCACAACCGGCATTGTCGTTTATCAACGCATTGCACTGTAAATTATCCTGGCCATTCGTTTGCTGACCGAAATGAGCACCCTGGCCTATGCATACTTTCGTTCAATGGTGCTTACAACTACGTCTCCCGAGAAAGAATCAAGATTGGTTAGATTGCAACCTGCCAGTGGTTGTTACTTCATGAGCAATCAATATTCAGAAGCGGCGAAGGTAAGAAACGTTAAACGTTGGAGTACTAATCCGTTCACTCTCCGTTGTGAACGGTTCTTTGCTGCGGCGACTGGAGTCTATATTCAAACGGACAATATTAGACCTCTTAGCGTCCACACGTCTGGCACGACCTTGCCGGGTGCGCTTTATAAAATCTGGCATTGGAATGACAGCTTACTCCTCAGTGATCACGGTTTTCATGATTTTGCATGGATCCCTCGCTGCTTTCCTTGCGTTGCTTCCGACCGCGGTCGCAAGAATTTCTGACTTTCGACCAGAACTAGAAGACATTGCAAGCAGAGACGAATTTGACACGCTCACCAATGGCTCCAGTGTAATCTGGGTGATAGAGGATACGTACCAGGGCGAAAGCTTCTTCGAGTAAGTGGCCTTTTTCCTGCAGATACACTATACTATGTACATTACTCAAAACCATGTCCCCTTGCATCAAGTACATTTCACTTCTTTACTGACCCTGATCCGACAAAGTATGTGTCGTTTCTCTCTTCGCACACTCCATCTCGAGCTTATAAATTTTATTCTAAGTGGTCTAGTGACGTAAGCATCCTGGATGCACTGGTCCTCTTTGTAGTTTCTTACTGCTTTGTGGGACGCCTAGATATGTCGACCGTGATACCGCTTTCTCGTCTGGACTGGCATATGTTCAGGCGGACGGCAAGGTCATTATGAAAGGCGATGACACCACTCAATTGCCCTATGGAACGAACAGAAGCAGGTATTGTCTCAGCGCAAACTTTATCAAGAAGCCGTCAGCCAACAATGTACTCACAGCGTACGGATATCTAGTCAGACAGTTTACAACGGTGGTCTCTTCATACTGGACTTGGACAGAGCTCCTTGGGGCTGCGGTACGTCCAGTCCCATAAGTGCGTAACATCCTTATTTGATGCATCACCACAATGGTTTTAGGAGTTTGGCCTGCGTGGTGGTAAGAAAACTGGTAGTGAAATTGTCAATGTAGTTCCTGACTCCCACCAATTTAGGACCGTCGGAAGTGGTAACTGGCCTTGGGTTTGTAACCTTTTTTTCGTCAGCATTATCCAAAACTTACGGTCGGACAGACCGGCGAGATAGATATCATCGAGGGCGTACATGCGAATGAACACAATCAAGTCACCTGGCATACTGCACCTGGTGAATCGTGAACATAAGCTCTGAGCTCTTTAATTTTGCCGAGACTTGTTTCTTGCTGTCTCGGCAGGAGCCTGCACTGAGAAGTAATATAATTCGTTATTCTGACTGATTTAACGCGATACAACTAACCAGACCGCGCGTTCTGCTGGATGATCGATCATCTTTAACTATGCGTTGAAAGCTCATCCAACCCCATCCAAGCTGTTTCAGACTGCACTCATATCACATGTGGGTTTCTTCGGATCCAGATGTCATTATATGCCAGCGGTAGAGCGATGGCACTACTTCAGTTCTCCGAGGTGCGCAGCTATCAGTGCCTCCAAGAGAATACCTTGATACCTGCGATAAATCATGCTTTGTCCGCAATAAAATGGCCAGAGCTGTATAAGGCATTTTTTGATACCTCATGGGTACATGGAAGACATAGGAAACAACATAACAAAGCATGAAACCAGCCCCACAAAACCCCGTCTTTACCGGTAGCGGCGGAGCGACAGAGTGTTGTGCTTCTTCCAAGTCGAACGGGCAGGGGTGTGGTTGTGACGATGGCCTTTGCCAAGCCCACGGTTCTGCATAAGAGGGTAAGCAAGATAGTAGTAGGTATAAAGGTAACCACTTACTTGTTTCCCAATGCTAGTGAGACCGCGAGCTTCGCGACGCTTGTGAACTGGGTTGACGATCCAGTTGATACGAGGATCGCGGCGGATCTGACAGGAAAGTGAGCGGAGATCAGGAGATCGTTTACGCTCGCTACTTACAGCCTTGTGGCTGGGATCCACGAGGATGACCTCGTAGTACTTGTAGACACCATCCTGGTTAATCCAGTAAGAGTTGAGGACCCGCAAATTGCCACATCTCCTTCCAACACGCTCCTCAGCAACGCTCCTCAGTCCACGCTGGAATTTGAGGTGATTGACACCCTGGCGAACAGGCTTGCCGTAGGTGGCACCCTTAGGTACGGGCTTTTTGCGGTTACCGCGGCGGACACGAACGCGGTAGATGACATAGCCCTGCTTGGCCTTGTATCCCAGACGACGGGCCTTGTCGGGGCGCGAAGGTCGTGAGGCGCGGTGGATGACGTTTAGTTGACGGTATTCCCAGCACCTATGGCAGATGAGATTGTGGTCAGGAAATGTAAGCAGTCAACTCACCGCACGCGAAGGAGAAAGCGCAGAACATCGGACTGCTTCTTCTTATAGAGTTCCGTAACGTATTTGTATGCGCCCATTGTGAGGCTACATGAACGAGGTTGAAGTTAGTGTCGGGTGTCACAAGTTATCCAAGAACAAGATGAGACATCCACCCCAGACCATTTGGTCCAGACCTTGGACGGGTGATGAAAGTGCATTATGCAACGCCGAAAACCAATCTAGATCAAATAACGCATCAAAACATACCTCTTGACGCTGTCTTGACCGGTGAACGGGGCTACGCTGCTGGAGTCGTTGAGGATGCGACCTTGGCGGGATATGCCGGCAGGTCCTCGGCAATGTCCGAGCCGAGATGCCAACCCCTGTCCGTAATACTGATATCGCTCAAGTTCCTACCTTCACTTCGAATATCTCGTTTCTATACAAATCTGCTTCATTTGCTAGTTTCCTTACAATATATCTCATGCCTAAAATGTGTCATAATAAGCAATGACTGTAAGAGTCAGAGGCCCGGCTAACATTGGGTCCTCCGATGAGCTCAAGTCGCGTTTGATTATACATGCCGTCGTTTGATCAGCAAGTAGCTAGTATACGTAGCGTATGAAATCAATTACAGAGCGTTCAATATTTGTACATCAATCTACCGAACTCTAGTCTAGACAAGTCGCGTTCGGGAGTCACTGACATATGTACCATTGCCGTGGCGATTGCTTTTCCACATCCATAGACAAGTCGTGATGACAGTCAAGATGCATAACCCAAATTCTGTCCAACCGATGCCTTCTACGGTGAGAACCTCTCTACACCTGGAGACGGAGATTCCCAGCTCCTCCTCACAATCGACACTGCCGTCAAGGATTGTTGTGCGAGGGTTTGCTAATATCCAGTTGCAGTCACCCCCTATTCGCGTGGTGTACATCAGGCCCGCGGCAGTGCCCTTGGTGAGCCATATGAAGTCTTCAGCATGAATCTCACGACGTGAACATGAGGATGGCGTACCCAAAGGATCGTTGTGACCAATAACCAGATTATAGAGCTTGCTATGCTCGCAAGAAGGTGCACAGCACCTCCCAGCATCCGTAACAAATAAGCTGTGCCAAAGAATGTTGTCCAGACGGCGTTAAATTCGAACATAATTAATCTACACAAAATCCGGTCAGGAAACTGAGGGGAGGAAATACAGGCAACTCACAGTGCATGGTAGCGAGGACTGAACCAAGTATGACTTCTGTTCCCAACATTGATTAGATATGCAGTGAGTCCTAGCACACCCATTGAGCATAACGTAATCAAAACGAAAAGAAAGGGATGGTAGTGGCCCTCGTTATAGGTCATCAGTGCAGAAAAGGTGTAGGTAATTGGAGGTGGGAGCCCATGGTTAAAGGCGACTTGTCTTAAATACTGCAGTGCTCAATGTGTAGGCAGGCCGCAGAGTGCATAACACGCGCCGTACACGCAACGCCGCCTGTGCTGACGCGAAGAAGGATATTGTATATTAAACCCGCTTTGCGCCCATGAGAACAGGCACCTGGGTGATATCGAAACCGCCATCGAGAATGCACTATCAAATTTTGTGGATTTACTCTCATGAACTCTTCAATTGAAGGCGATGCTCCCTTATTTAAGTCGCCAACGCCAATTGCGCGAGTTTGAGCGCACCGTTTCGGGTTTTGTTTCCTTTGGTCAATGGAAACGTCGTCATCTTGAGGTCTCTTGTTCAGAGAGTACTCACCGCCAATGAAACCAGAAGCATGGATAAATATACACCCTTCGACACCACTGATATTGCTCAGTTCTGCGTCCCGGATACCCCTCCAGGCCTCTGGAAGAGCCTTCCGACTTTCAAAAGAGTCGGGGGATACGGGAACGGCTTGAACACGCCAGCTATTGCCTGTCTCGTCAGGATATATGACATAAAATGGTTTCGAGTCATCGGGAACGTTGGTGTCTTTCTCCAGGTCGAAAAGATGTTCCTGTTGCTGCTGTCATATTTGCCAGCATCAGCAAGTGTAACATGTTCTCACCTTCCAGGGAGCAAACGTTTCAAAGAGCAATATTTTCCCGCTCGGATCAATGTCGAGACGGGAAGAAAACGCGGCCTGCACAATATCACGACCAGGTAACCAGGCATCGGTATAATAGCTTAGACGTCCAATGAATTCTTCTCCAGTGAGGGATGACGCCTTCTCAAACAGCGACTAAATTGAAGCAAGGAAGAGTCCATGTAAAAATAAGCCCAATGTAGCACTTACGTCCACCTGATCCGAAGTAACGGTCTCATTCCAGGCAGGATTGAGCCACCCAACTCGGCTTGAGAGGTCGGTTCTGTTCTTATAAGTTGGGCTTTCCTTGGTTGAAAATTGGGCTATTCCGTTGTCAATGGCGTCGATGGCCTCAACGAACTCCTGTAAATTACTCATGACCATCAGCCTAGTCCTTCTTCGTCGATACTCGAGACAGAACCTTGTACATCTTGAGCCAGAGCGCAGTCACTTTGGGGTCATCTGATGGTGCTTTTGTGTGTTTAGCGATGATCTCTTGCCCGAAATGCCTGTTCAAGCTGGTTAGAGGTTGGTGGTGAAACATGAACACTCCAAAGAACTTGTAAATTAGCCCAGCAGACGACAGTTTTGTCGAGAAGCCGCTCCCAAACACTTCAGTGAATCCACGTTGATGATGATCGAACCTTTGTCGGGCTTCGTCGTATATTGCCCCGACATCAACTACAATATCGCAAGTGTCTAAGACGATAGGATCACGGGTGCGCTTCACACCTACAACGTACTCGTCATCAGGGCTAATATCATATATTTCATGACAAACAGAGGGTTTACCTGCGTTGCTATATGTGTCGGTTAGACGGAGGAGAAACACCGCGAGGGCTTCGTCACAGTGGAAGGTGCCATTATGAGTGCCAATAATCTTGACATGTGTGAGGAGTGTCCTGAAGAGTGCACCCAAAAGTGGGTGGCAACGGGAAACACGGACTTTAGACATCCTTTGCTTTTTGGCTGGATGGGAGGCGTCGGTCATGGCGTGACGAACGGGGAACCTAAGGAAAGTGGGAGATGGACTGAAGGGGCAGGTGTGATGATAGGCAATCTTTGGGCGCAAGTACGCCATATAACTCAAAGTGCTATTCAGGCGCGTCATGATCTAGTGAAAGAGGTCAAAGCGCCAGCGAAGCTCAGAACATGGGACATATACGGTCTCTGCATGGACACAATTGAACACCGTCGTTTTCTCATTCCAGTTTTCATTCCAGTTCAAAAGTTACCTCGTCGAAATCTAGTCCATGTATTAATCGCCCTGATCAAGATGTCTCGTGTACCGGTCAAGTGCTAAGCACGTATACGTAGTGAAACGAAGTGTCAACAGTGAATGTTTGAACACGGTAGTGGGTAGATGCGGTATAATATGCAGATTGAGAAAAGAAGAGAAGTGTCCAATGCCTAAACAAATGTCCCATTACAATGTCCATCCGACTTCATACCCGATTATGCCAATATCAATGAGGCTCCCGCAGCGACGCCGGCTAGACCGATGATGAGACCATTGATCTGGAGAGTGCTCGCGCCGGCTATGTAGCCATCGGGCGGGCCATAGATGCCACCAGCGCCAGATGCACCGGGGCTCGGTGCGCCCCCGTTGGGACCGTCGCCATTAGCACCTGCAACAGTTGATGCGGCGGTGGGTAACGTCGTGGGCGTAGATGAGGTGGAATTTCCACCCGAGGAGTTGCCTGACGAGCCCGAACTTCCTGTTGCGGCTGGGGAGGATGATGCGGAGCCGATGGAAAAGACAGTTGAGGAGACGATGGTCGTTTCTTGCCGATTGGAATTAACAGAGACGGTGCTAAAAACCGAGGTGGTGAGCTGATAGAGGATGCGGTGTTAGTGAGGTGTCAAAGGCAGACAATGTGGAAGGGGAGGAGGGGCGGAGGGGCGAGGGGGGACCAACCTGAGCCACCGACAGGACTGGAAGGGCGAGGAAGGTGAAGAGAGTGCTATAACGCATAGCTTATGATCAAGCACCGAGTGACAAAAAATGGACGAGTGGTGGACTTGAGCCTGCTCTATGGGCCGACGAAGATGGGTGCTGAGGCGCTTCAGCACTGGGCGACCGTGCGTGCTGGCAGAGCCGTGCGAAAGGCACCACCAATCATAATCACACGGGAATGCGCGGGCGATACAGCACATTATAAGTACCATCTATTAATGTGACAGGAGGGCAAGCTGCAGTCTGTCCACCTCAAACCCTGGCTCTGTCTCCTCAATCACTATCTTATCCCTGACCTCGAGGCAACGTTTATAATCAACTAATTGGCTGCAATGCAGCCCATACAAGTCCATACCATACTCAACGTTCTGCAGTATATCGGGCCTCCATCTCGCATCACACAGGAACTCCCTCCTCACCTTCTTTCCTCTCCTCTCCTAAAACGACATCACTTCCTCGGTATATACCCGACAGACCCCGTTGAGTATCTCTGCTGGCCAGCAGACTCCTCAGATCAGGCGGTTCACCTCCTTGAGACCGCACATATACTGGAAGACGCTCCCAGCTTCACTACCCGTTACACATCTGATCCAGAACACACTTACGCACACGTCCACATCCCTTCGCCTGATCCTGGTGTACGTCTCATATTCCAATGGGAATATGACGATGGTTGGAAGTACCACGACCTTCAGCTCATGCCCATTCCCTCTACTTCCTTTGTATCACTTGATGATGCGCTGGCGTCGCACTCGAATGCTTCCAGCAGCCTAAGCAGCGCTAACGGATATTCTAAAGCCTCACCCGCTTTCGATCACACTCAGGGACATGATGATGGACTAGATGAGGACTCATATTGGGACGCGTACGGTACTGCTGGAGAAAATGTTTCGTCACCCATCCCAGACGACCAAAACACGTCAGGAGAAGCTGGAACGGGAGAGGATGCCTATTGGGCTCAGTACTCATCAGTTCATGGCATGTCGCCTCCCTTCCGTCATTCTCAATGGTCTTCTGACATCTCACGTTAGGTACGGCAGACTCGACTCAGCCATCGCCCCTTCCGCAGAACCGCCGAAAGCTTCCTCCAGTCCTTATCGACCGCAGCGAACCTGTCCAGATTCCCAACGGTGCTCTGAATCCAAAATTGGGGCCGCCCTCGCCAGGAGCCTTAACACATCTGCTTAACTTCATCTCTCCTCGAAATGACGAATATTCCCCTGCCACAACCGATCCTGAATCAACCGTCATTACGTCTGACGCCCCATCACCACTTATACCATGTGATCAGGATATGTTGACGCCGTCTTCAGCTGATTATGGACAGCTTGCTCACGTCGTATCTCCGGTGGCAGTGAAGATCAATGGTGTACCCTTGGATCATGCTCGCGAGCGGAAAATACCAAGGGAAGCTGTCATACCATCTGGCGGAATGAAGGACAGTCCTGGTAATACGGCGGTGTGCAGCTCCATTAGAGGAATATATTACCTTTGGAAAGCAGGCAAAAGGAAACAAGCAAACGGGACTACTTCTGACTCAGCCGAAGAAGACGACTTTTTAACTTTGGTCCGTGCAGCTATTGCTAATGCATAATTCATTGCATCATCATCATGTGCGCTATAATAGCTACATACATATTGGGACTTGTGATTGTGTGCGTTATGTATTGTCACTCGCTTTGGGGTCTAGAGATTTAACTCAAGTTTTGATACTGCACCGAGAGAAGCTAAAAAACGTCGGCGGTGTTCGTCATGAGCTTTGGGGTTTGCAGCCAATAACATTTTTTAAAAGTCGAAAGCAGGAGCCCTATGGTATTGAAAGCTGAGATCAACGTGAAGATATACAACGTCTGATATCCACTTGGCAACCGGTAAGAGCAGCAGCTATGCACATAATCTCGTGAATTTAGCAAGTCTACAGGTTGGCTCAATCCTCTCTTTACTGTGCTTTCTACTCACTCGTCGGCGGCAGCTGAAACCTCTTCATCCCCAGAAACGGGTTCGTCTTCAACCTCTTCGTCTTCAGCAATGTCTCCATCCCCTTCAACCTCGTCCTCTGACACTCGCACAGGTAGATCAGGCTGCCCGGGTAATCTCTAGAGAAGTGATCAGCACGCAAGTATGCATTCTATACAGATTGTAGACGGACCTTGAATGCGAATTTGCAGACTTTCCAGCCTTTGGCATTCAAGCCAGGTTCCATCCACGCCTGCATCCGGCGTTCAGACTGGCTGAAATTTTGCTCAGAGAAAACGGTACCTTTTCGACGATGTATAGTCCGTCATACCGGTAACTGCGAAATACGTAGGTATTCAAGGTATTATCTGCTGATGGGACGGAAACATACCCTACGGATGGCGCATATTTAGACTTCAGCTTGAACCCTCGAATAACTCTAATTGGTTTGCGGGTTTCTTGAGACGTCTGCGCACAGATTAAGCATTTATCCAAAAACAAGCGTGGTGATACGCACTTTCAGAGCCTGATTAAAATTATTCTCAAAGGTCTGATCTGAGCTTTGCGGTGCCGTTCGGAGCTGGATAGGTCTGTCAAGCCATACTCTCTGTGACGTATTACATGGTTTACATTCTTCGGTGCTTGCTTTGTTCCTTTCAGGTCTCTGCCGCCTAAGGTGACGCTATTAGTCGTGTATATGGTGGCTTTTCTATTGTCTCACCTGATCCTGTGTACGTGCTAGAAGATACATCAGTAGGTAAACACATATCAAAAAATGGAACCTACAATGCATAACCGTCATCTACGTCGTCGTCGTAGCCACCGGACAATGCAACCGAATATGCGCCGTCCTTACCCACAGCAATGCCACCAACCCAGGGGCTGACAAGAGTGATAATGCTCAGTGATGCACCGACCCTGTCGTTGCATGACTTACGCATGGATAGCAGCTTGGCTACACGCCTGTCTACAAGGAAGGATGAGAGCCTAAAACCCAAAGTCTTACATTCTACACCCACCTTGTCTCCCACCAAGTGCCAACTTCGACACCAGAGATATGACCGTACGTCTTCCTATAGAAAGTCAGAAGGGAGACGACGTGCAGAATGAGGACCATACGGATTATGAGTGCGCTTCAAAGAGTCACCGCCATAAATACCCCCACCTCGTTGTGCTGCACGTTTCTCTGATACTGGGGCGGGGACACTTCGATCTTGTTCTTGGTTGTAATTTACCGTCTTGCCCGTGTTTCGAGAGCTCCGGCGGGTCCCTACGGCCGCATCGGTTTCGAGCCTAGGTGCTTTCCGAGGGCTGTCCTCTGAGGGGACCTTGTTGCCTACTTCCTGTAGATGCCGTTTTTTGGTAGGCTGAGATTTGGGAACCCGGCGGGGTCCTTCCTTGGGCTCAACCTTAGGTCGAAGTCGTCCAACATCGAGAGCGGCAAGGATAGCCTTGTTGCGGGCGATGTTTGCTGCGCGCTCCCGTTCATACTGAGAGGACATTGCGGCGAGTGACGAGTCACAGTAAAGTCCAATGGGGGTTTGAACCAAGTTTCAACAACAGACCCCATGGTGCGGTAACACTAATTCAATATTGTCATTACGGCATTTACGCGCGACTTTGTTCTTGTGGTAATTCGCATCACATGATCGTGTACTGTACTGTAGGAAGTACTATAGTAGCTGTAGTCACGAGCATACTACGCACGCTAAGCTGGAGTACATTCCGGTGAAATAGCTCGGCAACTTGCCCCAGAAGAACAAGACCAAGCAGGTTCAACTGCTTCGCAAAAACGAAAGCATTGAGGCGTCCAGCACAATTTCAGGTAAAACGACAACGAGTATGGTACTAATAACGAGTGTTCGATTCGGTCTATCCCATTTGCTATGCGTTGCTGAATATGATGTGGTCCAAGCATCCAAGGGGCTATTTGATCCTGTTGAGCTACGAGGAACGATTTAGATGTATACGTCTCCAAGAATGACTTGCTACAAACCCTGCCCGTGTTCGTAAACACTTTGTTATCTAAGCTGGTAGTCTTCTGATCAATGCGGCCAATTCTATCATTCTGTTGGTCCAACTCTTGACCCATGGTAACGCCCATGGTCTTCAGATTCTTGGTCAGGCGAGAAATCTCGTCAAGGTTATCGTCCAGTTCATCCTCCATTTCATCATCAGATGCACCTGCTTCATATTGGTACCTCTTCCGCTGTTCCTTGCGGGCAGCAAGCTGTGCTTCGGTGCGGAAACGCCCAGAGCCAGATGTGCCCGGCAATTCCTCATCGTCCTGCGCGCCATAGGTAGCAGCCCGTCCGAGACGATTCTGGGTATCTCTGATGTCCATCATTGCTTTCTCCCGCTCATTGCGCTCGTCCTCGTAACGCTGCTGGAGTTTTGCTTCTTGAGCAGCACGTTTTGCGTCCTTGTTGAAGGTAATGGCAGGTCGGAAGATGGAACGATTCAGCTTCTTGAGCTCGTCAATCTTGTCCTCAGCGCGAACAGTGTGGCCCTTGGCAACATCAAGGTGTCGCTCAGTGTTGGCCATTTTTTCTATAAACCAGTATCTTGTTCGAAGAACACGGCAATAAATCACAGAGTACTAACCGGACTGATCTCCAAGGCGACCGAGGGTGTTCCTGGCGGTCTCTTCCGCCTCACGAGCCATGCGGAGAGCATTGCGCGTGGAGTTGACGCTGTCTTGCTTGATAAACCTAGTCTGTTGCTTAATGCCTTCTACGTCCTCGTCATTCTCTTCACCGGGAGGGGGCTCCCGTCCGATGGCAGGGCCATCAAAGAACCTGCCTGAGCCACTGCCAGCTTGCGGCTGGTAGCCAGAGAAGAGTTCGTTGCGATTGGAATCCGGTTTGGGAGCGGAGCTAGAACCATAGTGTGGATCCCCACTATCGGGGCTAACAGGAGAGCTGTAGGAAGGTGTCTTCGGGTTGGGGACATTGTATAGGTCAGGACCGTCTCTACTCCTGTTGTAAGTACTAGCCGTTGAGCGATAGCTTGGTGGCCCAGGAGAGGTGCTACGGGACGTGCCGGTCGGGGAGTCAGACTGCACGGGAGGGATCAGATTCTTATCCTTGCGCTTGAAGAACGACATGGGGGAAAGAGGTCAGAGTACTCGATTCAGCAACGAGTTTTAATACGGGAGTGTACACTTCAGGAATCGCAATCACCGCCATGAGAACTGCACAGCTGCATAGCCCGTACAAAACGGGACATCACTGTAGCGGCGTTGACTACGCTTTTACATAATAGAGTCACTACGTACAACCCAAAGAGCTGTTAGTACAACACAGTCAAAGTCATCGCTTGTGACGTTCCTTTCCACCAGCCAGGTCCTTGTTTTTCTTTCCGACAACAGTCACCCCTTTACCACTCTTGACTACGCTCTTAAGGGCATCTTCCTTCTGCTTCTTCACCGACTTAGCACCGTTGAGTTTCGAAAACTTGTCCACGCCTCGATCCAATGCGTCTCGAGCTTTCTTCCTGGCCTTTCGTTCCTTCGTGCGCAGCGCCCTCTTCTCAATAGGTGTAAGCTCACTGCGGGCACGAATCGCACTGGCCGACGATGCAAATACTTCCTCAGGAGCTAGCATGGCTGAGGCCGAACTTGAGGTGGGTAGTGCGGATTCCAAGGTTGCAGCCGGAACATTAGAGACCGTGGTGATGGATGCCTTCGGCTGTTGGCAAAAGCACACTATTAATGTTGGGAAGAAACAAAAGCCCAAAAGATCGTACCTGCTTAGGAACGTAGTGGGCGTTGCAGAGAGCATCAAGTTTATTGCAGATACCATCCCATAGCTGTTGAATCTCATCATGGTCCGCTTTGAGCCGACCGTCTCGATCGTCCCCCGAGCCATTCTGCGCTCTGACATATTCGTCCTCGTAAATCTGGGCAAGAGATTGAGCGGACTTGGTATCCTGAAGTTCAAAGAATCGCGAGGGTAGGAACGGTTTGTCATCCATGGGCCGTCTGCGGGCGACATCATCGTATCTGCTGTCTGCAATTCTTTTCTTGATTGTATCCTCCAGGCTACGAACTAGCTCTTCGGTCACCAATGGTGCAGACTTGACAGCGCGTTCAAAATCCAAGTCTTCCTCAAGTAACGAAGCATGTGGTCTGGCTTTTGAGCTCGCCTCGCCCATCAACGTCCAGTGCTTTTTGGCAACGTTTTCGGCCTCAAGTTCTTGTATTTGAGCTTGAATGGCTCGTATGCGCTGTTCGTGAGAGGTCAACCCTGCCATACAAAGATAAGCAAACGGAGTACAGATCGAAATGCTGCTCACCGTCTTCAGACTTTCCCGACTTTTCCTCCTCCCCGAATAAGTCATCTCTCAATCGCTCTATAGCAAGACGATCTCCTGGCTCGTCAACGAGCTCTTCATCTCCATTATCACCCTCCTCATCCTCGTTTTCGCTGTAATCGTCGGAGAACCCGCCCAATGCGGTTAAGTCTTCCAAAGAATCTTCCCCACCAAAGAAAGGGTAGTTGACCTCGTCAACATCTTCACCATCGTCGTCCAGGCCGGGGTCATCATAAATCGATGTAACTGGATTACCTTTGCCTTTGGCTTTGATACTCTTCACCTTGACTTCCTCATGGAAACGGACTTTTGAAAATTGCGATTTTTGAGTCGGTTGTCCTACACGATTTGAAAATGCTTTGGGGGTTTTCATATTTGAAGGAGGGTCGAAGAAGTCATTGTAGTACAACTCTTGAACTCCCTGTAAGCTGCATGCACGTGTAGGGTGATGCAGAGATGGCTCACCCGCGTCGTTAGCTGCTTCGTCGTACATGTTGGCCGTCTCATCGAGAAATAGATCCACGTCGGAGTCGTCGGAGTCTTCTGAATTGCCTTCGTCCCCTAACCTTCCTCTTGTCACTTTGTGGGCTTCAGCTTCTTCCGTTTCGGCATTGAAAGACGCCAGGTGGAAAAAGCCATCGTCCAGATTTGATTGACTGCCTATCTTTTTAACTTGACGAGGCGAGGGCACTGGCGAAATGATATCAGGATGACTGTTGTTCAAGCCGTTTGCTTCGTGTTCGTCGTCACTAGAGTCATGAAGGTCAACAAATTCCTCCCGAGCTGCTGCTTGACCTGGATCTTCTTGTCCGCTAGAATCGTCATCGCTGGCACTAGAGTCCACTCCTTCATCCATGAAACCGTCTTCGAGAGCATCTAACTGAGAAGAAAGGCTGGAGGAATCAGTTCCCTCGGCCTTCGACATCGGCTCCTCTTCCAAAAGGCTGAGCATCTGACATATATGAGAGGCACGCAGGTCAAGTTGTGTCCATATCTGTTCCTCCGACATTCTATCCACATGCAAAGACGGTAGTGGCGTTTTTTGAAGTTGAATCTTGGGCCAAGCATCTGAAGGACTTGAACTTCGCTTGCGCTTGGCATTAGCGCGTGTTTGAGATCTGGTCTGGGGTGCGTGTGCAGGCGTAAGAGAGGATAACAGAGTGGTCAAGGGAGGAAGTGACAGATGTTCAGAGGAGATGGCTTCGCAGTGACTTGTGAGCATACGTATATTATTGGGAGCTGTATGAACGCACCTAGGTCAAACACGAATTTAGTAGCCTGAAGGGCAGCGCTTTGCCAGTCGCTACTTCCTTGTGCAAGGCACTCGGGAGCATCTTCCACACACGTTGACAAGTTTTGTAGCGATACCGGTAGCTCAACGTTAGCTTCAACGTCCATGTGGTGATGCAGAGATTCAAGAGCTTCACGCGCTAGAATTACGCGGATCGCTGGTCCCGGCGTGCCTTCGGAGGTATTACATAAAACTTGTCGCCGCCCGTACCGCAGGTAACTTAGTTTTTTACATTGATCATGTACTACGTACCATATATCCCAGCGCCGTCTACTTACAATCTTCCAGTGCACGCGACTGTAAGGTGCCAAAATGATATTAGTAGAGGGTACTATAAATCCTCCTCAATGCTCCTTGCAACTGAGTCCAAGCTTCGTCTGCATTAATATTGCTGATCAGTGGGTTGTAAGCTTGAGCATCTAGCGTCGGGGCATGTCCACCGATCAGAGCCGAACTGTACCGCAAGGACACTCTCGTCAGTTATTGCAAGCTAAAATATCTTGCGGTTTGGCAAATTTATAGAACGAATGGACGGACGATAATCCGAGCTCAGGTTGATAACACCAAATATCGAAGCCTAATGATAGTTTAAATGAAACCCCGATTCGATTCTCAAGATCTGCGATACCAAGTTGAACGCTTTACCCTGTTTGACACTTAGGTCTTTAGACTCTCTGACAAACGGACGAACTCGGCAACCCAGGTAAATATGTCGTCCTGTCAATTTTTTTTTTGCCTCAATCGTCCTGTCAATCGAACTCTGATGTTCTATCACCCCTGTTTCGGATGGGCTACAAGAAATTCATGTGTGACAAAGTTCTAGGTGCTGATCGATCTCCGACTGGTGCAACTTGCACACCCGGAGAACAATAATGCTCGAGGAATACAAGGCGTATTTGTCTCTCGTCAATCTGCATCGAACCATCGTTGCGAGGCTGGTGCTGAAGATACTTGTGTTCCATTTTCACTTCTTTATATGGCTTCGAAGTTTTGTTGTTCTCGTTTGACTCACACAATGTCCATTGTCTTCTAGGGCCGCATTCCCTCATACCCTCGCTTGCGGGAAGCACATAAAAGCATGTCTCGAGCGCACTTACTTTCCATCCCCCGCCTTCTGCATTGCTCTCTCTTTCAGGTGCAGAGCACCTCCCCAATCTCCGTAATCTGCCTGAGCTTGGCCTCGACATTCTTTACCATCTCTCGTTTATCACAGAGCTTGCTGGTCACCTCTGCCCTATCACTTCAAGAGCAGCATGTTAGCTAACCTCTCTAAAGCGACGACTCTCTATTTCACGCCAATCTTAATGTTGACGGCTCTTCTCCTCATCTTATTTGCCTACCTCTCTCCGGCTATTATGTTGCACAGTCAAGTTGCACTTTTATCTATCACTCCATCAATTGCATTGACGCAGCCTGGCTCAAGCCAGAGCATTGATGGACCAAGTATGCTGCTGGGGCCGCTCGGTGTGTTGCTTGTTTCGTTCACATGATGAAAACTAACCATTGAGTGCAAATAGGTTCTTGCATACGTGCGAGCAGTTCCGACGGGTTTACGTGTTCCACTCCTTCATTATCTCCTACCTATAGTACGAATGTTCCTTCTCGCTTCTTCATCATACTAATGCAGAAGCCCTAGACACATCTGTTTTCCCCAGCAACGCCCCAAGCGCGGTTGTCTCTGCGCCCCCTGCTACATCCGCGGCCTTCATCGCCATAGCTCTTGTGCTGACCGTGGTCTTTCTCATTACTTACACCGCTATATCTTTCCGGCACTTCATGGGCAATGCTGGTGCAGTATGGGATAAACCCCTTGTGCAGAGGGCATCCGCGTGGCTTGGCATCGTTTCGTTCCTCCTCGGTAAGGGTCTACATGGTAATGGATAAACTTTGGAACTGAGAGTCATCGTCCCTAGGTCTGACTTCATTCCTCGTCGTATTTATGTGGTTTGGCAAGGCAGCTGAAGATTTCAACTTGAGCATCCAAGGTCAAGGAACGAACGGCCCGCAGCTTCTTGCTTCTACAAGCAATGCTTTCACGAGTACGACTTTCCCTCCTAATCGCTGGAAAATATGTGCTAACATCAACACAGTGGTTTGGGTAGGATACGCCTTCTTTGCTATTCCTGTAATTGTGTCGTTGGCAAAAATGCACGTCCTTTCCACCAAGTAGACAAACTCGGGGATTCTTTGGGTTTCTCGGACAACTTTATTGGACAATATTGACTAGACATCATGTATAATTCCAGAACGTCAATTGCAACGCGTCACTACTGTAGCATATTTCAGACCACAATACCCATATATCAGTGTGCCAGATACTATTGACACGATACGAATATCGCTCAAGGTTTTGCATGGTCGACCACTACAGATCCTTTTAGCTATACAAACAACCATAAACTTACGTTGATACCTGCCCTATTGCGCTCTATAAGTACCAGGCTGTATCTGGGTACAGCATAGACTCTGCCTGCTTCTGAAGTTAGCACGTTATTATTCCGGCATTGTTTGAAGCGGCGCCCGGACATTTCCGTGAGGGCGATGAAAAATCTTCTGCATCTTAGTCGCTTCTCAATATGAACGCGATCGCCCCGATGAAAAGGACGACATATGAACTTTCAGCTGCAGGTAAGCTTCATAGTCAAACACCTTACCTACATGTCCCTCTTTTCGCCCAACATGATGAGCGTTGATGTATTCAACCACTACTGGCACCTCTTAGTCGACACGACGCTTGCTTTCAATGGCAAGCGTCTCTGACATGAACGACTTGCTGATTGTATCTTTCTTTATCAACATACTCGCCTTTTACTATCATCACGCTCAATTGTATCTTTTGCAGATCCGCACCTGTTAGCGTTTTCGGAGGTCTTCCGAATCGGTTGACATCAGTTTACCGAAGGTTGTGGTCCGACTCCCTACTGATAATGAGCTATTTCAGTTCTCCACTCATGACCATATGCTTCCATCGTTCTCGGCGTCGTTACTTGTTGTCTGTGAATAGTTTATGCTATCAATGCGAATTTCCCCCACCTCTACGGAAACTCTGACACGCGTGTGTCCCGTCCTTATCAACCTAACTCCTAAGCGTGGCTCCTCTCTGATCCCCCCTACTGTTCATCGTTCAAGATGGTTTTATGGACCGACCTTGCTGTTGACAAACGTCGTCGACAGTTGGATGCAATACCTAGGGCTTGGCTGATATCTCCGCCCTCTGGTATTCTAGATGTCACAGCCGTTCCTGAATCTTGTGGGCTGTTAAGTGATGAAGAAATCACCATTACGCGTTCCTCGGTTGATATCCTGTTGTCAAAACTTGCTCGAGGTGTATGGAGCTCTGTGCAGGTTACGACAGCATTCTACAAGCGAGCTGTCGTTGCACACCAATTGGCAGGTTGTTCTACTTTGTCATTTGCTCTCCTAACAGTGGTAACAGGTAAACTGTCTGACTGAAATTTTCGTCGAACGTGCTCTAGCCCATGCCGCCAAATTAGACGAGCATCTGAAGCGTACAGGTCAAGTCGTTGGTCCTTTGCACGGGCTTCCGATCTCGCTCAAGGATCAGCTATGTATTGAAGGCCTAGAAACAACAATGGGTCAGTTTATTGCCTCGCCAGAGCGAGTTTGTGCTCAAAGAACCTAGGCTATGTCTCATGGATAGGGAAGTATGCAGATAAGAATGCGGTGTTGGTTGACGTTTTGATCGAATGTGGGGCCGTTCCCTTCGTGCGGACAAATGTTCCACAGACGCTCATGGTAAGCGTTTTGTTTTGTTTCTGCGTTATCCTCAGTACATTTTCAGTGGCCTGAAACGTTCAACAACGTATTTGGTCGCACACTCAACCCTTATAGAACGTCCCACACCTCCGGAGGTTCTTCCGGGTGCGAGGGCGCTCTACTTGCCCTTCGAGGGAGTCCCTTAGGTGTTGGATCGGACGTTGGCGGGCATGTCCAATTTTCTTATCTTCCCTTTGGATAGCAGAAATATCAGCTGACTCGGAACCTATGTCTTCCAGTTCCGTGAGGATCCCGGCTGCATTCTGTGGCCTATTCGCCTTACGGCCTTCCTACGGACGTATACCCTATTGTGGAGCAGTGAACTCTCTTGAGGGCCAAGATTCGATTTTATCGGTGTTTGGCCCTATGACAGCTAGCATCAGTGGGCTGAAAGCCTTTGTCAGAGCTGTGGTTCACGCAAAGCCTTGGCTCAAGGACCCCTTAGCTATTCGAAAGAAGTGGGACGAAGAGGAATATATGTTGGTGGAACATGGGAACGGGAACGGGCTCTGCTTCGCTATCATGTGGGATGATGGTGTCGTGGTACCGCATCCTCCAGTCACTCGAGCCCTTCGAAAAGTCAAAGACGTCCTGGAAAAAGCGGGCCACAAAGGTAACGGAATGGAAGATCTATTGATGTCCCATATATCCCATATACTAAAATTTGCAACTAGTCATAGATTGGACTCCATTTAAACATAATGAACTCGGCAATCTCACAGTAAGTACTCCCAATTCTTGCTGGTATTTTCAAGAGTCATCGTTGCCCAGAGAGACATTTGGAATGCCGCATCGGCCGAAGACTACAAGGTGACTACAGCTAGCACAGGGGAACCTGTGATTCCAACAATGGAATTAGACGTGACGGGTCCCGCCACCATCGCCCCGTTCAGGCCGGCAAGGCCCGGCATTTCCGCATACCAGCTCTGGCAAGCACAAAAAACCAAACGCGACATTCGCAAGGAGTATTTGGATCGTTGGGATAGAACAAGTTCAGTCACGGACACAGGCCGGCCCGTCGATGCTATAATCGGCCCTGCGGCACCTTATGCCGCAGTGCCTCACGGGAAGAACAGGTAAGGGGTTCGTGCGGTCAGCGAAAGAGTGAAGACATTAGAATTCACCGAACAAATAAGGTACACAAACTACACCACTGTATGGAATGCACTGGACTACGTGTCCAGTATCTTCCCCGTCACTGCCGTCAACCCGGCGCTCGATTCCAAAAAAGGCCCACATATTTTTATCAGTGACTTTGACAGGGAGATCTACGAGCAATGTAAGTTGGACAACGTAATCTGTCCATGCGATTTTAACTTTCATTGTACAAAGACGATCCCGAAGTATTCAAGGGTCTTCCAGTTTGCTTACAACTTACCGGCAGAACCCTAGAGGAGGAAGCGGTTATTGCGATGACAGAGATCGTGGACATGGCGCTCGCAAAGCACGCAAAGAATGATGCCAAATTGTGATATATGCTCAGTCTTCCTCGCTATTAAAAAATTACAATTTCGCCTGTTCTTGAGCGCTTTCATTAACAAAAATACCAGCCGCTCCCATCCCACTCCCAACGCACATACTTGTACATAAAATGCTTCCGCTTGTTCTCCTCAGTTCCGCCAGACCGGTGACAACTTGCCGAATGCCAGCTAGATATTGTGTGTAAACGAAAGGCATGAACTGAGCGTTGAACTGTTCACGTACTCATTCCAAGAGGATGGGTCAGCGCAATAGCTCCACCGCTGTAAAAAGGTTGTTTAGTCGCAATTGCCGATGTTATTTGCTGGGACCCACTTTGGATTAACTTTCTCCATCGACAAACCGAGTTCTTCCACACAATACGCAAATTGAGAGGCGAAGGCCTCGTTGATCTGTTTAGAATGAACAGTTACTACATGGCTGGCGTGATACGCAATAAATACTTGCCTCGTAAACGTCGACATCATCAGAGCTGATGGAGTGCGTCTTCAGGATTCTTGGAACAGCTTCAATCGGCCCTAATCCCATGTGCCTAGGCTCAACTCCTGTACAGGAAACCAATTGAGCGGCCTACAACGGTGTAATAATGGAATCGATCACAGACCAACGATTGTTGTTCCGATGTATTTGGCGATGATCGGCATGTGGTCCTTTTCCGCTCTCGAACGAGTTGTCATAATGCACAGCGCTGCACCATCTCCAATCCCGCTTGCATTGCCGGCCGTCGTTGCTCCAGATCCCCAGTCAGGAAAGACAGGCTTGAGGGCAGAAAGTGACTCGACGGTTACGCCCGGACGGACTGTGTCGTCGACTGAGATCGTGGCGCCTCGGATCTCTACTGGTACAATCTCCTCAGAAAACCTTCCTGACTCCATAGCCTGTTCAGTGTAAACAAGGATAGTAGACTGCTATGATCAACAGGAGCTTACCTTGGTTGCCCTTGTGTGTGAAATAAGAGCATATTCATCCTGCTTTTGACGAGAGACGCTGTAATCTTGAGCAACCATTTCTGAAGTCCACCCCATAGGCTATTGATAGGTATTTCCATGAGTAAACTGTTGAAGAGTAAGTAAACCGAAGGTGTTTCAGGATCGCTTACCTGTATACAATCGTGTGCCTGAGTGTGTGTGTCTACAGACTCAGCAATAACCGGTGTCGGGCGAGGGCTACCCAGAAATTCAGCCAGTCGCAAAAGGCGCAGATGAAGTGCATGACACACTTGAGAGACATGTTCTCAACGCCTACGGCTATGCCGAGGGAGATCTCGCCACATTGAATAGACTGGGCAATAGAGCGGATAGCCATTAAACCGGAAGAACATAGTCGGTTGACAGTTGAAATTGGAACATCCTTTGGAATACCTGCAGCTAGCGCTGCTGCCCTGGAAGCATACATAGGAGACGGGGGATGGCACGTTCCTAAGGTGTGTGGTTGATATGGCTAACGAGTGAACGGGTTTCTAGAGTGGCTCACCAACACAAATGTCGCCGATTGTTTTCGGATCTAGACGTGTTTCCTGAAGAGAGGCCTTGTCGAGTATTGGTTAGGTTTTTGGCAGCGAGTGTGAAAGCTATCCCACCTTGAATAAAGCTTGCATCATCTCGTCGACGGGAATATCCTTGAATTGCCCCTTCCTATGCCTGCCCATCGCCGTTCGTTTCGCATAAGTTATTACCACGTCGTTGGGCTTTTTGTCGACAAGATGGGCGATTCCCCGACTGGAATGTGGATTTGCCATTGAAGCCTTTAAGTAAGTAAGATATGGGGTAGAAGGGAGGAACCTAAGGGACATGAAAACAGTATCACGGCGGGTGGTGGTGCTATGATGCCCTAGCTATTCCTTTACCGGTTCCCCAGATCTACTTAGCCGGTGTCCCACGTTCTTGACGTAATGACTCAAACAGGTACTTACTTAACGAACAAGTACGGATGGGCTTGGTTTGCAATTGGGCTTGGTTAACAATTGAATATATGAATATTGAAGCACTGTTTGCAAAGACATCCACAGGCAAACAATCATATGCAATAATCCTTAGCGTATATATGCATCAGGGAGGAATGCGAGTATTAGTAGGCCAAAACTAAACGTGTTCTTGGTAGCAATGCATGCCATAGTTGAAGTTCTAAGTATCAATGGGAACAAGTAATTAGCAAGACTCGGATGGAAGTGCATTTGTGATTCAGTGTATAAGACCTGTGAATGCTCTTTGCGCAGGTTGAAGTAATGGCGAAAAATGGCTGCTACAATCATGGTGTCCTCCTTTGTTTTGGCGCGTCGATCAAGCTCGGCTGCTGTGCTTCAGCCCATGACCCTCCGGCATCTGGAAATATCTCTTCATGACCGAGTCCATGTTCTACCGGCTTCTTGCTGTCTCGCCATTGCCTAGTGATGATAGACATGCAGTTGCCGCACATGTGATGCGCTAACTTGGCTTCTCCACACGCAGGACAGTTGACAATGTCTGCAAGGTTGATAATAAGTCGTCCGACACGGTTCTATCGTAGAGTGAGGAAAAGACGCACTATGTTTGTCCTTGAGACCCTTATTGGCACTGCGCATTCGTTTGCGTGAATGAGAAACCTTTTTTTTTGGCACGGCGAGGATGATCGGGGGAAGGAGGTCGAGCAGTGACTGCAGGGAGGGCATGGCCCAGTTGAACGGTTTAGCAGCAAGACCAAAGCCAGGCGCGAGTGCGGCAGCGGTAAGAGAGAACCACGGCGCTCTAAGGGCAAAGAAAGATCGATGGAAGACGGCGGCAGCCATGGTGTGTGCTTGCGGGTGGTTCGTTCCGGGTCTATTAGGAGGGGATTGTGCTCAGCAATGGATACTGTACTGAACGTCGAGGACCGCGGATTGAGCGTTAGAAGAATCAGAAAGTCCTGGCGCATTCGCGTCAGAGGTGATTGCCTTTTTGAGGACCCAGCTTGCCGCTCTTTTCCGGTCTGCTGCGTGCTTTACTCTACGGGATCTGGAACGCGCTAGGCAGCAGTCACAACCAACGACCGTAGTCATGTTCAGACTCACCCGCCCACTCTTTCAAGTAGCCCGGAAGACAACAACGGGCATCACCGGACTTGCCGTTCATCCCAATCCTCTACCCGAACTGAGGACGACATATGAATCCACACTTTCTGTCCTCGCCTCCATTCCGGCCACATCCGTCTACAGGCAAGGAGTCGAGGCGCTCACGAAACACAAACTCTCTATCGTACAAAATGCCGAGGACGACATAAGCGCGGCCGAGAAACAGCTTGATGAGGGACAGGTTGAAGAGTCCATAAATATTGCCAAGGATGAGCTCACGCTTGCCCAAAACATGCTCGAGTGGAAAGCGTATGTACTATGGCTACTTCGTTGCGAGGAACTGTTGGCTAATTGTTATCTAGTTGGGAACAACTGGAGGAAACTCCAGAGCCAGGACAGTGGGATTATTTCGGCAACATAGCTAAGAGCACTACTATATCCTCATAATTCGTTCATTGTTTGTCCTACCACTGGTAGCGAACTCGCTTTAAGCAGCATGCAGCTTTGTCAGTTAGACTCTAGCTGACTCTGGCATCAGCTTTTTCTATGTCGCGTTTTCACCATACGAACGAACTCCCCAGTACCCCTCAATCAATAGACATCTGGTGATACTTCAGGCAGGAATGTACAACTGCGTGGTATTTTACATAACATCCTACAAGCTACGAAAGGAGCAAGCGGACCTGGTTCGCGTCCCATGGCTCCCCTTTGCCCTGAGGAAGTTCGCCCAGAAGAAGATTCATCTGAGGGGTCCTTGCAGAAGGATTAAACGTCTTTCAAGTTGTACTGGTAGTCTGTTATGACCAAAATAGACAACATCGAACGAACCAGCTGAACACCCTACCTGCCACACAGACACTAGTCTTGACCAACAATTTCGACGTCAAGACATGAGAATCCGGCAAAATAATACGAGCGAGCAGTGTACATTGAGAAGCACAATACGGGAAAGAACACAGGGGCTGAGCAAGGACAACACCGATGGTGCAGATGAACAATGTGAAGGAGATTTTTTGGTACGCAGTACAACCATGGCTCATGATCCTCGGCCTGCGACAACAGCTTATTATCCGAGACCGCACAGAATCACGTTCTTTTAGCCTACGAGAGAGACGGGAATGCCGTCTGATCGTCCATGTCGACAGAAGCTGCGACGCCGTTAGCACCTCCACGGCCCCTGCCTCCACGGCCGCGACCACCCCGCTCGCCACGGCCTCTGTCACCACCGCGCCCACGACCTCCGCGGGCCGGGCGCTCGAAACGTGCCTCAATCTCGATGAATACCTTCTCCTTCTTTTCCGCACGGGGCTTGGTGTTGGTCTTGGCCTGAGGATAGGTTCAGTCGTGCAATACGATAGCATGATAGAATTATTGGATGGCTTACTTTGGCAGCAAAGTATTCCTCTTCTTCGCCTTTCTTGATGAGAGACGCGCCTTCCCAAGCCTGATCCTCAACTTTGCGAGCCTCGAGCTTAGTGGGGACAGCAGAAGACTCCTTTCGTTGAGCCAAGTACTCTTCGAGGGTAAGGGTGTTGTCATCCTCCTCCTCGCGATCTCTTCTGCGGCTTTCAGGCTTGTCACCATCAACAGGGGCGGCTTCTTCGCCAGAAGGAGCGGGGGCACCCCAGTCACCGGCGGTGGCCTCGGCGCCCCAGTCATTGGTGGTAGTATTGGCTTCGTTTGCGGCATCACTTGCGGCAGCTTGCTCTGCTTTCAGCTCTGCGTTGCCCTCATCGCCACCCCATGATTGGTGAACCTTCTTGTCAGAATCGCTACAGCCCAATCAACATGACAAACTGATCAGGAAATCAAATAAGGAGACTTACGTTTTGCCAGTAGCAGAGTGCTTGTCAAATGTACGACCGCGGCCACGTGGGCCACCACGGCCCCTTCCCCTTCCCCGTCCGCGATCGCCATCATCTGAAGAATCACGATGAGATTTCAGGAAACAGTGGATGTATTGCGACTTACACTTTCTCCTGGTGCTCTCCGAGCCTACGGGGGGCTCCTCCTGGGCGGTGATCTCTTTCTGGGTGCCTGCATTTGCACCACCTCGCTGGTAGTAACGGCCTCCACGGGACGCAGGGCCCCCACGCCCGCGCTGATTTCCTCGAGATGGTGTGGAAGCAGCCGGAGCAGTGGAAGCTTGACCCTTTGGTGCGGGGGCGGGGGAACTCGACGCGTCCTCTGAGACGGATGGTCAGCATGGACAGGAGGGGGGTCAATATGAATGCTCACCGTCGAGGAGCGCGAAGGGATTCTTTGTGGCCACCGACATTGTGTTGGCGGGGCGTTGAGGACTGGTGGCAGAGATAAACGGGAGGAGTGTTCTGGGGTCCTGTCAAGCCACAGCTGTACAGTTTATTTCGGACGGCCGATATAGTCATTCGCTAGCTTCCCACACCCCTCTAACGCTTAACAATCACAGGTGAGTCTGTCATGGCAGGGATTCTGTTCCACTGATGTCTAACAGAGAGACTTTTTAGCCCCAACAAAGCATCTCGAGGAGGATCTGTCTGCCCCAGGGATGGGATGGGTCGATGAGCTTGGGATCGTCAGTGGGCTGGAGAGCAATTGGTTTTTTTGGATGGGACTTGGGTGCGGCATGTTTATTGGGTTGGCTGTTCTTGGCTTGTCTGTGAACACTGCCGCAATGTCTCGTCGCACATGCTTAATTTGTTTTTAATACACGTTTGTCGTCTGTTCTAACATCTTAGTTGCAAGTTTGAGGTTTTGAGGTGGTTTTGTTTTTGCAACCGAAAATCTGTAAGACACATGAATTCGGGTACGCCTGGAGTTTGTCCTCCGGACTGGCGGATGCCCGGACACTTCCGAGTTTTCTGATATTAGGCGAAATCGAGGCAAACGGTCCGGAGCTCGCGGTCAGGCCAGGGCCGCGATTCTCGTTTTGGCCCAAGTGTTTGTAACGCGTGTGGCTGGTCCGTCCAAGTCTGACTGCACCAGAGTACCACGGGCTCAGACTACATGGCACGCCGAATGGACATCGCCGCCCTCCTCTGCGATGACGGCGGCGGCGGCAGGCAGTCCTCGCCCTCAGCACCAGCAGCAACTTCTCCAGCATCCGGGGAGCCCGTTCACGATCCAGTCATCCTCGCCCCGCACCTCCTCCGGAACAAGCATCCTCCCCATCTCGAACGCGAGGATGCACTCCCCCTTACCCTCCAGCCTTCACACCCCGCCCGCCGCACCCCCCACTCCCCCACCAGGCAGCACCCCTCTGGCTCTTCTCAGCCCTTGGACTCGTCCTCCAGGACACTGGAACGGCCTCGCCACGTCGATGACCTTCTGCACCATCCGCAACACCACCAGTCGGCATCCCACTTACCCAGTCCAGCCGAGTTTCCCTCTGCCACTCACATGTATACCTCCCCACCTCCAGCTTCGCGCCCAGTCAAGCCACGCTCGTATATTGGTCTTGAGGCCCTGGTTCATGCTGCATCCGAAGAGCGCAGGCGGATTTCTGGTAGCACGCATGACTCGGCCAGTGATCGTGGCAGCCCTGTGGCTGACCGTGCTCTACCTCATAGAAGTCACCATGAGCATTATCAAGCTTCCACACTCAGTCCGGGTGCTACTTCATACCCTCCTTTTCCTCATCGGGTCGAGCATCCTCGCGTTCAAGATGTTGAAGAGCGACCGCACAAAAGACTTCGCCCTTCTCAGTCGCCTGACACATCTTCTAGGCAAGACTATTATACCGCCTCGCAGTTCCACCATGACCCTTCAGGCACGTTCACGCATTCACCTTCCGCCCTCGTAAATGACCCTAGGGCTGTTCCTGACCGATTGCTGGCAACACAAGCGCATACTCATGGGAAGCTTTCGGTAGGATTGACCTCTGTCTCTCACCATACCTCCAGCATCATGAATCATCAGTCTCCCATCATTCAAAGCCCGTACTCGCCTGAGCGTCGCGCTTTGCTGGATAGTCGTACTTCACCATTTCAAGCGCCACCTGTCCATACTTCATCTTTTCCTGAGTCTCCGGGACAGTATACGATGTACCAATCGACCATGCGTAATACTCCTCCCAACCGCTCTCCTGTGCATGTCCGACCGCTCTCCATAGAAAGGTCGATACATGGCTACACCAGTCCATTTTCACCTCATGACGTTCGCGCGCCTTCCCATCCTGCCTCTCCTACAACTCCCTCAGTATTTTCACAAGACATGTCGCGGCCTCCCATTTCGCAGGATACATCATCTTCTCAATTACGTCCATCTTCCAACTTACGTGCTTCGCACTCTCCCATTGTCCAACGGCCTTCTTCCGCAGAGAAGTCGGAAAAACCACGATCCCTCGGCAGCCAGCCTTCGTCGTACCGGCGGTCGTCACTCGCTGGTATCTTACAGCCCCCTGTTTCCCCTCCGACCCGGTTGACCCCATCCACGTCCTCGCCTCATGGTGCTGACGATGCTATTCATGATATTCATCGTGAGACTTCATTATCCGCTGTCAGACAGTTGCCACCCCTAGGTCAGAATATGAAGGCAATGGAGTCGAACAGGGACACAGCTTATTCGCAATATGACGATGTCATCTCGTCTGTTGCAATTGGGCGTCCGCCCAGTCGACATGAGTTGGAATTTCTTGTACGAGAGCCTCCTCATTCACTTGCTACTGCAGACCGCACTCCATCTTCGTTTGATCAACCCATGCCAGAATCCCCGAAGCCCTTGTCTGCTGACACCTCAGGGATGCTTAGGGAGACTCTAGATCACCAATTAAATTTCGAGGTCCCTGGTCCTCATCAGTCATCAGGGGTCGCTGAAAGAAGAGGGCACCCGTGGGATGTTACACATCAAACAGTCTCTGGTCACCACTCACAAATAGACGAAACTTCTAGTGGTCGCTTGAATCATTCTCAGCCCGACCAGTTACCCCATCTCGCGCTTACTCAAGTCGCCGCGACCCATGGCACCGGACTCAACATCCAACGTGACGTCGTCGGCCACGAACGGCTCAAGCCAAAGTCCCCAGAATTTTCGAAGCGAACTGAGAACGAAGTCGATGCCCACGAGTGGCTCCTATCCCATTATGCCGATGGAACATCCACGCCCGACCGTCACCCCAATCGTCCCACTGTCCCAGAGCACCCACAGCGACGTTCACCTTCGAACGGGTCGCAAGCTGCTAGCCGAGGGCTGGGCAATGCAAGACACGGAAAACAGAACAGGCTTCCTGCAACGCCAGTTACCACAGAAGCCGTTGATGTCCTCGAGCAGGAGCTGGAAATTGCCGCAGATGCAACGATCCCTCGCCGCAAGCTTTCACCGGACCTTTCGAAGGAGCACGGCTCTCAGGCTTTTCATGCCTCTCATGCACATGGCCAAGCGGCTCGCATGAAAAAGAGCAATTTGGGTCTCGCCGATGCCGATGTGGAGGATGAGCTTCTAAGTCTCGTGGATGACACTCCACTCGAACGTCGCAGACTAAGCAAGAGCAAGGTGCCAGAGCTTCTCTCTGGGGATACTCAAACCGCTCCTGGAGGCGACGTCGCAACTCCGAGCGTGGCACCACCCTCGCCTGATCCTTCCTTCCTTCGTATCACCACACCTCCGATAGAATTTGCGAACAAAGAGCCGAATATACAATCTATGCCGCCAACGAAAGTGAAGAGAACGGGTGAGAAGAGTACTGGTACTAAGAAAAGGAAAGAAACCAACGCCAAGGTGCTTGCTTTCTGTCAAGTGTGCACTGCAACATACTAACCTATTTCCGCGTCACCGCGTAGGTCTCACTCAAGCAGAAGGCGCCTCCAAAGTCCCGTCCTAAACCAAGCGGCAAAGGGAGAGTGAAATCTGCGCCAGATACAGCATCGGCGAAGGACTCGATCAAGCCTACATTAGTAGCTCAACTATCATCACGATCCCGTTCCGTGTCTATGATGCCTGGTGAGCTCCCTGATGAAAATGGGGAAGCCGCCCAAGATGACCCGGACGAGGACAAGTTATACTGCATATGCAAGACACATTATGATGAGGATCGTGTTATGATCGCGTGTGATAGATGCGACGAGTGGTATCATACGCAGTGCGTCAAGATGCCTGACCTAGAGGTTGACCTTGTCGACCAGTTCATTTGTCCTATTTGCATTGACAGTACGTGGTTATTCTTCAGAGAAAAGAGTCTTTCCTGATTGACATGAATAAATAACCAGAGTACCCAGATCTTCATCTGCGTACGACGTATAAACGTCGTTGTCAGAATGGTCTTCAACATCCTGATCCATCCTCACCCGATGCTTGCCACAAACCTTCACGCGGCGCATTCTCCAAATATTGCTCTGATGACTGTGGCGTTGAGTGCATGCAGGCACGCATGGCAGAATTGGACAAGACAGGTAGCAGGCTGGAGACGTTCTGGGAGACGGTCAAGAATGCCGAAAAACGCGAAGGCGTCGTCGTTTGCGCGTTCGATCGCAATTGTCAACAACCTTCTGTGAAGATGGAGGTCGACGACGACCAAAAGCAGCCCATCGTCCTAGTCCCTCCACGTCAACGGCGTGTTGAACGTAAAGTTGCAAAGCTGAATCAGCGGTTAACAGCAGTCGTCCGTGAACGTGATGCAATAAAGCAAGCCATGGATGTCATCCTTTGGAGAGAGAACATCGTTGAGCTAGCAAGCTCGCGCGCGGATCGTGTTGATCAGTGCGGTTGGGACCAGAGGCTTTGCTTTGGAGAGGAAGAGTGGGAAGACTTCGGCGCAGAGGTGTTGGAGAGTTATGAGGAAAGGGATCATAGCGGAGAACATGAGACCCAGGTAGATTCAGGCTCATCCAGCCATGGCGAATGGTGGTGCACGGGCAGGAAGAAATGTGATAGGCATTCCGGGTAAGCCATGATTTGATGGCACTGTTTTCAAACATTAACCGTTCGCCAGATGGCAAAAGCTTCGTGCGGGGGAAGTTGCTTTCGACAAGGAGACCAAAGAAAGCGCCCTCTCGAACCTGACGACTCGCGAACGGGAGATTCGCAAAGCCATTGAAGACATCCTAGACCCACAAGCTAGAAAGATTGACCAGTCGGTGCTCACCAAGCCCTCACACAGTACCATGAACTTGCACGCCGATGGCGACACACAAGTCAAGGGCAAGAAGAAGAAGACCTAACTTAGCTGAACGTACTGCTGCTTGTGACAGCGTATGCTTATAATACTGTAGCACGCCTTACCGAAGTAATGGTTTTTAATCGCATTTTACCTGATCATTCAAAATACGAATGGAGTGACCTGCATAGATCTGTGAGCTTGCAGCTTTGAGGGAAACAAATACGCTCTGCGGATATGCTACATCAATAGCCATCTCCTTCCCCCCCTTCCTTACAAAAGCCCCTTTGCTCGTACAATATTTTGGCTTTAGCCTCGTCATGAAGCTTCTTCTGAGCTATGTCATTCCTATGGTACGGGTCAAGTACTTGATAATCCACTTGTCTCAACGGAACGTCGTCTTCTTGATCCAAATCCTGGAGCACAGAAATTATGAACTGAGATCAAGACATGACCAGGACACTTACAACTTCTCCTAGCAGAACAACATTTTCCCCGCGAATCAAGAACAGGCCATGCCAATGCTCCGCGAAAGCATTGCCATGATATATTCGCTCGACAGTATCCTCAAGCACTAAGTTGGCTGGAGGTTTAGTGAGACAATGTTTAACGGCGACTTTGAGCAAGCAAGATGTACCAAACTGATCATAAGAACGAAGGACCCCATGTAGTTTTCGACCATCGCGAAGAATGACGAGCATCTTTCCTGGTCGAGAGGACACACGATGAGGGTCGGTTGGGGATAGACAAGAATCATGGTGTGTTTCGTTCAGGTGGGACGGCTGGAAGCTGAGCAGACTGGGTAGACGTACTGTCCACGCAATCCACAAGTGATCCGGACGTTGTGAATGGTATTAACGAGTCCATGGCCAAGCAGCTATGGTTGACCGCCCAAAAGCTAGAATGAAGCTTAATGAAGCGCTGACAGGAAGTTTGAAAAGGATCGCGACAGGGTTCAGCAGAGGAAATCTTGACAAAGATCCTAATAACATTATATCTCTCATCGAAGCCATTCAACCTCGAGCTGATATGGCCGAGTCGTTAAGGCGAGTGATTTGAATTACTCATCATCACTTGGGCATTGCCCGCGTAGGTTCAAATCCTGCTGTCAGCGAATTTTTATTTCGTTCGCTTTATTCTGTCACTGTCAATGACTACGCCTCTCACTTACCATGCAGTGTTACATGACGTTGAAACGTTGATAAGCAACCATGATACAGAAAGTTTACATCGCAAGGCATGGTACGATGACTTCGTGTTAACACTAGTATCTTTTACACAGACATCCTCTTTCACTTCTAGGATTCCGCTTGAACTGGGTAGATAGCAAGTGGTATGTCCCACACCTCTCGAAGGTACCTAACCACCGTGACCGATACTCAAAACTCGGGACCCGATGGCAGGAAAAGTGCAACTGGATTGCCCCGAGACCCACCTCTGGCAGCATACGGAGAGGTACATATACAATCCATTACCCGAGGGTGGACCAATACATATACTCGGGACACTTCTCATTTTCCAGACTCAGGCCACTGAACTTGCCAACTGGTTCATGAACCTCCCGGCGCATGAAAGGCCCACGGCTATATTCTCTTCCCCATATTGTCAGCCAAGTTGTTTTAAATCTGGCTGGTTCCAATTAAACTCTCATTTCATCTAGATCGGTGCCTTCAGACCGCCCGACCGACTTCACGAGCACTTCAGGTCCCGATATATGTTGAGCATGGTGGGATTGTCCTTTAGGCCGTTTCGGTCCTTGCTGACCCTTGCGCTCTCGTCCTTGTGCTCTGTAGGTATTTCTGAGTGGTATTCTCCTGCGGCGCCAGGTACAGGCTTGCATCCTCGCCCCTTTCCCGCCTCAGAGCTTAAGCAGTATTTCTCGGAGATCGATCCGTCGTGGTCCTCCGTTTGGTACCCCTCTCGAAAAGGCGAGAGTGTATTCGAAATTCTCGATCGGGTCGAGGGTACCTTGAATATCCTCGTGCCTGAAATTGAGCAAAGGTTCGGGGACAAGCATACCCACATCCTGATGGTCGGCCATGCGGCGACCGTTATCGCACTTGCTAGAGGCCTATTGGGAGACAGGTCTTTATCGCTTAGAGTGGGTTGTTGCTCTCTTACGGAAATTGTGCGTAAGGCGGACTCCTCCAATGTAATTGGCGGTTGGGAGGCCAAATTACTGGCATCCGGCCATCATCTGGCCCAAGGAGCCTCCCGTGATTGGGGCTTTGAGGACATCGAAGTCTCAAATGGAAAGGTAAGTGCATCGTCAAACGTCAAATGTACCTCACTCAACGTTCTAGGTTGTGGATGATGTTGGGATGGCTGGAACAGAAGATGAAGTTGACGACACATCGGGTCCACAGACTCAGAAAAGCAGTCTCTAGTACGCTGAGTTAATGCGCAGTTCTACTTCCGAGATTTTCGGACAAATGACATTGGTCGAATAAAATTGTAGTAAAATAACAAAGCTGTTCACATCTTACAACGTTACAAATGCACTTGCATAACTCACACTCGAGTCTCTAAGCGTAAAGCATTTGCTGCTTTGCTCATAACGGACCCACTGCATCCTAGAGTGCGCGCCATGAGATTCTAAGTACGTGAGCGCACCCAGAAGAACTCCAATGGGATGACGACCGCAGATGGTATTCTTGGTTCGCTTGAGGTAACTGGTGAATTGTTCGTGGACTTCACTAGCACTGGTGTTCCCAGAAAGAGTTAGAATTTCCATGGCTTCATGGTCGAGTTCATAAATAGATTGGTGGATCGGTCTATCAGCTGATGGGGATGGTCCATTGGTCGAAAGATGTGCCAATGTGCCCGTTGGTGGGGATTCCGGATAATAAGTAGTGTATCTAAAGCGAACGCCCCTGCAAATGCAGTCAGCATGATGCGCAACGTGGAAAAGCATTGGGTTACCAATGACAGAAGTCGCTAGAAATCACAACGAAAGTGTCTTCGGATGCTAGTTCAGCAGCCAAGATAGCACCATAATCTTCTTCTTGTTTCTTGTTGATAGCTCCTACAAGAATAGGGACGATGGTAGTTTCAGAGCTGCTAACACTTAGAAGCCGGTACTCAAGCAATCAAGTGACTTACTCGTTAAATATTTTACGCACGTAAGGTAAATGCATTTCGATTGAGTGTTCTTCCTGGTCTTGTTCAATGGTCATCTCCGTGAATTTACCCGTTTGATATAATTTATTGATGGCTAGGACCAAGTAAGTGACGGGATAATGGTACGCGATGCAATGCTCACTGTCGCGATTCAAAGGGAGATCCCCAACGGGAGTTTCGTATCTCCGACATTTGGAAAGAGCACAACCGTCAAGGTAGACGTGATGTGATGGTCCCAGAATAAAGACACGTTTTCTATCATCATTAGATAGCAACCGAATCAAATTGAGATGTTCCTACATTCCAATTGTGCATATACTCTTATAAGCCCACGCAGCAGCTGGACCCGAATATGAATATCCAGCGTGCCTTGAAGGCAGCTCAACAAGGATACGCGCAGCGTACAAATACTACCCACGGTGCGATGATAGCTTTGCAGCCAGATATCGGAGGACTGAAATCATCGCCTTTCTGAGAATCGACGGCTTGGAGCCACTGTGTGAGCTCAGAATCGAGCTGCCTTTCTAGAATACTGTGAGTCTCATTGGCAAACGAGCGTTTGAGGATTGTACCATCATCGCTATACCAAGAACCAGCGTGATATGCTTGCCTGCGACCTTCGTGAGTGGTTGAAACCAAGCTGGCTGACTGTCCCTCACCTTGTCGCCATCTCGCTCGATCTAGGTTAGAGCCAAGTGATGGTCTGACTTAATGCCCGAGGTATGAGACTGACACTGCTAGTAGCCCCCTGTAGCCCCGTTATGGTAATCACGCTATCACTGGCTGCCCAAGATTTCGTCTCCTGTGTGCATGGATGGCATGTCGATTATCCCAGCATATCATGGATACATGCGAAAAGGCAAATGGAAAGAAACGACTGCTACATAATCTACTCCTCTGACCGTAGGCGTGCAGCTGAGTTCGTCACTTTGACACCCAATGCCTTTGCTCTGAGCATAGGATTAGCACGAAGTCATTGAAAGTGAAGGCCAGACGCACCTTTCCAGAATCAAAGCCCGATTACGGCTGCTGACGTTGTGGGCGATTTCTGCGGCAAAGCTTTTGTTGTGCATGAGAAGAAGGTCAACATCCTTCAAGTTGTTAACGACGAATTTCTTGTAGCCGTTAGGCATGAGGTGACGAGTCTAAAACGCATAAGCCCTGAAGTTTCAACACCGAAGGATAAAACAGGACCTCACCTTTTTGTTGCTCCCGTAACCAATCTTTGGCATAGGAAGCTGACCCTTGAACCGACGCCTCACCCGGTTGTCAATACCCTTAGGCTTCCGCCATGCTTCTTTGACGCTGTGGTACCGATCGGACTGGTGGCGCCTGTGGGGGAATGTCAGCGTTGCTGCACGGTAAGCAGTCCACCTTGAACACACTTAAAGGGCTTGGTGCGTTTCTTGACGATGGGGATCTTGACGGCCATGGCGGACTGGGAGGGAAAGCGTCATATTAGTATTAGTTACAAAGGTGCATCCGAATCAACGTGATGTCCATCCAGCCAATTCCAAGCCCAGAAGGCATCAAAGTATCCACAGACAATCGCAAAGGGCGACATGGATTCGATGGACAAACAAATTGACATGTACACTCACGATTTTGGGCTTGAGGACGGCGGCTCTGGCGTTGACCAACGACTTGAGATCGGTTCAGTGAATAGCCAAACACACGTAAATATCCGGAACGCGTGCTCCGCACGGGGCCTCTATCGAAGTCATGACTTCTTCAGGGGGGTTTTCCTTTTCCGACTTTCATTCACCTGATGCGAAACCCGCGAAGATATTCACCTGGTCATGGAATATTGAAGCGTGAAGCACTTAACAAGATCTTTGATTCTATACTGTGTATGGCGAGTCATCCTAGGCCTTGGGGGTGGGTATCTAATAAGTATGTCAGCCAGTTGGGAAGATTTTCCCCGATATCGTGTTCAGGCACCCTTCCTAACATTGAAGTATTGAACACCATTGGAGGGGATCTCAGCCCGCCTTCTCCTCTCCACTTGAATAGCTACTTGACAGTTGACACAGCACACTCGGAATATTGTATTTCGGTTTTATGCGAGCAAGAAAATACCGTTGAACTGTTTGGTTCAGGCACCCAAAGCCTGTGATCAGTTACTTAATTGGGCTGTGCGTTATTAACCAGTATTGCTACTCCCTCTGTTGAGTGGTGCAGTATTGAAAGACAGAGTCTCCCAATCCCATAGGCTGCTACCGTATCTTCCCCTCTGTCTACAGATCTTATACGCCTGTCATGTTTGCGGAAAATACCGTGGATATTGCTTCGACGTACGACGATGAGAATTGGCTTGCTCCCCCGAAGCCACCCCTACTCTATCGTGCTGCTAGCGTGGGCAACAGCTGGGGAGTCACGTCGATAGGTCGTGGATTTGACTGGTCTGCTGGAGACCAGGAAATGGCAACCTCCTTTGATTCCGAGTCAATTGGTGAGCTACAGCTTGAGTCATGGGGACCACCACGTTCAGTCGAATGGCTCACACTTATCAGGCTCCGCGAGCTGTCCTTGCGCCGTAACTCCTGTTTCAAGACAATCTCCTTCTCGCCCAGTGCTAGCACAGTTTACCTCAGAACCTTTCTCGATATCACCTTCTACGTCTCAATCAGACATATTGTCGCCACAAACCCACAAACCCCGATCGCCATTGTCTCCCAATCCATCTCGCCAGCCTTCCCCGATCAGGACTCATGCTATTGAGCATCGTCCTTCGCTATCGCGCTCTCCAACTGCACCTCGTCCTCGTCGGCGATCTTCTCAACAACGTGTCTCCCTGATAGCGGGTCGAGTAATGATTGCACCCGTTGAACCTCCATCTCCACCACCCACCATGGCACAGGTCTTGCAGCGTGTCTCTAGCTCAGGTAGCGTAATATCGATGGCTGCGAGTACAGATCCGCCAACACCCTTACCCGAAAATCAGTCTTTTCTTGGTGACAAGAACATCACAGATTTTCTCATTGAGGCAGAAATCGGGCGCGGTGCATACGGCCTCGTGAAACGTGCCAGAAGGATAAACGCTGATGGGTCCCATGGGGTCAGTTTCACAGTTGGACATGTTCACCTCGCAGCTGACGATATCAATAGCCTCCCCTTGTCATAAAACAAGTTATAAAGTCCAGGATTCTGGCCGACTGCTGGAAACGACACCCCAAGTTTGGCACCATACCTATTGAGATATACGTGATGTCAGCGATATCTTCAACCTCCTATTCGTTGCCCCCCAAACGCCCATGGGACCCCTCTCGAAAGTGCAACGTACTTGTGTCAGAGGGCTCGTTGGAAAGTTCTCCGACACCGTCCACCGATGAATGGCAAGCCGGTAAAGTCGTCAAAGGACATCCAAATATTTGCCCGCTGCTTGAATTCTTTGAAGACAATCACTACTACTACCTCGTTCTGCCTTCTTCAACACCAGACCATCAGCCCGACAAGCCAACCCCTCCTTCCGACCTATTTGACCTCGTTGAAGCCTACCCTACGGGACTTCCACCATGCTCTGTACGAAGCTATCTCGGACAGCTTAGTGATGCTCTATGCTTCCTACATTCGCGCGGTATAGGTAACCAGTAAACAGACGGACACGTTTGTGTAATGCGCTGACTGTCGCCTATAGTTCATCGCGATGTCAAAGATGAGAACGTCGTTCTTGGACCAAATGGTAAATGTATCCTCATCGACTTTGGGAGTTCTGGTTTGGTCAAGAAAAGTGGGTGGGATACTTTCAGTGGAACGTGAGTGGATCCAGCCCCAATGTCCTCAGTATCTCAAAAAGCCCAGTTTGGACTATGCTGGCCCGGAAATCCTCCGTGGTGAGCGATATTATGGCAAAGAGCAAGATGTCTGGGCCTTTGGCGTCGTTGCCTACGTGCTCCTCGTCGGCGAATGCCCCTTCACCACTGCCGCTGAAGCGCAAGATGGCCTGGATTCCCCATTTGCCAACGCATCGATCGCTCTCGACGAGCGTTGTGGAGACGATAAGGAGACTGAAGGAGAAGAAGCTGACGGCGGCGGTGCTCTAGGCGATGCTGCTGCGCTTGTCAAGACGTGTCTTCAGGTGGACGTCGCCACTCGTCCTACATTCGAGGACATTCTACAGTGTCGATTCTTGGCCGGCGGAAGTGGCTGGGGTTTGAATACGCCATTCGGCAAAACGAGCCAAGCTCGGGCTCCCTCCCATTTAAGCGCTTTCCCTTCCCGAATGAATTGATTCATTGCTTAAATGGCATTGCGTTGATCATGGCTATGAGAATGTCCGAATCTGCAGCATTACCTTACTGCCCCGCTGTCACTCTAACAAGCTCAAGTACTAGTGTCATCAACTTTGCCCCCTTGTTTCATAGTAGTTACCGTTGTGCTCGATGTAGGTGAAATCGGAAGGACTATCTTCCGTACTAAGTAAAGGTCTGCCTACGGGAGACTAGGTAAAACCTCATAATCGCATGAACGACCAGACACGGTATTTCGGATTTGTCGTCTTGTATGGTTAGAGATGCGCGCTGAAGTAGGCTGAAGTTAGCCCAGGCTGGTACAATTGTTTGGAACATTGTAAAGACTATTGGTCCATGGCATTTCTGATCCCTGTGACAAGCCCTGTGAGCTCGTAAGCCAGTGCCTAACGCAACGGGTAACTTATCAAATGTAAATCCGTAGGTTGCAAGAGATCCCCGATATAACCAGTTTCCAGATCGATACTCCCGTCGATACATGATAAACGATTCGTTGACGCAGAACTGCCAACTCAGATGACAGCCCTTCGTGAGGTTTGTGCTGCACCGGGCTGCCCTATCGCCGAGATAGGCAGGATCCAAGCAGCGCAAGAATCCACAAAAGGGATCCGTCCAGTGCTTGAGCTGGATTTGACAATGATCTGACTCGCTCCTCCGCACGCTACTGCAGCCAACTGTCCTTGTAATGATCAACTGACATGCCATGCGTTGTTGTTGTTATCTTTCATCTGTAACACGGTAGCCACATCGACAGGACATGATCAAGGCGATGAGGATACTGGATTAGCGCTCCTTGTTTTTGACAGATACCTGGATTAAAACTCTGTTTTCACCCGGGAGTACAACTATGTTTCGGAAAGCTTAGCGCTCATAATAAACTAGAATAAAATAAGTAGACTCCCAGGGACATCCATCAATGTAGCACCAGAGGCAAAACAGGCGCCAATTGAATTGCGATTGGTGGTTGAGGGAAGGAAAGACTGAGGTGCTGTACAGATAACTCGGCACGATCCGGCCGGTGCCGGTGGCGGACTAATCAGTGATCAGATCGATAAAAAATTTCATTTGGAAAGGTATATCTATCCTCAAGCCCCTGCCCACACCTCTCTTTCGTACCCCCACATCCCTCCCCTCTCTTCCGTTTTTTTCTCTCGTTTCTCTGTACTCTAAGTGAGTATCTCATCCTCCCTTGAATACCTGATTACCCTGCATGTTTTCTCGTTGTTCGTGGCGGTTCCCGCCGTTATCAGCCGGGTTATCGCTGCCCTTTCCTTCAATTCGATTTCACTGATGGAACAGTCACTGATTAGTTTTTGCAACAGAACCACACAAAATGGGAAAGGAGAAGACCCACGTTAACGTTGTCGGTTCGTTGTTAGCCTAGATCTCCGCGATCTGCTCAACTGATTTGCATCGCTTTTGAACTAGTCATCGGCCACGTCGATTCCGGCAAGTCTACCACCACTGGTCACTTGATCTACAAGTGCGGTGGTATCGACAAGCGTACCATCGAGAAGTTCGAAAAGGAAGCTGCTGAGCTCGGCAAAGGTTCCTTCAAGTACGGTATGTACTCGTTCTGCAATGTATTCTGTTCTTGTTCTAAACGTAACTCAAGCTTGGGTGCTCGACAAACTGAAGGCCGAGCGTGAGCGTGGTATCACCATTGATATCGCTCTTTGGAAGTTCGAGACTCCCAAGTACATGGTCACCGTATGTATTTCAGGGTTTCGTCACCTCTCGGGGCTTAGCCACGATTACAGGTCATCGATGCCCCAGGACACCGTGACTTCATCAAAAACATGATCACTGGTACTTCCCAGGCTGATTGCGCCATCCTCATCATCGCCGGTGGTACCGGTGAGTTCGAGGCTGGTATTTCCAAGGATGGTCAGACTCGCGAGCACGCCCTCTTGGCCTTCACTCTTGGTGTTCGTCAGCTCATCGTCGCCGTCAACAAGATGGACACTACCAAGGTACGCACTATCGCAGTCCTCTCATGGCTTCAACTTACATTTTACTAGTGGAGCGAAGACCGTTTCAACGAAATCATCAAGGAGACTTCGACCTTCATCAAGAAGGTCGGCTACAACCCCAAGGCTGTCGCATTCGTTCCTATCTCTGGCTGGCACGGTGACAACATGTTGGAGGAGTCCGCCAAGTCCGTCCCAACATTCTGATTTGCGGTCGATAACTCACGATTTTCGCTTTCGCAGCATGCCTTGGTACAAGGGTTGGACTAAGGAGAACAAGTCTGGCACAGTCAAGGGCAAGACTCTCTTGGACGCCATCGACGCCATTGAGCCCCCTGTCCGCCCCTCCGACAAACCTCTCCGCCTTCCTCTCCAGGATGTCTACAAGATTGGCGGTATCGGCACGGTGCCCGTCGGTCGTGTTGAGACTGGTGTCATCAAGGCTGGTATGGTCGTCAGCTTCGCTCCTTCGAACGTGACTACCGAAGTCAAGTCGGTCGAAATGCACCACGAGCAGCTCGTTGAGGGTTTACCTGGAGACAACGTTGGCTTCAACGTGAAGTAAGTGTCTCAAGTTTGTTGTCGTATGTCACTCATCATCTATCCATAAAGGAACGTGTCTGTCAAGGACATTCGTCGTGGTAACGTTGCGTCTGACTCCAAGAACGACCCCGCCAAGGAGGCCGCTTCGTTCAACGCTCAGGTCATCGTCCTCAACCACCCTGGTCAGATCGGTGCAGGTTACGCCCCTGTGCTTGACTGCCACACTGCCCACATTGCCTGCAAGTTCTCTGAGCTTATCGAGAAGATCGACCGTCGGAGTGGCAAATCTCTCGAGGCGTCTCCCAAGTTCGTCAAGTCCGGTGATGCTTGCATCGTCAAGCTTGTTCCCTCGAAGCCGATGTGCGTTGAGAGCTATAACGAGTACCCGCCTCTTGGTCGCTTCGCTGTCCGTGACATGAGACAGACGGTTGCTGTCGGTGTCATCAAGTCCGTCGACAAGACTGAAAAGACCGGTGGCAAGGGTGAGCGCCATTCATACAGTCACTCGGCCCCTCTAATCGCCGTTTATAGTCACGAAGTCCGCCGAGAAGGCCGCCAAGAAGAAGTAAATAGATGTAGAAGTACTGTATTCTTCTTTCTTTGGTTTTTTTGCTATCTCTTCATCGCCTTCATACCTGCAACGTGTGTTGTCTTCCCCACGCAAATCTTGTATGCACTGTAACGAATTGCACGCAAGGAGTTGGTCGAGTCCAACTTCTGTACGCTTACTACACTGGAAGGTGCTCGTCAAGAACATGTGCATATTTCCTTTGTATTATAAATGTCGCATTGTAGTTGGCTTGTGTAAGCATATGATTTGATCTAACTAGCCACGCAACATTTGAGATCTGAGACCCCCTGCATGTGACAGAGTTCAGGTTTATATCCTACACTTCAAAACCATTATACATGCACCAAGCATACACGTCAGGGGCTTGGTGTAGTTGTGAGTGCTGTATCTGACTGCAGTAAATTGCCGAGAGGGGCAGCTATGAGTGGTAGGAGTGATCACACTCGTTGCAAGCGCTCGCGAGTCCGATCGAAGAATATCCAACTCTGCGTCACGACAAGCATAAGAGAAACGAGCAGAGAAGCACAGAAAACGGCCCAGAGCGAGCAAGCGAAACAGGGCGATAAAAGCTTCAGCCTTGGGTTGTTGAACTTCGCAAAATCGGACGCAATGAGTAGGAAAATCCCGTTGCAGCCCCGTAGAGGTATCGTCGAGTACATCGAGGCATATACTGCGTTAAAAAAAGCATCGGGATCGTCCACTGCGGAGCATTATGACTAACAAAGCAGAATATCGACCCTTGAGCGCACCAAATGGGCTACGGCTTGTACATGCATGCGTGCTACTTATACACCTTAGAAACAACAAAGAAGAACAGGATAACACCGATATAATTCCCTTCAGGGATGGGTTAGTTTCTCAGCAAACGTGTTCTGCAACTTTCCCGGAAGCAATTCGAGGACCCAAGTCCCTTCCAACGGTGCGTTCAAACACCTCCATCAAGAATGTGAACATAGACCTTGTAAGTGCCGCATCCCATCGACCCTTTGACGACTCGTCGCGGATAAAGGCATGTTGGGCCTGAACTTCCAGCCACTAGAGAGGACATATTAAGACGAGACAGCACTAGTCGGGTCACGAATTGCTTACCGAGAACGTCACATTAGCGTCCTCCATCGTTGAGCGTATAAGATCTCGTCCAGCTCGAGGAACGTGTGTGTCCTGATACGAGATGAATCATGCACAAGTGACAGCAAGTGCGTTGACGTACTTGTTTGCCAAAGATCATCTAGAATAACCATCAATCGCTTAATGAACGATTTGACAGGGACATCTCGACCGACGCACCACTAGTTCACCGTTATCCGTCAATTCACCTTTGCGGACACGAGCGAGTGTATCATCCTGTTTTCCCTTTCCTAACGTTGCACTGTGGATATCGGTGCCAAAGAAGCAAACCGACGAAAGAACCCGAGGATCAAAAGTGGCCTAGTTACATTAGACCACAATCTCAGGAGATGCACCCGGAGCATTGATCTCACCCGGAATGCCTGTTCAAAAATCAACTCAACCCAGCATCGACGATTGTGGCTTAGAACCTGCTTACCAGATGCCCACCGAGACACATTCCTGTCGCTGGAAAGACGTTGGCGACCGCACCAATAATGATTGAACCAGTAAACACTCCTTACCCGCAATTCGCCCGTTGCAGTTGGGGTGAGAAACGAGGAGGTCGATGGCTAGAGTTGCATCCTACAAGCAAAGTATGTGTATTAGAATGGTGAGGCAATGTTCTAATCGGTATTTAACCTCGTCGAAAGCCGCGATTGTTTTCTGTATCTGTATCTTCCGGTCAGCATGGGCTGCTTCAACACAATATCTGTGTGATGTCACCTTGTAATCATTGCCTTTGTCGGTACCTATGCACTTATCAGCCTTAATGAGGTGAAGCTGGCAGCACACCACTTACCTTCCGTGTCGTACGATAGCGGTTCAGGCCCTGCAAACTCGTGATAGGATGATGGGCAGGCTTTGCAGTACGTCAGCGGATATTTGCTTTGGGTAAACCTTGTTTAATAATGGATGACAGACCGACAACGTAGCCGTGGCTCGCAATTTGGCCAGCGAAACGTTCGACTGGACCGGTGACTTGATAGATTTCACTTCAAGGAGTCTAGAGTGAGGTTTCGTCGATCTATCGGTACGTTGATCAAACCTAAAGCAAACGACACCTAGACGATAGTGTCAACATCGGGGGATAAAGTACACATATGTATGCAGGCAGATTCTACCTGGGAACTTGGCTTGAGGGTAGTCCGGCAAGACAGGGGCTATGACGTATACTCTCATGGGACGACCATTATCGAGTTTGGTCGGAAGATCATGGAGTGTTTTACTGACGAGCATGATGAAGATGTGGGATCACTATGTGATGGGTGCTGTCAGAGTGCTGATCAGTGATAACGTACCGATATAAGCTGGCGTTATATATATTCTGCTGGAGGAACTTCCCAAGCGAGAGAACACTGGAATCACCTGTCTTCTGAAGGAACTCCGCTATGGGCTGAGATGCCTTTCTCCGTCCCGAGAATATTACGGAGGATAATCTCATCGGCCGGGTCTTTATTGAGGCATAGAAGTTTCTAATGGGCATCGTATACGTACTAGGGGCATACTTGTGGGATGTATGTGCGCGATAGCACGGGTTCATAGTAGGGGCACGCAGACGATTCGGTTGGTATAGATGGTTGTGCAGTACCCGAAGAACCCGTGGTCGTGCGGCCCCATCTGTGTAAGTCGGCCGTATACCTTGCGTTCAAAGCTTCTGATTGTCCTGACCCTCCATTTCACCCACCTCTTCTCCTTCCCAGTACCTTTACACCCAGTACATCCCCGCGCAAATGTAAGCGCCTACCACCAGAGCACGTGCACTCTGATGCACAAACGTGCGTCCTGCCGTTTTATGCATACCTGCTTTGGTCCTACCAGCGGGATCATGATGCTTGCTCAACCTGTTGCTAAACCTCCCCCTTCCTTCCCCAACTGCCCAGGATGCGCGATGCCTCCCTCAGAATCCGGCCCTACATAACCTCGGACGAGAAAGCTGTAAGGTTGTTTATTGGTAGAGCCCTCATGGAAGGTCTCGCTGAGGCTAATAGGCGATGTAATATATTGTTTCAATCGCAATCCGCACCCTGAGTTACTGAACCATATTGCTTTAGCTGCTTTCCATCCTATCACGTTGGCGTTGTGGCTTGCTTTGTCGGCTATAATGACTCAATCATTGGGATGGGGGCCAAAACCCGAGTTCGGCTGGGCAGGCTATTTGCTTCCCTTGCCTGCATTTGGATGCTGGGGTATAGCTCTTTTGTATCTCCTAGACTGGTATTATTTCTCTCCCTGCTTATTCCACACCCTCTTTTATTCATGATCCACCATTAGGAATAACAGACCATCTTTCGAGGAGCACACGGCAGCAGTCCTTCGTCGTCCCGATCTTCGTAACATACTCGACCATTATTCAAAAACGCCGCCGTCTTCATTTTTCATCCTTGAGTTCAACGCGAAGATTGTCGGATTTATTGCCGTAGACGCATTGGGCGTTGATCAAGACTCTAACCCCGAAGCCAACACAAAAGACCGGCTGAAGTCCGATTCTCGGTCAGCAAAAATTCGGCATTTCTTCGTCGACGAGCCCTACCGGAAAACCAATATCCAAAATGACCTGATGAAGCACGCCTTACAGCATACGTTCCATGATGAACACAATATTCGAGAGGTACAGATCGAGTCTTCAGTGCTGAATGGCTACGTACGACAGTCATTGATCGACATTGGTTTTAAACATGGAAACACCATAAGAAATGTCGGGATTTACGGCTGGGCAGTCCAACTTTGTACGTTATCGCGGGCAAAATGGAGAGAGTGCTGCCTTTCCACGACCTGAATGCCACATCGGCAACAGGGAACGTTTAAATGTTATATATAGTGTAGTTCCATACGTTCTCTGCCGTATTTCGTCCTCTCTGCCGTTATGTACAGTGAATTTACTTACTGTAACACGTCAACCAGCTGGCCAGCGGATCTAAGCACTGAGATCGGAGCCTAATCATGGCCTCTCTTTCATCTTTCATCACGGATGACTTGCCCACATTCAAGGGGCAACATCCGCTCATCCTATTACAATCTTCAAATGCCCAGTCATGTCTTCCTGTGCTCCGTAATGTGCTGATTCGTGATGATTCAACTCAGACGATACTGTTCTGCCTGCTGTATCCTCCTTCAAGTCTAATGCAGGGTGGACAAGCAAGCCCAGACCATATACGAGTCCACGACTACACCAGCTTTGTTCCAGGGTTCAGTTCGCCTAAGGCCGACTTGGAAAACAGCTTCCTCGCTATTGTCAATGATGGTGTGTATCGCTTTGAACACATTGCTCCGAGCAGATCATTCCTAACTCAGTCGCGTAGCTAATGCAGACAGTCTGAATGTCGTCATTGACTCGGTCGATACGCTCGTTTCCGACTTGGAGTCTGATAGCAAGGCCTACAAACTATTGTGCCTTCTTTTCAAAGTCATAACGTCACGGTCCCGTATGTTTCTTGCTCACATTTTCTCATTCCAATACTAGGTTCTAAACATTTCTCTAAGAGGGAGGCGTATTGATCCTACATTCCTTGCCCTGCACTATCCTGGACATGGTAACCCAGGCGACCTTCTCGTCTTCGCTGGCGCATGTGATTGCACATCCTCCCGAGCTTCTCTCGCACCTTTCATCAATTTACATGACGAAATACGATCCGTCGAGTCCCAACGAGAAGTTCTGGAGTCTCTTCATCCCATTCTCTCGGCGCACGTATGAAGCAGACAAGCTTGTATATAGCGCGGACGGCTCGGGTTCAAACGGTGGTGCTTGGTGCGAGCACTGGGTTAGAGGGAATAAAGTTCTGCACCGAGAGTTCGTCCTCGAATTGGTCATCAGGACAGAAGGTCGCCGACGGACTATCGAAAGGTCGTTGGAGGGTTGGAAAAATGACCATCCCACTAACATCACTAACCTGGAAAGCTTGAAGGATTTATGGGCATACAAGCAGCTACAAGAGGTGATTAGTTTGTTTCTTGAAACCGTATCTTCATTCACCGGCCTTCATCAGCGACCAAGCAATGACGATGCAGCTCAACATCTCACTACCTTCAACTTGAATCTTACACCATCCCAAGAAAAGTCTCGAGCAGAAGTTCCCTTACCATACGCTCATCCAAGTCAAGGTACCTTGATTTTGCTGTATATAACTGAGGACTAACCAGATATTCATTTGGACAACTAGGCAAGTCTGATTCTGCCACGGGACCATCTACGTCCACCATCCTTTACGACCCGGATTCAGCGGATGACATCGATGACGATGATCCGGATGAAGATCTAGATATCTAGTTAGGTTGACAAAATATACGTATTGGCGTTGCAATTGTCTCTGCACGACTAAAGCATGTAAAGATATTGTGCATAGCGCTTGCAATATATCCCTTGAAGCTTACATGTAAGATAAGGGCCGCTCTAGATTTTGAAAGTGCACTGCATGGCGAAGGGCAGCTGGAATTTATGCATTGTGGCAATTACCACCGGAGTTTCGACCTCCAAAGTAGCTACGATTACATGGCTGATTGTATTAAAATACTCCATATGAAATGTATAGGATCCCACCGTTCTTATAGCCGGGCCGAACAGCTAGTGATAGCTAGTATACCGACAATCAGCTTGTAACTAGCCATTCTATAATGTGGCTGTGTAAGTACAAAATAATCAATTAAACCTGGTTTATAAAAACAGGATAGTAAAACATTCTTGAGTTCATTCGGATTCGAACAGACCACCTCGTCAGCAGATGATGACCAGCTACTTACCCACTACATCATTGTGCCGTTAGAAAATGCTTACGGACAGTTTATATGGCCTGCTCTCAGTGGACTTAGCGAAATTCTTATGAGCATGCCTTGCATCTTGGGGGTCAAGTTGCTCAAATCTCACTAAGTCCATTAAAATTCCATTATATAACACTTTGCACACCACTGATCATCAACACCGTGGTGCAGTGGGTAAGCTACTGTCTGCCACTTCATGAGGTTGTTGGTTCGATCCAGGGTTTACTTTTTTTTTGTTAGAACAGTTTCTTGGGTTTATGCTGGGTATACACGAGAGGCATTAAGTTAAATATTTATTAAAGTTTGATCATGAGGAATTCTATAGCAAGTTTGTATATGTAATTTCGGGTACATAACTTGTTATAAGATTGAATCTTATAGTGAACTCACTGACTAGCAGCTGATATGGAACTCCAAACTCTGGTGTACAGTCAAGTGATGCCATACTTATCTACGTTCAGTACAAGTTATAAATACCGCGGATCTCCGGGGCTTAGCTTAAGCGCTTAGCGCTTATGCATATGTCCCACCGTTCGGATACTTTCCTCGTACGCTGCATAGTTATCTCCTTCAGCTAGCAAACTGTGGGTGTCGGCATGAGCAAGAAAGTCAAGGCCCCTCAGGACAATGCATCGCCGTTGAAGAGTGCAGACCTCAAGGGCGTAGCACAGTATATGGCATCGGATGCTTGTAAAAATGTCTTCCTCATGGTGACTTTCTCCACAGTTTGCATTCGTGCATAGCGAACTCAATGATCTTTGCCTTCCGTATTAGCTAGGAGCAGGTTGAGGACAAGTTTTCTCATTGCCATCATCCTAATGACAATCACCGGACAGGTGTTAGCACTGCGGCTGGTATCCCGGATTTTCGATCGCCTGAGACTGGTGTGTAGACCGGAAACGTGAATGGACGCACTCACAATTGGTACTATAGGTCTATATGTAACTGCCGTCGCTTTTGGCTCCGCTCGATGAGTGTGCTCAACTCTTTGAAGGCAAATCTTGCTAGGCTGAAGCTACCATTTCCCGAAGCCGTCTTCCAGATCGACTTCTTCCGCCGGAATCCCGTCCCGTGTAAGCCCCCATGTCGCACAATCGTGGCTCCCACATATCCTTGACACATCCCCAAGTCTATACACTAGCGAAAGAGCTCTACCCGGGCCGTTACAGGCCCACGCTCACCCACTCGTTCATCAAGTTGCTGCACAGGCACTCGATGCTGCACACCTGCTTCACTCAAAACATCGATACCCTCGAACGTCGGGCCGGTGTGCCCCCCAAGAAGATCATTGAGGCTCATGGAAGCTTTGCAACGCAGAGATGCATAGATTGCAAGCGAGAGTTCGACAGCGACAAGATGAAAAAGGTTGTCGCAGACGCCTCCATTCCGCGGTGCGAGAAGTGCAAAGGTCTGGTAAAGCCGGATATTGTCTTCTTCGGCGAAGCAGTCAGTGATCATACTTATGGGTTGTTTGAGTCATACCTCATCAAAAGCGTTGCAGCTACCGACCGAGTTCCATCTGTCCATCCCGTCTCTGCGCCGTGCAGATCTGCTCATAGTCATGGGCACATCGCTGACAGTGCACCCGTTCGCTTCGCTCACAGAGCTTGTTCCTGACATCTGCCCGAGGGTCCTCATCAATATGGACGAGGTGGGACATTTCAATCGAAAGGCTGACATCGTCTGCCTAGGCAAGTGTGACGAGATAGTGAGGAAGCTTTGTCGAGAGTTGGGTTGGGAGAAGGAATTGGATGAAGAATGGGCTACCACCATCAACAGCGTTGAGGTTGAGAAGCCCGTGGAAGAGACGTCAGACGAAGAAGTCGACAGGATAACCAAAGGCATCGAGGAATCATTGACAGTGTCTAGCGCTGAGACGGTTAGCGAGAAAGAAGTGGTTGAGAAAGAAATTCAGTCGGTTGGTGTGGCAATGGAACCATCTGTCAAAGATGAGGCCAATGATGCAGGGGAGCAAACGCAAGCAGCTTCGCCGGACGAGAAGCTTTGAGCTGATTACTGCCTCGTTATATGGCTGACTCGATATAATCACTCCATTACTCGGAATCACTTTGTTGGACACATGCACATACACCTACGTACGCGAACGTCATTTTGATATACTACAGTGGAACGAAGTGGTCAAGGTTAGTATATATTGACCCTGTATTACTGACAACAACAACAATGAATACCAGACTCTATCATATAAGTTATGCTGCCACGACGCCTTCAAGCATGTTGACAGACTGTCTCTAGAGCTTGCCCTTGACGGCGGCGTCAACACTCTCCGCAAAGTACTCGATGTTGTTGCCGTTCAAGCCGGCCATCGAAATGCGGCCATCCATAGTCATGTATACGTGAGCCTTCTCAGCCAATGTCTTGCACTGCTCGGTCTTCAGACCAGTGAAACTAAAGGACGGCGTGGATTCAGAACAGGCTCCGGATGGTTCACATGCCAGCCAGCTTACCTGAACATGCCAATCTGGCTCTTGATGTGGCCCCACTCGCCGGGAGTTTGGAAGCCGTTAGTCAAAAGCTCGTAGAGACGCTCACGCATGCTGATGATGCGGTCGGCCATACCCTTGACCTCGCCCTCCCACACCGTGTAGAGTTCGGGGTTGCTGAGGATGGTGTTCGCGATGTGGGCACCGTGAAGCGGAGGGTTGGAGTACATGGGGCGGACGATGATCTTGATCTGGCTGTCCACGCGCTTCCTCTCCTCTTCGTCTTTCGTCGTCAGAGAGAAGGCACCAACACGTTCACCGTAGAGACCCATGTTCTTGGCGAATGACTGTGCGAGCGCAACCTGGTGACCCTGCTTGACGAAGTGGCGAACCGCAAAGGCGTCGCGGTCGGTCGAACCAGAAGCAAAGCCCTGGTATGCCATGTCGAAGAAGGGGAAGAGCTTCTTCTCAGCGATAACGTCGGAAATCTCTGCCCACTGAGCCTGGGTAGGATCAACACCGGTCGGGTTGTGGGCACAAGCGTGAAGGAGGACTATAGACCCCTCTGGAGCGTTCTGCGCATGGGTAAGCACCACTGTGTAGATACCTGCTACGAAGTACGAACCTTGAGATCTTCCTTAAGGCCAGCAAAGTCAAGGCCGACCGTCTTCTTATCAAAGTAACGGTACTGGCGAACTTCGAGGCCAGAGTCCATGAACAAAGGCTTGTGGTTGCCCCACGAAGGTGTAGGGAGGTAGATAGCCTTGGCGCCAGGATAATGTCTAGCTAAGAATGCACCACCAATCCTGAGCGCACCAGTACCAGAGATGGCTTGCGTGACAGCAACCTGAGCACAAGATGTCAGCTGATGTACAATACATGAAGACATCATACAATGCATACCGCGTTCTGGTTAAGGGGGACGCTCTCAGCGCCGTAGGCAAGCTTTGCAGCGTTCTTGGTGAACGAGGCAAGACCAGTGATAGGAAGGTACTCCTTGTCAAGCTTGGCGGCGGTGATTATCTCCTCAGCCTTGAATGAAGATATGTGTAAGAGGATGTGGTACATGAGCTAGATTTGTGGTGTAACAAACCTTTTTAACGGCGTTCAAAACATAAGGCTTGCCGTTTTCATCACGGTAGGCACCCACACCGAGGTTGATCTTGCGAGAGTCGGTGTCGGCCTTGAAGGCCTCGGTGATGCCTGTAAGAGGAAGAGGGGTGAGGGGGGTTTGAGCTGACCAGAGAGCGGTCGGTTACGTACCGAGAATCGGGTCGGGAGGACCAGCGGGAACTGCCGACCAGGTTGAGAGGGCAGCTCTCTGCATGAGGGCGGGTGCGCGACGCGTAGCATGGATGGCGAGCATGTTGGAGAAGAGATGGAAGTGAAAAGGTTGAAGAAGAGAGTAGAGAGCGGCGGGTTGTCTTTCCAAGCTTAAGGATGCGGAGGAAAAGTTATGCCTTGCCAAGTTCGGGGATAATGTGGCAATGTCAGTTGAAACGACTCGAGTCCGGTTTCGTCCGAGTGCGATGCGTTGTTACCTCCATCATGACCGCAGTTAACGGTGCTCTGCGGCCGGAGTCGCAGTTTGTGCAGGTGCGGGGTCAGCGAGGCAAGAAAGGGGATGCACGAGAATATTCATGTCCATATATACGTCACACATGTACAGGGCTGCACCTGGGAACCACGTTCAAATAATTGTCAGTACTGTGCATGATCAGCGTCGTGGGCGGCCGAAGAAGCCACCATGATTGTAATACTCACGAGGCGGTTAGTAAACCCTAACCCTGCATTAGGGGTGAACGTAGATAAGATAATCACTTGACTCCTTGCGCGTCATAGTGATTGGACGACTCAGCCTTCTATTAGGTTTCCTACAAGGCCCTTGACCTCGTCGCCCCACCACCTCATCCTCGCTCCATCATGTCTGAACTGACTGACAAGGTCAAAGACAAGGTCAAGTCTGCCATTGGCTCTATCAAGCCCAAGAAAAATAAGGACGACGGCCCAGAGTACGCGTTCTTGTCCTCTAACTCGGTCCACATCTGACATCTCACGCCTTTGTCCAGCTCTCCAGAGCCTAAAGAATCTCAAGAGTAGGCGTTCTATCAATTAGATCAATTCAATGCCTCATTCTTGACACAGCACTCCCTCTGACGCCCAACCCAGCACAGCACAGGCAGGCGACAAGCAGTGGGTACATCATCGCACAATTCACTGAATGATACATCTGATTCTCCAAGATCCGACCCTGCAGACGGCAAGGACGGTCCTTCCAAGAATGCTCTGAAGAAACAAGCCAAGGAAGCTGAAAAGGCGAAGAAGAAAGCCGAAAAGGCAGCAAAACAAGAACAGGCTGAAAAGGAGAAGGCACAAGCGGAAGCTGCTGAACCCGTACGTTTGTCTTCCACTGCCCCATCGTGTCAACGCTCACTTTTTACGCCTAGGACTATGCCACCAATCACTATGGAGAGCTGCCGATGCACCAATCCCAGTCTCGCCCGGGTCGCGCAAGGACAGATTTATCAAAGCTAACCGCCCAGAACGATGGCGAGCATGTCACCTTACGTGCGCGTATCCAGACATCTCGCGCTCAGGGAAAGCGCATGGTGTTCCTCAACCTTCGTCAGCGGACGGACACCGTCCAGGCTTTACTTCAAGTCACTGATGACCAAGTCAGTACGCAGATGGTCAAATGGGCCACTTCTCTGGCGGACGAAAGTATTGTCCTCATAGAGGGCACCATCATGAAGGCTCCTGAGCCAATTATCAGCGCGAGTATCGACGATGTCGAGATCCACATTCGGGAGGTAGCTGATTCACCCCGATCGGAATTGGAGAAAGGTGCTAATAGCCGATCCATAGCTCTGGCTTATCTCTGGCTTGGAAGACCGCCTGGCTTTTTCTCTGGAAGATGCCACACGATCCGAGTCCGCCCCAGAGGTAGAGGGCCAGTTCAGCAGAGTTCTTCTCGAAACGCGGCTCAATAACCGCGTCCTGGATTTGCGAGTGAGTCTAGGACAAGTGATCAGCACCATCTTGCTGATCTCCAGTTTATCAGACCCAAACAAACCAAGCGATCTTCCGACTTCAACATGGAATCACCAACCTTTTCCGCCAATACCTTAATGACCAAGGATTTGTGGAGATCCATAGTCCTAAACTCCAGGGTGCTGCCACCGAGTCTGGCGCCTCGGTGTTCAAGGTCGACTACTTCAAACGTGAGGCATTGCACGATGTCACCTTCAATGTAAATTTCTCTGACATTAGGTAGGCAACGCATTCCTTGCGCAATCGCCACAGCTCGCCAAGCAGATGGCCATTGCTGCCGACTTTGAGCGTGTCTACGAAATTGGACCTGTTTTCCGTGCTGAGGATTCCAACACTCATCGCCACATGACGGAGTTTACTGGGCTTGATCTCGAGATGGTGATTGAGGAACATTACCATGAAGTGCGCGACCTCCTCGACGAGATGCTCAAGTCCATCTTCCGTGGCCTTCGAGAGAAATATTCCAAGGAAATTGGTGTGATCAAGAAGCAGTTTGAGGCCGATGAGTTCAAGTGGAGAGAAGGACCGGAAGGAACTTTGATCCTGTCATTCAAAGAGGCCACCGATCTGCTCGTGGAGGATGGTGTCGACCGCTCAGACTTGGATGATATCAAGTAAGCTAGTGTTATGATGTGTCATTCTCGCCTAACAGCCCCTTCTAGCACGAAAAACGAACGCAGGCTCGGCAGGATTGTCAAGGAGAAATATGATACCGACTACTTCATTGTCGACAGGTTCCCGATGGAGCTGAGGCCGTTCTACGCGATGCCTAGCGCGGATGACCCCGTAAGTAACGACGGATCTGTGTGCGACGTTACGCTGAAGTTGTGCAGAATTTGTCAAACTCTTACGATTTCTTCATGCGTGGCGAAGAGATCCTGTCCGGTGGGCAGCGTGTTCACTATGCGCCGTTCCTCGAGGAGGCTATGAAAAAGAAGGGCATCGACCCCGCCTCCATGAAGGGGTATCTCGACGGTTTCCGCTTGGGATGCCCGCCCCACGGCGGAGGCGGCATTGGCTTGGAACGTGTCCTGATGCTCTACTTGAAGTTGAACAACATCAGAAGGGCGTCGCTGTTTCCCAGAGATCCCAAGCGGCTCGAGCCTTAAGTTATTGGTAGTTTTTGACTCCCTTGGAATCAGAGAAATTGTAGGATCATAGGCGTTGTTTATCGTCATGGCGGACTGCGAATATACATGAAGCCCATCTCACAATAAACTCAAAATATATGCAGTGCAGTGACAGATGTCACCGGCAGCATTTCGGTGTGCGCTTCGAAAAGCAAGAACTATATAAGATCAAGTTAACAGCTCGGGGAATCGTGATGTCCATAATACAAAATTAATTGAATACGGGGTAAATGGGAAGTGAAGATGTCTGATGTGCATCCGCGTGCCTAGCCGCCGAGCATAGTGTGCGATGTTATACAATCCTATTTTCGAGGCTCAGCAAAACTACGCTTAATTAGTGTGTGTAGTCATCTAGCTCACCTTACAATGGTTTATTCCTTATCTTTCTACTACCCCGGGTGCTACGAACGACGCTCTCGACGTGATCTGCGCCTGTCAGACCGCGAACCGTTCCTCTGTCCACCGATCACGTGGGCTGGCATTGTCCCGCCCTCCAATGCAGCCGCAATCACCTCCGCGGGGAGATCTATATGCACGCCTTCGGAATAAGCATACGGGTCCAGCGGCGAGTACGACGGAGGATCTCGTCTCGTCAGCGGTGGTGTGTCCGATGTGAGTGCATCGGTGCGCTGTGAGTCCGCCGAGCTGGTGAACGCCTGCAGGTGAATGTCCCGTTGGTTAGGAGTCGGTGGGTTCGGAGTACGAGGTGACTCGGGGAGAGGGAGTACCTGTGCGGTCATTTCTGCACCCGCGGTGGGAGAGCCGGCGAGGAAATGAGAGAATGATTGGCTTCGACGCCTAGGAGTACTAAAAAGGTTGCTCGCACCTGCCGTCTGCTCGCTGCTGGGGGATTGGGATCCAGAGGAGAAATAATCGCCATCATGTCTCTCGTCCTCTTCGTCGGTGCCATCCTCGGGCGTAGGAGAGAGGAGCGGCAGATTTTGGTTGTGAGGGGTGTGGAATGGCATGTCCGTTGGAGAAACATAGCGCTGCGTGCCAGAGGGGCCAGCCGTCTCTCCAGGTTCCTCATCAATAGGCGTGATAGGCGGTGGTGGAGTGGACGGTTCCTGTAAGCGAGAGGGTTCTGCAATGCCGCGCAATGGTGAGGATGCAACAGGCACGTTGTTGCTCTTTGGCCTCCTGGACCTGTGCGAGCGCCTCGATATTGGGGCAGACGATGCGCCTGGGCTGCCCTGCAAATATGATCCTTCATGCGGCCGATTTCCACCGCCCACATCAAGAAGGATACTGCCTCGCTCGCTGCCATAGGCTGGAGGGGGTGCGAGAGTTCCCACACTGGGAGCGAGGCCCCATTTCTTGACGTTTGCCTCAATGAACACGAAACCAGCTTGGCCCAGATTGACATGAACACTACAGGGACCATCGGCGCCTATGGTGGGAAAGAGATTGTGGCGGGTGAGGCCAACAAACGCGTCCTCGAGTTTGCGACCGTTTCGGGTGAAGAAGACAGTGCCAGAGCGAGGGCGATACCCGATGCCCAAGACATCGCCTTCCTTCAATGGGGGTCCAAAGGTGGCGGCCGTAAAGGGATAATTGAAGGATTTGTCGCCATTGGAGTGATATGCGACCGAGTGTCGGCTGTGACCCGGAAGACGGAAGGAAGGGTAGGGTTTAGTGGCGAGTCCCACGGCGACGTTGGTAGATTCGGGAAGATCGAACATCTTGACCTCCCAGTAGTAAACTTCGTTGAGTTTCGGCAAGGGAAGGTTCGACTGAACGCAAGAAGCAGAGGCTGGGTCGGGCAAGAATGTGATCTCGGTGCGGGCGTGAACAAGAAGAGAGTTGAGAGTCTCATAGTCGGGCTCAAAGGACCAGGCTGATACGCCTTTCTCTTGGATGGAGAGAAACTGGGAGAGGGTGATGTCGGTTGGCTGGGAGTTGGGGGGATATTGGAGTTGATAGTCTGAAAAGCGGGGGACGGGATGAGATTGCAGTGAGGCGGGCGGGAAGAGGACGCACCTTTGGCTCTCAAGTAGGCTCTGCGAGAGAGGTCTGGGACCGACTCGAGCCATCTTGACTCGAGACCTTCGAAACCACCGTCTGCGTCTATGAGGTCCTCCCGCGACATGTCGACTGGGCCGTCTGAGTCGCGGAGGACGATGCCGCGGCGCCTGCGGATGAATATGACACATACGAGGAAGAGAAGGAGGATGAAGAGGAAGGTGGAGAGGACGATGAGGAGGGGGAGGATAAAGAGAAGGGCATCTGGGGGCTGGTGTGGGTCGTCTTGGGACATTAGTTTGTAGAGAGAAGGTCAGAGCGGTGCAGGTCCTTGAAGGCGGTCGGAAGCGTAATGGTCGTGCACAGCTCCGCTCCTATTGCTATTATATAATACATCCGCTTATCACACTCTCCGTTCCCCATCGCAAATGAGCTCGACGCTCTCCCCCACATCCGCATCCCCCAGAGTCCGCAGGAAGCCGTCCACCCGCAAACGCGCCGGCTCACATCTCCCCCAGCCACAGACACAGGAGTCACACGACGCCGCCCTCCATGCCATCCGAAAAACCCTCAGGGGCCGCACCGCCTACGACGCCTTCCCCGTCAGCTTCCGTCTCCTCGTCCTCGACACAAAACTCAACGTAAAGAAAGCACTTCAATGCCTTCTTCTCAATGGTTTGAACCTTCTCATCTAACTTTTCATACCTGATCACCTCTCTTGTCCAGGCGTCGTGTCTGCCCCTCTCTGGAACAGCGACAAGTCCAAGTTCGCCGGCATGTTGACCGTGCTCGACATTATTCATCTTATCCAGTATTACTATCATACCGCATCCTACGACACCGCTGCAGCCGACGTCGAGACATTCAGACTCGAGTCTTTGAGGGGTATATCTCTCTCTCGTACTTTATGCCCACAACCCTCTGACTTCCCACTCACAGAAATTGAAAAGGCACTGGGGGTTGCAACGCCACCAATGCTTCGAGAACATCCCGATAGCTCCCTCTACGATGCCGCAAGGCTTCTCATCCAGACACACGCTAGACGGTTACCCCTCCTCGACAACGACTCTGAGAGTGGACACGAAGTAATCGTATCCGTCCTAACTCAATACAGGCTCCTCAAGTTCATCTCTATTAACGTGTGTCTTCTTTCCTCGCACTACGTCTTGTGTCTAACTTGGCACTTCCAGTGCACCAAAGAAGTACACCAACTTCATTGCTCCCTCAGGAAGCTTGGCATAGGCACATATGTCCACCCTCTCTCCCCCCCTGAACCAGAGGAGGGCCACGACAACCCATTCTGGCCGATAGCAACCGCTACCCTCGACACACCCGTGTTTGACGTCGTTCACCTGTTTTCCGAAATGGAGATATCTGCCGTGCCCATCATCGACGAGGATGGCATTGTCGTCAACCTGTATGAAACGGTCGATGTTATTGTACGTTGATCGTCTCTTATCGCCTTTATGTTAATTCACACCGCATGCACAGACGCTTGTCCGGCTGGGGGCTTACCAGTCCCTTGATCTCACTGTACGAGAGGCACTGAATCAGCGTTCACCCGATTTCCCCGGCGTCGTGATCTGTACAGCCTCTGACTCGCTGGGCACACTCTTGCAACTGATCAAGAAGAGGCGGGTTCACAGACTGGTGGTTGTTGAAGGCGATGTACGTACATTCTCCCTGATGTGTTCATGTCCACTGATCCAACTCGCCCTACAGGAGGAGGAGAGACGAGGGGGCAAGAAAGGAAGACTTTTAGGCGTTATCACGCTCAGCGATGTACTCAAGTACCTGATCGGGGTAACGAGTATAGGAGGGTCTGTGGAGCAGTTTGAGGAGGCTATACGCTCAACGGATCGACTGGCCGTGCCAAACGTGTCTCTTCCATCGTGAAAAACGTCCGGTGTTCTGTGAGATGCGGTTACGGTTGTGTATTACTATCAGGTTGGACCGACTCTCGAGTGGACGGATGATCTGAGCCACCATATATCTTGTATTTGCTTGTCGAATCTGCTATCGTGCTGTATTGAAGGTTATAACCATAGATAACCATTTGGTATTCTGGGGAGCACTGTTGTACAATAGAGGCTATGTTATTTACTGGCCAATGCATGTTGTATAAAGTTGAGTTAGAAGAAATGGACTCGTGTTGCCGCACCTGGCGCCCCCTGGAAGGTCGGCACTTGTTCCGGCACTGTCTCTACGCTTGCCCATTACTCATCCCAGATACCCTCCGCCCTCCCCGTCATGGCCGCCATACAAGCTGTATCCATTCGAGGACACGAAGAACGCTCGCAGCCTAAACCCCACACGGTTTATCGCATCGAAATACAAGCCAGTGTACGATCATGGCAGATGTGGCGCCGCTACTCCGAGTTCGTCGACCTGCACACCGAACTCGTCAAGTCCACCGGATCGGCCCCTCCAGCACCGCTCCCGCCCAAGCACACACTTTCCATCTTCAAGGGCCCCTTCCGGGACGACTCTGGCATCATCGAGGAACGCCGGTCCGGTCTGGAGACCTACCTGCGTGCGATCATCAGTGCACGGGAGGACACCTGGCGGGAGAGCATCGTCTTCCGCGAGTTCCTCGGCGTGCCGATAGGGAGGCAGGGCACATTGGGCGGCGGGGGCGCGGGTGGGGAGAGCAGCGGAAGCGGCGGCGGGGGGCGCTTCTCGAGCTCGTCGTGGTTGGACGAGCACCTCGAGCTGCAGAACCGCGTGCGGGACGTCCGTGCGGACATCAACCGGCGCGACGCGCTCGCGGATAGAGGGGACGTCGGCGCGTCGCACACGGCGAACGTGCAGGCGAAGAAGCGCCTCGCGGAGCTGCTCTCGCGCGTGCGCGTGCTCACGCAGGGCCTGCAGGAGCTCGGTCTGGGCGGCATGGCCGAGGGCGAGCTGCAGCGCCGCACGGACATGGTCGCGCGCCTCCAGGACGAGTGCGAGAAGCTCGGCAAGATGGTCACGATCGCACGGCAGTCGTCGTCGTTGTCGCGCACAGGCCCTTCCGCCGCCACGACCATTCCTGCGCCGGAATCGGATCGTGCGGCGCTGATGGGCGGAGGAGGGTTCGCGCGACCGGTCACCCGCGTCTTTGGCGCGTCCAAGCAGCCGCAGGAGACGGACCAGACGCGTCCGTTGCACGATCAGGGACTGTTGCAGCTCCAGAAAGTACAAATGGAATCGCAGGACAGTCAGGCCGCTCAGTTGACTACTATCTTACAACGGCAACGTTTTCTTGGAGAAGCCATTTCGGCGGAGATTGCGTCCCAGAACGAACTGCTTGACGATCTTAACGAGAATGTAGACCGGGTTGGAGGGAAGCTAACGGGTGCGAAGAAGCAACTCAACAGACTAGGATGATATGACTCTCGTGTTTCGCATGGAGCATCCGGATAGTGTGTATTGCGTTAGGATACAGAAATCATACAATGAGATATCTAGTAATGCGATGATTAATGCGTATGTAAGGATACCGTGCCCTCTGGATAAACGGGAAAGAATAAATGTACGTGTGCCTAAATCTCCTGACCTTCCTTCTGGGATAGGAAGCCTCCGATGCCCTGTTGTTGCAAGTAAGCTGGCTGAATCTACAGAGAACTTATATCTGAGCATACCTCGAAGCAAGCAATCATGATACCGCAAGCTGGTGCGACTTTGGCTATCCGAGGTGCCAAGCCGGCAAACAGCGAGCTGGCACCCTCGTTGCGAACGATTTGAGCGCACAGAGCAAAAGTTGCAGTCGTGCCAGATGGCATGTGGTTGGACATGAGCAGGGCCTGCCTTCGCGTTTTGAGAACGTCGAAAGGTGACGTCACCAGAGACGCTGTGGTTCCGCTGATGGCACCGCTAACGAAGGCAACATAGGTTCCCCGCTGACCACGGCGCTCAAAGAACCGTTTCCATGCTTCGTAACCCGCCCAGTAGATGCCACTGAAGGGGACGTCGCGCCACAAAGTTGGCCCAAGGCCTTGCCATAGGAAGCGGATGCCTCGTCCCTTTACGACTGTGCGTATTGAGTCGACGACGTTCTTGAGGGTGTGTGGATGGTCTGGTGATTTCGGTGTCGATTGAAGATTGGTGCGGACGAGCTCTAATGGTGAGAGAAGTGTTGCGAGAGAAGTGCGTGCCATAACTCCAGCCGTTAGTGGAAGCAAAGTAGGTGAGTTTATAAAGGGAGGAAGTCCTTCGCGAAGAAGATAATCGTAGCCAAGCATATAGAGGGAAGACGCAGGGACACCGATCATTCTATATGACCACATTTGAGCTGACGAGATATAAAATGTCAAGTAAGAAACTTACAATGATGTTCCGGCACCCTTCCAAAGACCTCGAAGACCTTCTACGCGTAAGACGTGACGAATGGCGTCCACAAATCCAGTGACGCGCTCTGTACGCATTAATCCGCCTTCATATACGCAGACAACCTGAGCGCCTGGTAGCTGACGAGCGAGGGAGGACATATTCCGTACACAAGGAACATTTGCAGGCTGGCAACACTTGTTGAGAGGCGGACGCGAGAACAAGGGCTGTTGTTTTGACTGTACTGGCTGGGTCTGAAGCCGGGTCTTGACGACGTCAAAGGGAGTCACTAGACAAAGTAAGGAGGCAGACTCGGGAAAGAGAGGAGATGCGACTGACTTGTGAGGGCAGTCATAGCAGAGCCTGTGGCTGCTGCGACCATTTTTGCGTGAAATGGCTCCATGTCGAAGTGACCGTCGATGCCAGACGGGAGCCTCTCTAGGGGCAGACTTGGATATTGGCGGTGAGACTGTAATCGTCGATGAGCAATTGGCAGCACTAAATATTGTCACCCTTTCACGGTCGGCCGGCTCCTTCCTTCCGGCCGAGGCCTCACGTCAGCGTTGATGGCGTGCCTTATTATGTTATCTGATTAGATGCATGACAAGCGTAATCACCGATGACTCACTGCTGTTTTCGGCCTATTTTCGGCATTACGGCAAGAGCCGAGTCCGTCGACCCTTTCTGACACCCAGGAGTTTTGATTTTGCAAAGAAACCTCCACCCGCTCACCTGCCTGTACACCGAAAACTCAAATTTCACGCCCCTGACCTTCTCTAGAGCGCGACATAATCTTCGTGCACTCCCCCGATCCCTCCACTGTTAACGTTTATTCTCGATTACTGCTCAGAATCAAGCTTGCAGCTTGCACACATTGATTGAATATCAGCCCTAGACTCCTCAACTCGGACCCCTTTCCACCCTTCTCTGCTCCTTCTCCCATCATGTCTGCCACATCTTCCCCCCTTCCTCCCGCAGCCCTTCAGGCATCCAAAGCTGCTCTCTCTGCAGTCCTTGCAGAAAATGCTCAGACGACCGCAAGTCCCGAGAACTCGGACAATGAGCAGGGCGAAGTCCAGGAGATCGACATGCAAGCTCAGGCTGACGAGATCCGCACTGTCTTCAGCGATCCAACCAACTTTAACGTCAAGGTAAGCTGATTCCACTGTCTGTACCCACTACCCATTGACTTCTCTTCGCGATCGAACAGCATCCTCTCTACTCCCCGTGGACACTTTGGTTTGATTCCCCCGCGACCAAAGGACGCAACCTCCCTCAAACTCCTATATCCTCATTTCCTCAAACGCCCCTACCCCAGACCCCAGGTAATGTTGCAGCTCTGGGGTGGATGGAAGATATCAAAAGAGTCATCACCTTCGACAGTGTCGAGGAGTTCTGGGGGTATGCCCTCTCTTCTCTCCCTCGCCCTGTTCCCTGCTGACGTACCCAGTTTGTACAACCACATCGTTGCTCCTTCACATCTCCCACAAAAGGCCAACTACTATCTATTCAAGGTAGGCCTGTGACCACTACCACAGACCAAATCTCACGCCCGTCTGCCTTTGCAGGAAGGGATTATCCCTGCCTGGGAAGACGATGCCAACAAAAATGGTGGCAAGTGGAGCATACAGCTCCCCAAAGACAAGAATCGTTCAAATATCGATAAAATGTGGCTCTTCACGGTACGCATATATGTCGACATAGCGTTGGTCTGTATCTGACTCACCACAGATGCTGGCTGCCATCGGAGAGACGTTTGACCCATACCTGACCAGTGGCGAGGCCACCGAGCCTCACCCGCAGTCGCTTGTGACCGGTGTCATTGTGTCGACGCGTCCGCAGTTTTACCGGTTATCGATATGGACGAGGCTGGCACCTACGGGGCAAGGTGACGAGGACGATAAGCTGCGGGAGCGGATAGAGGCGATGGGACGGAACTTTAAGACGAGTGTGCTCGGGTATAGCGAGAGCCAGAAGCTCCAGGGCCCGTTGGCAACCGAGGTGGAGTTCCTTTCGCACAAGGACTCGGAGAAGAAGGGGAAGGCTGCTAAGAAGATTGTCATCTAATGGCTGTGGTAGGACAGTAGACACGTGTTTAATTTATCGGCTGATTGCTCGGTCTTTGTCGTGCGTCGAGTGAAGAGATGAAGGGGATGAAACGGCGCGCAGACAACAGCGGAAGGCTGTTGCGATATGTGCTGTGTCTCGGGGCAGTTATAGTTAAACTGACCAGTGAAATGACAGTTCCTGGTTCTTGTCTACTGCGGCCGAGTGGTAGTGACGCCCAGTGACGCCATGCCGTGCCAACCAGGAAGTAGGGTACAGAGCTTGTATAAAACCAAGCCCCCTTGAGCTCCCTGCTACCCTCAATCGCTAGCAACCCACCCAAGATGCCTGTTCCCAGTTTCCTTTCCTCCATCGCAGACAAGGCCACAAGCGCGATTAACCAGACGCCGCTTGCAGGCCACATTCCCGGTACAACTGCCCCTGACCAGCCTTCTGCAAACTCAGCAGCATCTCAAGGCGGCCATCGCTCCGTCACCATCGATGCTTTCCAGCATCAGCTCCGCGCCCTCGGGCAGCAATACTCTGGCGCGGGTCCCATGCAACGCATTATCACTGTCGAGAAAGGCATTGCCATCGATTTCGATTGCGTAGCCAGAGACTCCAAGGCCCAGAGCAAAGAGTTGTATACTTGGGGCCAAGGCGAAGATGCTGACATCAAGGATGGTGCGTGTCTCGATGTTTCTGATAACTAGGAAAAAATAAGGTGATGGTTCTGACGTGCACTATTAGTCACCGACAGATTGGCGTACCTCAACTTTATTCAAGGATCGCTTGCATCCTCGCTCGCTGTAAAGCTTGACGCCTCCAGGGCATCCATCAAGGCGCTGCGTGATGCTGAGAACGCCATTGCTCCACGACGGAATGCACGCGCAGGCTTGCAAACCCAGATTGGGCGGATCGAGCACGATCAGCAAAAGGGGATGGAGCAGAGGCTCTCCCAGCTCAGAAAGCAGTTGGCTCAAGCTGAGGAGGAAGACACGGGGGCAGAGAAGCAGATCGAGCTTCTGAAGCGCAAAGCCGTACGAGAGAGTGAAGAGATGAAGTGGGATGCCATCCGCGAGGTCAGTTCTCAGTCTGTAGTCGTGTAGTATATATGCTAAAACCTTGCCCACTCCCCAGTACGGCGAGAAACTCATCCTTCTTTCTCATGCCTCGAAGAAGATCATCGGCGCTCTGCCGAGCATCCCACCCTCCCAGTCTAGCCCCTATCAAGGAGCTAACGAGACCGGGGCAGCGCGCGCATCACTTCAGAGAGCGCTCGACAACTACAAGACGGGTCATATCAGCCTTCACGAAGATATTTCTGTGGCAGACCTCTCACGTTCGGATACCCGGTCCTTTGGGGAGACTCATGCTTCTGAGATCGCATCTAATGAAGCGATCGAGGCAAACCATCCCGGCCTTTCAGTCACCCCTCCCCTTCCCTCACCGCCGCCCAGCAGCGACGCCGAGAAGCCGCGCTCGCCTGCGAGCTCACCGCCTGCGAGCTCACCACCGATTGACCTACATGCACTCAATCAGTCTCCAGCTTCCATCCCCACCGTCGCCCCGACTGCCTCTTCGCCTACTCCGATCGACACTACCGCCGCGGCCGCGCAGACGAAGCTGCCTTCCTCCACGCCCACTATTGCCGAAACTGGCGTGCCCGTATCTGCGGGGTCCGACGGACCTGGGCCGGCCAGCGGATCGTTGCACAATGTCAAGGCAGCAGACCCGACCGCTGGCCCCCGCAGTGGCGGCTTGCCTGGCAGCACGCCGCCTTTGTCCTCAACCTTCGGACAGCCGCCCAACTCATCGGGTGTATCCCACGAAAGCGCCGAGGACGAGAAGAAGCGCCTGGAGAGGGAGGAGCGGGAACGTGTTCTGGCTGCAGCCGGCACCTCCTCGTCTCACCCCGGCCCGCTGACGCCTGCTTACGAGTCAGCGGAAGACGAGAAGAAGAGGCTTGAGCGTGAGGAGGTAGAGCACGTCCGTGCTACGGCTGGTCACAGTGCCGATGCAGATGGGCAGGAGGAAGGCAAGAGAGACGGCGAACAACTCCCTCCGTATCAGGATTTCCAAGGTTGAATTAACGTCTTGACTGTAACTGGAACTTGTATTCTAAAGCTGTACGGACCAATATCTCATGTAAGGCTCGATATTTGTAGTATACGATGAATCTTTGTGGCTTTGTACGTTACTTGACTTTAATTGGACAGATGCTTCGTGGTGAATACGGCCTGAGGACCTCAGCCATAGATCAAGTTTGTGTAACCCACATCCTGTTAGGACTTGGAAACCGACAAATAGGTTAACATCAACAACAAGATAAACCAAGACATTTCCAGACAGAATGAAAAAAGAGGGACAACCAGCGAGGTATGCGTGTATGCCCCAACTTACCTCTTGGTGAGGAGTGCACCAGTATCTTCGACGCGGATGGACAAGAAAACTCCCGTGTACCCTGCTAACTTCACTAGGACAGCGATTGTTGAGCGAACGGTCTAAACCGTACGAGAAAAGGTGTGAAATACCACCTCGAGCGTAGGGTTCATTCTCACATAGCTGTGAACGGTTTCGACGACAAGCTTCGTTTCAGCAGCAGATGTTGGGTCCGGAGTTGGTGGTGTGTTGCTGAGTTGCTATGCGGAACGTAGGACCCGTATATTGCAATGCTGTTTAGTACTTAACATAGTGAAGAACATTGATGAGGTTCTGAAGGAATAGTAGAGAGGAGACGGTTACGTGACGCCCTCAAAACTTGGATAGTGGCCCTTTCTGACTATCATCGACCTCCTGCTGGCATACCTTTGAGAGCCTGATCAGCAACGCGTTGACATAGGAAAGAGCGGCGTGCATACATGCAGTGAACAAAAAGCCTGAACTCTACGACCCCGCCTAAGGTGCCTGATCATCATCAGCGGAAAACTTGTGCTTTGTCCGCAATGCCACTTCCGTCATTCCTCTGCCACTATTGGTGACACCGACTGAACTGGTGTCAGATGGGAAACAGAGCGCATATAAGCGTGATCGCACCTCGTCCCAGCGGATTTTCAGGTGTTTTAAATATGCTCGTCCCAGAAACGCCAGCGATGTGGACACCCTTTTTCTCCGACTTCTTGGCAAACTTCTGCCATGACTGCTGCTTCTGGACCTGCTCTTTGGCTTTCTGCGCTCTCACCTCCAACTTCTTCTCGTTCTTTTTCTTTTTCTTTTCCCTCTCCTCTTCCTCTGCCGTGGTCAGCTTTCGCTTGTTAGACGCAGCTGGGGTCTTATCTTGGTAATTGTGTGGCATTGGCTTGATTTCCGAGCCCTTGACAAGCTCGGTGGTGTTGTAGCCTCTGAAGACGATGCTGTAGACTGGGTTGTCTGTGGAGCCGCCCACGGACGTTATCCGGGCGGGGTACCAGTTGCCATCACCAGAGTACTTGGAGAGACAGTCGTTTCCAGCTGCCCATGCATGTGTGGAAGCTGATGGGCCAGCCTTCTTGGTGGAATCGGCTCGCGAGGATGATGCAGGTTCTGCTTGGGCAATGGCAAGTTCTGTGAGCTCAATGAGCTCCTTCAGCTCACTGCGGAGGGAGACAAGTTCGGCGTTATCGGGGTCAGCTTGGAGCGCGAGCTCAACTTGAGAGAGTTGAACCTGGTATGTTTCGAGTTCAGCTTTGTTCATGGTCGAATAGTCAGGGGTTGGTTAGTGTGTAGGGCGAGTCGGATGTGAAGGAGCACTTGGCTTGAGAGTGAGTACTATACTTGCAATGAAACCAAGACCAAACACTGCAACGCGCGGCAAGTACCGCCCCTTTCGGCTTCGCGTACTGATTACAACTATGTGGAACTGAAATACTATAGGCACTAAGTCGCTCTGCGATCGATGGCCATGCATAGCTGCAGTCGTGGATAACGCTGTGTAGTGCATATGTAGGGTTAATCATCACATGCTGGCATAGTTAACTATCCCCATATTTCGCTTTTGTCAAGCTTCACCCGTGAATCTTGTTTTGCTTTACTCCCCTGCGGTCGTCCGGCTCGCTGAACGCTGCGTTTTGAGTGGTACTTCTTTTGCTGTCGTGCCTTCTTTGCCAAGTCACTTTTCACCTTTCCGTGAACGGTTGGCGCGGAACTAAGGCTCAGTGAAGCCGTCATCTTCGCCAACGAGCTGGGAGAGGGCGACCGTGATTTGGGTGGTGACCTAGAAAGCCTACTTGATGGCCGGGAAACAGCAGATGAACAATCGGCGTCTTCCTGCGCGTCGGCTTCAGTGTGTACTGTTTCTTCATCTGCAGCTTCCGCTCTGCCTTCACTGTCAACTTTATGCTCGTCGTTGTTGCCATCGATGGCGTCCTCCACCTCTTCTTCCTCTGGCTCGCTTTCTTCCTCTTCCTCTTCGTCCGTGTCGCTATCATCAAGAGTCCCTTGAGGTTCGTCTTCCTTAACGGCGTCCATATACTAACCCGACGAACATGATCAGGATATTGACATTCCATATAAAACGCAAGAACGTGCTTACTTCTTCCAAAACCTTTTGTTCTTTCTTTGACCACCCGCTTGCAGAAACGACCACATCCAGTTGGAAGTTCTCTCCGTCACCTTCAGAGCTTGCGTTCCTGAACCGGGGATACAAGCTACTCTCGTACTTGAACCTTCTCCGAAAGAATGTCCTTATGCACTCCACATCTCTGTTGAAATACCTGAAATGACATTAGTGGCTGCAATTCGTAGTACACAAAACATATTAACCATTCGGCGTTTGCATGCGATGTGCTGACCATCTGGGGGAAATCGATGACCACAGGGTCTCCAGAGTCTCGCTTGATGAGAATATTGAATTCGTTGTAATCGCCATGGATGAGCCCGGCGCTAGCGAAGCGGACAATGATGTCCATAAGAGTAGAATACAGCTTTCCAGGAGAGGGGATGTCCGAAACTTGTCGGCTGATCGTCAAGTTGATGATCAGGCATTGTCTCGTCCCAGATAAACTTTGACGTACAGTGGGTATGCGTCAATGGCCTCCATCAGTAAACAATGTCGTGCATGGTCTATTGGCTTTGGAACGGGAAAGTCATGCTCGTATAGGATCTGACCAGTCGATTGTTTATTAATTCTGTTTGTCAAGTCCTTGCGATGTACATACCTTCATAAACGCCCACTCTTTCTCAGCTGCCAGCCGAGACATGTACATCCACGATGCTGATTTGCGTTTGCCCAGATAGTCTCTCTTTTCCTTGATTGCACGGAAAGATATTCGACCTAGACTAGGATGATGTTTAGCAAAAGCGGGCCAATGTAATCAAACATACCGATGAAGCTTGAGCACCATTTCATTGCCCTCTACGTCTGCTACCACATAGACATCGGCTTCCTTTCCGACACCAATCTGGTTCCCGACAGAATGCATGGAGTCTCTTTTGGACAGTGCTCTCATGGCCAAGTAGTCATATCCGCCATACGTGAGTCTGTATCCATCATCTAGAATTCGTCAACTCGGCTGCTGGTTTCTGAGATATGCGACGTACATTTAGAGTTCTGAACCTTTGCAATTAGATTTCGTTTGGCCAGCGACCCGATGAGTTTGTTTACACCACCGCTTCTTAGGCCGGATATCTGAGCGATGAGAGGGGTCGGCACGACTTCATGATTTTTGGATCCGATCTCAACCTGAGTTGGGAGCGTTAGGAGGTAAAACCGAAGAGAACTGAAGCTACCGCACCGCGGTAAGCACTCGGAACTCGTCAGCGGTTATGTAGCGCAGGTCTGTCGCATCGAGCTTCATCCTCGTTTTTTGTTCGTTGGTATGTCCACTTCCCAATCGTTTCAATAGAGATAAGATTTCGGCGTTGCGGTTAGTGTCTCGAGATAAAAATGACGAAAAGCAAAGGTCACGAGAGCTTCATATTGACGCGCCGGTTACCGCATCCGCGCACCCGAAGGTCAATTCAGTGTGCCACTGCGATCTCCTGTACTCGACAGTCGACTGCTGGGGACGCGATGTCTTTTTCCAAGGTTAACCAAGCTAACAAGGTGCTCTAGTCCTTGTTGTTTTGCTATTCCCTTACTAACCAACAGACTACTTGTATGTAGGCGTCACCGGAAGTTCTCGCAAGTCAGGTTCAGTCAACACTAAGGCTCAAAGAACAAATGTACAGAAAAATAAATATCAATCGCGAGCATAGGAGAACTAACTGATTTGGTAGGTTTTGCGTCGATGTGCAAACTTCAACGACGCTGTCTCAGTCCACTCGAGAGGACATTTGGAACATCTTCGAAACCAATATGCGAGACATGTCGGTCCCATATATGCTCTCCTTCCGCATACACTCACCTTTGTATAGGTATAATTCGTCATCGTTTGGCTGGGATCCTCCTGAAAAGCAAGCGGAATTGTTCCATCCTCTATCTCGGTTTCTTGTGGTCCACAAGAGCCATTCAGTCGAGAACGTAGACGACGAGCGAGCCAAGGTCGAAGCCTATGCCATGTTTCGCTTTGAACGGGAAGAACGAGAAAATGTGGTCTACTGGTGCAGTCCATCTGCGATGTTGGGGTCCCCAGTCTAATGAGTAATCCAGCTACGAGTTGCAGGTATCGCCGACGGCCCGACAGCTCGGACTTGGCAAAGCCTTGATGCAGGATTTGTCTAGGATGGGTGCAGCGTGGGGCATGAAGAAAGTGATGTTGACCGTCTTCAAAGGTTAGTCGCCCGGTCATTGCAGCAAGCGTCGCATTGTACAAACTCATCATATGCAGCGAATGCCGACGCCTGTCGGTTTTACGAGCATATGGGGTATGTGGCACGGTTGCATCTGCAAAGTAAAAATAAAAAGTTGAGCCAAATAGGTTCACGATGGACGAAACATCTCCAGGGTTCGCCGAGGACGGAGACGAGTGGGTGGATGAAGAGGAAGGAGACTACGTGATCTTGTCCAAGCCGACGAGCGTGTGATAGGAGTGAGATGTTTACATGTATTTACTAGTAAATTAGGTATGGACAACGCCCGAGACCTGCCGCGCCAACGTCTGAGCCTACCAACTATTCATGCCACCGACTTCATCCCTACGTGCGCTCCAGGTCAGAGCACCTCAGCGCATCCTGGGCAGGCGCTATGCCTCGCATGGACCCCCATCATACAATGAGCCCACTGGCTTTCTCTTCGGCGAGAAGGTGGGTTTAGTCTAGCCCGAGTTTCTATGAAATTATCGACGTGTTTTTCGGATAGCCACCGCCGCCGGGCCAGAAACGAGTGAAGGAGGAGTGGGAGAACATCTGGTACTATGGCATGTTTGGAACCATGGCGCTAGCAACTGTGATGCTTTACTACAAGCCGGACACCAGGTGAGCCTATTTCGTCCTTGGATATGCTACGTCTTAACATCTCAAACCAGTATTCAAACTTGGGCGCTGAAGGAGGCAAAGGAACGCATGGAAGCGAGAGGCGAGAAGTACAAGTACGAGCAATCCTCATAAACGCCTTATAGAGTGCATATTCTCTGTCACCATGTTTTGTCCACATATTCGCATCCCCAGCAACTATTGCACATACAGTAATCTCGCTTCGTGCGTGTCCGGGTACCCCGTCTAGCTTGCCTAACTATATCTTGATCAAGCGTACGGACCCTCGTGTGTGAACACAGATCAACAATGTCAATTCACCCGCCAAAAACCCAAACCAATCTAGGGATTCTATGATCATCGAGCTAATATAAGTCCCCCGACGTCTGGCCGGGGTGTTAAATGTACAAATCATATCATGGCAGTTGAGGCCATACAGCGTCGGTCCCCATGAGTAAATAGAGAACTTATGATTCATAACTCTTCTTGTAGTCCTCCGCAGAAAGGAGCGCGTCGCGCTAAAGAGGATGAGCGTCTATACAACTCTTTAGAGAAATCATCGTACCTCCTCTAGTGCCGAGAGCTTGATCTTGCACAGCCAACCTGTGGGTTCGAAACCAACTTTGAGCATCCGCAGAACACACGACGTAGGCACTCGGCTGCTTACCTTCGTCCTCGGGAGACTTGTTCAGCAGGCTTGGCTCGGTGTTGAGGCGTTCATTCACCTCGACAACCTCACCCGACACAGGTGCATACTGCAAGACAAGGTTGTCAGAACGTCAGGTTTTCGATGCTTCGCACACGAGTTTACTCACAATATCCGAGGCGGCCTTGACACTTTCAACGGCCCCGATTTGATCTGCACAGAATCCGTCAATGAACAAAACATTAGACAGGTACGATAATTCACGATGTCGCACCTCCTTTCTGGATGGCGGTGCCTACTGAAGGTAGCTCGACGAAGACGACGTCGCCGAGACTGGACTGGGCGTGGTCGGTAATGGACACAGTACCGAGGCCAGTCTCGTCGTCAAATGCCAGAATTTCGTGCTCCTCAGTGTATCCCTTCGCTATCATAACCCATGAGCACGTTTATCGTGGCTTAGCTTGACAAACTTTCACTCACTGACGATATTTCTAGATGCACCACGGTACGTAGTCGCCCTCATGGATCGAGCGGGTATGGCAGCACGCTGGCGGCCGACTTGTCTGAGCACGGAAAACATGGTTGAAAGAGGATGGAAAGGTAGACGGTGGGGATAAGAGATAAAGTAGGTGCGTGCAAGACGGCCGGAATTTGCGGTTTGTGTCGCGTAACGCGCCAAGGCGGAGGGAACGGGTCAACGGAAGCACGCCGGCTCTAAATGCAGACAAAAAACAGCATGGGACGTGCGAAAGGTCTTCTCTTAGAATTAGGACAATGTGATGCTGAGAAGAGGACATGAATATGCGATGCAGAGTATTATGTAACAAGTATAGATGTAAGTAAGTGCTAGTCTAGTCTTATGCGTGCTCGAGAACCTTCGTCACAATGCCGGTACCAACTGGGAGAAGCAGTCAGATTTGACCTTCGAGAAAACAGACAGTGCACTTACTGGTTTTGCCACCCTCGCGAAGGGTAAAGCGAGAACCCTCCTCAGCTGCAACATCGTGAACGAGGTCGCAAACCATCTCCACGTTGTCTCCAGGCATCACCATCCGCTCTTCAGCATCAGGCGTGCCCTCAGGGAAGCTCAACGATGTGGTAATATCCGCAGTCCGCAGGAAGAGCTGAGGGCGATAGTTGGACATGAAGGGAGTGTAACGACCACCTAAAACGGCGTTAGCAAGTTAGTTACTCAAAAAGACAGAAAACAGGTACCCTCATCCTTGGTCAAGACGTAAATCTGGGCCTGGAACTTCTTGACAGCCTTCATCGAGCCGGGGGCAATCAACACCTGACCACGCTTGATTTGCTCCCGCTTGACACCACGGAGCAAACACCCCATGTTGTCACCGGCTTCACCCTGCACAAAAGTCAGCCTTCAATGTACCTTAAAACCCAGCTGAACCCACTCTGTCGAGTTCTTTGTGGAACATCTCTGTACGACGAATATGAGGAAACAGTCATATGGTCAAGAAGAAGGAACGGACCAATTCCGGTCAAAGTGGTCTTGAACGACGCGCCAAGACCAACGATCTCGACTTCATCGCCCTTGTTGGCGATACCGCGCTCGACACGACCGGTCGAAACGGTACCACGACCCGAGATGGAGAAAACGTCCTCAACAGGCATGAGGAATGGCTTATCGAGGTCGCCTGTATAACGTCTTCAGGCGGGCGTTATTGCGGCAAAGGGCTAAAATACTCACGGGCAGGAACATCAAGCCATTCATCGCAAGCTTGGACCAGCTCCCTGATTTTCGTCGCACCAACTTCGTCGTCGCGACCCTCCAGAGCGGCCAAAGCCGAGCCCATGATAATGGGTGTATTTTCACCATCAAAGTTGTAGGTCGAGAGAAGGTCGCGCATTTCCATGTCGACGAGCTCGAGAACTTCAGGGTCCTGAACCATGTCGACCTTGTTGATGAAGACGACCAGCTTCTTGATACCGACTTGACGGGCGAGAAGGAGATGTTCGCGAGTCTGAGGCATTTGGCCATCGGTAGCGGAGACAACAATGATTGCGCCATCCATCTGAGCAGCACCAGTAATCATGTTCTTGATATCTAGCAGTATGTGAGGTTGGTCCAAGAAAGCGAGCTAAACGTAAGCGTACAATCAGCATGTCCTGGGCAGTCAATGTGACCATAGTGGCGGGAACCACTCTCGTATTCGACGTGGGCGGAATTGATAGTGATGCCACGGGCTTTCTCCTCTGGCGCCTTGTCGATTTGAGAGTAATCGGTGAACTGAGCATCGCCAGAGTCGGAGAGAACCTTTGTGATGGCAGCAGTGAGAGTGGTTTTGCCGTGGTCGACGTGACCTGTAGTGTACTTGTTTGGGTGGTGGTTCGCAAGGCAGGAGAGAGTAAGACGTACCAATGGTACCAATGTTCATGTGCGGCTTGGCACGGGAGAACTTGGAGGCGTCAGCATAGCCGCGACGGAAAGCTAGAAGAGGTGAGAGAGGCAAGTGTAAAATTCTCAAAGAGCACGCACTGGCGTTGAGAGGCACTGGAGCAAAAGTGCGGGTAGAGGCATTCCAGGCGGTGGAACGGCCGCGTGCAAGGAGGGAGAGCGGGCGAACAGCTGAGGCAAAATGAGAAAAATAAGAAAGCAGATAATAAAAAGAAAGCTTGCCTCTGGTGGAGGAGCAGATTGCCCTGCTTGCAACGGTTCTCTGGGCAGCGAGACGCAACATGGACATTGTGTTGTCTTTCGCAAAGGAATAGTCTAAGCGTGAGTCCCTCTTTCGGAAGAAAATTGGTCGCGTCGGAGTGTGAATCGGTGCCTGTTGCCCCATACATCCACTTTGCCGCCGATCCCGCCGCTGACGCCGACTTTCCCGAGATACCGAGTGTCATTGACCAGACTTCAGCTCACTCAAGTCCTTACTGCTGCACTAATGGCAACTCAGGACAGACAGGAACTCGTTCGCAACGCTGTCTCATTTCTCCAGGATGCCCAGGTATGTCATGTCCTTTATGTTTCCGTGCACTTCCTTCTAACCCCTGGACTCCAGACACAGCAGGCCCCGTTCACGCAGCGCGTCCAATTCCTAGAGGCAAAGGGCCTCACTCCCCCAGAAATACAGCTTGCACTCGCCCAGGCCGGGAATCAATCACCCCCCGCTCCCCAACCCGTCTACCCTCAGCAGTACTCAGGCCCCCTCGCTTTCGCCGGTCCCCATCCCCAGAATGGCTGGGACTGGCGCGACTACTTCGTATGTCCTACTGCTAAAAAGTCAGGCTCGATGCTGAGCCTCTCTGCTCTCCAGATCACTGCTGTCATCTCTGGAACGGTCGTGTATGGTGCAACGTCCCTCTTCCGGGTAAGTCATCAGCTTTGCAGCTCAATCACATGCACTCAGTCTTCACCAGAAATACCTTCTCCCCCATCTCCGCCCACCAACTGCCACCGCTTATGAGCAAGACCGGGATGCTCTAAATGCTCAGTTTGACGCTGCGGAAGCTCTGCTGAAAGAGATACAAAGCGAGACTGTTGCCGTCCGCGCCGCTGTTGACGAACAAAAGACCCGCGTAGACCAAACCACAGAGCAGGTGGAAAACATTGTGCAGGAAATGCGTCAGGGCGAAGTCAAGACCCGAGATGAAATGCGTGAAATCAGAGACGAAGTTGAAAACATACGTGAGATGCTTCCCAAGGTTTGTACTCTTGACTGCACTTCATGTGAGCCTTGCTAACGTTTGTTCTAGATGATTGAGAAGAACAAGGAGACTCAGAAACAATCACTATCCGAACTTCAGTCTGAGCTCAAGTCACTAAAGGCACTTCTACTCAGTAATCGGGGACCAAGCGGTATTGGCAGCAGCTCTCCCTCCACTCCTGTACCACAGTTCCCCTCGAGACCTTCAATACCAGCTTGGCAACTTGCTAGCTCTCCCTCTGCGACTCCATCAGCATCCGATTCCTATGCCGGCGGCTCTAGTTCCATGCCTAACGGCAAGGGCAAGGAGGTCGAGATCGAGTCGTGATATCTTTTAGACGCATTCGTATTAGCCTAACTTATACGGTTGTAACCATCGTGTCCTACTACTCGTTATCTTACACCCATGCAAGTGCCGATTTAACCGAAAACCTTGCCGACGTAGTGAATCATGTCCACGTGAGATTCGCGCTAAGTTACATATAGGTTCCCTCGGTGGATTATTGGGATCGTTACAACAAGGTGTTCTGACGCGTCTTGCCTTGGTTCCGCCGTTTCCTGTTTTCCTACTTACGCCAGGTGCTGGGGGGCACCGCACAGCTACACTCGCAAATGGCACCAGAGGACCGTTCGTCTCAAGACCTTGCAGGCCAAGGGGAGCAGGAGGCTCGTACTCACTCACCAGACAGCCAGGCCCACCGCCCAGGCCAGACATCTAGTCAGCTTGCAGAGTCTGCCTTGGCTAACCTTCGCAAGCAACTTGCGGCTCAACGAGCAGGCAGCCCTTCTCAGCGGTCGAGCAGCCCTGCGTCAGGCTCCCAGCGCTCATCGAGTCCTCAGCCGCGTTCGTCTCCAAACGGCACCAAGAACCACACCAACTCAGACACGGGTGCAAAGAAGTCCAGATTAGAAGAGAGACTTCGTGCGTCGTTCACTGTGGGGGAAGTCTCTGAAGGCACTACGCCTAGTGCCTCAGGGCGGGCTTCGCCCAGACCAGTGTCTTACACACCAGCGAGCCGTCACCCGCTCTCACCAACATCTACTCCACTCCCCGAGTCGCCTGTTGTTTCCCCTGCTACGCTTTTGTCACCACCCGACTCGCTTAATGGATCACCGGAACCAGCCGCTCCTACTCCCGAAACTTCCACTGGCACCAACACAGAAACTACAGCACCGGAGACTATACCACCGGACGAACACCTTCCCGCTGCTTCTCAGGCTAGCGCCTCTGCTGACGACTCTGTTCAAGATAATACCCTTCCAGACGCTACAGCTACACAATTTTCTAGTGAGGAGTCCCACGGGCCTGATCCTGAAGGAGGTGTAGCTTCCCCACCGCTGGAGCCTCCCGGCCCCACCGAAACATTAAACGGTGACGAACAATTACCCAGTGAACATGCAGATGCCAGCCTTCCATTGGCCAATACTAATGATGAGCTTCGAGATACACTCAAGGCGAAGTCAACAGCTCCTGATGCAGATGTCGAAAGCTTACAAGAGCGCCTCAAGTTAGTAGAGCGACGCTTTGCCGGTGCGTTTGCTAAATTTAATACACCGTTGGAACACCGGCTGATAAATTAAAGTAGACGTGTCCGCGTCGTTCAAAAGACTTCAGGCGGAGAGATCAGCAGTGAGCGATGTCTTCCGGGAGCTGACTCCTTTGGAGGGTACCAGTGATGTAGCTGCCTTGCGAGACTTTCTCTCCAATATGAACATGAAAACCGAGGTACGAGGATTTTTTATTTTTACAATCCTCAAGCGCCCGTTCTGACGCCTTGGTTAGCTCGCACAGGACGAGATCCAGCGCTTGAACGGCAAACTTACGCGTGCGTGCGATTGCCTGCCGGATCCTATCGTACTGACACCTTTGCAGGCCAGGAAGAACGAATCGAAGAGCTACGGGATACACACCGTCTCGAATCGTCGTCTCAGTCGGACCAGATTGAACGGATGCGAAAGCAGCTAGCAGAAGGAGAAGCGCTCATTGCGGCTTCGCAGGCGTCGACCGCGCAGACGGAAGAACGGAGTGCCCAGAGTAATGCGCAGATCCAAAAACTCCAGTCCCAGCTTGATAGGGCCAAACAGAGCGTAGCGGAAGAGGAAGAGAAACGCACCAAGGCTATAACGTTGCTCAAGACTGTGCGCCAGAAGCTGTCGAAGGCTGAGAAGGAGCGTGATGACGCAGTAAGAGAGCTCAACGAAGGAAAGGGAAGAGAGAAGGCGGCGAAGGAGCAAGAAAAGTCTGAAAGGCTGAGGTTGGAGAACGAGATTCAGACTGTCAATGCCGAGCGCGAAAGGGCAGTTGCAGGTCTTCGATCCCAGTTCGACAAGGAACTCGCCACGAAGAAGGACAAGATGGAGAGAGAACTGGCAGAAGCCCGCGGTCGTATGGGCGATCAAGTCAATAGTTTCAAGGTGCGCCCATAATCTGACGCTCCGCTCTTTCTTATTCTTAATCCTCCAGCAATCCCACTCAGAGGAGCTGGCGGCCAAGAACGCACGCATATCATCTCTAGAGGCTTCTGTCAACAAGCTTTCGAAGGAGAATCAAACCTATTTCGAGCAAACGCAAGTTCGGCAAGCTGAATTTGAATCATCTCAATATCACGCAGAGTCACTACAAGGCCAGAACACTGAGCTGAACTTCCAGGTCCGCGAACTACAAGAACGCATCGCTCTACTTTCCGAGGAGGTATCAGAGGCTCGAGATATACAGGGTTTGCAGCCGCAAGGGACACAATCCTCTTCCGAAGATTTGGAAAAGCTCCTATCTGCCACGGAAGCCAATTACGAGGCGAAACTCACGGAATTGCGCAAGAAACTCAACTCGATTGAGAAGGAGCGTACATCCAGCGAGGCTGATTGGAGCAGGAAGCTGAAGGAGAAATCGAGGGAGACCGACGAGCTGAAGGCGATTGTACAGGGCTCTGCGAAGGCACGTGAGGAGAAGGATGCAGCAGCAGCAGGTCTTCAGGATGAAATCTCTCGCTTACGAGTGACGATTCGTTCGCATGAGCAGCAACATGCCGAACTTGTCGCGCAGTTGACTCAGCACCGAGATCTTGAGGCAAGTGGTTCTCTCCAATGACTGTAATATCTTTAATGACAGTGTCATAGACTTCGTGGCGGCAACGAGTCGAAGAAGCGAAGAATCAGACAGAAGCCTTGAAGAAACAGGTGGACGAGAGCAATGGTCGCGAAGCTCAGCTCCGCGCTCAGAATAAGGTATGCCGCATAAGAACGTTGCCTTATCGAAACTTGATCAACGGTTTCCTTCAGTCCCTGCGAGATGAGCTACGAAAAGTACAATCATCCGTTGCACTCCTAGAAAAGCAACGGAATCCTGGCGTGGGCTACTGGGCGTCACGGAACGAGCGCACGGACTCCCGCACCTCCATTTCTTCAGCTTCAGATGCCCCTTCTGAATCCCTGACTGAATCGCCGAAACTGGCTACTCAGAACGGCGAAGAAGAGGTTAATCTGGAATACGTGCGGAACGTCATTCTTCAGTTCTTAGAACACAAGGAGATGAGGGTAAGTGGAGCTGTCGGCGTGAGGTCCAAGAGCTAACTCGTGTCTATTTCCAGCCTAACCTTGTTCGTGTTTTGTCTACCATCTTGCACTTTACACCCCAAGAAACGAGGCGACTCGTGGCGAAGGTTTGAGTTGCAATGTTACCCGACCGCTGATCGAGGGCCTCTCTGACGACACAACGCGGCGAGAAGATTGGAGTAGAGGAACTACTGGTACTCTAGAGGTTCACGATGTTGCTGCGCACATTTTGATGACATTTATTGATTTCTTGCAGTCTACCGTACAAAGGAGTGTTTTGACAGTTATGGGCTTAGTATGACCTGTCAACGCGGGTACGCGTCTTGTTGACTAAGGCTCTTTTCTTCCTCTTCTTTGAACTTCAACACTGCCGAAGCGTAAATGTATTATATCAAAAATCAGAATACAGGCGGGCACGCCCATAAGGCTAGACTAAACCAAAGAGATTAAGGGAGGCGGAGCTGGGGTACTTGGGAGACGAGGAGCACCGATAAATGTGAAAGCTGTCGGGTTCGCATCGAGATAATCTTTCATTAACGTAGTGGATTTACGAGGAGAACAGCTGGAAGTAATAAGAACGTGAATGGAATTGCCTGTATCAAAGGTAGCTTAGCCATATCCTGCATGTAGCAAAGCACAATCATTAGCAATATGTAAACGAGACTGGAGTTTGCCCGGAGAATAAGGGCAATCTTTTGGTTCGCTACCCATCCAAAGGGCCCCTTGCGGATATAATGCCCTGCCATTATAGGCGCCTCCTTGGCCCACCTACAAATGTGTGATGTGGTAACAACTCGGATGGGTACACCTTGCATTTCTCGAGGACCCACCGGCAGCGGATTTTGACCTCTCGAGCCCGACCAGAAGTTCTCCTCCTGGTCGGCTACGGCCCAGTGAGTGGACCCAGGGCACCACCCCCAGCTCACCTTCCCGTAACCCAGCAGCCGGTTCGCATATGCCATCAGGCGCGGACCCCCGTTTAACTGTCCGGGCTCATCTGCCTCGCTGGGGCCGCTACCGGGGTGGAAGTCGCAGCACGAAGCTGCCCCGGAGTATGGGTGATCCCAACTAACGTCCTGCACCCGTAAAAAGGGCACAGGAGGGGGGTGGCCTGTCCTCGCGGTCGGCTCGTTTTCACCTCATGCCCCCTCTTATCGACCCCTATCCTCTCGGACCCTTTCGGGCGCACAGAGCGCGTGGCCTTGGGGTGTGCGCACCTAGCCAAAGGTAGGGACGACTTGCACGGGGCGCCAGTATCCCAGCTGCTAACTCCCTTTACCAAGGGGAGGCCCCGGAACCGTTTTGCAGGAGACCAAGTGCCCACTACACCGATCTGTAGGGCCTGAGGACAGACAAAAGGAGACGCACCGGGCGGCCAGCATGCCCAGCCCTAACTCCTTTGCCAAGGGAGCACTCGGGCACCCCTCCTGCCGTCCTACTGGCGAATTGGAAGGCAGACAGGGATGCCACCCATGTTGAGATATAAAGCAGAAGGGATGCCACCCATGTTGAGAAATGAGGCAGAAGGGATGCCACCCATGTTGAGTTAATGGAGTCCTCCAAGGCATCTAAACTGCCAGAGGGTTTATCCCCCAGAGAACAGATGCCTCACTCACCACCTGATGAGAACTAACGAGCCATGTTCCAGAGAGCGATATGCTCAAGGATCGTGTTGGGGACGTCAGAGAGTAGGGGAAACCCCTGGTACGGTTGACGAATGACCCAAACCCCTGCCCCACGAGCGTGGGAAAGGCTCAACCTGGTAGTGGTATGAGTGCAAGAGTGCTCCTCGTAAAAGCCCCCGGGTGCATACTATTGAACTATTGTAGCACGCTCTGACTGCATGCACCTTCCAGCTGGACATACTTAAGTGTGCACTCTGACGACATCGATTTGCAATCTTTTCCAGACCCCGCGTCTCTCATTCACCTTCCTTATCATTCTCACTACGTGACGCGAAGAGCGCATGTCTATCTCAGAGCTAACGCGTAGCTCATTCCAGTCTGGCATCTCCGCCAAACAGGTACGTCCTGTTATTTCTCAAATATAGTTTGAAAGGTCGACTCGTGATCTGTCAGTGGACAGAGCTTTGCAAGCTTCTCATCGAGCGCAAAGCACAAGAATCTGGGGAGCAGATCAGTTCTTCGAGGCAAATATGCGGTACGCTCTGTGCGCTTCTCTCAATCTACATGTAAATTAACACACTTGAACTACGAATAATGGAAGATTCTGTCCTCGCTCTACTTATCAACTATCCTGCAGAGCCAACACTCGAGACATACTTACGCGAAGCTGTCAACAGTGCTCTAGTTTCTCGGCCTGTCTTTGCTGCCGCATTTCTCCAAGGCGCGCGCTCGCCTGAGCTGCACGACCCAACCACTCTGGATCACTTGTGCAGCATAGTGCTCGAATCACATTACGCGTCCGGACTGCCACCTCTTGGATCTCTCGTGTCTCTTACCGACCCTCAGCCCGTCAATATCGCGACCGTCCAAGACGTTCTATCTCTCTACCGGTTCTCCCAGACCGTTCCGCCTTCCGCCTTCCATCGACTGCCCGCTCACGCCACCGAGCTAGCAGTTCTCATGCTCTCCTGCGTAAACGATGTTTCTGAGCTATCGACCGCACAGGCCATGGTGTACTATGGTGAACTCAACGAAATACTACACTCATGCCGCCCTCCCACCGACCTTAGAGAAGCTCTGGACACGTACGGCATGTCTCTAAGCCTTCTGATTGGAGACGACGCCAAAGCTGCCAGGGAGGCCCAGATGATGCATTCAATGCAGCTCTCTCTAGTAAAAGAGGATGCGGTAGATTCGAAAACAGAGTCCAATGTTGTCCCGTGTGGAATGCTGCTCCAGCACCTGGTGCGTTTGAAGCTGTCGAATGTCCCTTGCTTGACGTATGTTAGGTAATTCACAGATCGACCGAATTTGGATCGGGAAACGACTCTGGAGCTGTTGCGATGATGATAGCCGTGCTCAGATGGACCGGTTGGACTCCGGCCGTATATTACACTCAATTACTCTTAGCTGCTCTTGTAAGCGTTTCACAAAGCACTCAGGGCGTCAACAACGACAAATCATTTTTTCTCTGGCGGGCATTTGTTGTCGGAAGGGTGCGCTCATTTCTGATCGATCGCAGATGATGTCGTTGATTCAGAACTAAAGTTGCCTCGCCTGATATCTATGTTCGAGAAGGCATTGGAAGGCCACAGTTCATCCGACATGGATTGGGTTAGTAGATGATTTGAGATGCATTCATTCACTTATACTTGATTCTAGCGATCGGCCATGCATATAGCCGTGACAAATGTCCTTCGGCGCACTGACCTCGTCTCTCAGTGCAACCAGCTTGCAAAACTGGGTGTCTCAGAAAGTCAGGATGCGCCCAATAGGTAAGTTCTGCTCATTATCTTGTAATTAATCTTACCCAATGTGAGCTGTGCTCGAAAGCCAGGAACGCCCATTGACGAGAGAGCTCCTCCAACAACTGCTATTTTGTGGCTTGATAGATCACTCCTTCGTCGTTACTGTGGACCCGACGATTGCTAATGATGGAATGTCACGACTACAGGCGGAAGCGCTTGAACACAATGCCAATCTGGAGGTAGGTAGTCGCATCTCATCGATCCCGTCAACTCATTCTAATAAAGTATAGACATACCTAGACTCAAAGCTGGCAGCTGAGGCTTCCGAAGAGGACAATAAAGCTCTGTTGGAGCGCATCAATCAAGACGTGGCGAGCCATGCCATCTTTGCTGAAGTAGTCTTCAAAGTAAGGTATTGCTTCACTGTGGCGCTCAAGCCGACACTGAGATGACTAGCGATTTAGTGGCCAAACCTCGAGCTCGGGAGATATTGAAGTTTTGAGTCACATCTCCAAACTGCTCTATACTTACGACGCTGCGATGGACCTTGTCGCCCTGCACGTCAGCTTCACAGATCTGCTGTTTCATGCTTTAGAGTCAATTCACAATTATGACAATGAAACAGTTGGTAGGCTTGACCACTATTACCTGTCACTTGGGATTGACCATGATTTCAGGCGATCCGCAGACGGCAGTTAGCCAGCTTGGTGATGTGATCAACTTCGTTCAGCTCGCTCTAAGTCGTTTCAAGGTACTGCACGGCTCTTTTTGCGGTGTTACTCGTTACTCATTGCCGATTTTAGATACTTTCTACTACCTTCACGAAGGATGGGAGAACAGTATCAGCAGCATGCCTGAGGTCCGCAGATGTTATCTACAGGCTAGATGCCCTTACAGGAGAAAGTGTGAACGCTTTCTCGGTGTGGTTTAAGGCCATATTTGATAGCAACAGCGAAGGCATCGACGACGCGCTCTTGAGATCTACAAAACCAGAAATCCTGCTGAACATTTCGGCGACACTTTTCTCGCGGTCAAGCCAACTTCTGAACGAACAGAAGATCGAACGGGATGTATTACACAATGGCGTCTCCTATTTTTTGGGACGCTTGCTAAATTGGACGCTTGTTGGCGTAATGAGGGCTCTTGTATCAGAGATTGGGCGGAGAGGGTAAGGCACTTTACACGTCAGACGCAACGACAAGCTGAGAATTCTAGTTATATGGCTCCTGCACAGCTGGAAGTACTGTGCACGCTTTTGCAGTCGCCCTCGTGTCCAGAGGTCGTCTTACGCCTTTGTGCCTTTGACGTCTGGAAGCTCCTTTCCAACAAGCGTGTTTATACAATTCCCAACGCGGCCTTGAAAGCAAACATCGCTACCTCAAGGGCGGTAGCTGGTCGTGTTCTGGGATTTAAAGACGACGGTATGCAAGGTCCATTATTTTCTGATCACCGGAGTTGACTGTTCGCCTAGGAAACGCTGTTGAACCCGATCCAACCTTGTCAGAGACCGACATGAGCTGGTTGGATTATCCCACTTCCTCTGTGCGCTCAGCTCTTTCGGATGCGCGAGCCCAAAAGGTCCCCTCCATTGACGTTACACGCTGCCTTGCAAGCTCGCAGCCCACTCAATTTCTTCACATGCTATTCTCAGAGCTCAGCCGTGCTGCTCTTGGCATGGGACTTGTTGGTGTCAGCGAAACGGAGGCAGTGAGATCTCTGGCAACATCTGTGCTATCATTCCCTCGCACATGGGCATCTTCTTCCCCACCTCTCCTGCCTCTTTTTGTTCATGTGGTTGTACCTAGGCTAATCGCCACTGTTGAACAGCAACCGTCAAGCGAGAAAAGCGTGAACACAGAACTTCTGGCATCCATGCTCTCTTCGGCTCTTACATCAGCTTTGCAAGTCGAGCTCGCCCTTCAGACAGTTCGTGGGCTTAACTCCACGGATGTTCCCGTGCTTGGACAACCTGTAGCTTCTATGGCACGAAGGCTTGCAGCCACCCTTCGCTCACTTGGTCATAATTCTACGGAGAAGATATTAGGGAAGAATACGGCAGGGTCACATCCCTCACAGGTGACTGCTGCTGGTGGATCTAGCACAGCTGCGGCTATCCTGCAACGACTTACAGCCTCAACTGTCTTTGTGACCAACTTTCCAACTTTTATGGTTCAATAGTATCCAGCATTTCATCGCAGTCAATATTCTAAAGGCGGGCTTACAACACGGCCGCTGCGTCGAACGACATATCAGTTAGAATATGTTGTAGTTGTCGGTGCAGGTGCTAACGCGACAGGATATCAGTTACCGGAGATAGTAACATCAATGTGCACTTACGACAGCATGCATTCTCAGAAGGATCGCATTTCTGATCCGTCGGACACACGATGAGACAAGATAAGTCATCAGACACAGTCTGCACTTCCTCAGCTGCCCCTGTGTCTGGGAGGTATTCGGGCTGAATTGTGCTCGAGTGAATCCCGTGCAGGTGCAACGCTTTGCGGATTGCAGCGGCCACCGGCATAAATTCGTGACTCCGCGATGCGAGCACATGCACAGAAGCGACGACCTTTGCCTCGGACAACTGCCAAATGTGCAACTCATGCACTGACAGGACACCATCGATAGTGAGAATGTCTCTGCGCACGTCCTCCAAGGAGATGTCTGAAGGGACACCCTGCAAGAGGACGCCGGACGCACCGCGGACAAGGGGAACTGCGGAGACGAAGATGATGACGGTGATAAGGAGACTGACTGCGGGATCGAGGTAGAACCTTGAGGGCCATGGTGTGAGCCAGATGACAAGACCTGATATGATCACCCCGACATTGCCAAGCGCGTCGCCCATGACATGCAGAACGAGGGCGTGCATGTTCATAGAGCCGTGCGAATGGCCGTGACCGTGATTGTGGCCGGTAAGCTCGGCGTCATGCCCGGCGGAGGACAGGGCTCCTTGAGAGCGGTGGCCATGAGTGTGCGAATGACTATCATGTTCTCCTGAACGACGAATAGAAGACGAAGTGTGAATCGAGGTCATGTCCTGAGCGGCTTGAACGATTGAGGCTCGAGTTGCCGCGGGGTGGCCGTACGCTCCGGGATATGAATCTTCCCGAGAACGTCGACGCACGCTCGAGTCCCTTGCAATATCTGCTTCGCCTCGTTCTATTTGACTAGGATCTGCTATAACGACGCGGGTCATTTCGAGGGGAAGAGACGCTCCGTGGTCACGATCGTGCTCGTGCTCGTGCTCGTGACCGTGACCGTGCTCTGTGCACGACAAATCAAACGTGCGAGCAGTGATGGGCTATGTATAGCTTACCATGGAAGAGAAACAAGCCAACAACGTTCGACGCGAGACCCAAGCACCCAACGATGACAACGAGCTTTGGGTTCGAAACGTCTGATCATGACTTTAGTACAGTTGTTGTTGACCAAACCGGGACGTAAAGCTCCGTACCAGGCTTGCTAAAGAACCGCTCGATGGCCTCCATGGTAATGGAAAAGCATAGGGCAAGGAGGAAGACACCATTAACGAGGGCAGATAGAATCTCAGCACGCTGCCAGCCGTACGAATAGCGCGCGTCCCTCGACCTGCGGCCGGCGACCTGTGCATTAGTAGGGGGTTGAAGCGGGGTCAGGCGACATTGGCGGAGGATACGATGGCAGAGCGGACGAACCTTGACAGCCCAGAGTGCAACAATGAGACTCATTACATCGCTGGGTAAGAGAAGAAAAAGCGGTTGTCATGAGCGGACTATTGATAGTCTGGGGCAACATCGAAGGCGTACTTGAGCATGTGGAAACTGTCGGCGACGAGAGCCAGAGATCCGACGACATATCCTGATAAGGTTGTTAGGATTACGCGCTTAACCAAGCATGTGTCGGTGAACACACCCACTACGAGCTCGACAAAGAAAAAGATGACATCTATGACCAGGAGGATGGTGATGCGCGCGGAGCGAGAAAGCTCCATAGTACCATGCAAGTTGGAAACAAAGTGCGCCGTGGGATCCACTAATAAGGATTATTTGAACGCTCTCTTTATACAGAGTCATTCGTGGAGTACCCGTTGGTTCCGACTACGGCGAACCCCGTTTAACCACGGCGATCGGCTGCACATTTGCGGGTCATCATCCAAGCTAGACTGAGAATGGTACTCAAGCTCTATTATGCATGGTGGGGTTAATGTACCTGTCCGTTGGGCATACATAGGATACGATAGCTGATATAATGGAAAACACATAGACACGCAGCAAACATGCAGCAGCTTATGCGTCAGAATGTGACGGTGCCAGGGGCGCTGGTTGAAAGTGTCATTCGGCGATCGCTTGGCAGGTGCGGGAGTTACTTACGACAACACGCGTTTTCTAAGGGATCACAGTTTTCATCTGCGGGACAGAGAATTAGGCAAGATGTTTCTCCCTTGAGGTGCTCCTCGGGAATTGCGTCGGTGGTACTTGATGGATGGTATTCTGGTTGAATTGTACTAGAGTGAATGCCACGGAGGTGCAAAACACGACGGATTTCAACGGCAACAGGCATAAAGTCGAGCTCTCTCGATGCAAGGACGTGCACCGAGGCTATGACTTTACTTTCGGATAGCTGCCAAATGTGCAGTTCGTGTACGGAAAGTACACCCTCCACAGCCCAAATAGACTCTCGGACATCTTCTATGGATATGTTTGGAGGGACACCCTGTAAGAGAATGAACGATGCACTGCGAACTGGAGAGTAATTGGATGAGTAAGCAGCCAGTATACACTAGAGGTGACATACCAAGAGGCAAGGCAGAGGAGAATATGATGACGGTGATGACCAAGCTGATGATTGGATCAAAGTAGTACTTAAAGCTCCAAGATGTGAGCCAGATGATGAGACCTGTAGCAATGACGCCGACATTTCCTAGAGCGTCACCCAAAACATGCAAGACGAGAGCTCGCATGTTCATGGAGCCAGAATGATTATGTCCATGTCCGTGTCCATGTCCATGACTGTGCGAAGAAGGTGACGGGCTAACGCTCTTTGCGTTGGACACGGTCGATGGAGTGGAAGACACGGGATGGTCATGCGAACGGGAACTTGCGCCTCCCAAAAGGGGGGTTTGCTCAGTGTTATCGTCAAGGTACGGTGTAGGTACTTGATCCCCACTTGGGTGTGCAAGGTGAACACTGGGTCGCGAATGTTGCCTTCGTGTGCGGCTCGGGGAAGTTCCAGGGGCGCCAACGGAGGAAGCCATATCCTGAGCCGCCTGCATCAATGATGCGCGCGTCGCGGCGGGATGTCCATACATTTCCCCGTATGAATTGTCGCTCGTGCGTCCTGGTGAGCGAACAGGTATCCTTTGCGCTGGTGTTGATAAGTCGGGAAGCTCAGACTCTGGAGATGCTACCATTGTATCTGCAGAGGGTGAAGGAGGTCTACTGGTAGCGTTATGCTCATGTGAATGACCATGCTCTGCCTCCCGTTATTTGCCATATTCACTAATATTATATGGGGCACTTACCATGAAAGAGGAACAAGCCGACGATGTTTGAGACAAGCCCCAAAGATCCAACAGCAATGACAAGTTTAGGATTGGAAATCTCTGCGTGAACAAGGAAGTGATGAGGATTTCTGGGCCTCTTTATGTGAGCAGAACACAGCATACCAGGGGTGCTGAAGAACCGCCCAATGGCCTCCATTGTGATGGAAAAACAGAGAGCTAGGAGAAATACGCCGTTGACGAGAGCAGCGAGAATCTCAGCCCTTTGCCAGCCATATGAGAGATCCTTTTTCTCAGAGGGGCCGCTTGTAAGCTGTTACTACTGTGAGGAAAGTGCCAGGAAGAACGAGGAACGGCCGACCTTGATGGCATAAAGGGCGACGATGAGACTCATCACGTCACTATGCGGATGTTAGGGGCCAGTACGAAAAAGGCTTGTTCGGAAATACGACACGTACTTGAGCATATGGAAGCTATCGGCGACGAGGGCGAGAGAGCCAACGGCATATCCTAGGAAGGGAGAATGTGGGTAAGGCGACGTAGTTGACGTCAGGATGATATAGGGGAAAGCGTACCGACGATGAGCTCTACGAAGAAGAAGAAGACGTCGATAACGAGAAGGAGAGTGATTCGTGCTGAGCGAGAAAAGGCCATTGTGTTATACGCCCATGCACAGGAGACAAGGACTGGCTTAAATTGGTGCAGCTATAGTTGGTTGGTAAGTAGTGGGACGACGTCGGCGGCTCCGGCGCTACCTGCGGGGCTCGGAGAGATCCATGAAATTATGTCAGCTCGGTAACTAACAGCCCCTGTCCTGTCTCTTAGTACTATCTACGCGCTTACTATATACAGTCACTCATCATTTTCCAGATCGCGCACCTCTCTATTCTCGAGGCCAGCTTCGTTTGTCTCCTTCTGTGCCATAACCTCGAAAGATAACATCAATCTAATCGAAAAATATGGCGACCTCCATGGCTGCCGCCCTCGCGGCATCGCTCCCAGCGCCTCAGGCTACTCCAGCTCCTGCCGCTCCAGCTCCTGAAGCCATACCAGCGTCCATGGCAAAAGCCGTTGACATTGAGGCTGAAATCCCAATCACCTGTGTTCAAATAGATGGACTTGTACGTGTTGATTTCTTGCCCTTGACGATTGTTTCTCAGACATTGCATGCCCGTCTTCCTTTCATTCTTCAACGTTCTTGTCCGCGTCTTCTCTTAATCATGTCTTTGCTCTGGCTTCCCAAATCTCGACCATCTATTGTCGCGATTGCTTCTTTCCGACTGGTGAATGAAACCTTGGACCCATGCGTCTGTACTTCGTGCCTGCGTGACGTTCCCCCCGTCGCTGCCAATACTTCGAACTGTCTCTCCTCAAGGTGATGTCCAAGATCATGAAACATAGCCGTGACACGCCGACGTCGAGCGCACATGGACTACTCACCGGACTTGACCTTGACGGAATTCTCGAGGTGTCGAACTCTTTTGCGATCCCTCACCATACCTCCAACGCCGACGACGACGATAAAGTCCACAAGTCTGTGGGTGAGTGCATTCACCTCGTCAAATCGTTGTATGATCAATTGCTTACTCTCTTCTGGTTAGCTCGCTACCAATCTTCTATGCTTCGAGCTCTCAAGGAAGTGCAAGGGGATGATAATGTTGTCGGATTCTACCAGACCACGACGCTCGGCGCTCTCTTCAGTCAGTCGCTCATTGACACACAAGCCATATATCAGGACAGGCTTAGGCACGGAGGCGTCATTGTTGTGCATGGTGCGTACATGTCTTTATATCAAATCTTCTGGCTTGCCATTTTCCTCCTCGAATTTGCCAACACGGGCGGCCTTTCGCACATACAGCTTGCCTTGCGATGCGTTGCCTGGAATCGTGATTGAGCTGATTTCTCTGCCCTAGATGTTTCGCAGACAGCACGAGGGAACCCATCTTTCCGTGCGTTCAAACTCTCGGCGTCCTTCATGGACGCGTATAGGAAGGCTAACTTTAGTACTACGAGGTGCGTGGCCTTCTCGTGTTTTGGACAAACGAGAAACAGTGTTTCATGCATGCGTGCATCAGCCTCATCAACCACCGACTGACGTTCTCAGCGATCCTTGAAGAGATCCCTGTGCGAGTGCGGACCAATGCACTTCTGAGCTCTTTCCTGGGCACGTTGTCTACTTCATCATCGGTGGGAGGGCTGGAGTCGGCTTCGTCTCCAGCACCACTGGATCGGTCGTGGCGTGTCCTGGATGTGGGTCAGGCAGGCACAACACGACACCTGGAGCAACTCGGCGATGCAATCGATAACTACCGGACGGAGGAGGGTAACGTTGCATACATGACGCGGCAGATCGGACGCGAGAAACAGAAGGCGGAGACGTATGTCGCGAAGCGACGGGAAGAGAACGCCGCGCGGGCAGCCCAAGGGTTGGCACCTCTTCCTGAAGAGGATGTTAGTCGACTGTTCAAGATACCGCAGGAGCCAAGCCGGTTGGAGAGCATGTTGCTGCTCGGGCGGATGGACGGGCTTGCTGCAAGTCTGGAGGGATCGGCGAGCACAAGCCTTGTGAAAATGTATGGCGCGAAGGCGGCGTAGGCCACGCCGCGTGTCCTAAAATAGGAGAGTACTGGGCATGCACGCACATGCTATCAATGATTCATTCAATGTCTTATTATTGGCGTACGTAGCGACGGAGCGTTGCAAGATGGCGGATGCGCAAAATTTTTGGCTGCGGGTCGAGAGAAACGGAAGCCTTGAAGGCGATTCAGATGGCTGCCGCTTAGTCATTGTATTAAAATATGCATTGTTGTTTTCATCGCGAGTGATATAAAGCCACCAGGTCGAAGCTTGCTATTTCCCTCAGGTTTCACTCACATTCCTCATCTCCGACTCTCTCTACCGGGTGCATAAAGTAACCCTTCGTTCGCCCCGTCGCTCCCTAGCACATTCGCTTTTGTATCTGCATCCCTTCATTTGTCAGTCCTCGTGATGTCGCCCATTTCCAGGTTGTTCGCTCTCTTTGCAATCGCTCTCTCCGTCAATGCCCTCGCAACACCCCATGCGGGCCACAACGCATTCGCTCACAGAGCCGTTGCACAGCACCAGCCACTCGCTGCTGTTGAGCCATTGATGAATGCTACCACCGTGGAGCACAAGAAGAAGCGCTCCCTCAGCAAGCGCTGCAAGCCCAAATCAGGCTCTTCGTCTGCGTCAAGCGCATCCAGCACTGCACCCGTTCCTTCCAGCAGCAGCTCGTCCGTCGCGTCTGCAAGCTCGAGTGTGCCGCAGAACGTCGCGCCATCCCCCGTGCTCCCCTCCTCCGCGTCCTCTTCTGTTGCCCCAGCCCCTACCAGTTCTTCCCCAGCTGCCCCTGCGCCTACCAGCTCCTCTTCGGCTGCCCCTGCTCCTGCGCCGTCCTCTTCGTCCTCGTCTGCTGCTGCTCCTTCTTCGACGTCGTCCTCTTCTGGCAGCACAAGCGGTCTGCCTTCATTCCTCACTGGCACTCAGACTGGCCAAGGTACGTTACCTTTGCAATGTCTTATTCAGCCTATTGATTTGTTTCGTAGGTACATACTACGCGACTGGTCTCGGCGCTTGCGGGATTACCAACACCGATACCGACTACATCGCTGCCGTTTCTCACCTTCTATTCGATGTCTTCCCCGGCTACAATGGTGCAAACCCCAATGACAACCCCGTCTGCAACAAGCAGGTCACCGCTAACTGTCAGTGATCCCATCACGTTTACTTCCACATATATTGACTATTATGACAGACCAAGGCAAAGCTGTCACTGTCACGATCACTGATCGCTGCACGGGTTGCGCCCTCACTGACCTCGACTTCTCCCCGTCTGCTTTCAGCCAACTAGCAGACCAGTCCGTTGGTCGCATCTCCGGCATGACATGGGACTGGATTGGTCTCGACCTCAGCTCCCTTTGAGCTGTGTTTACCCCTCACCCGATAGACTGGTCAGGGTGCAAGCCTCGCATTCGCCGATGGCTTTGATGATATCCTTATTCTCGCTTATTCCTGGCCCTCCTCTTTATGCTTCATATTTGTGTTTTCATGTCGGTTGATCCGTCCAAGTCACCCACACTCCCGCGCCTTGTAGGCGTTCTGTCTCAGTGGGACAGCGAGGGGGGTGCTGCCCGTCCCTAGCGGAGGCATTTGCCAAGCGTTGTTACGCTGGTTGGGTTGGTACATACACTTATTGGTACATACACCTACTCCCGGAATACAATGAAATGTGTCTCGCCATCAACTTGGAGAGGACCATTATTCACTAAAAGCCTTTGGCCTGATGGTTCCTGTAAGTATACGGGTGAAAGGCTGACCTCTGTCTAGCCTATACCAGCTCTGGATTACTCGTAGATCCAGGGATTCGTCAGCTGCTACAAAATCAAAGCACGAGCATACCCTGGGCAGCGGCTGACTTGCCGCTATAGTGGGCTTTTGACCTCATTCTGATAGTATCTACTCATCGGCATCGCGTCTACCACGTGCTCCCAATAGTCCTGTTCTTTTGTGCCGCGGACAGCTTCCTCCACTGCCCAACCAAGCGTATCTGTACACCGCTCCGGCGAAGGGACACTTTGAGCGCAGATCGCCGTGGCAGCAAGGTCCAAGGCGAGTCTCCGAGCATCCGTCAGATGACTCGACGAAGGAGGAAGAGCAGGAAGGCTAGCAAATGGACCGGGGATTTGCCCCCTTGTGGGATGGTTAATGGTGAAGAAGGGCACGAGGCGGGTGCACAGAGAGACAAGAGTCTGCTCGATCCTCGTTTAATGCATGTGCCAAATTTAATCTCGGTGAACTCACCTGCGGCTCAAGGATGCCGGAAGGGCACGTTCCACGTTTTAAAAGACACAAAAGCACACGCATGATTACCTACGGTTGGTCAGGCAAAATGCAGCCCCATAAGCGATGTTCCAGCCTACCTCTGACGAGCTCGAGTCGTTTGAACCCAACTCCCAGAGTACTCGAGGAAGATTCATTACCCATTCCTGAACTTTGTCCCACGAATCTGGCGATGAAGAGCGCAAGGAAAAGTGCCCTTGGTAGTCAACTTCGCTGTCAAGCTAAGGGCCTTGAGATTAATGGCACATATAAAAAGCAAGTGCAAACGGACCATGGCAACTCTCCCCACCAGCTCAACTGTCAGCTTCTTTACAGCAAAAGTCGAGCTCGTAAGAAGCGCATGGTCAAGCGCAGCATCTAGGACTAGTGCTGAAACATCCTGGCCCTCGACTGGTTGATCTAACAACGTCCAGATTGTCGGAAGAAGTGACAAGTATACAGCACTGGAGACGGGACGAGGGAGATTTGCACCGAAGGAGCTGTGACCCCGCAGAAGTTTAGTGACGTAACTTCCCACTCGTTGAAGTTGTCCAGAGAGCTTCTTGTCAAGGGCAAGGGGCATCATAGATCGTTTTCTCGTGGCGAGGGCTCCTGCTGCACCGTTACGTACGTGAGACTGAGGACGTGAGGCAGGATTGCCGTGCAACCGAGCGTGAGTTTGAACAAGGAGCGATGTCAACTCGCAATAGGCAATGTTTAGGCCCTGGAAGGCTTGCTCGATAGTTATTTCCCTATGGGCGGGGGTAAATGGAAAATAGCCAGTGATGTGTCCAAGGAGAACTCTCAGGCCATCGTATGTATCGGTATCCTATAGTTTGTTTATAGTAAGAAAATCAGATAGCAAATGTCGCAGACTAGCCTACCTGTAAATCTTGACCCTGGAAAAGAGCACAGAAGAGTGTGTGCATAATACTGAAGATGGAAGCTACCATCTGGACTTCGGCCTCAGGAGGGTTTACACTTGGCGAAAAGAGTGTCGGTGCACTGTCAAGAAAGGTTGCAAGGAGTGTCCCATGTAATGACCGTGCTAGATTCTGAACGGATCAGTCGGCTTAGTCAAGAGCGCGCAGCAAGCAATACATACTGCAACAATTGCAAAGGTTTCCTCTGTTCCCATAAATGGCGCTTCACTCAAGCCAGTGAGGGGATCTACTAAGTCTTCCAAACCCCAAATGCCTGAGGATGGACCGGAAAACTCCTCTGCGGTGCATATGAAGTCTTCTTCGCAATTATCCGAGTCCAAACTCTCCCGCCAGCGCATGACTATGCTAGCGGGAGGTTGAGAGTGAAATAGTTCACCGAACTTGTCGAGAGCTTGTTGAGAGTTGAACGATCTGCGCATGTACCACGTCGGGAAAGACGGCGTGGAAGAACTTGTTCCCGTGCGTTGTTGAGAATCGATAGCAACCCGCAAGAAATTGGCGAATGACTTGAGAACGACTAGTTTGCTCTGGGGTGTGTCAGCTCTGTAGTTCCCTCGCTGTCACAAGCTGCTTGCCTGCACTGATAAAACCACGCTAGCCGTGGAGGTTGCCTGTGCCGGACCTGATGCCTCGTGAACAATGAGAGTAGATGTTTCTCCGAGCGCTACACACCTTCAGCACCTCCGTATTTTGTGCCAGCGCTCAAAAGTCCCAAGTACCCATCTATAACCCGCTTTCCGTGTCCGTCCCCCCACCACCCATCTACCACGCAGTCTGGTGCAACCTCGAGGAAGATGTCAAGAAAGCGCACCGCATCGACACGTATCTCTGGAAAGATATGAGTCTGAGCGGATGTGGTGAAGAGGAGAAGCATAGGCATGTGCGGCCTCAAATCTTCCTACACGATTTTTGAGTTCGCTTGTGACACGGTATGAGGAGACACTGACTAGCGGTAGCAAAGGAAGAAACCAAGCAAAGAAGCTGAGCAGGGCCTTCCGTACATGCGCGTCCTGTGACATAGCAATAGGTTGCGGTTCAGGGAGGTAAAGCAGAGGACGTACCTCATCACCGATCAGGCGCACACAAGAGGCCAATAGAGTCGAAAGGGATGATGTAATTATGTGAGGGTGAGTGTTGAGTAGCTCACGCATACTGTAAATTGCATCTAGATAAACCTAGTCACTGGCAATGTATGCAGACTTCAGAGTTTTGCAGACCTTTTCGGGTGCCTGCACTGTAGTGTTTAAAGTGCGCCAATAGATCATCGAATGACAGCTTCCTCCTTGTGAGAGGGGTAGATTCGTCTTTTTCGACGGCAATGCTCTGAGAGGGCAGGACGATGCTGCGGGCCTTGAAAGAGGTGTCAATAACATTATCAGCAGGCCGCTTCCCCTTCCCAAGCTTGAGTTTGGCTTTCTGACAGAAATGTCAGTGGATGCAAAGACCGGTTTTGTTCTGAAGTTCATACTGAGAAATCTGCGGCCTTTGCCTTCTTTTTCCTCGAGCTAGAAGGCATTGCTAAAGCCTTTGGTGCGAGTAATAAGACGGAGCTGGTCTAGTGCAGCGACAGCCAAAAGTAGACAAGTTATCGCCTAAATGACATCAGGACATCGCTACAATCGCGTATCAACGCGCGCAAATTGCACAAAGACTTGGGAACAAACAACTTTAACTTTCCAAGCAACTCGTCGCGGCAAGGCCTTACCATATACCACTTGGTGCTCAACTCAGGGCTTTGAAAATGAACCAAGCAAGCCACGTTATCGTCGTCAACTGTACAGTAGTCTCTACCTTGAGCTACGAACTTCTTGGCTGGAAAACAAGTCAGACCAGGGCCTCGGGCCTCCTAGTCCTCATTCGTGTCATTAATCTACAGGAGTCTACAGGACGCTAAAACTCCTCGTCGTCCTGGAGTTTTGATCTCCTCAAAACACCTTCGGGACGCTAGTTGTCTTTATCCTCGGAGTTGACTTCTTCAGGATCAAGTACTACAGCCACAATGCTGCGGATTCTATGAGTTTTTGCACGCCCGTCCAACCGCAAGTGGGACTTGAGTGTCACTAAGGCTTCCAATCGTCAAATTCTGTCACAGGTGTGTACTGTATTCCTGGACGCATTGTGATTGTTATTGCGATGACCGCACAAACGTATATATGCTTTATTGCGGCAGTCGCCCTTCATGCCTTTTCCGCAGCACCAGCGTCATTCAAAGGGATGGCGAACGGACGCAACCTTTGTATTGGCCACCGCCTTCAACTCTACAAAGATACAAGTACCCCAACGACTACCGGCTTTATCTGCGTTCGTCGCGCCTCTCATCTCAACGGAACTTAGGTTCTGCAAGTCCAGAATGATACACCAAAGCATCGCCTCCAGCTCCTACATTCTTTCTTGACAATTTTCGGGATTGCGCAGCAGCTCATGCTTTCCATCAGATGTGACAACGTCCTTACAACGAACACCGACGGACGGAAATTTCAGCCGTTGAGGACATATAATAGAGCTCGTCGAAAGTCCGGCAGAGCAGCATCGTTCTCTCTCAGTCACATTTTCACTCTCAAAGATGAAATTACAACTCGCTTTCGCCTCTTTGCTACCTTTTGTCGCCGCTGCCGTCATCCAAGGCGGCCAGCCTGCTGGAGGTATCGTGATCAACACCTCGTAAGGATTTTGTTGTTGCCACCATCGGTGCACTCAGCCTCGTCATGCTCACGATTTTTTTTCTGCACTGCAGAGCCCAGCTTACTCAGTGCAAGGCCTTGAAGGTCACTTGGTCTGGCGGAAAAGGTAGGCTAGCTTCATAACGTATGGATGGGCATACGCTGACCAAAGCACCCAGCTCCCTACACCGTTACTGCCAACGGTCAGTCTCTCGGTGAAAATATCCAGGACACTTCTGTTAACTGGAATACCGACGTGGCTTCCGGTGAGTACAAAACAGGCGCTGTCATCAAACCAGCTAACGAAGCCATCTTTTTTTCCTCCGGCAATGCAGGAACGAGCGTCACATTCACCGTCAAGGACAGTACCGGTGCTCAAGGCTCTTCTGCACCGGCCAACGTCCAGAGCTCTTCTGGTTTGTGTTCATCCCCTCAGAATACCAACCTTTCACTGAAATAGCGTTCTCCAGATAGTGCGGGTCTGCAGTCGGCCGGCCACAAGCGTGATGATGCCAAGCAGCCTCTTCCCGAGTCGACGGGTGTCCCTCCCGCACCGCCTGGTGGACCGCACCCTAAGCGTGAGGATGAGGCGCATCCTTCCCCGCATCCCAAACGTGCGGATGAGGGCAAGCAGCCCGCGCCTCCTCCCAAGTCAACAGGTGGCCCTCTGCCGCCGCCGCCCTCTAGCAGTCCTCCCCCCAAGCGGGACGATGAGCACAAGCAGCCTCCCCCTCCCCCGCCGTCCGGTGTCCCGCACCCCAAGCGTGAGGACGAGGGCAAGCAGCCTCCCCCGAAGAGCTCTCCTCATCCCCCTCCACCGCCGTCTGGAGATCCTCACCCCAAGCGTGACGATGAGGGCAAGCAGCCTCCTCCTCCGAAGTCGACGGGTCTCCCTCCCCCACCTGGTGGCCCTCACCCCAAGCGTGACGACGAGCACAAGCAGTCTCCTCCCCCACCGCCGTCCAGTGTCCCACATCCCAAGCGCGAGGAGGAGGGCAATCAGCCTCCTCCGAAGTCAAGTGGCGTCCCTCCGCCGCCGTCCTCCGGGGCTCCCCACTCCAAGCGCGGGGACGAGGGTAAGCAGCAGCCCCCTCCCCCGCCACCCTCCGGTGTCCCTCACCCCAAGCGTGAGGATGCGGCAAAGCAGCCTCCCCCTCCCCCCAAGAGCTCGACCATTCCTCCTCTCCCTAAGTCCTCGGCCCCCGGAGGCGGTCATGCTTAAACTTGCCTTGGCTTCAAATATACCAAGCTCAGCGATTACTCTCTAATTCACGGTATATATATATATATCGCACTAGCTTTACTTTCACTACAGGCAAATGCGATAATTCTGGATCCGAAAATAAGGAGGAAAATGCACTGGAAAGTAAATATTTTCCTCCATATTTCTCTTTGACCAATAGAGGCCGAAAAAGTTTCATGTTCCGGTGAAATTTCAGGCGACAAAAACAAGCTTTCCTTCCATTTATGGATGTTAAGCGCTGGCGGAGATTCAATTTATGCTTCGACTTGCCTTATTGGGCCTCTTGGCGCACCAGAAAATGATAACTTTCCGCGTGCTTATCCCTCGCCCGAAAATCTGTAGGAAGATGTTTACTTTCCAGGTCATTTTCCTGCTTATTCTCGGGCACAGAATTAGCGTATTTGCCTGTAGTGTTTTACAATGTTTGGAACAATGATTCATGGTGTCTAGGCGGGTAACAAACATGCAGAAAATACTATACATATTGACAGTTACTGAAATCACTGATTCTTCCGGCCCTGATAAAATAAACGTGAATGGGTATATTGGTTACGGGCCTTATATACACTGTTGTTACTGTCGTTCAACTTTCCGAGAATACTTGTGGCTTTCGTTCAAACACAAATGACAATATTAGATCTATCCATTATAAGTTTACCCACAGGGTCCGCTTGGCTGCCCGGGTCGGTTCTTGTATCGCTCAAACACGATATACGAGGACCACCCCAGGCTACATAGGAGAAGTACGATGCAGGTACACGGCCTTTGTGGGGACGGGTGATGCGGGGGCTACCAGCAATTAGACCTCACCGAAACCACTACACACGCTTTGACCCCTGCACGACATGTGGTTATTCATCATTCGCGAGCCGCCTCTTGTATCTGATGGGCGTGACAATGTCTGAATTGTCGACATCTCTAGGGAGATGAGATGAAGGCGATGCTTGGATGCAAGAACAGACAAGTGTGTTAATTGGGTGCAGCGTTTCCGCATTTTATTGCCCGAGCACAATTAATGAAGCGCAGTATCAAGAGCTCGACAAGCGGTGTTGTGTAAGAGCCACGTTCGAGGGTGTAGGTGCCAGGACTTTAAAATATTGAAAATGTTCATTCATCAATTAGTTCGTGTCGTTGCGTTATACATAGAGCGAGAGAAAAGTTGAAACATGAAGAAAGGATTCCAATTGTTCAGGTATAATGCACCAATTCACATCAAAAAGCCTTGTAGCGTTCACCACAACCTAGGGAAGCCTTTCATGAAGTCAACAGTCAGGTCCAAGCAAGCCATGTCATCATCGTCAGCCGTGTAACCTCTGACTTGCACGACGAATTTGGCTGAATAACAAATTAGACTAGGTTCTCGGAAAAGGAGACAACCACCTACCCCTGGGAATTTCCTTGGGCAAGGCTACCGTCTGCGAGACCGTGTACTTGCCCTCTTCCACTGGACACTGAACAGAAACATTGGCGGATCGACTGACAGCATGCCGTCAGCACACAATCACAAGCGGGGATAGTAAGTATGGAATCACTTACGCCTCCTCACAAACATCGAAACGCTTCGAAAGAAGCTTGATAAGCCCCAGCTTGACGGTGACGTCGGCATATGCGCCCTCCTGAACGAACAGAGTGTGTTGAGTATATGCTACTCGGGAACGTATCCGAGCCACCTACTTCGATTCTGCGAGTTGCGGATCCAACCACATTGACAGTCAAATCCTGACCGGGCTGCGGAGGATCAGGAGACACTGTAATCGACTCGATGTTCATAGCATCCTCGGGGAGTCCTGGAATTGAACATAAGACGCTTGATAATGAGGGAAGGTTGCTGGTAGGACCGCACCACAGTTCTTGTAGTCCCATCCTTCCATGGTGTGAACACCATTGTTGAGGGTGACTTGGTCGATAGCGGGAGATGCGAGCGTGAAGCCGGCAATGCTTGCAGCAATGAGACCAATAGCAAGACGAACCATGGTTATGAAGGGGGAGCAGTGGAGCAAGGAGGTGTTCGGTTCAAATAGAGAGGGAAGCAGAATGGGAATAGAGACGTGGGAATAAACTGCCTGATTGGCACTCGGGTCGTTAATGACGTCCACGCCACGATCGGATGGCCTACCGCAGTCAGACGGTTCACTACCACTCACACCCTCTTGGCCCTTGTCCCAGCTCTTCTGTCCTGTTGAGATTTTCATTTTGCAAGTCACCATAGGGCCAGTTTGAAGCCTCATCCACCGTCCACATCAACGATTCTCCGATTTCGTTATGAAACCAAGAGATTACTGTTGCTGCGCAATCCCCCTGGTCAATCCTGGCATCTACACCACATTGACAGAACAATTTCTTCTTGCACTCATCGTTGGCACCCTCTCAGTCAGCACTCCCGTCAGTGAGTGATCTCGCTGTATTCATCCGACTGTCAATATTGATGATCATGGCCACGTTAGTCGTCGGCGCGGCAACTCCTTCATTTGCGAAGTGGATATTGGCGGTCGTGTGCTATGTCGGGGCTGTTATTCAAGTGCTAGGATTCATGGGAGTGAAGCAGGTCAGCGTCACATTATCAAGCGCTCACGTTACTCATCCAATATAGGAGAAGGCTACCCTCTACCGGCGATATGTCACCTTACATTACGGAGCAACTACGGCGGTGTTCGCAGTGGCTGCTGTATGGGTGATCATATCAGCTGCAAGGCATTCAACAGCTCAAACCACCTGTGAAAACACCTTCTTCCCCTCGACAAACTCATCTAGCACATCCTCTGAGGGTCAGACTCTTTGCGACATCTTCTCATGGGTCGATGTCGGCTTGATGGGCGGTGCCTGGGTGTTCTTTGCTATTGTTCAGGTAAGGATCTACGCTTTTATGCTACTTTCTCCCCATCGCTCATCTCTCTTAGGGTTATCTGTTGATGGTGGTGTCATCTTACGGTTCTTCCCAAAGAGAGGATCACGAAAAGTACGGTCTTCTGCACGACCCCAGCCAGCCATTCGGCGACGACATCCCCATGGCAGACCGTGGCGACCCCTGGGATTCAAGATATTCCACTGATGCTGGCGCACTTGGACACATAAGGAACGAAAGCACCGCTTCCCAGGTGGCGAACGCGCCGATGCAGCGATACAATGACAACACCAGTTATATGCCCGAAAGACAGTTATCGCAAGGAAGCCGCAGTAACCAGCTTTCCGCAGCCAATACCTTCCGACAGCCTTCCTCAGCATATACCCAGAACCCTCAACCAACACCACAGTACAACTATTTTGGCGGCGCAGAGGGACCTGTTGACCGTCCTCTTCCCAGCCAGCCTCATCCTGGTGAGTGAGATGATAAAAGACTCGGAACTTCCCAATAGCGGTGTATCAGCATCGGGTTGGTTAGACTTCGATTGAAACAACCGTGCATGACCGTGCTTATGCATCTTCTCTACAGCCGAGGGATCATTTGGCCGGAAGGCTCCTCGCCTAGCCAAGGCTCCGCCATACGCCATGTACTAGACCGTGCATCTCATCCATGTGCGGCTAGATGTTTCCCTCGTCGGACAATTCGTTATATTATGATTTCATTGATAAGTTTATTGGACGCTTGCGATATTCCGGACTTCATCACCCCAGTCAACTGTACATACTACTTGTCATGATGCTAGCCTACATATCCATCTACACCTCTTCTTCGGTTTCCCATGGCCCAAACTTGAGGTCAACATGACCCTCAGCAGCAAGACGATGCCATCGGGGTTGGCGCTCGCTTTCCGACATGACATAAGGGTTGCAGCTGAAACGCACGAGAGAGAGTGGCGAGGGAGGAGGAGCCGACAGTCTTTCTTCCAGCGAAAGACATAATTCTGTCTCCTCTTCCAACAGCGGGATAGCATACCAAGCATTGGTAACTTGAATTTTAATGACTTCTATATTAGTGGGCAGTGCAGCCACAAAATTGTCCCGCATTTCAGCCACCGTGACAATGGATATCGCGAAGTAGCGCAGAGCAGGCAGACAGCGGAGGCAAGCGGATATGTCAGCACTAGCTAGTCTATTAGCACCCAGAAGAACCAGCTTTTGTAAACCCCTTCCCGGACCTGCACACAGCGAACGTAGATGAACGTCTCGCATCTCAAAGGCTAAGCGGTCCCCTTGGGCATAGTTGAATTCGTTGAGATACGAGCTGGAGAAATGTTCGTCGAACTGGACATGATCAAATGAATGGCTGGTTATTCCGAATAAGTTGAGGCGTCGCAAGGATGGGAAAGACGTTCTGGTCTGGAGATGACAATCGCCGGAGAGTCGCAAATCAGAAATCTGCTGGGGATTTACGCCCTGGAAGGGGAAAACCCTCGTCGTACGATCCAAGTGTAGCTCATACGTTGACAAGGGAGGAGGTTCTTTGGATGAACCGATAGATGGGAACATAGAGCCTTCGAAATCCAAGTAATAGCGCAAATGCGGCCCTAAGAGGTCATGTCAGCCGTACAGCGTTCTCAATCAGAGAAAAGCATTGACTAACCAGCAGCCGTGTATGGGTGATAATTACGAGCACTAAAGGCTCGCAGATGCTTCAAGGATGTCATCCTTCTCAGTACCAAGTAAAGCCGAGAGACAGGCAGCTTTTGCTAGCAGAAACACAGTCAGCCTGACGTTAGCAACGCGCCCCTCTGCCCTTCGCATCGTACATAAATATACAGTAACTTGCCTTGTCGTAGTCGTGGGTCTTGCGACTTTCGACCATGCGACCGTCGTTTGCAACGTCTGCAAATACGACCAGCCTAGGATCCCAGCTAGTTTGAGCAAGAAATCGCTCTATCTCGAGCTCGTTGCGGAGCGAGACGTAGCGGCGAAATATGCATTCCGTCTCCACGTAGATTTGCTTGCAAGCTCGTAGGAGTTGTACGTGAGCATTCGATGGCTGCTTGAATCGTCGCACTCGGCGATGTTCATTGAGGATAAGTTGGTAGATGGCAAGGCGTATCTCTACAGGCAGATTCAGCAGCGGAGAAGACATGATGACCAACGCGTCAGCTGTAATGCAGGTGAGTAATTGCAGTCCAAGGCCGCCGCACACGTTGCGCATGACCTAGACAATTCTCATGAAGCTACTCACATTTCCCCAGATTGTCCATAGTTAACGTCGGAACAGCAATGGAAGGGATAGACATCGCGCACGGTGTATGCCATCCTGCCACCTTACTTAAGAACTTGGGACATTGGCACGGCAGCTGAATGATAACTGTCGCTGTGCATTCACCCCATACACCATCGTACTTCCTCCGATGTCAACTAAGAACAATAAGCTTCCGCATCCATGGTAACGATTTGTCTTGACAGAACTAGGTTCATTGTTAGCTTGATCTAGATATCGGTTTGTTAACTCGCCGTGATCTTGCGAGGCCTCCATTCTTAACTTACCGGAAGACCTAAAGAGATGACAATGGCCATGTTCCCCCTCGGACTTTGGCAAACGTCCAAATGCTTTTCAGGACCAAAGAAGGCATTTAGAGCGGCCCTTTGACATGCATGCCGTAAAGAAGACAAAAACAGTCACCAGTCGTGGATACTCTGCCTGGCTGCAGGTGACTGTCGCCATCGAACTGCACTGCAGACGCGTGTAAGGTATGCCTCGCCTTTTCAGCCCCTCTCCAGGCTCCCTCTCATCCCCTGCCCTCTCCGTGAACAGTGAACAGTGACAGCCAACGTAGCGTCCCTGCTGCATAGGACGCACCTTTCACCTCTCTATGCCTGCTCTCATCCAGTCGTCATATGAAGTCCTCCTTGATTTTATCAACGACACACATGATTGCGCAACGGTGCAGCTTCTGCGGGATTACGGAAGCAACACGAGTGCAATCGTGCTTTTGCATCCGGGAGAAAGCATAAGTCTCGTGCTGGACGCGGGATCGATATACAAGTACGCCCTCAAAAGTCATGCTAAAGTGGCGAATGTCAGGTGAGGCTAAATATCGTGTGCCGAAAACTATCTTCTATTGACACAATATTGGGAATCAGTGCTCGAAGTTGGAGGGATGTTCGTTGCAACATCTCCCAACTCTTCATCGGCCCGTGTCCTAACCGAATTCTTCAACGTCCACCTGCCGTTCTTCCAAACGGTGTGACAGTAGATCGGCTTTGGAAGGATCACCGTTTCAACGTCTGGAATGATTCGGTTCGTGCACCGAGTCAAAAGTTCATAAACTAGCCGTTGAACTCACATTTGCATTAGTAATGCAGGATGGCATAGTATCGCGCGTTTCTCTGCCTTGACAGACCCCGAGGACTCTTCATAATACCCAACATAACTCCGAATGCGATGGACTCTCATACCGTAATGTGTATCTTTGATTTTTATTGGAGACAAATAAGTGGTCCGCCTCTTTACCGCTTAGACCTATGGTGGCTTGAAAGGGACTAGACCGAAATCGAAAGCTCCTCATCCCGGTAAAGTGCAGTTCGACACGTTGACCCTTGTGTTGATCATAAAACATTTAATATTCAATTCTCAAGATCTGAACCTCAAAGGCACCTTCCTTGCTTGACCTGGCATTTTCATGCAGAACAAGATCACATGTAAGTAGTGTCTGACCAGCCTTAGACGCGTGCTCAGCCAGAGAGCTTCGCTCACTGCGCGCTTGCGAGGAGGCTTACTTTGATCAGAATATCAGTTATCCAACTTGTCACACGTGATGACGCTCCTATGAACGCATGTACATTGTGGCCACTGGTGACGCGGAGATATTGTCATAGCGCTCCTGCCCATTACTGGCTATGGTACTGATACTTAAGAGCACCACCATGTAGAATAGTGGTATACTTGCTATCCACATCAAATCATCTATCATGCAGGCCACAGCTAACCTCGTTCAATCTGTAAGTTCGGTATTCAATCTTTTGACATCTTCGTTGGTAGTTCACGGTGGTAATTTATTAGAAACTTGGTGAATATCCCACAGTAACTCAGTCGGGTTACAAAAACCGGGAAGATGGGGCCACTATGAAGGCACTCGCTTGGTTTGGCCCAGAGGATGTGCGGGTCATCGACGCCCCTATCCCTGAAGTCACTGAAGCAGACGATGTTATCGTGAAAGTAACGGGAACTACCATCTGCGGCTCAGACCTCCACCTATATCACGGAGAGATCTTAGCCCTCCAAAAGGGAGACATACTTGGTCATGAGGTAGGCGGCTTTCTGGGTTGACTACAGTGTAACCGAACAACTAATTTCGTCTAGTTCATGGGAGTTGTAGATCGCATTGGCCCAAATGTCAAGAATCTTAAGATAGGCCAACGAGTAGTAGCCTCGTTCCAGATTTCTTGCGGGAAGTGCAGTTATTGTCAAAAGAAGCTGTCCTCGTTCTGTGACAATACCAATCATTCATCGTCAGTATAACGCATATCCCTTTCTAGCTTAAACTCAGTACATGATTTCAGGCTCCAGAACTACATGTATGGGACCCGTGATGCAGGATTCTTCGGGTACTCTCATTTCACTGGTGGCTTCCCCGGAGGACAATCAGAATACGTTCGGGTGCCTATTGGCGAGGTGAACTTGCTGCCCATTCCTGATGGTATTTCAGACGAGAAGGTTATCTACCTTTCCGATGTGCTCCCAACAAGCTACCATAGTGTTGTTGATACCGGTGTCGAAGACGGAGATACTGTGGGTATTTGGGTAAGTTCAGCGTCATCTTCTATCGTATTTCTCGTTCAACGACGTTGACAATGCTTAGGGCCTCGGTCCAATTGGACAATGTGCAGCTCGCTGGGCGAAATTGAAAGGTGCAAAACGTGTGATTGGCATTGACCAAGTTCCAGAGCGTCTCGCGCTGGCGGAAGCTCACGGTATTGAGGTCGTCGACTTCAGTAAGGAGAAAGATGTTCCGAAGAAGATACACGAAATGGTTCCAGGTGGATTGGATGTGGCACTCGACTGCGGTGAGTAGCTTAGCACCAGGTCAATTCCATCAAGCTAATGCAAGAGAACAGGAACATTTCATGAACCTAAGACACTTCTCCACCGTGGCATGAAAACATTGATGCTCGAGACCGATGTGCCCGAAGTCGTCAATGAGATGATAGTCTCAGTCCGTAAAATGGGCCGCTGCGGGCTCATTGCCGCCTATGCTGGCTTCACCAATGGGTTCAACATTGGAGCGCTAATGGAGAAGGGTGTCAGACTCATTGGTAATGGTCAAGCCCCTGTTCGCAAATACTGGGAAGAAATCTTGAATGAGTATATCATACCTGGGAAATTTGACCCAACTTTGTGCGTATCACGATAGTTGCACCCTTTTTCACTGACTAACTAAATCTTTAGCATGATCACTCACCGAGTGCCTATTGAAGATATGGACAAGCTGTATGCCGCATTTGACCAACGTCTAGGTGGAGTTGAGAAGGTATTCGTCGAGACCTCAGCTTCGAACCCTCCGGGTCCTGGCTGCCCTCCCACTCGCAGAGTCAATGAATGGGCAAACTAGTCGGATTCTGAATGTTTCTGAATGTTGAACCAGTGTGAACAGCGTTAATCGCTGCTTTGTAGTCGTCTATAATTGTGTATATTAGAATATGTAAGTGAGCCGAAGCACAGTGTGAATCATTCTCAATTAGAACAACGATTCCGTGTTATAAATGGCGGGCTGTGGTTTATTCTGAAGCCAGCGGTCAATATTCTTAGGAGAGCCTAATGCACCCTTGGCGATACGCATCGCTGGCTGCATTTCGCCCAGGGAAGCTGCTCCTGCTCGCTCACGGTAGGGTGATATACGCGGTCTTGGGACTTTGCCCGTCGAGGCGATAATAGCGTCTTTCTTGTTGTTCTTGGCTTGCTTCTGTCGTTGCTGGAAAGGTTTTGCCAGTAGTTGACCCTGCAGAACGTTGAAAAACGCGAATTGAGACAAAAATCAGGTGTGCTCACCATATAAGCTGTCGCCTTTTGCGAGAGAACCCCAAAGTTTGAATCATTGAACTTTAAGACCTTCTGCAAGTTCAGCTTTGTCTTCGGACGCAGCTGACTGTTGTCCGAAGAATCCGACATAACCTCCCTTTGCAAGATATCATGGGCGTCATCGATTCCCTTTCCGGCAAGCTCCCGAGGTGCCTCTTGGCGAAGTCTGTCGGTCAAGAGTTCACGGCCTATTGCGCGTGCAGTCATCTCTACTCGCAAGTCGTGCGCGTTGTCGACCAGTTCGACCAAGGCCATTGGAGCATTATCGCCCTGCCGCGAGCCAAGTCTGTGTATGCGAGTATATCCGCCAGGACGTTCTTTGTAACGGTCAGCGAACTGACCAAAGAGCTTGGGCATCAGCTCGGGCTTGAGAAGAAACGCGCGAGCATTCTGGTAAGAGGAAAGGTCTTTCCGTTTGCCTAACGTGATTACCTATGCGTCGTGAGAGGCACGTTAAAGCAAAAACAGTTGAACGGAACCTTCTCTGCGAGCCGAGCTGTATCCTTTGCTTTTGGCAAGGTGGTCCTGATTTGCTCGTGCTCGAAGAGAGAGCAGACGAGGTTGCTTAGAGAAGGTCAACATCAGGTTACGGAATAGCGAGCAGCCTGAGCGCACCGAAGCATTAAGTCTCTGTGTGATGATGTCCTCGAGAACTTGCGGAGCGCGACGCCATGCTTCATGATTCGTGGTTGTGGCCTTGAGCAACCCGGTAGGAACGCGTACAGGTACTGGGACTATTTGTAACTTACAGCTTGCAAGCGCCCAAATTTCGCACCCGTGTTCTGCAGCTGTCACGTGAACTTCCCGGCGAAAGCCGGGCACATTGGTTTTCTTCCGCGTTTTCGGTGCAACAGTTTGCATTTCGTGCATTTCGTCAGCCAACCATGTCCTTCGCTCGTCTCGCTTTCCGCAACGTCGCCCTCGCCCGCCCCAGCATTGCTCTCCGGGCGCGCCAGACCATCCCTTCCTTCCGCGCGTACTCTGCGACTGCTGGCCTTTCGAGGGATGACATTCAGACGCGTATTCTCGATGTTATGAAGGGCTTTGAGAAAGTCGACCCGGCCAAGGTTAGTACCCCACTTTATTACTCCAAGTATCTCCTCATCGGACGCTTTGGACTAGCTTTCAACCGCCTCTTCGTTCTCGGAAGACCTGGGGTTGGACAGCTTGGACGCCGTTGAAGTAGTCATGGCAGTTGAGGAGGTATGCTGTGTCCTCTCAAAAACTCATCTATGCAATGTTCACAGACAATTACAGGAATTTGCTATCGAGATCCCTGACGCAGAGGCTGATGAAATCAAGACCGTTGAGCAGGGTATGTCACATTAGTCCTCACCTGCAGACATCTCCCCTGACATTCATGTTCCGCAAAGCAATTGACTATATAGCCAAGACGCCCGAAGGTCAGCATATATGACATAACGCTCACCTTTTTTCTAATAAATATTATAGCTCACTGATGGACCATACTGCCGGTCGCGTTCTCAACCATGTATTCCTCAACTATTTGTTTTAGACACGCTAGAGTCTCGTGCTCAGTAACACAGGACTTTCATCTAATGCTTAATTCACCTTTGTTGGTCCATGAGGCCGAGGCTCTGGGTGCACCCATTTGTTGCCCGTTGTAAGAGCTGTCTAGCATCGAGCTTCTTCCCTATGCGATCCTCCCATAAACGCCGAATTACCTTAAAGACCGCCTGAAATTGCCTTTTTCTTCCTTGGCCGACACATTATCAGACTCCGATCGGCGACCGCTCACTCCTGGTTTACTCATTGTCATCCTCCGATCGTCACTTGAACTGTGCTCGGCTCTGTCATCTATCTATCCATGTCAGCAAAGAACACCATTACTGTCACCAAGCCCCTACTAAAGGTGGGGTGCACGTTAGGGGAAGGCAAGCGGCTTGAATGTTGTCCTTTAGGGTAGCCTAACCTGCTCCAAGGGCCACTTTATGATGCAGCAACCGGTGTATTACATTTTGTCGATATCATTGAGCAGAAGGCAAGGTCTGTGAAGTAGCTGAAGGGAGGCTAACGCTCAGCTAGCGCAGGTGTATCACTTAAACACCGAAACCCTCGCACTAGCAACTGAAGTCTTTGATGAAGCGATCACTTGCCTTGCTTTGAGAAAGAACGGTGAAGGCGTAAGGAGACTACTCGTAAATCACCATTCCAAAGCCTTATGTTATTGTTATATTTTCAGCTCGCCTGTCTCACTGCTACAGGCATTGCGACACTGCAGGGTAATTCAACGTTGCATTACCTAGCAAAACCATTGCCACAGAACGTTGTGGAAGCTAATTCGAGGTTCAATGATGGTGCCTGCGATCGCAAGGGAAGATTCTTTGCCGGGACCATACACTCTAGGACACACAAGGATATTCGAGGCCAACTATGGATGTATGACCCGGAAAGTGGGGACTGCCATCTTGCTGATGAGGGCCCGTTTACGGTTTGTCGAACCTGGGCCTGAGTACTAAGCCGCAGCCTTACTAATCTCAACCCGGAGTCTAGGATTCAAACGGGTTAGGCTGGAGTCCAGATGGCAAGACGATGTAGGGGCCTAACGTTCAAACGTTCACCTTCCATGTCTATTAACAAGCAGAAAGGTACTTCACTGATTCCTTGGTGAACAAAATATTTGCCTACGACTATGAGGACGGCAAACTATCCAACAGACGTGTTGCTGTGGATGCCCTAGCAGTGGGTCTTCCCGAACAGAGCTTTTGCGATGGGTTTTGCGTAGATAACGAGGGCTACATCTGGAGTGCACGGTGAGTCTCACCGCTTACTATCACCCAATCTGACGTTGGGTGGCCAGCTGGGGAGGATCTCAGATAAACAGGTTCTCCCCGAACGGCGAGCTTGATACCACGATACGTTTCCCCACTGTGTTCCATGTGACAGCTTGCTGCTTTGGAGGTATGAGTCTCAATGCTTGAGTGATGCAAGTTCATCCCAATCTCATGAGATTAAGGCGCGGACCAAGATAAGTTGTACGTGACCTCTGCGCACTGCGCTGCAATTGGCGGCGATGCCACGCGGCAGAAGCAGTTTCCTGACTCTGGTCATCTCTTCATGGTGGATCTGAGGGGGCAATTCAAAGGAGGGGAATGGAGGTTCCCGTTCGGGGGCTGATTCGAGGTATTTGAGGGTCATTTCATGTGCAGTAATATGGCAAAGTGCTCAAGCTAGTCGTGAACTACTTGTGTTTTGCTGGACTGTTCATGAGGCTTGTGTTTTGTTCTTCGGGAGTGCAACCAGCCAGCTTAAGATGGCACGCAAGAGCTTCTTGGAGGTGCAATGCGTCGTCGAGACAGTCTTGCGTTTGTGAAAATGTCCAACATTGACAAGAACGAGAAACAACCGGATGTGCAGCAGTGCATATAGCTAAAAGTATAGTGGACATTTCCAGGGATTGCCTTGGACGACGGCATTAGCTTGGTAGTCTCAATTTCGCGGAGGCAACTCGAACGGTAGTCTCGAACGGCAAAGCGTCGACAAGGCACAGTTTTAGGTTGACGTGATTGGAGGGGAAGGGTGAACGGCAGATGCCGAAGGAAACTGCATAGTTCTGGTCACAGTGGCTGTCACCTTGCCAAGTTCCCACATTCGCCCCCCGACAACCCCAAGACACCGTCAAGGTAAGCAGGCTTAACAAGTGCACGCAGCGGCATACGCCTGAACAGTTCCTTTCCATTCTCATTTCACTCCCTAACCAGGTTTGTACTTTGGATCGAACATTCTCGCTCGGAGCAAGTGATCTAACGCGAATTTGTTGTTTCAGACTTGCGCCATGGCCACCTTCTCCTCGACCCCCATCGTTATTGATGGCAAGGGTCATCTTCTGGGCCGCTTGGCTTCCATCGTTTCCAAGCAGGTTCTCTCTGGCCAGAAGATCGTTGTGGTGAGATGTGAGGAGATCAACATTTCTGGTAGCTTCTTCCGCAACAAGGTATGTTCTTCCTGAAATCAATTGTAGGCGTGCATTGATTATTGGTACATTAGCTTCGTTACCACAATTTCCTTCACAAACGCCACATTGTCAACCCGAAGAAATCGGGACCCTTCCACCACCGCGCTCCTTCCAAAATCCTCTTCCGTGCCATCCGCGGCATGGTTCCTCACAAAACTGCACGAGGAACGGCTGCCCTCGAGCGTTTGAAGCTGTACGAGGGCGTGCCTCCCCCTTACGACCGCAAGAAGCGGATGGTTGTTCCTGAAGCTCTGCGGGTACTGCGATTGAAGCCCGGCCGGAAGTACTGCACTGTCAAGGTACGTCATGGAGGATTGACAAGGACGTGACATGCTCAATATATGGCAGCGCCTGTCTCATGAGGTCGGCTGGGGCTACAAGGATGTTGTCGACCGCCTTGAGGAGAAGAGGAAGATCAAGGCCCAGGCCTTCCACGAGCGCAAGGTTTGTCCCTACCACAGTATAGCCAATGCGTCTATTCTAAACGAGACAATTTACTCTAGCTTGCGGCTGTCAAGCTGCGCCAAAAGGCCACTGCCGAGGCATCTTCGAGCTTCCAACAACTCACCCAGCTGGGCTACTAGATGGAGAACAGCACAGGGTTTCTATGAGTTGATATATGATATGACGAGGCGTTACAAGACCATGCATGTACTTATGCGAGCTCTGTTAGGCAAGCGTTATGATGCTAGCTATCCACTGTCCACTGCCACTGTCTACGGCGCGTATTGTATGGAATGGAGTAATTCTAAGATTGCCCTTAGGGCATGTAATCTGGAATGAGGTCAGTGATGGCGGCATGACCGATGCGCACGCGATAGGCGAGAACGTAAATCACAATGATAGTATGTAAGTTATAATAAATGTAGAGCATGTACGCATTGCCATGTCCACCGATCGAGGAGTCAAGTGCGATTTTGGGCAACTATCATGTGGAAGTGAACGTGGCTGTGTACGGGAAGTGACTGCGGACACCGGAGGCAGTGGCGCGTCCAAACGGCTCCGACACAGGCTGACGGATGCGCGCGTCTGGACTGGGAAGAGAAAGTCAAGTAGTACCAGTCAGCTTGGTTGCACTCGTCCTCCTCCCCTCACGCCTCACGCCCTTGCCCTCCCTCTCCGTCCCCCGTCCCTCGCCCCCCGTCCCTCTTCACCGCCCTCCCGCTACTCCACTCTCCTCCTCTACCCTTTGACCCGTCCCCCTTCCGTCCTCCACCCTCCTCCGGCCATGTCTTCCAAGTCCCCCGTCAACCCCGACTCTGGTCTGCATCTCATCGCCTCTTGTTCAACCGGCTGCACACTCATATTTATTTCCCACAGCCGGCTCCCGTTCTCCATCCCCCGCCCCAGGAAATGACACTCTCACACTTCGCGCACTCGTCAGCACAAAAGAAGCAGGCGTCATCATCGGCAAGGCAGGCAAAAATGTCGCCGATCTCAGGGACCAGACCGGTGTCAAAGCAGGCGTCTCCAAGGTCATCCCCGGCGTTCATGAACGTGTCCTCACTGTTGGTGGCTCCGTTGAGGCCGTCGCAAAGGTGGGTTCACCTCAGCATCTATGCGTCAGATACACCCTGATCGAACATCTTCTAGGCATACACCCTCATCATCGCCCAGCTCGTGGAATCTAACCCAACATCGGTATCGATGTCCTCACCTTCCCCTCACACCTCTATACGACTTTTAATCTCGCATAATCTCATGGGTACCATCATCGGCCGTAATGGATTGAAGATCAAGGCCATACAAGACGTTACCGGCGTGCGCATGGTAGCGGCTAAGGATATGCTTCCTCAGTCAACTGAACGAATAGTAGAGGTTCAGGGCGCACCAGAATCGATCGGCCGAGCGATCGAAGAAATTGGCAAATGTTTGCTGGAGGACTGGGAACGGGGCTTGGGCACCGTTCTGTATCATCCGGGAACTGTCGACGACAGATCGGGCTCTAAGCGTACCAACGGATACGCTGGGGGCCGTAGATCGAACGGTGACACCGCCCGCGAGCAACTGTCCCCCTCATCACCCCAGTCGCCAACCTCATCGCCTCAAACAAACCTTCGCACCCAGAACATCTCTATCCCTTCCGACATGGTCGGGTGTATCATTGGCCGTAGCGGGACCAAGATCACAGAGATTCGCCGCCTTTCTGGATCGAAGATCTCCATAGCCAAGGTTCCGCACGATGAAACAGGCGAGCGGATGTTTACCATCATTGGTACACCTGAGGCAAACGAGAAGGCTCTGTTCCTCCTTTATAACCAGCTGGAAAGCGAGAAAGAAAGGAGGGTTGGCAGGGAGCAGCAGCAGCAACTGCAAGAGCAGGTGTAAATCCTGCAGACCGGTTTTGCCCACGGGGCATTTTGGTCACATCTCAAAAGCAACCTATGAGCATCAAAGCCACACTCCCCTTCCTTTGCCCTATCACCTAACTTTCTCCCGCTGCTTGCCTTTCCCTCATATATGCGCGTTGGTGCATTCTTTTACCGGACTGCGTCCTACAATTCCTCGTCTCCTTTCCCTGTTGCTGCAGTACACTGACTCGTAGTTGGTTGATTACCGACTTCTAGCCCTGCTTTCCTCTGCCTTGTGCTTTGAAGCCATGCCTTTCTCGTGCACGAACCGCCTCACCTCACATCCGCTCCTCCTGCCTTGTCCTTCGTCTGCTGTCGTTTTGTGTTTGACATAAGCTTACAAAGGTTGCTCTATTCTGGCTGATACGTCTATACTATTTTTTTTGCATTCGTACCATATTGACATCATGATGCTCTCTGCACGCGTACGAGCTTACTACGATTCGGTGTGATGACTATAGATGGTGCTCCTGTGATATTAGAAGGTTTTTATAAAGGGCCAGCATTGTGTGATGGGAAATTTAGCCCCTATCTTCATCGTACATTTCTAGCGCATAAGCGTTTCCAGGCCGCTTCGATCATGTCAAAGTAGGTAAGTGTCATTCGACTGGACTCCTTCACGGATAAAACCATCCTGGCAAACGTGGACCTGCGAAGATCTGCGGTGTGGAGAGCTATCTGGTTTTTCCTAAACACGAGGACAAAAGGATGTATCCCAGTGAACCTTACGGAGGGCAAAGGCAGGCAGCCATGGCGAGCAATGCATTGCTGAGCGCTCTCTCTAATCCTTACGGGCAATCACCCGTGTACAACATCTCTCCACACTACTATAATGCCTACGCGCAGGCTCCGGGTAGCCGGCCACTCGCAAATGCAGAGGGATACACGCTTTCAACAGCCTATCACCCGCAAGTTCCAGGCTTTAGACAAGGAAACTCAGGTCCTTGGAACACTCATGCTGCCCCGGCGGCCTCTCGATCCAGTCATTTCGCTCAGTCGAACGAGGGCAGCAAAAGACCCATGCCGCAGCACAGAAATAACAACTCTTGGTACCAGCCTGGCAACGCTCGCTGCTCACACCCCGGTTGCTCGTTCATGGGCTCGCACAAGTCTCTCGAACTCCATATGATGGACAGGCACCTTATCTTTCCCCCAGGATGGGAGAAAAGAAGGAAATCAGACGAATGGGACGCCGATCCTAGCTTGAAAGGGTGAGCCATGCGTCCGCGACGTACACATTCGCCCCCCATACGTATCATCATCTTCTAAGCCCACTGCTTTCCCTTGGTATAGGAAGCCCATGTCCATCCAAGGCACTTCCATTGTGCTGGACACGCCCGAAGCTATCGACGACTGGATAACCGAGCGCAAGAAGCGGTTTCCTACCGCGCAAAAAGTTGAGGACAGGAAGAGAAAGCTGGAGGAAGCCCGAGCCCGCGGACAGCTGGTGCCTGGTGACTTTTCTCGGCCGTTGAAAAGGCCCAAAAACGACGATTTCACGAGGTCGGATCGTCCAAGAGGAACCCGCGGTTCTTTCGGGAGAGGAAGAGGACGTGGCAGGGGTGGTGGTCAGCCGGTCAGGACAAACGCTCCGCCCCAGAGTGCCACTTGTGAGCCTCCGGCTATCATACAACAAAATGCTCGCGAAGCACCTCCAAACATCGATGTCAAAACATTCCATGAATCAAGCGATGATGACGATGGTGCCCCAGAGGAAGTGACAAGCAAGGCAGCCCCTCCGACGTCGCTTCAGGACGATAGGAATGACAGGAACCCTGCCGAAGACAAGCAAGAGCCTCCGGAACCCGCGCGGAAGCCTGCTCCGAAGAGACCCAAACCACCTCCCCACAACCCGTTTGCATCACGACCCGTCCTTTTACGAAACGTAGGTTTGAACTGTGCTTCACTAGGACTAAGAAACTTATCTGTCCTTTTCAGCTATTGCTACCTGAAATCCGCATGACAGTATCGAACCTGTCGCAAGCCATTCGATTCATCGTGGATAATGATTTTCTTGACAATGTCGAGCTGAAGGCTGGCGAAGCCAACGACAAAATGATTGAAGAGGTGGACGGCAGTGGTGAATCTATCCCTCTTTAATTTCTTGATAGCGTCGGTAAAATGTGACTTAGTTGCTGCAGTATATACGGATTAGATTGCGGTGTGTCTATGCTAAGTTGATGCGTCATGTAGAGTTGAGATGAGATGTAAGAATTAAGCACTCTCCGAGCTACTCCCACTACTGCTAGACTCAGAGCCATCCTCCGAACCGTCTTCCACCTCCAGTGTCCTTTTTTCGACCTTGAAACCCCGAGCGGTCAGGCTTTCCACAATTTGGTCTACCTTGGATGGAGCCGTAACAGCCACGACGGTCGAAGAAGATGGGTCAAACACAGGCAGGACGTATTTCTTGAGTGCCACCAGGACATCCGCCTTGGTGACGGTCTGATATTTCTCTAGAAGTTCCTGGTTGAAGTTCTTTGAAACGCCCTTCAGTGCTTGATTGAGGAACGAGTTGAGGGCCTGGTTGAAGCGCATATAGCTCAGTGAAAGGGGTAAAAGAACGTAATCTAGCTGAACCTACGGCCCGATTTGGAGACGCAACATTTTTAGCGACGTCGTAGACAATGCTACTCTTTGCGGCATCCAAGGATGTCTCGTCCAGTTCAATCTATGGCCAAATCAGACTCAAAATAAACGTATCACTAGAACACTGAGAAACCCACCGAGCCATCCGTGAGGCCTTTCACGACCGTGTAAGCCTCTTCATACGCTTGCATGCTGTTCGAGCTCTACTTGGCATTAGCTTCATATACCTGTGATTCGGAAGGGTGCTTACTCGATATAAATTGAACGTCAGAAGACCAGACTCCCGATCCGGAGACATGTAGGCACCGTATGCCAGACCTGAGCCACGAATTGAGCGCTGCGAATAGTTCTTTAAGCCAGACTTCGGCAATTGAGGTAATGAAACATACCCATAGGAAACTCTCTGCTGCGTTAAGGACTTCCAAGGCGATGCGTAATGCAGGATACTCGGGATCATTGAACCCTTGGATGCTTCCCGTTGTGTGATTGGCGTATGTGCTCTCGATGGATGCCAGACTGACGACAGTCGCCTACGGAGCCAGTTATGATAGGGACTCCACTTGGAAGTCGCGTCACGTACCTGTCCACATGGTTTCTTGCCCATCTCACTCAACGTTTCGCTCGTCATCCGTACAGGAGCGAGCTCCGCCTCCTACGAAAAGTAAGTATCTACCGAGGCGTACGCGTTGTGCAATAGTACTAACCGGCAACAAGTCCCTGAAGTATTTGGCCCATGTGCTTCGAGGACTGGGCAGGCTCAAGATATCGCCAGTGACACCGATGCGCACACCGCTGGGATCTGTCACTGAAGAAAAGACTTGTTGGATGATTGCGACAAATGGCGAGAAGGTTATCTTACGATGTTTGCGTATTGATTTGAAGTCAGCGATAACTTCTTCCGGCCGTTCATTCAGCGCTTCGACGAGCTGGGGAATGAACTCTGCCTGTGGAAGAGGTGCACTTGCCCTAGATGTCGAGTTCTTATCGTACAGGTTCTCCGACCAGACGGATGCCAGGACTGTGTTACCATCACGCTTCAGTTCCGGGAGAGACTGTAGGAGCTTGGCAACAGTGACAAGAAGTCTGAATGAAATTAGATATTTAGAGTATTGTGGCTAAGAATGATGAAAATGCTTGCCTTTCTTTGTCAAACTCGGCCCCATACATCAAATCCCGAAGCCAGGAAATAGCGGATTCATATGCCGATGCTTCAACTTGAAGGAATATGTGGAGTGTTTCGGGGATTTGATCTGAGATACCCAGTGAGGCCTCATAAGAGACAGTCTCATCATCAAGTTTGTTGATAACTTGTTCATGAGACAGGCGTTCCCCTGACTTGCGTACCACGGGCAAAGAGAAGAACGCGGACAGGTATGTTGATATGTACCTAAAGCAGGGACAGTGAGTAGGACATAAATATATCGCCTATCGGCACTTACGGACGCAGCCTATCGGGTAGATTCGCCAACGAGAAAGTAGCATGAACACCAACGAAATTAGACTGTACAAAACCATACACAATGACTTCAGAAAAGGAAAGAAGGCAAAATCGAGTAACTTCTCGTACCTTGACGTGGTCGTATTCAATGAAAAAGGGTAGCGGAGACCCGTCCATTTCGATATGGGAGGCTAGCTCAGACGCCCCAGTAGAGTCAAGCTGATTACGGCCCTTCCCTCGCTGCTGAACGCTCTGAACAGGTATCCAAGATATGCTCTTAACGTCAGGGACCGGGAAGGACTTCAGGATATCCGTTGGGATGGGCTTCTCGTGCTCCAACTTAGCGGCCTCGAGCTCCTCTTTGGCTTTAGCGATACCGGAAGGTCCGAGGCTCTCCCGCTGCTTGGCAAGCCGCGCTTTCTCCTCCGCCTCCAGTTTCTCTGCCAGCTTAGAAGAGGGTTTCCCGATGACGACAATGTAGGGAGGGTCCACGAAATATCTTGAGACCACTTCGTAAGCAAACCCAATCCCTTTGACGGTGTCAATAGCACATACCGCTTCAAGAGATCAACCCATTGCTTCTCAGACCATTGTCGCAGCTCGGCATAGTATTGAAGTTCGTTCAAAGAAGGGCCAAGATCAGAACCATCTTCAGCACCGTACAGGAAATCAGTGATGATGGACCCGGAGAACGTATCGCCTTTCGAAGACTCCAGTTTGCTACGAAGCTAAATTGAGTCCAGACGGTCAACACATAGTCTGAGATATCTAACCGGATCATGTACCTGACGCTCATCGCGATTGAGAACCATGGACATTCTGGTCATATCAATACCCTCCTTAGCGATCCTGCCGAAACTTGCTACTAGCTTTTCGTCGAAATTGTCAAGGTGTTCAGTCGGCACGGAGCCAACATATATAGGCAAATCAACCAGGGTAGCTCTCGTGTCTTCGCTCAGGTAGATGTAAGAGCTAACGGCTGTCAGCTTCAGACGACGACACGGGAAGAAAACCTCTCACCATAGAGGCGACTCGATTTCGACGTATTCCTTGTTCAGAGGAGCAACAGGGGAAGAAGTCAGGTACGTTGACAGGATGTCAAGGGCCTAGGCATGTACATTGGTCATTCAAAAGGCAAGGGAATTGATCTGTCACCATACCTTCCTCTCCAGAAATGCCGTTGGCGATGGACCAGTGTATGTAACGAGCAATTCACCAACACTCTCGTCCTGTTCGGGAAATTCGATAGTTTCCTTGGTTATCTTTTCAATGGGCCCGCGCCTTGCGCTGGCCGTTTCCGTGAAGGGACGCTGCCAACCTTTCGGACGAGAACCCTTGTTTTGATTGTGGGCGACGATGATGGGCTCGACTTGCTCCTGAACAACTTTGAGCAAGGACTGGGTACCGTTAGACATCTTCCCTGCCACAACTAAGGACAGATTGTGAGGAACGTAGTATGTCCCATGATAATCACGAACTTGATATGCAATGTCAGTGAGAGATGACACACAAAAGGGTATGATTTACTTTGCTCGACCGAAAGTTTCCGCAACGCTTCCATAAGACCACCCGTTTCGCTGCGATATGCACTGCCTGGAGGATACAGAGTACGCTGGGACCTGTGAAGGGTTATGAGTTCTCGTAAACGTTAAGTAGTGGATCAGATACAGACCGAAGAGCCATGAGATCACCGGGAGTGTTCTCTCGGCCTTGCATCTCGCTGTAAACGACACCGGAGTTCTCTCCCTCACCGTTAACGTGATGTACCTGCATAGCAGTCAAACTCCGACTAAGCCATCATCAAGCGAAATAACCAACCTCGGTTATGAAGGAAGCCTTGGTCATGGTGGGATAGAGAATGTGATCTAGATAAATAGGCAAGAGTTGAAGGAATCCCTGGTCACCAGCCGTAGACGCGGTGTACGCTGTAAAGATGTCAGGCCCGTTGCTGATATAAAGGCAGAGGGTAAACTTACCAGTGTGGTCATTGTCTGTCCAAGCATTTGTACCGTTAGAGAAACCACGATTGGCAAGGTGGTCTATGATCCCCTTGTATGGGTACTTTTCCGAGCCCATGAATACAAGACTATCGGGGGACATGGATCAGAGTATGTCTGAGACGATCGACGTGCGACGTACTGTTCCAGAGTGTGAGGACACCCGCTGTCGTTGAAGACTGAGTGTCGAATGTCAGCAGAACGGATGATGACTGTCAATTTGCAGTGCTACATACTCTCTGTAGCGATGACGAAGTAGCCATTGACGAGAGGTGCTTTTCAAGACGTTAATAAGGGTGACGAAGAGGGATCTGTGGGGAGGAAGCATACCTTCATAATCAAGGTGAACGACGCTGAGGCCTGTTTCTCTGCTCTTCCATTTGGAGACCGAGATGTCGGTCGAGTCTAGGTTGATGTGCTTTATGAGATCGAAGTTGCCATACTTGTCGGACAGTGGCTCAGAGGAAGGTGCGACTCTAGCGGTGGCGGTGGACGAGAAATTACCGTTGAGAGAGCGCTGCATTGAAGAGAGGGAGAGTTGTGGGATAGACGACCGCGGTCGAAATCGATGGAGGCCGAGTCCGGGGACACTCCGAAGATGGCGTCTCGCTATGGCCCCGAGTGCATACATCCAGACCGAACGACCAGACCACTACAACTACAATATTAGTTAGTAATAGTCCTAGCTGATACTGCAGCTATAAGCAGAAGCCAAGCAGTACAGCTGTAAATTAATTGCATTAATTGCACCCGTTACGTCAGCACCGTGACCCGTAATGCGACTGTCCTTCCTCCCTCGAGTCCAACTTAAATCCGTTATGACCACAGGCAAAGCGCCATATATCCCGACCCCAGAACAGCTCGTCATAGCAGAGCAGAGACGTCAAAAGCGGTTGGAGAAAAAGCATCAGCCGCAGGACAAGGGCCAGCCAGATATCAATCAGACCTCTTCATTTCTATCCCGGCCATGGATTACTTTACCGTCTCCTGTCGATACGACTACTCACAATGCATCCGTCAAAGTCATGACTTGGAACGTCCGTGTATTCGCAAAAGGCTTGTACTAGAACTTCACCTAACCCACCTGTAGCTGCTAGCCCAATGTCTCGTCCGTAAGCCACCGTGCTATTCCTCGCTGGTTCCTTTCTTCACGTCCATCAGGCAGAGAACTCTTCCCAACCAGTGATAAGGCCCTCAAGGCTGGAGAACGTGAGCCAATGATACACAGCGAAATTCTATCGCACTCTGCCGACATTCTCTGCACGCAGGCTAGTCGATCTCTCGACGCGTTCGCTTGATTGTGCTTAGACAGACAGACAAACAGGAAGTTGACCGACTCGAAAGACTTGTGCCCATGCTTGAGCGCGCTGGCTACTCTTCGACTTATGCGTCTGGAGTGGGCAAGAAACACGGCTGCCTCATTGCGTATCGAGCAAGCCGATTCGAAAAGGTTGCACACAAAGTCATAGCATATGACAAACTATCGGGGCGACAGAATGACCAAGGCGACGTCAAGCTAGGCCTATCTCGTAACACCAACAATATCGGCTCTATAGTTGCATTGCGAGACCTGAGCACAGACTCCGCTGGTTTTATCGTCGCAACTACACATCTGTTTTGGCATCCAGCGTATGTTAACTAGGATTTAATTGAACAGATCAAGTTTGCCTTACTCATTGGATCAACAGCTTTACATATGAACGCGTCAAACAAGCCGGGTTATTGTTCCGAGAAGTGCTAGCCTTCCGGGAATCAGGAGGGTACGCTCGATGGCCCTGTATAGTTGCTGGAGGTGCGTCCGGCAGTAGCCTGCCCAATGTTCAAAGACTTAGGATGCTGAGCAGACTTCAACTTTGCACCGAATGATCCCGCCTACTCGCTTCTTACGGGTGAACCACTCTCCGACAAGCAACTGCGCAGCATTCAGGCATCACGCGTAGTTCACGTTTCTGTCGACTCCTCTGTTCCCAAAACACAGCCCAAGACCGAGGAGGAAGAAGGCGAAGGCGGCGGAGGTGATCCAGACCGAGTTATCAACAACTCCAGACTCGCTACGGCCGACGATCACTTGCTTTCGGATGAAGAACTCGCAGATCTCTACGCATTAGACACTAAGGTACGAAGCGCGTACGAGGAAGGTCAACGCGGGTATCTACAATCCCAAGGCAATGCCGAGCAAGAGGCGTTAACTTGCTATGGCCCCCGGGCCTCGATCCCCCCTTCAAGAAACGGAGCTTACGAGCCTATATGGACGAGCTATACCCACTACTGGAAAACAACGTTAGGTACGGCCGTCATAGCTCATGTCGAAGTGGTCTTAACGTGCCCTTTATTTGCAGACTACATCTTCTTTCTCGACGCCCTCGGCTCAAAAGCAAACGTAGCGGGATACGTGTCTCCACACCGTACAGCCGATGTCGAGGCTGGCCTCCCGAAGGCTGGCGTCTGTGGGAGCGACCATTTTTCTCTCTGCTCAGAGTTTCATTATACAACATATTAATATAAATCAGAGCTACCAGAACTAGCAGCCTGTTTCTACGCAAAAGCGGGGTATACATGGTATATCACAAACGTGCCGCGTTGTTGCGACGTAAAGAAACACCGTCGTTCACGAACTCCAACAATCGTCTGCAGTACCCAGGTGATGATGAATATCCTGAGTTATGGTCCGGTAGTCTAGCTCACGGCCCTATCCGACCCCACAAGCAAACTTTCGTACAGTCCTCCGGCAGACTTCTCATTCCTAAGTTGGATCATGTAGATGATTCCAGTCCGCATGCCCTTCTGATCGCTAAGCTCAATCGCGACACCCGTCTTGCCTACGCGTTCAACGCCACCGGTGAGCACAATTGTAGAAATAAGAATCTGCTTGTCCTTGCTGTCCGCCTCCACGACGAGCTGCTTTATGTTCGTGGGCTCTTGTCGGTACAGCGTCAGTTTCGCAGAGCCAAGCGCCCTCCACTGAGCATGCTGTTGCTGATGGAAAATCTTGCACTTCATGGTAGCCGATATCACCGACTTAACTGGGCCAAGAGGTTTTGTCTCTTGAGCCGGCGAGGTAGGAGGGCTCGGGTCCTGAATGGATGGCTCATCTGATGACGATGGTCGCGAACCCATTTGCGACGGAAGGATATACTGAGAGCTGACTGGACTTCGGCCACCACTGCCTTCAGCAAAAGGCCGTCGGGGAATGGGCAGACCGTTGGGAAGTGATGGAACCGGAGGGAGCGGCGCATTGGGGCCACGCTCGTATTGCGACGCAAGCGAACGTGAAGAGAGAGATTTGTGTATCGCCGCACCCGGAGGCCCGGGAGGTACACCTGGTTCTGAAGGTGGCCGAGGAGGAGGTATACCATGCGGTGGACCGTATTGGGGACCTTGTGAAGGGCCGTGTGGCGGGCCTCGAAGAGGGAACCCTTGTGGATGCATTGGCGGGTATCCCGGATGTGGCTGATGTATTGGCTGCATTGATGGTCCACGAGGTGGGCCCATGGGACTCATAGGAATAGGTCCTCTGACAGAGCCTTGGTGATGAAGTCCAGGGCCTTGTTGAGCATGAATAGAGGGTTGATGCTGGGGATAGTGGGGTTGATGTTGTTGAGCGACCTGGTAATGCATAGGGGGCATGGGTTGACGTGACAACTCTGATGGGGGCGACCGCACTCGATTTGGACCATATGCCATGCCCGGTGAACCGCCGTCAAGAGTTGGTGACACCAGGCCCTGAGACCGCATGCTCACGTTCCGCGCAGGAGGGTGAACTATTTGTCCCTGTTGGAACGAAGAGGGTGGAGACGAAGGCGCATTCGACGATTTGCGAGGGGGATACATGGGCCCCGGAAGAGGGGATGTTAACGATGGGGTCCTTTGTCCGTTAATGCCATGCATTTCTGGAGAGGGTGGCTGTGACGATGTCAAATGTCCACTTGAACGGGAGTTTCTTTCCGGAGAAGGTGAAAACTCTGGTTGTGCCTCGTGTTGCGCTTGAGTGGGCCTTGGGCGTGAGTAGTTAAGAGGTTGTGCAACGGCCTGGCGTATGGGCTCTCTGTTATCCTGGGACTGTTGGTGCTCCTGTGGCAAACTAGATGACAACGGATTCGTCGAGGCCAGTGCAGCTGAACCAGGTCCTGGAGGGAGATCTTTCAAGGACGGCAAAGGAGGAACAGGCTCTGAAGCTGCTGCCGACACTGGAAGATGGTAAGTACGATGATCTCATCCACAAGCGATAAACTTACTCGTCCTCGCAAATGATATACATTCTCTGAATTCCGCAAGGATGGAGTTACGCTTGCCGACAGACTCGGTTTCAATAAGTAGAACCTCCTTGCGCATGACGTGCACCTGGAAGGCATGGTCTAGATATAAGTCAGCAACATGTAACCAAGTACAGGGCCTGATAGAAAGCGAGTACCATTCCCTAGTGCTTCATTAACACGAAGAACTTTCCCTGAAAGTGGAGGGTACCGGAGCCACATATCGGCCTCTCGTTCTGAGCACTCTTTCTCTGTCATCTTCTCGCATAAAAGAAACAAGTCCGATAGAATGTAGATGTGACCGTGGTTATGGACCACCTCAACACCAGTCGCTGTCGGCGTGAAGCGAACGACAACGTTGGCCGTGCACCGCACTTCGCGAGCATAGGGAAGTGACGGTGGCGCCATTTGCAGCTTAACTTGTTTGGGTTCCATAGAGAATATATCCAACGTCTTCTCTGTAGACAAACGTCTTTCAAGATCTGTCACGGGAGAAGACAATGTCTGAGTGGACTCCCGACTAACTGAAGTCAACGCGGTTTCTCTTGACGACCTTTCGCTACCACAGGTGAGTCTATCCAAAAGCAAACGGGTATATCATCACAGTTGGCTTACCCATTAGTCGAGGTACTTCCGCGCGCAGAACTCGTAGCCGAAGGCGGTGCAGAACTTGGGGACAGGAGGTTCTCCGCATCTCCAGTATGAGTTGGTGTGGGCTGTCTATTATCGGGAGGTGTTTCTATTACCGCCACGCTCTCTTGGGCGAAGCTTACTCGTATGGTCGCTCTTGACTCCAGTGTAGCCAAAAAGACGTTCAACTTCTCCACAGCACTAGTGAGGAGTCGATGATCACTTTTACCGGGAGTTGTGCTCTTGAGTAGACGATTATAAAGCTTCCGGTAGTACTGTATACGCGCTTTTGGAAGTAGGAAGATGTAGTCCAGCGTCCAGCAGGCTGATTCGGGCATGCCTAAGGCCTGTGCCACGTTGGACGAAGGAGGGCTCGACTCTGTGAACGCTTCAAGGACACCCGGCAAACGCGGGTTTGATCGCACAGGCTCCCAGTCGTCAAACCCACTACAATACTTGGCGCAGTAGTTGGAGTACGGTTTGTCAAGATCATCAATCTGTTTTACGTTAATGGAGTCGGTCAATGATCGATCTATACTTGAGGCCTACCCATTTCATGAGCAAGTCGCCAATTGCCTTGGGGGATGAGGGACTTGAGCCTATGTCCTTGAGTTTCTAGGAAAGGGTCAGCTTTAGTGACGAACGGAGGACATAACACGAACAGCGGCAAGGCCTCGGTTGGCCTTGTAGATCGCTTCAATAGATCGAAACATGGTGTCGAGCTCAGGTGGGGGGAGATTGGAGCGAGACCAAGCGCCGGCTACATTCTGCGAAGAGGTCAGCAAAGGGAAACTTAAGAAGGTAATGAGACGAACGCGGATGACGGCGGTGAGGCAGTCGACATAGGTCTTCTCAGTTTCAACAAGATCTGCGAGCGGGCTGGCTTTTTTCTGCTTTTCGGCCTTGTCGGGAGGAGACACGGATGGTGCATTTGAGGCAGTTGGGCTCATTGGGCCCGAGGGAGAGGGAGGGACGTGAGCGCCCTGCGGTGACCTCGGGGTTGAAGGAAGGTCGAGACCTGGAAAGGCATGGGATAATGTTAGACATGTTGAGACATGAGGATAAGTACTTGGTTGTGCTACTCGCCCAAGGACGGCATTGTCGGAATTGGAGGAAGAAGGTGCTCGTGAGAATCGTAACGAGGCTGATGGTTGGGTGACGGACTGTGCAGGGCAGGAGAGGAACCGGGACGGTCGCCGGGATCACACTCGGATGACTGCGACTCTAAGTGGCTGTGAGGTGGTGTTAGTGATAAATGAGCCTGAGCCTGAGGGGAAGGAGGAATCCGAAAGCTGCCCCCGAGAGCTGCATGGTCAGAAAGAGACATTAGGGCATAATTCATGTATTGATTGGAGTATTGAGGCACGCACGGCCCGCTTACGGTCGAGACGATGATGAAGTGATACAGTAGATCCAGCTGGATCTTTTCGGAGTCTGCTGTCAGTCCGGAAGCTGGCAGTCGCGATTGTCGCGATGTGCACGACGGTAACGACCTGTAACGACTCGGTAACGTGCACGCGAATTCGCCTCACTAGTTCATCCGACCGCGTCACACCTCCTGCGTCATTCACATATCTTCAGCAGTTGTATGTCATTATAGTGCGACATTCGACCACCTCACCCACCTTACAACAGGTCGACTGGCTTCAAGATTGTAATTATTAACCGCCGGCACTTACCTTGCATCCACAAGCGGCCATGTCAGTTCCTCTCAAATGGGTGTTCCAGACGTTCGATTCTCGTACCAAAACCGCAGAACTCCTCGCACCAGAACTCGAGAACAGCAACCTCTCCCCGCATGATTACGAACTCGCAATAAACTTTCTTCCTGGCACCCATCGCTTCTGGCCGGTGCGCGTTATTGTCTCTCCTCAGAGCGTCGACCCGTTTATTAAACACAACCCTCACCATTGACAGTCTATCTATTCGGCCGGTGCGGCCGGTGCCATGGCAGGCTATGGCCACTTTTACGCTCGCCCCCGCTGGCCTCGATCTAGGCTAGGCGTTGCAGCGGGCGGAGCAGCCATGTTAGGCCTCTTATACGGAGACTTTCGGGCTGCTCTCGCACATCGTGCATTCGTGCGCGCTCTCGACGACCCAAAAACATTCATGGGAGCAATCCAGAACGTTTACAGAAGAGTTGAAGGCTACGAATCTGCCAGCTCTGCCCCTCAATTACCTGGCAACAATGAAGCAGCCAGAAGCGACGTTGCCGGGCTGAGCGCTGTCACGGGGCCAGAAATGGTCAAGGACGATAATTGGGACCAGTTACGGACTGCAACGCTTGATGGTCCCAGTGCAACGAATTTCAAAGCTACAAGTATGTTTTCTCCTTCTCTGCTAATCATTCGCCTAACACTCGCGATTTGGTTCAGGCCCGGCCACAAACGCATCATCTGACGCGCGCCCGCAGACCAAATGGGACCAGATACGCGTGGAAAATGCTCGCAATGCTGGACGGCAATCTTCTTGGGATATGATTCGGCAGCAACATGAGCGTACCCGCATCCCTTCTTCCTCGACACTCTCATCAGACAGCAGCGGAGATGACCGGGCGCTTGAACAAGCCAGATTTGACTCACTCCTCGAAGCCGAACGGCGAAAACACCTCGACTCCGAAAATCAGGATCGGACTACTCGAAATTTGTCGTAGTCGATCTCGCGACTCATCTCCGTTTACCATGAATTCCGTGAATATAAACAATGCGGTACTAAAGTGTATGTAAGCTACATGCAGGTAACGGGTCCAACTAGAAAAGTAAACGCGTGAAGTCAAGCTAATAGGTCCAGGATGCGGTTGAGTCATGTTCCTCTGGACCATAGTTTCCGAATCGGCCCGAACCTTGTCCAGAGGCATCATTGGTACTGGCGGGGTTGGGAAGAGGAGCAATCTGTGCATTGTTCGGACATGGAGGCGGCTGAGCAAATAAGGTCGAATGTGAGAACGGATAAAGCGGTAATCCAACTTCAAGAGGTCTTCGTTGACTTGTTAAGCGAACAATTTCACGCATCAGACCTTGCAACAGTTTCTCTTGCCGTACTGTCGAGGAAAGTCAGGGTTGCATCTGGACAATGACTGCAGAGGACTTACTTCCGACTGGGGAACGGCTCCCATAAGTCAGCATAGCTTGCCTACAAGGGGTTAAAATCAGACACAACCCAAGTGATCCCTCGGGGTCAAACTACCTCAAAACGTTGATTTCTCCCCATATCTGTTGCTCCCGGTCATGTTCGCCGCTTTCAATGAAGTGCTTGCAGACCTGCACCTGTACAACAGCGGCTAGATACCAGCAAATCTGGAGCCAGTGAATAACTTGCACAGCAAGCGTATGGTATGAGACATTTACCGTGACAAATGGGTGCAAGCGGGTGATGTCGAGTGAAGTCGCCGACAACATAAAGTAAGCATCCAGAATGGCGCGTGCAGCGTCGAGACATCTAGTCGTAGATGTTGAATGCAAATTGGTCAAGTCTAGATACGGACTATGCAACGTGATGGTCGCACTGCAAACACACTTTAGTTCCTGAGCACTGAAATTGAAAGTAACACCTACGCATGAGGAATAATGTGGACCATGTACAAGTCTGTATCCACCTGCCCACCACCATTTGAACCAGCCACACCGAGGTTTTGCTTGTACGGTTGAAGAAGATTATCGAGGAAGTCTTTGTGCACTAAGTTGTCGAGGACTCGGAATCCATCCAGCTCGAACGGATTTTGATTTTTGCTGGGTGCGGTTGGTGCACGCAGATTATTGCGGACATTGTAGTCCGTGACACGTCCAAACAGCATAATGGCTTTCAGAAGGAGTACAAAGGAGTCCGTGTACCGAGGGATATGTGTGGTAAACAGGTCCTCCGTACACATATCTTGAGGGTTACTGGGAATCATTTGCTAACATGTCATTAGCAAAAACGATCGAACTCGCTCAAGAAATTTCCCGATGGCATACCTCCATCTCAAAAACGTCCCCAGGAAGCGGAAGCTCGGTGCCAATGTCTCTCTCATCAATGGAGTGAATCCAGCCACCTACAGACACGATGCGATCGAACATTATTGACATCCACCAGGTACGTCTCCGACACTCCAAATCACGAAACCCTGTGGGAGGGGGTAAATATGCGCCAGGAGCATTGCCATGGGTGGAGAAGGTCCCTGGGTAATTGAGGCGAAGTGGGACAGAAACACGAGTCTGGAAACCCGCAAATATCCACACTTCCACCCAGCGACCTTCTTGATAAAAATACCAAGCCAAGAGGATGCATGCTTGGACGACAGGAAATATATCTTCGCCGGTGGCCATCGTCTTGTCAATATACTGCCGAGTTTTGCTAGCATGATACTCCGCAAACTCGTCCCTTCTGCTTCCATCGGGCATGGTGGCAACCTTTCGGGGAGACCACCGAGAAGCTGAAGCGCACTGCGGACAGGTCAGTATGTGCGCTTGCTCTTCGAGATTTGAGTCTCACTATCGCATGTAAGATAGCAGAATGTGGGAAATTTGGGTCTCGAGGATGCAGTCGGAGAGCAGATAGGAATGAAGAGCGATGCAGAATTCGGGGACCACACGGGTCGCATTTGAAGAAAATATCAACGCTATGACTCATCAGCAAACTTTACTGACGCCAGCCGTGGCAAAAGTGACATACTAATGCGCAAGTATTTGAGGCTCTGGGAGGTCTGGATTCCAACCAGAGTAAATCATGTTGAGTATGGTGTTCGTCGAACTTCGGTTTCCACCGTACACCTCTGGACTATGACTGTCTGTCCGGAGACCCGTTCCGGGTACTTCGTACGACAAACCCTTGTTCACAGAGTTGCCCGACCCAGATCCTTGGCTTCCGGACGAAGAGGCAGCAGATTCTGGTCGTAGGAGGTTGAACCCACTCTTGCGCAGTAATGGCTGAGTTGAAGGCATCGGAGAAATTGATTGTGAGGATTTTTCAGCGAGTTGTATTTTGAGTTTAGCTGCAGAGTGATAGATATAAAACGTCGGAGGTAAAGCACAACGTAGCAAGTGTATACATACCCACTTCATCTTCAAGTATGCGGATCTTCTCAATAGGGTCGGTTTCCGGGGCAAGCGCCAAACCGTCTACAGGATCGTAAACACATTGCGGTTCGGCAGGGTGTCTTTCAAAGAATAAGAGTGAAGCAACAGCACTTAATTCGACACACTCACGCGTATCCCGGGGGTGCTGGAACGCTAATGAGGGCGTGCCATTGCCTATACAGATGAATAGATACAGCTCTGTCGCAGTCGACATGAAGGAAAAGAGAAATGATTTACTTTACGCAGGTGCCACAATGAGGGCGCGAAGCATCACATTTCTTGTGACGATGTTGGTGAGGTACATCAAAGCTAAAGAAAGGATTTGCATACGAGTTTGCGTTTGCGACACGACCTGCAGGCCTGATAAAGAGGGCATTGAAAGGAATTGAGCGACCCTGAGGCCTGAGGTTCAAGTTGTTACAAATGGGTAAAGGCTGACCTGGTTCCTCCTGAGCGCAGTGCGACCGGCTGCGGTGGAGGTGCCGGCTTTGGGCATTGTGAACCAGCTGGTGTGCTAATCTCGCGTTGACAGCTGATGACAGCCAAGGTTGGTCTTGAATTCGAGAAGCTTGAGAAGTGTAGGATGGCCGACGTGCCCGAGGAGGCGCGTTTCTCACTGAGGGTTGTTTTGATGCTAAAAGGACAGGTTTGAATGAAAGCTGGAGTCTGGAAAGGTCGAGTGTTAGCTGTGTGACAAAGCTTGCGTGTTGTATCCTTTGTTGGAAAGCTGAAAGGGCAGGGAGACAAGAGAATGCGAGCTATCGCACTCGTCCTGACGCTAGATCTCCCCGTATTTTTAGTCGTCGCGGGGTTTCAACTGCTGTCAAATGGCTGTGCTACCCTCCACCTCGGCTGCTGTACCAGCCTGCTCATTTCCTCGAGCTCGGTCGTCTCGGAGACTCGGACGTCGATCAGTGGCCACTGCAGGTTGTGATTCAAGGTACAGCCTACATATGCATCTCGCCGAGCAGACGCAGCAAACTGGCCTTGCCTCGCCGTTATCAGTCGGCCGTTGCCTCGCGCTTGCCTTGCCTATTACTCCCGTCGCTGACTTTCTCGCTTCCTGGGTACAGAAAGTATCCCCTCGGCATATTCCGCAAGTACAAAGTTTCCCGCCGTCCTGTAATATTATGTTCCTGAATCATAATACCGTACCCATCCGTCTGCGTTGCAACAACTTGCAATCGCCCGAGGACTTGGCGTGACTAACTCATGCACACTGCTATATACCACGTGTAGATGCCATATCCGTCGTTACACACTGAAGTACTCAAGCCACTCAAGTCTTCGGCGCCGCGGCCTGATTGGGGTATCAAGCGCAAACCTACGAGCTTTGTGTCGTTGAGTTTACGTGCCTTTTCGCCCGTCGCAAGCTCTTCCAAGCACACTTACATGATTGTGGCCACAACGCGTCTAGTATGTGCTGCATATCTGAATTCAGTGAGATAGATTCCTGTTGACCCCGCCGGAATTGTTTGAACATGCTGTCGGATTAATGGCTATGCTGAATCAATGACACACCTTGCCAAGTTCCCAGATTTAGTCGGCCGTTAGTTATCGGAATCGAAATTGAAGATCCGACCAAAGTAGACTTGGTGTGCGATGCACTGGTCGGGGTTTCTTTAGTTCACATTCGCCACCCAGGAAACCGTCGATCCACGTACGAATCACTAGTGGTGGTGTGTGTGTGTGGGGGAGGCATATGGCTAAGTCATACCACGAAGCTGAGGTCAATGTTCCACGTTACTTACTCTGGACCTTCGTCTGTGTGAACCCAATCGAGGCTCTCCGGAACGATAGAATCCAACGCCATATCCATGTCTACATCCCGAGCCCTTTCAACACTCACGACAAATGTCTGCAGGCTGGAGCGTACCCTTTCGCACATCTACATATCGTTAGCGGACCACAAGGTGTATCAATGTTTCGGTGACTTCACCAGGGTCAAAGTTCTCGTTCACGGTCAGCGCTGCTGAAGTGTGTTGACTTATGGTAGCCCCCATAAGTAGAAAACGAATCCGACATTTAGAGAGATGTCAGTTTGCCTGACTAATCAAGAGTTCGACGTACATGAACAGGAAGAGCATCCCGGCCTGGTAAAAAGTTTCCTCAGCACCTAAACGAAAGGGATATATGATCTTATCAGTACTGCTACGCACCTGAACGTTCTCCAGCCCAGGAGCGATATGACTGAGCACTTCTTGGGTGACAAGATGACAGCCTTTTGATCTTCGAGACAATGTGAAAGTATCTTGCCAGCCCATGATCCGTAGGGAAGTTAAAGCTTAGTGAGAAAGCTACAAGTTTGAGCAGGTGGCGGTTGAAGGTGTCCTTTGAGTGAGCTGTATGTGAATCTCGTAAAGAATATAAGTACGTTTGCAATAAGCTTGACTCGTTACTGCGTCGACGACGTTGTGCGTTGATGATCACGCGATCACGGTGCTCAGTAGTACTGTTACAGTGTTAGCTTCAAGTTGACCATTAGTCTTTCATGCTGAATCTTGACTTTGGTATTGCTCAAACTGAATTACCAGACTGTCATGGTGGGGCCCACCAGGATCACCGTACTTCAATAGTACGACAGGCACAGGCCGTTGAACACGTACATGACGTCCTCCATAAAAACTACACCATATGTAATGCGTCCTTCATCATGTAAAAGGTGAAGCTAAACAGGCTTGTAACTGGAGTTTATGGACATTCAATCTTCATCAGACCCCCCAAACCTCCTGACAGTTGCGCGGTCTACGCCACCTCTGTTACCAGGGACATTACGATTCCTGCAATGGTTTGCATAGTGACCCTTTTCACCACACTATTACCACATTGAGTCAGAAAACTAATGCGACACCCAGAATAGTGTGCGCACCTTGAAGCACAGTACTTCGTCGAGGTTCCTCCTGGGAGGCCCGGTGAATCCAGTTCCAGACATAGCCCCAGCTCCTCCGGCACTACGGTCAAAGTCTGCATATCTGCCATAACCTGGGGGCGGCGGTCCCAGGTCACGGGTTGAAGGAGGTTCTGGGGGCTCGTACTCTTTGGGAGTGGGAAGGCCAGGTTTGGGACTTCGAGTGTCAGTTATCCTGTTGGATCGACGGACAAACAGACTCACTGGCCACGAGGACATTCCGGTCCTAATGGGCAAAGCCCCGTAAGATATGCTTGGCAGGCCACCCTTCTGACATGTTTGCGAGGACACATAGGTCCTTTATCAAGGTAAAGACCTAGGCTTGACGTGTGAGGATACAAGAGTTTCACTCACCGAGCTTGCAAAAGCCCCGTCTATAATCAGGACACTCCGCCCGCCGCTCCTTAGGATGCGCATACAGGCACTCGTCGCCAGCAGAGCAATATCCGTACTTGGCGTACCACCAACATTCAGGCATACGCCTAAGGTTGTATTCGTGCAAGAACTCGCATGCATCTCCTTTCTTACAAAGGCCGCGAAGCCAATGCTTACAGACGGTGGCGAGACGCTCCCTATCGCGAGGATGTGTTGGAAGCTGTTTAGGAGGCTGAAAGTTCTGGGAAGATGGCGTAGTGTGTCTCAGCGGACAATGAAGAGGACCCAGGGGGCAACCAGTGGAGGTAAGCGATAGTCTGCATATTTGGTCATCTGTGAAGAATGTTAATGAGCGCGAGAGAGAAAAGGAGATTAAAGACGAGCAAACCTTTGTCGAGTTTGAGTCCAAGTTCTATTTTAACGTAGTTCTCCTGAGGGAAATTATTCTGGTGAAACTGTGGATTGACAATGTCTTTGAGTGTAGATGGGCCAGCAAGTGGGTTTGCCATAAAGGCGGAAGACTGTTAGCGGAGACAATGACAACAACGGGTGGCTATGTGAGCCATTGCAAAACGCTTGAGTTGGTGGGCTCGCGTGGCTTCCATGCACCCGAGAAAGGAAGGTAAGTAGGCTAAGCGTCCGCTTATTGAAACGTTGAGATCTGGGGTTTACAGTCAGAAAAGATGTTTACGACAACGGCCCTGCTTGTGTCATGCGCACTCTCTGGATATAGACGGTTCATTTATACCTTTTGTATTCTCGGGCACAAATTCCTCTGGATGGTCTTGCTGCTCCTCCACTGACCTGCGCGCTCTTCTAAACTGGTTCCTTTAAGACTTGTGCTCGCAGACTCGGATTGAAGCTCGTGTAGGGTTCGCCTGATGGTAAACTTAACCTTCGTTGATGTCGCTCTCGTGGGATGCGCGGTTTGTTTAGCCATCTTCAGTATTCGGCGCCCTTACTCCCAGTCAACTCGTCTCCTTCCTCCCGGTCCTCCCTCTGGCTGGTTGGGCAGCGTCACCCTTCCTAAGACGTTCCAATGGCTGACCTATGCCCAATGGAAAGCAATATATGGTATTCTTTTCCTAATTTTCTTCATATCCCTCTGTCTGAACTCATGCCCCTCTAAAGGTGACATAATATACCTTCGTGTCTTTGGAAATCCTATCATGGTCATCAATTCTTTTGAAGTTGCCGAAGAACTCTTAGAAAAACGCAGTAGTATATACTCCTCCAGGTTAGCATGATCTCCCTTGGGGAACGTCGCCACATTATAATATCTGACTTTGTCACCTTCTAGACCGACACGAACTATGGTCGTGGAGCTGTAAGTGATGCCTTGGTCTATCGGGGCTAGCGCTAACAACGATGGCTAGAATGGGTTGGGATTGGCTGTTCTCTTCTATGCCATATGGTCAGCGGTGGCGAGACCATAGGATGCTATTCCATCAACACTTTCGCCCAAACGTGATCTCTCAATATCATCCCATTATTCTCGAAGAAACTCATGTTATTCTACGGAATTTGCTCAAACGTCCCGACGACTTCGCTCGCCATATTCGAAGGTGAGCAGCCCTTTTTGACAGGAACGATAACTTCAGCAGTTGACTATTTTTTCTCAGGACTGCTGCGGCTATTATTATGCGGATATCTTACGGTCACGAGATTTCTGACCAGGGAGATATATATGTTACTCTGGCGGACGAGGCCATGCAGGGCCTTGCTAAAGCAGGGATCTTTGGAACTTTTTTGGTTGATTATTTGCCTTTGTGTAAGTCTCGGTTCCCATAGGCTTACATGTGCACAAGGAATTTCTGCTAATAATTTTCTACTCCCTAGTGAAATATGTACCTTCTTTCCTCCCGGGCGCTAGCTTCAAAAAGGAAGCAGCGAAGTGGCGTAAAGCCACTCGGGCCATGATTGATCGACCGTTCCAAATGGTCAAGGACTGCATAGGAGAGGGGAATGCCAAGCCAAGTTTTACCTCGAGGGAACTCGAAAGTTGGCATCAGGCCGGTGGCAATCCTGCACAGGAGACGCTGATTAAGAACGTTGCCGGAATATCTTATGCTGGTAAGCGTTATTGAATGTGTCTTGACGAAACCTAAGTCGTGTTCTAGCTGGTGCAGACACTGTAGGCCGCTTTTTTAAACAATCAGATCGCGCTCTAACATCTGAGCATGCACAGACGGTGTCTACATTATTATCCTTTGTTCTAGCTATGGCCGTTTACCCAGAGGTTCAGGCTCAAGCACAGAAGGCAGTCGATCAGGTCCTCGGTGGAAAGCGCCTGCCCACCTTTAACGACAAGGACGACCTTACCTGCGTGACTAACCTTGTATGGGAAGCACTTCGTTGGAACCCGGTCCTTCCTTTGGGTTTGGCTCATTACGCAACCGAGGACGACGAGTACAATGGCTACTGGATACCCAAAGGAACATCGGTCCTTCCCAATGTCTGGTTCGTGCTTTGCTTGCTTGCTTCACATCTCATTGATTATGAGTCCAGGGCAATATTGCACGATGAAGTGTCTTACCCGGATCCAATGATATTCAATCCAGATCGTTTCTTAGAGGCAAATCAAAAGAAGGGGGCTAACAGGTCACCCCAGATTGCTTTTGGTTTTGGAAGACGGTGAAAACAAATTATCTTCACGGGGGGTGTGCATTAATTCACAGGAACCCATATAGAATTTGCCCTGGACGATGGATGGCTCTCGATTCCGTATGGCTTGCCATCGCGTCGATTTTATGCGTTTACGACATACAGAGAGTCCTCGATGATAATGGACAGCCCGTGATCCCAGAAACAGCTTACACTTCAGCATTGCTCAGGTATGCATCGCGCTGGAAGCAGGTTCACACTCGCACATGTTGATTTTCTCTCTCCAAGTCGCCCGTTGCCCTTTCAATGTCGTTTCGTGCCTCGTTCCGAGGCCGCCATAAAGCTTATTCAAGACTCGAACCTTGCGTTCTGATGGTTCTCTCGTGGATACAAGTCAATGTGGATGGGTGTCAATTTATTGATAGATCTACTAAACAGTCGTGGAGAATGCCATCTATCATTTTGTGCTACCAAACGCCCAACACTTCTCCTTGACCGCCATTGTCTGATACTTTTTTGAGAATATGATAACGTAACTCGTCCCACCAGGATGCGTTTGATGCTTCCGCCCTTCTCTTAGAAACTTCGATGAAGTAGATATCGTGAAATGGCTCTGAGGAAAGGGCAGGCCGTCGGTCCATGCGTAAAATGGGCAGATCTATTGAGTGCAACCATGGTGCAATGCTCGTTGGGTATTTGACACCACTCGCCGCAATTTTGGGGGAGTCCGTTATGCGAAGTAAAGCATAGCGGTCATTGCTTGGCGCTGAACATATTGGCAGGGCAATCTCGGCGCCACGAGAAAGTACAAAGAAACGAGTGAAGTTTGCTAACAACGCGCTGTCTAGTCAATTTATTGGGTGAAAGGAACAAGGGGCTCACTTTTTATGTCTTGTGCACCTTCGCAAAGTAGCATGAGGCCTTCAAACATGGTGACAACAACCTTAGAGCAGATGGCAGCACATTTGTTGCTATCTCTTCCATCTATTCGCTGACCCAAAAGTAGTCGAGCTGCAGCAGCTGTCGACTCGGTTGGAATCAAGGATGCATTGGGAAGCTTTTCTGAGAGGAAATTTTTACACTGTCCCAGTGCCTGTGGTCCGCTCAGTATGCTTAGGAGTGGACTAAAGAATGCGTCCTGACCTGTTCATGGCTCAACACGCATTCGATGTCATCCAGCTTCACTCCGGTTCTAACAACTAGGCAATGGTTGATGGGGATCACAATCTGTCCTCGGACGTAGTTTTCTCTTCCCAACGTTTCTGAACGCAGGGCGTTGTAGCTTTCAACCACGGCGCCGTGGATGGTGTTCTCTGATGGCAGGACGGCGAAGTGGACTGACGACGACAGTGCATTGTAAACGTCTGATATGACATGAGTACTTGACAGGAAGGATGACCAGCATTGCACATGCGACGGGCATACCGGTGATGTTCTTTCTCTCGACATATTCGACGTCTTCTCCAAACCGTTCGTGTGCAGCCTGATGGTGTCATGAGGCATCCGATGCTTTCTGAAAGGGGGAACTGACATACCTGATGAGTATAAGTGCCCAAAGGCCCAAGGAATGCCAATCGCGCTTTGCTACTGTTCATCAACTGGACCATCATAAGAAACTGGGTCTTGGTTCACAATCAATGTTTGGGAAAGTCTGGTGTCCATTGCATGCGCTGAAAAGGAGTTGCACGTCGCAACATGCCACCCAAGGTCCACTTGCGTGCGGCGCGGCCGTCGGCAATTCCGAATAATAGCATTCAGTATAGAGTCCTATAGTCGACAGTAAGCTCATCATATACTTGACTCATTCCAAAATAATGACAACCAATTGCAAGTAGTTACTAAGACCGAGCGGCACATGGACGTCGTGCTGGGCTCGAAGGTGTACAGTACATGTATACATATAATACGGAACATGATCAACTACTATAGCTGACCGGTAGATTATGTTTTAAATATGAAATCAAAGTCGAAAAAATTGTCTGATGGCCCAGGAGGGATGGCTTGATGTGCTATATGGACCTGCTCCGGCACGTCTGCGGTGACAGGGATAGGGAAGCCAGGTATCTCACAGCCTCCTGAACCTCGGGTGTCAATCTTAACGTCTTGCCCACAGATCTTCACAATGCCCAACTGCAGCATCTGCCAGTATCGATCTAGTAAAGATATTGGTCCTTGGGATCCTCAAACCGAAAACGATATCCATGGACTCACTAGAAAGCGGCACTCGCTGGCCCATTTTGTACAAAACCATGCTAATATCCGATTTATTAAATATTGCCAACATCGGGTCGCTCAGCATGGCGGGTCACTTACCAAACGAATTCAACCTCAGCAGTCAGGACCTCCACTTGTTCCTGTGACCCTGCGTCCATTGCAGCCCTCAGAAATCTGCAGAGAATCTTTCCCGCGAGATAGAAAGAGAACTTCAGAAGTCGAAGATGAGCAAAGGTGTCAAGTATTTAATTTATTACGCGCAGTATTGCTCACCGTGCAAGGATAATCCAAGCGCATGAAGTCGAATGTTGAGGACCATAAGGTGTATAGGGAGCTCAGTATGCCCCGAGCGGCCACAAGCAATTTGGCGGCCGAGCTACATGTGGAACTCTGAACAACAGCGTGAGGTTCATGCAACAAAATCAAGGCTCTGACGGGATGATTGAAGGATCAGTTTAGCGCGGAACAAATGTAGGATCACTTACACATGAAAACTAAGGGCGGTAGTGAACATGTATGTATCAACTGTCCCGTTCGCAAAAGGATCCTTCAGATGACTCGGCCAAGAGTCTTTGAAGGAGTACAAGAGATCTTCGAGATCAATGAAGTCGGGTGCAGTCCGTGGATCCAGTGAGTCGAAGATGAGATATGTACCGACTGGGGTTGCGCTCGTATCTCCTCGGAATCTTCGGGCACTGAATCTATGGTTGTGCTGCTTCACCCGCGACAGGATGACAGCACATTTTATGTAAAGTGTAAAAGAATCCGTCTGGTCTGGTGGATGGGTGACCAAACTGCTTCGGATGTGGGACCACGGGCGAATTTCTGAAGGGATGTCGTGCTACGGTATTGTTTAGTCACCGCCCAACAGGTTCTAGCAGAAAAAGAAACATACGCCGCTCTCAAAATATTCTTTTGAGACAGGAAAGTGCTGTGTGATGTCCTCATCATCAAGTGCCATTGCCCATCCAGTTGCACAACCATGCTGCCTGTCCATGGCGTATGCCAACCAGAATGTATTGCGTCTGAGCTCTTCTTCAATGACAGACTGAGCAGGTGGTAGAAGCGCTGCAGATGCCGTCTCTGTGATGGGCCGAAAAATAGGGTCCACGTTCAAGCCCAATGGAACAACAACGCGCATACAATACCCGCAAGAAATGAAAAGCTGCCTTATGATTTAGGAGCAATCCGATAATGCAAAGTGAAGGCGCACGTCAACCCATCTATGGCCCAAAGTCAGAAATTTGCAAAACACAACGCAAAAGGCTTACCTTGAATTAGACCAATGATACCATACGATCAGAAGGTAGGCTGGTGACAGGGGTTAATTAAGTTATTGTCCATTGGCAATAAAACCAGACCTTGAAGACATTGAAACAGATGGCGACCAGTCAGAACGTAGTCATCAGCGAGCTGTTTAGCGAGAGCTACTTGTTGCGCGGCGAAGCTCTCTGGCGGTCTTCCCGCCCAGGACGGTGGTACAAAAATGTCGTCTCCGGCTATAGGTCGTCAATGCATAGACATAGACTAGTCATGATTCTCTTACTGGGGACTATCGTATCCTTGCTAGTAACGGCCGCTGTGTACATGCTGCTGACAGCGCAGATGGCATGTAGAAGGGGTGATGCGGGGAAGTCGGGATGGTTTGGCGGCAGAGAAAGAGAAATCATGAAGGTGGGCATATGAATGAGCCTTGAAGCATGTGGATGATACGCAAAAAAAGATTCCACTCTGAGGGCATGTTAAGTCAGAAATAGATATTACGATCCAAATCTGCTTACAAATGTCTAAGTAAATCAGGACGAGGTAGGCGCTTAGGCCATTGAGGCCAAAGGACACCTGTCCACATATAAGCTAGGAATATGCATCAAAAAAACCATATACATACCGAGCTCCGGGGTCAAATCGTCAGTGTCTCTCGACAAAAAGGACTGCTCTGCAACGTCCTGCGTAAGCTTCTCGCTGATGATGCCCCGGGAGAGGGGAGAAGGGAAGCTGCCGGAGTCCATGAGGATCTCAGCTCCAGAAGATGTTGGCGTTTCCCCGCTTCTAATGATCAAACCACTCTCAGAAGGACTAGACGATTCGTGCGAAGTAGGTGGAGTAGGACCAGCTTGTTGTCGCAGGAGAGCCTCAAGCTCGGCTTCAAACTGGTCAGTTGGCGTTGCCGGAAATTAAGATATTGATGCAAGCGTACCTATCCGATTCTCTAGCCTTTCGTACTTATTCTGGGGGGAGTCTGGGATCGGTCCGCTATCTTCAAGACCTGACGTATCATCAATAGGGGTACTTCGGATGATTGAATGAAAAGACCGCAAACGAACTTTCATCATAGGTACAATTAGGAAAAGGTGGAATTTCTTCACTTTGCCTACCATGGGCGAGAGCATGCGAATGTGAGCGTACACATGTGGTGCACGGGCGTTTGGCATCGCTGGATAGTATGTTTCAGGCGGGAAGCCTTGCATCGGGCACTTCTCCCAGACGTACCATTTCTGATCAAAGTATTACGGTTCGAAAATGTGTGCAACATAATAATGGCAAGCTCACCAGCTTCCTCTTTCGACATTGGTGACATGCCTAGGATAATTGATAGGTTAACGTGGTATGACAAGTACCTAGTCCAAGAATCCTCCTGACTTGATTGCGCTTTAGCACACCAGGCTGTGCACTGGCATACGGTCCAGTACTAGGTACTTTGGGCATACAGTCCTCCTTCAAACGTAAGCGGAGAGATAACAGTGGATCGAGTGAAGCGGTAGCAAAGGTGCAAGGGACGTAAACCACTGGCAATTCGATGCGGACTCGGAAACTGAGACTGTAGAGGAGTCATCTCCATTTGGGAGACTTGGATGACACAACCTCCTTACTCATCGCACAATACTCATGTAATGTTCTCTAGAGGAACTTTGCCTTACCCTAAGCTCGAATTTCAGGTGATGTTCATAGCCGAGATATACTTACTCACATCACACTTATTAGAAAAGGTTAGCAACGGCATTTTCCGACAAGTTTTGGAGTGACTCCCATTCAGTAGGGACCCTACTTCGTGTAAAATGCGCCAACGCTAACATTCTCTATTGTGTGAACTCGAGCTTAAAAATAAGCGAGGTAATTCATCCGGAGCAATTTCCGGGCCCTAAACAAGTACGATGAGAACAGTAAAAGACGTAACGCGGAAACCGTCTCTAGCCGGCGGAGGTCGTGCGGGTCATAAGAAAAGCAGCGTAAATGAATCTGATATAACAAGACAACACGTCCATCTATATGTCGGACGACGCGTAAAGGATAGTGAATGAAGTTCACTGAGCTCGCCCGCTTATGCAATAATGCACTTGCTCCCTCGCTTCCCCGTATCTTTCTTCGGAGGAGGATTCACTGTTGTCATCGTCATTTATGTGTCGGCAAGCAACCTCAAGTCTCACTTACAAACTGCGCGGATGGCCTCGTCGAAAACTGTCTTCAAACCCTTCTGCGTAAGAGCAGAGCACTCAAGATATTTGACTGCACCGATGTCTTTGGACATAGAAACTCCCTGCGAGTAGGAGATGGGTTGCATGCGACTTTGGATTACGCTCAATGAATGCTCATGAAACCAATGGGATGACTCGATGCTCACCGGTCACGCAACTTCTCGATGGTTGCAGGATCCTCGCGCAAGTCAAGCTTTGTACCGACCAGAACAACTGATGTCGACGGTGCATGATGCGATATCTCGGGCCACCACTGAGCAAAGTCGCCAAGAGCGATCGTTAGCTACAAAGTGATGTGCAACTATGGCTATCACCGCTTACCTTAGTTCTCACGTTCTCATAACTGGGGGGGCTGACCAGACTGAAGCATATGAGGAAGACATCTGTTTGCGGGTAAGACAGCGGACGGAGTCGGTCATAATCTTCTTGCCCAGCTGTATCCCAGAGCCCGAGTGAAATAGTTTTGCCGTCGACCATAACATTAGCAGAATAGTTATCAAAGACTGTTGACAGTGGTCAAGACCTGTGGTGCTCGGAAAAAGTCAACCATTATACCTGTTGGGATGTATTCTCCCTTGTAACAGGGTAAGCGGGTAAGCGAAAGGAGCAGCGGGCACGTCAGGACTTACCGGGAACGCATTGGTTGTGTAGGAAATGAGGAGACATGTCTGATAACGCAATTGAGTCTATAATAATACGCGTCCGTGGCGCAAACTAACCTTGCCAACTGCACCATCCCCAACTACAACACCTGGAGCAGACAAGTTAAAATGCGGCATGATCCCGTCGAAGAATAGTACGAACATTTGATAGCCTGCATTATGACGAAAGAGAAGCGAAGAAGGCGACTGAGCTGATTGAGGTTGAAAGTGCTGAGGAAAGAACAAGAGACGGCTGGAAGCGAAGGGAGGAAAGGTGAGGTGAAGAAAGGGACCTGTCGGGCTGGAAACGATGAAACAGGGAGACTCTTGCGGTGGCCTTGACGCTTGGGGCTGTTGGCTAGCAGAGGGATGAGTCTGAGCTCGAGGCTGTACTTGATGCAAGGCTTGATATCGTTCTCTCCTGGCGCACGGAGAGACAACATTTGCCACACACCTGACCCACAACATCTCACGCCATGTGCTGACAAATATCTACCCAATATGGACATCCAATACAATTACCGCACCACTTCGCTACCGTACTATCTAGTACCTTGGTGTGCAGGGAGCTAAGTATCTAGCTATGTAGATAGTAGTACACTCAAAACATACAAAAGTGAACCAAGTATTCGACAACCAGAGAAAAGTGAGAAAGCCAAAGAAACAAAGTGTGCAGGGGCAGAGCAGGGGGTCTCCAAAACAGTGCGATAGCGAGGTATACATACAACATCGTCCAAGTGGTTTGCTGTGCGCAACCCGTGTCCAAGGCCGGATCCTCTTCCGGCCGTGACTTCCAACATAACCTGTCAATCATCCTCAAGACTTGTCCTCCTCCTCTTGCTCGACGGCCCTTCCAAGACATCACCTTCGCGGTCGCGCCCTCCAAAATCGTTGTCCTCGCTTGTCAATTCAGCCTCTATCTCGGCTTCGTCGTCCTCTTCCGCTGGGCTGGAACAGGATGACAATGCTGAACTACTATCCATTCCTGATCTGGGAAACCCCTTCGCTGGGCTGAACGGTTCCATTAACCCTATCCCGAGACCTATCCGTTCTGTTGCCGCAGGCAACGGACCATTTCTGACTACGGGGCTTTCTGTCCCTGGCGGTGACCGTGATGGTGAAGGTTCCTGCTCCAAATCCTCCAAGTCGCCGACAGTCGACCGCGTGGCGCTGAGGAGAGGTTTGTATACCCTGTCAAACGGATCGTCGCCAGCCAAACGCATCGGTCCCTCCAGCCCCGGTGGGCTCAAAGGGCCAGAAGACATAGACACGTCGGAAAGCCAGTCATCGCGGGAGTTCGAGGGAGATCTCAAGGTGGAGCCTCGCCGGAGATTTATCCGACGATTGTTACCGCTAATTGCGCTGAGTGGCGATTTGTTGACTTGCTTCAAGAAGTCCAAGCGTCGGATCGCGGACATGGGAGATTTGCCATTAGAAAGGAGCCAAAAGGGTGAAGGTTTGCAAAGCGCAGGTGAGCTATCCCCTGCTACGCTCGAAACATCACTATTGGTACGAGGCGCAATGATGCATGGACTGTCAAGTACACTTGGACTAGCATCGGTGGATGAAGACCCTCGCAAGGCGGGGCTGATGCCTCCGCGCACCAGCATACTGAGAGATATCTCCCTGCCTTTCGAGAACAACGGGTGGCTAGGAGACGGAAATCGCCACGGTTGATCGGAAGGAAGTCGAGGGGGCGAGTGACGAAACGATGGTGTAAGCGTAGGATCATACGGAGATATTGGTATTGTGGGCATGAATTCCTTGGAGTGCTCAGGTGTCTGATCTGCGCTATGCGGCTTCGAGCCAACAACTGGGGAAGGTGGCGAAAGTGGACTACCTAGCCCTGATCGTTTAGACAGTTGTGCAAGCTGACGCTGGGGTCGTGTCAGTTCATGAGCACTAGAGGGCGAAAATTCCTTCTGTTCGATGACAGGAGCTGAAGGGACGACAGTTTCTTCTTCAGAAGAGTCGTCGTCAAGCTTCGCATGCATCGCCGCCGAGAAGCCACTACCTGACCTGGGCTTGCTATTCTCCCCGGCTTCGTGGGTTTTGCCCGATTGACTGCTAGGGCCAGCTTGGTTCTCTTTGTCGTCGTGAAGAGCTTGAAAAGAACAATCCTCTAAATATCCTTGCGCAGCTTAATATTGCTTAGTCGCATATGGGAAAGTTGATACTCACTCGTTGAACCTCGCCCGCTGCGTGTGCGATCATTACCATCACGACGGTTTGACATAGCGATCTTGTGCTTCTCGTAGACATGACGTCTCCACATGCTCTTCGCATTGACGCCTGCGTAAGTGCGCCTACAAAATGTGCATCGTAATCGTGGTTCTTCCCCCTCTGGCCAACCATCAGGCCCAAGTGCCTTCAGATCTTTCTTTTTCGCTGGACACCACCCTCTGGGAGGTTCCAGCTGTGTAGGGTAAGGGACGGCGTTCGGATTTATAGAGACGGCGGATACGAAGTCGCTCTGATCGAGGAACCACTCGGGATTGGCTGCCATAAGCGAATAGGTCAAACCTTCGGGATAGAGGTGTGCATCCGGGAAGTTGGAAAAGGGAGGACGAATGAAGATTACGTTGGGATCCGATGAGGAGGGGTCCATCAAAGGTGTGTGCTGAGTGATATTTGACGCAGAATGACTTCGAACGGAAGGAACTTTGGGCGGTGGATGTGTGGAGTTGGTGGGTGTGTATGGCTTTGGCTTAAACGAGGTTGCTGCTGGAGTAAAAAACGGGAGCTCGGAAGTCAGACGGCGCTTTAAGGGGCGAGATACTGTCGCAGATGGGCCGGCGAAGGAATAGGATGTCGAGAAGATAGGTCTATCATCGGGCATCCTGCAACCGCGAGTGGACAGAGATTATTCGTAGGATGCGCAAACCAAGGAAATGGAGAGACGCGAGTACGTCAAGCAAGAAAATGCGATAGATGGGGAGATGGCACTAATGGATGCTGGCTAGCGACGCGAGAAGGGAGCCGGGTATGTAACAGCCTCGAGGATTATGCATATGCCACAATCATTTCAAGCGGAGATAACACGTCAACGACGCGTCGCGCACGTGACATGTATAATATTAGATTTCGTCACGGCAATTAGAGTGGTATGACTAGTAGTTCGAAACGATAGACTACTAGCACTGTACCAAACTCTCAGCAAGCTCGTGCAAAATATCATTTATGTGTATACCCGCCCACGGAAAGGCAGGGTACCAAAGCACAGTCAGCCAATGTGCAATTCAGAGTCATCCGTTGAAAATGGTCTTGTGAGTGCTTAGAACAGCAAAGAAAGGTAGCTACCAAAACATGTTAGTTCTACGAGAGTCCTTTGGAAGGACGCCGACGTACCCTGCAATCATCGCCATTCCACCCAGTGGAGTGATAGGTCCAAGGAATCGAAACCTTTGGTCATGTTTACATACACTTATCGTAACGCAGGGGAAGTAAACAATACCTATCGCGGACTAAGACCAGTGTCATGATAGACCCGGAGAAGATGAGTGTTCCGCCTGCTATGGCAGGTCCGGCAAATTTATGGGTGGAGAAGCGGGGGTGCATCGAAAGGGCCAAAAGCCCTAACCCGTTGTAAATCTGTACTGATGAGGACGAGGAGTCCCAACGATCTTGGCTGTCAGCATACCGCATAGCTCGACGCTGTCTCAAAGGCATGAATCTGATCAGCTGTAATATTGGGCAGCTTCTTCAATCCATGGGCCCCAAAGGCGCCAGTGAGCATGCCAAATGCAGCTGAGACCATGTGCAATTATCAGCAGAGCTCACAGCCCATGGAGTATAACCTAACCAAAAGCTGCTCCCATTTTCCAAAGAAGGCGGGGAGTGATCATTGTTGTGGATTTCGGTAGGAGGGGATCTGAAGAGGACATGAGAGAGTCACGGAAGCTCGCGGAGGATGCAAAGTTGCAGCGCCACAACTGCCGAGATCCCCGGCCGCGGATACACGTGATCGGGACGATGAAATTTATGTAAAATCTGATCTAACACTCACGTTTAAAACGCCAAAGGGCGTAAGTGACAAGCGAAGGACTTTAATCGAGGCTGGTCATGGGCAAGGCGCAAAAGAAGACAGGTAAGGGTCGGCTCGACAAGTACTACAAACTTGCAAAGTGAGGAACGTCTCTTTTCAGCAGTCAGCAACACTTATCGTTTGTTGCCTATCCTTTCTTCAGAGAGCAAGGCTACCGCGCCCGGTCGGCCTTCAAGCTCATTCAGCTAAATAGAAAATATTCCTTCCTTGAGTCTGCACGATGCTGCATTGATCTCTGTGCGGCTCCTGGAGGTTGGCTCCAGGTAGCCAGCAAGTACATGCCGGCTAACAGCATTATAGTCGGTCAGTGCTATCCTTGCGTTGTCATCATCATGCATTAACCCCCTCGTAGGTGTAGACTTGGTACCCATTCGACCTATCCCCAGAGTCGTTACTTTCGCATCCGACATCACAACCACTCAATGCCGAAACCAGCTCCGAGGCGAACTCAAGGACTGGAAAGCCGATGTCGTATTGCATGATGGTGCACCGAATGTCGGAACGGCATGGGTTCAGGATGCTTACAGTCAATCTGAACTCGTGCTAATGAGCCTGAAACTCGCAGTTGAATTCCTCGTAAAAGGAGGTACATTCGTCACCAAGGTTTTCCGCAGCGCCGATTATAACAACTTGGTCTGGGTGTTTGGTCAACTGTTTGGAAAGGTGGAGGCGACCAAGCCTCCTTCCTCAAGGTGAGTTTCCTCGTTCAATGCTATCCTCCCTGCTTACGTAGAATGCAGAAATGTATCTGCCGAAATATTCGTCGTTTGTCGCGACTTCTTGGCTCCAAAACATGTCGATCCCAAATTTCTTGACCCAAAACATGTCTTCAAGGATCTTTCCGCTACTGTCGTGGAAGGCGCACCGGGTGTTGCGTCAAGTCACACTCAAGCCAATGTATTCATGCCGGAAAAGCGTCGGCGGCATCGCGATGGATACGACGACGGCGACTACACCCTATTCAAAAAAGTTGGAGCAGGCGACTTCATCAGAAGTCCGGACCCAATCAATGTACTTGGATCTGTTAACCAGATTATATTTGGTACTGAAGAAGAGAAAGGGTATATTTTCCCTCATTGCAATATAAGCAATTTAGACTGAAACATTGCAGATGGCTCACAATGCGCGTGACTACTCCGGACATCAAGGCCAATTGCGATGATTTGAAGGTGTTGGGTAAAGGGGACTTCAAGGCATTGCTGAAGTGGCGCATGAGCCTACGGGAGGAAGTAAGGGCAGGTTGCATCGACCTCAAGAGTGGCTAACTTAAACTGGCTCCAGCTTGGTCTCGATCTCAAAACCACACATGCGGAGGAGTTCACTGAACACGCGGAGGTGGAAGAAGAGGATGTTGACGAAGAGGTTCAGATTCAAGCGGAGGTGCGTCCCTTCAATTACGGCCCGTCAACAATTCTCAGTCATGTCTTTTAGCTTGAACGCCTCAATCAAGAAAGTGCTGCTAGGCTGAAACGGGAGCGGAGGCGTGCCAATGAAATCAAGACAAAAACAATACAGCGGATGCAACTGCAGATGACTGCTCCCCTAGACATCGGTCTTGAACAACACGACGCATCGTTGGGATTCGGGCAAGAGGACGTGTTCGACCTGAATGGTGCAGCTGCAGCTAAACTTCGTTTGAGAGACGGAACGGCGGATCTCAGCGACGACGACATGTCAGTAGGCTCCCATCGTGCGCTTGAAGACGGACAAGATGATCTTGGCTCAGATGAGGAGCAAGAGCGAAAAGTCTCGAGGTTGGAGTCGATGTTGGACGGTATGTATGGCGCATACCAGGAAAAGCTGCGAGAGAGAGATGCAAAGTTCAAAGTCAAGGAGGGTCGGAAGAAAGGAGGGCTGCTAGAGGAGTGGAATGGCGTGCAAGATCGCAAGGACGAGGATGGTGAGGACAGTGACGCTTCCGGTGGGTGGGATAAAATGCAGGAGGCAAAACATGCAGGCGACTTCTCGTCAGAGGACGAGAGCGACGAGGACGGCGACAGCGCCAGTGATGACGAACCACCACGAAAGAAAATCAAACCTCGCCAAAAGGTAGAAGAGCCCAATGGTGTTAGTCGAGCTGCTCAATTTTGGTTCGGCCAAGACATATTCCAAGGGATGGAGGTCCCTTCAGAAACGGAGGATTCAGAGCAAGAGGGATCTGAGGACGAAGATATAGCTATGGGCTCGGGTGAGGTGTCTGATCAAGCATCCGTGAGCTCGTTCTTGCATCAGTACGAGATTTTGACTAAAGCAATCGTCCATAGTCCTCCGGAAGTGACTTCGAAACTGTGCCTCAAGATGAAGAGGATGATGGCGAAGACTGGGACGCTGAAGGCGAAGATGTAAACGAGAAGACGCGGCAGAAAATCCAAAGTGCGCCAACACCCAGTTGTCTTGGGATGTGTTAGCTGACTAAGACCTTAGAGCGCGGACTAATAACCGCAGAGGCTGCGTCGATCGCGGAGAGGCTTGTGAACAGGCAAACCACCAAAACTCACCTCATCAACGACGGCTTCAATCGGTATTCACTAAACGACAAAGATGGGCTCCCTGAATGGTTTTTGGACGATGAGGCCAAATTCTACAAGCCCAACATACCAATCTCGAAGGAGGCCGTAGTTGCTCTGCGTGCGAGGCAGAGAGCTCTTGACGCCAGACCCATCAAAAAAATAGCCGAAGCTAAGGGCAGGAAGAAGTTCAAAGCTGCACAGAGGTTGGAGAAGGCCATGAAGAAGGCTGAGGGAGTGAACGCGACCTCAGACTTGAGCGAACGAGAAAAGGCTAGGCAGATTGAGACTCTCCTTCGCAAAGGTGCCGCCAAGGCTAAGAAGAAAGAGGTCAAAGTAGTTGTCGCGAAAGGAGCACACAAAGGAATCAAGGGTCGGCCTAAAGGTGTCAAGGGCAAATACGCGATGGTAGACGCCAGGATGAGGAAAGAGGTACAAAGATGTTTCCAAGTGCAATCACACGTATTAACGATGACATAGGTTCGGGCCAAGAAACGGAAAGATGCCGCCAGCAAGAAGCGGAAACGGACTTGAATGTATTCATTAAAGTATATTAGTTGTCTCGATAGATTACTTGCTTTCATCATCGTCGTTTGATCCATGCTTGGGGACTGATGCACTGAGGCGATCACAGTTAGCCAGAAACTGATTCCATGCCTCATCTGAGGTGGATTGGCACACCACCTAGCGGAGAATGAGTCAAAGAGCAGATATGGGTGGACTGACCCATACCTTGCAAGTCGTACTATTCTGATGGCTCTCTAAGTCTAGAGTATTCTCGCTGAACACGCTTACGCCATCAACAATATCGCCAATTTGAAGGACGTCCTCGGTGCTTTGGCGAACGTTCGAGCTACTCTGTAAGATATACGTCTTGCCTTTGTGTTCAAACCCAATGGGAGGTTGAGGAGGAACCGATACGTCATTGGTTTGCACGCTGCAAAATGATTTGACATAAGTTGGGGACTTCAACGGTAGGACTACGCACAAATCATTCAATTTTGCCCAGTATTCTTGAAGTTCAGCGGGTTGTGCGTCGAAGACAATAGGAACTCGATCAGAGACGGAAAACTGAAGGTCCATAGGTCTGCAGCGCGTTAGCTTTATGGCCGTCTCACAAGCAGGACTCTCACCGATCAGGTAGCATCAGATTAACGTCGGTTCCTATAACCTCAAAGCAGTCCGGCCTCCGAGCTGCTTTTCATGAGTAATCATTGGTTGAGATTCAAAAGCGAGGTGAATACCTGGGGATCCGGTAGCCATATCCTCTAGACTAAGGTCTTCTGGACCCGTGGCGACATCGTTACCTTCTGCTATCGAGTCATACTGCACCGCCTCCCGTAATTGTTGATTCGTCACCAAGTCAGTCAAGTCAATGTTATAATCGATGATTGACCTGGTTGCAAGGGAAGACATATTGTCGCCGTTCGAACTGAGAACTTGGTATATCAGCCGATTGATAACCCTCTGTTGATTAGGTTGCGATTTAAACAACATTGTTGGGAGACTGTGCTCCACATCAGCTTCACTGTGACGTTTCATAGTTGCAAAGGCCAAACCTGGGCACAAAAGCTTGTTTAACGTCATTTGCTCTCAGCCACCTAAGGACTTTCGACAGTTTCCAATGCCCCTTCAGAGGAGGATAGAAGCCAGTGCCGGAGAACGCCAGCAAGTGCCCTAGACTAAGAACATAAGTTTGCTGATAACCTGACCCTCTTACAGACATACGATGCTGTGACAATTCTCTGAGAACCACTACCAGAGGCCACTATGCTACTTCCCATGAGCGTGTTACGTAATTTGTAAGGAAGCCTGGAAAATGTTGTCAACATTACACAAGAAAAATGCGTACTACCTGGACTTACTCCTCATGATCTACAACTGGATTGCTATCACTACTCAATCCACCGCTCCGTTCAAGGTCTTCAGATATGTTGGAAGAGAGCCAGTCAGTCACACGCCGAAGTCGAAACGTTCCGCTTGTGTTCATGGTCCATGGTAATGCACGAGGTGGTGAGAACGGATACAACGAGTAGTCCCGAGGAAGCAAAGCATTAGCCAAAGAACCACCCTCAGGCTCGGATGGAGTATAACAAAGAGTTTGGGGCATAGCCTCTGATTCAGGCTATCACTCCAGAGTTAGTGATACTGAGGTCATCGTAAGAACATAGACGAACTTCGGTGGCAGCCCTAACAGCTAACCGCTGGGCGGAAGCTAATTTTGCAGGGTCCTTAGCACAAATGCGAATCTGTGTAATACCTGTCAGTTCTTGCTCTGTTTAGAACATCCTCCTTTTACCAGTCCTGCTTGGTCAACATTCTCTACATAGGCTCCAGCAAGTCGAGATATTCGTTGAAGAAGGTCTTGTCTGATGGGTCGCTTAGTTGGCAGATGATAGCGCTCCTCCAAAATGTCCTGGAATACATCCTTGTTAGCTATTATAGTTGTGATGTTACCTGGAAGCACAGTACCTGCTTTAATGACTTAATCACCTGAGTGAGCTCCGAGATGTCCCCCCGCAAACCTTCCACACGCAATGCTAATGGATGAGAAGAAAGTCCGATGTGGACCTTGTACCCGATGGACAGCTGAAGCAAGTCGGCACCATCTGATTCCAATGCTTAATAACATTTATGGACAGCTCTGTGATGATTACCTTTGCCTAATATTAGGAACAGCTGACTTGGAGTGACGGGGAATGCTGTACCATGGTTACAGAGTAGTGCGTAATAACTGAAAGGGGGGACGTACTTTCCACACATTCTTCTGTGCTGTCTCTGTATAACTTCTCGGCTTCCTTCAACGACGGCCATTTCCACTGTTGCTCGATTATAGCTTCTGCAAAGTGAACCTTGCGCTTATTCGAACGAGTCCATTGAGCTGGAAGACCGTATAGCTGAGCGAATCGTTTAAGCTGCTCTCTACTAAAGGAATGGCACAGCGTGGACAAAAGGTCATTGTACTGTGTTATGTACGCGACCGACGAGGGCTCTGCGTGCTTCCGAGGTCTACAGCGTTCAATGTCTTTAAGGGATGGCTCAAAACCAGCTGCTCGGAGTGAAGCAAGGTATTCCTCGGCACGAGTAGTTTGGCGTGGGCCGCGAGACGCGTCTTGGTCCTTGCTAGCATGTAACGCAGGGCTTGATGTAGAAGTTGACAGGTGAGCAGCGACAAGCGGGCCGATTTCAAAGCGGGTATGCCGTGGTGAACGACACGCGGAGCACCATGAAGGAGAGAGGAGCGTCCGCCGGACCAACCGTGTCGACATCTACGCTGCAGCTGCAAGAGAACAGCCGAGTTGGAAGTGACGCACGGATTTTTTTGAAGCGCGTTTACTAGTGCTAATGACGGGCACGTGTCCGGCCCCTATAGTTATATATATGTGCTCTTGGCTATGTAACTACTATCGTACAACCCTCAGTGAAACATAGAGTGAAACATCCCGATTGTAACGCTCTACGATGGCTCCCCTTCGTACTCTAAGTAATAAAATCTATATTATCATATAGCCAGGACTCTTGACTCCATAATATGTCAGATTTAGCCTGGGACAACATGATGTTGGCCTGCCAGAGCAATGCCAGAATCGTGACTTTGCCTCACTCTAAGTCTGTATTGGCGTCACGAAATGTCACGGAGCGGAGTTAGCGGCATGTGGTTGTGCCACGAAAGCGATGTGCGTTCCTGGCTTGCCGGACCATCGGCAGACGAGCGCGAGCAGCTTGACAAGCAGGGTGCGGGGGAGGGCCAAACCTGCTCGAAAACCACAAAACTTAAACAGACTGTGTGAGTCGCTAGCAAAGAAATAGCGGGTGAAGGTGTAAGTACTCCAACCTCGTACAAGGGTAAGGAAAGCCAAAATAAAGACCGTAAGCTACCGTAAGTAAGAGTTACTGTAGGGAAAGCGGAGTTTCAAATACCCTTGTCACGCCGGCAAGTCCTCGCGTTGGCCTCTTCTCACTACACAACATTCGCGCACCCTACACCCTTGAAAATGCGGGTGGTGGGCGCATTATCGTGGAATATTTACCTGCAGGGGTATGGGGCTGATCGGTGGGGAAGAAAGTACCTGCCCTGACGTTATATTGTGAAACCCGACTCAAGCCCACCCTGCGGAGCAATTTGCTCGTGAGGGACTCATGATTTTATTCTTATATGTTATGCACAGGGGGAATAGCCCGATAAGTTCTCGGGACTTATGGTGGAAATATTGAAGGCGTATTTTAATTTCGTTTTGCAGGACAAGGAAGACTTATTTGGTACATAGCGGGGAGATATATTGAATGAATCGTCTTTTATAGCCAAATTACCCGTGTCAATTGTAAAGCGCCAAAACTTATTCAAAATGTGCCCCTGGTAAGTTCCAAGATAAGTCTCGCTGTCTTGGCAAAACTTAATTAAAATGCATCCGCAATATTTCCACAATAAGTTCTGAGAACTTATTGGGCTACTCCCCCTGTGTATGTGCGTTGAGAACACATGTAGACAAACCTACCTGTAAATATTTGTGGCTATCATCGGAGGGATGAGCGAGATACGGTTGAATCTGACTTTGTTTCACTGTGATGTGGGTGTTTCACTGAGGGTTGTACAATAGTATGCATGCAGGTCATAGCACTGGCATTTCGTAATTTCGTAACGATCATTGAGATAGATGTCCTACTAGCCTAGCAGGAAAGCAAATCATTCTGAAATACGTTCCGAGACGAGCTCTTTCTCACTGTCCTCTCCCACGTCACCTTCCCAACCATGGTCAGCAAGATATTGCATGAACTTAGCATCTTCCTCGGCCAGGTCAATGCCAGTCATATCTGGAATACAGAGGTACGTGACCAAAACGCCAGTGACACCGCAAATAGCAGCGATGATAAAGGTCCAGCTGGAATCTACCTTAGTAACATGCTAAATGAGCCCCACGATGACACTTACTTCTTGCCCAGGTTCGTCTGAATAGGTGTGAAGGCCTGGGTACCAACAGCAGCGCCCGTTTTACCGATAGCAGCTGATAAACCATAGCATGTTCCCCTAAAAAAATCAGACCATGAGAAGATAGAAGTCGGTTGACGAGATATTTGTTGTCATACCGTATGGCAGTAGCGTACGACCTATCGGGAAGTCCGTCAGAGAATGAAGTTGAAGACCCTGACTGCAACTCACTCAGAGCTAGTGAGGCCCAACATGTTACCGGGACCCTGAAGCTCTAGTTAGATGGTTCTCTTCACTGGATATGATTCGTTGCCGACCAAGTTTCCGAACGACTGCATAAGCCCGTAGCTGTGGAGAGACATGAGGGTTCGTTCAACACTATTAATGGCTTACATACAAAATGATGAAAAGTGGAATGATTTTGGTAATCTTGTTGTACGCTAGGCCGATTATCAAGCCCTAAGAACGACGACAGTTAGATGCTGTCTAAAGAACGGATGGAAGAAACGCGCACAAAGACGAGGTAACCGGAAAACCCGAGAATCATCTGCCGATGTGTGGGTGAGATGATGACAGCATCTGAGCCGAATGAACGTACTGTGTTGCGACGGCCCAGGCGGTTGCAGAGCCAAGCACCTACAACGACACCAGGAAGAGATATTGCACCGAGGAGCAGCTGCCATTCGGCCGTTTTCTTAATGTCGCCGTCGTGGATGACACTGGAAATGATAGTCCCAGAGAACACCCCGTTAGGAAAAGTCACCTGTGAGTGAGGTTAGCAACATTTTACCTTATCCAATGAAGTTAGCACAATGTTCAAAGCTACGCGTACGCACAAAATCGTATAAAAACCTAGTGCATATTAGCATTAACCGCATAAAAACGCATCAGCGAGGCACGCACCACGCTCCACAGGTTCCAATCAAAGTCCTCCAATACCGTTTTGCGACCAACCAATATGGTACGCGGCCTTTGAGTCACTTGTTAGCGATATTTATAGGTGGATTGAAAAATGGTGGTACTTTTGATTGCGCCCTTCCGATAGAGCTTCGAGCTGAGCATGCGCAGACGGAAGAAGAACACGGTTAATGGGAGTAGAATGCCTATGCCAAAGCAGACACGCCAGACAGTCTCAAGGTGATCCCCCCCTGCGGCTGACAGTACGATGAGGAATACCGACACGGCAAGTGGGCCTCCGAACTTGACTTGAAATGAGGAAGTTTCATATCTCACGCAGGAGAAAACGTACACTCAAAACAAAATTGGTGACCATGATGAACACTAACCCAAATAAGCAAGGAAGACCGACATTCAAGCTAGGTTATATTCACCTGGCCCCCGACTTTTGAGGCTTTTCTCATTTGCTGCTTCACTGGCACTAGTTGACGAGGCAGGATACTCGCCTCCGACACCCTGTACGGTGGTTTGGACATGAGATATACACAACAGGACTGGTGACAACATACAATTCCAGTGATGCCTCTTGCGAACGTCAAAAACCAGAAAAGGCCTTGTGCGCTGCCATGAGCTCCGTGGGCTGCAGTCCCGAGGGTGGCTCCGATGACAATCAGTAACGTAGTCGTCACTAACGCAACCTTGCGCCCAAGACGATCGCAAATTAAGCCAACGATGATTTGTCCAACGATAGCACCTGGATAAGAGTTATACTCGCCTGCTAGCGCGTAATTTTGATGCTTTATACGCACCGACAAGCAGAGCGTTCGAAACACGAGTAGAAACAGCGGAGGTGTAATCATGGGGGTATAACTGCTTGAAAATGACCTAAGAGTAGCGATGGTGTGAATTAGTGTGCGAAATATACATATGTAACCGGTGAACTTGCATTAGACATTGTCATTAGATTGTTCTGGTCTGCAATAGCTCTGGTGAGCAGTGATATCTGCCCAAAGGGGGTATTCTGACTTACATCCATCGCTAATCAAACCAAAGCCAGCAGCAAGGATGGTAAAGTAAATGCTGAGGGACTCCCGTTTGTTCAGGAGACGGTCATTATCTACAGTTTCCTGCGGCAACTCGGGATTGGAGGAGTCTTCGATCGAGCTCGTGTCCTTTTCCTTCTCTGTGGACATTTTGCCAACAACTTGGAGCTGCGCGCTGCCCGGACAATGGCTGTGACACTTGAAAGTGAGCGGATACAGAAGTAACAGAACTCGGGGAGGGTGTGATGCCGGCTCTACTGTCCATTATTTATTGCGATCGGGACATGTCCCTGATGTGCTCTAATCCACCAGGTGAGGACGCACGTGCTAGCGAGATGAGCGTGAGTGGGTGCCGCCTTGGGCGTCAACGCGTCAATATCAGCACGAGACAACCCGCGTGCCTGACAATGACAACACTTTGTGCAGAACTACTTTCTTTTAGCTGTTCGTTCTTGTTCTCAGAATCTAAAGTGACCTAGTATCAGTTTGGATGATCCCACGTTTATCATCTTACTCTGAGTGGCCAGCGAGACAACCTATGTATTCTTTGTCGACTCGCTACCGTGACATATAACATCACGAATGTCAAGATGCCGTTTGTTGTGCATCTAGCAAATTTGAGTCGAGTATGCATGCATACGTGCGAAGTTCTCGACATGAAGCGCTCCAACAACATAGCTACTTTCCGGAAGAAATCTTTCTTTATGCTTTAGTCGGATGAATTAATGTAGAAGCCATATATAGTCTACAAAGTCCCCCTCAACCAGGCCAAGGACTTGATTAATTGGACCTCCGAACATGATATTAGACTATCGGTGTTTTTCCGATCCGCGCACACAGGCACCTTTTCGTCTCCGCCCTAACCTTAAGTTTTACTTTCCCCTGCCATTATCGTCAAGTCCGGCAGCGACAAGCGACTGAGAGATCCTACGCGCGACAAAATAATGGCGGTTCCCAACGGCGTCACCTACGATCCCATTGACGACGAGATCGATTTCTCGGATATTGACGAAAAGTGAGTAACCGACAAACGTCTTCGATCAAATCCTGAAGTCGATTAAAGATATCACGTTGAGTCCGACGATGGCTTTGACAATGTCATCGTCGTGGATGGCGTTCCAGTTATCGACAGATCAAAATTGGACAGGCTTCTCACAAAAATAGCGAAGGATTTCACCAAGAAAGGGTCACCCATTAAGTCAGACGATATATTCGTGCCTTGGGACGATGCGAAGGACAAAAGCAAAGGGTACTTCCTACTTTCTGTTTAGCATGTCGTATGTTAACCCCGCTTCAGTTATATCTTTGTCGATCTAGGCAACCCCGATGCCGCAGCGTTTGCCGTGTCCGCATTGAACGATTATCCATTTGATTCTCGCCACACATTCAGTGTCAATCGGTTTACAGACATCGAGAAATACGCATCGTTGGACGAGACCTATGTAGAGCCTGAGATCGAAGAGTACCAACCTAAGGTATGTACCCTATCAGACATCTCTTAGCACCATCTCATCCACAAATAGGAGCACCTGAGAGCCTGGTTAGCCGACCCTCAAGGCCGTGATCAGTATGTGACATACCGTGGAGATGACGTTGACATACACTGGCATGGCAAGCCATCTCAATGTGAGGTTGCTTTCTCCAAAAAGGTGTGCTTCGCCTCAGCTTTACTGCTGTGTTTCAACTGATACTTGCTAGGGATGGACGGACTTGTATGTTTCTTGGTCTCCCCTAGGAACCTACGTTGCAACTCTGTTCCGACAAGGTGTTCGGCTATGGGGTGGACCCTCTTGGGAGCATCAGCAACGTTTCGCGCATCCTTTCGTCAAACTCCTCGATTTCTCTCCTTGTGAACAATACCTAGTCACTTGGTCTCACGATCCCATTACTGTACCACCAAACATGCCTCAGGGGCCCGAGTTCTTTTCGCCTGAAGACGAAGGCCACAACATTGCTGTATGGGACATCAAATCGGGACATCTCCTTCGCACCTTCCCCACATCGGCGGCGGAAGCCGATGACGCTTTGACCAAGAAACAGATGCAATGGCCCGCCCTCAAGTGGAGTCCGGACGACAAGTTTGTTGCTCGTGTCACTCCGGGTCAGCAAATCAGCGTGTATGAGCTACCGGGAATGGGACTTCACGACAAAAAGAGCATGAAGACCGAGGGTGTTGTTGACTTTGAGTGGTGTCCTCACGGTGAAAAAGACAGAGATGAAGCAGAGAATGCGAAGGGCGGCAAGGGGTCAAAAAAATCCCGGGAAAATATGCTAGCGTATTGGACCCCCGAGGTAGCCAATCAACCCGCTCGCGTCACCTTGGTCGATTTCCCAGGTCGTAAGGTACTTCGCCAAAAGAACCTGTTCAACGTCACGGAGGTTAGTGCATAGGCTTGTTCATCAAATTGACCTGCTCTGAACCACATCAGTGCAAGTTGTTCTGGCAAAACAATGGCGACTTCCTATGCGTCAAGGTCGACCGCCACACGAAAACGAAGAAATCCATCTTTTGTAATCTGGAGATCTTCCGCGTGCGCGAGAAGGACTTCCCGGTAGAAGTTGTGGAACTCAAAGGTAGCTATGTCACTGCATCGCTGTTATTCGCCATCTGACCTAATCTTGTCTAGATACTGTGACTGATTTTTCTTGGGAGCCTAAGGGAGAACGATTTGCTATCGTATCAAGCAATGATCCCAACCTGGGCAACCCGGGTCCAGGCATCACCATCAAGACTGATATAAGCTTCTACCAATTGGATCGCTCTAAAAACGACTTCCGACTACTACGTGAGTTGTTCGTCTTACGATAGGCTCCTTCGAGTTTACGTCACTGCAGGAACCCTGGCTTCCCGGACAAGCAACACGATTAGATGGTCGCCCCGAGGACGTCATGTTGTCCTTGCCACAGTCGGATCGTCGACCAAGTCAGAACTGGAGTTTTGGGACCTAGATTTCACCAGCGAAGACCGTCGGGAGGGTCAAGCATCCAAGGACGAGTGGGGCAGTGCTATCCAGCTCCTTGGTAGTGCTGACCATTATGGTGTCACGGACGTTGAGTGGGACCCAAGCGGCAGGTATCTTGCAACAAGCGCCAGTGCGTGGCGACATACGGTAGGAGTACCAAACTACGGGATCACCTATGAATCTAACTATATTCTGATCTGGCAGCTGGAGAACGGGTACGCTATTTGGGATTTCCGCGGTCAGGAGATCGAAAAGCATATTCTGGACCGTTTCAAGCAATTTATTTGGCGACCTCGACCTCGCACACTGCTGAATAAGGAGCAGCAAAAACAAATCCGACGGAATCTGCGGGAGTACAGCCGAGCTTTCGACGAAGAGGATGCAGCTGAGGAAAGCAACATCAGCGCCGAGCTTATCGCACATCGCAAGAGATTAGTGGACGAATGGAACGCATGGCGTGCTCGGTGCAGAAAGGATATTTCGGACGAGAAGCGCAGTCGAGGTATACGGAACGACGGCCGGGAGCATGGAGACGAAGAGAAGGAGGAGATAGAGGAGTGGATTGACGAGGTGATCGAACAGACTGAGGAGGTGATCGAGTGACGGCAACCATGTGCATGATATCAGACCATTATACAGTTTGTTGTGCTGTTGTACATGTAGGCAGACACCATACGAGTGCTTTTCTGACAAGAAGGGATGTGTGAACGAGGGAAAGTGGGACCGGTACCGGAGTTGTGGGCCCTTGGATGTTGCGCGTGACGGGAAAAGGTGAATGGGAGGGTGTCGCTGAATTTAATCTAATCTTCTACTGGGGCGCCGCTGGTCAAGGCTGCAGCGCTGACCATTCGCTGTCGTCACTGACCTAGACGGACTGAGGTCCAATCGCAAGGCTCTTAATTCATTCTTACTGCTACCCATACTCATTTATTGGGCCGGCCCTCAGGAGACAATGTCCCTCCTCAACATGGTCCCCATCGGTCCGTCTCCTCTCCCACAGGAGCCCTCCACTCCTCCCTCCAGCCTCTGGGCGACAGGTAACGCGTCCCCCATCGTCCTTCCCGCCAGCTTCGCTCAACTTTGCTCTTAGCCTCGAAAGAATGGGTAATCCCTGCTAAGCCGAAACCAGGTCGGAAGCCAAAGAAGGAAGCATCCGCCAGTCCGTCCGAAGTAAAGGAGGGCGAAGTACGTGTCTTCCGTCACCCGGCAGCTGCAGGATACCTTGCGACCATCGCTGACTCGCGCCCTAGGATGGAGAAGCTGGTAGACGCGTCCAGAACAGGTCTGCATTGACATTCCCTGCATGTACGTCATGATCATGGCCTAACAGTTTCTTAGAGCTGCACAGCGAGCCTTCCGCGAGCGAAAGCAGACCCAGCTAGCAGAGCTCCAGGCTCGCATCCAGCAATATGAGCAGGGTGAGATAGAGAAGAATGTTGCCCTCCAGAATGTTGCCAAGAAGATGAAAGAAGAGAACGAAGAGTTGCGCAGGGAGAACCAAGCGCTCAAAGAGAAGCTCGCTTCTCTGGAACAGGAACGTGAAATAGGCCTTTTTAACAGCCCTGTAAAGAAGAGAAGCGTCGATGAGGATGCCCTTTCCTCTCAGCAGATGTCCGACTCCAAGAAACGCGCAAGATTTACGGCTGAGCCTCCTGATACCCCTATAGATCCATCCATCGCACCATATACCCCTTCAGACACTTCTATGCTCTCTCCCATTGACCCGTCAGGGTCCTTGTACCCTCGTGCACACCCCCAACACACCACTTACAATTCTACCTCTGCTAACATGACCAGCATGCTCGATTTCCCTTCAGACCAAAGTCAGGCTATCGAGATGGATGTTCAGGATTCAATGGAGTCTGCACGTTGCGTGCTCTGCAACCCCGCACAGCCATGCGTCTGCATGTCTATCCAATCGACAGAAGCACAACACAGCTCATCCCATGCTCACCAGCCACAAGCGGTCATCGAACAGCATCAAATGAGTTTCAACTCGCAACCTACGGAGTATAGCATTCTCGACAATCTCCCTGCCTACCAGGAGCCCGTCCCGCTTCGCCGCCGCGCACCCGCTGGCCAGAGCTCGCGACCTGTTTTCCCGGTTTCTCCCGTCCAACAGGACAGCATAGCACAGGAGATGACGGCACAGTGCTCTGGGGATCCTTCCAACTGCATGGCATGTGCAGATGACCAGTTTGGACAGGCGTTTTGTCAGGCTATAGGCCAAAGTGTCTCGCAGGAAGCTCTCTGTTCCGACTGCCCTCGCTTGAACAGTCAAGCAGATGCGGTAGTCGTAGGAGATTGTTGTGGCAATATCAACAGGTGTGGTTCTTGCGGTATTGCACCAATGCTTTCTTCTTCATCCCATGCCCCTCGCCTGAGCGACACAATCCCCACAAACGACGCCTGGCGCCAGATCAAGTCTCATCCTAACGTCGACTTCACGGATCTGTCGCTCCTAGCGGAAGTCGTCGCCCGTCGATCTCAATGCCCCGGCTCGCGAGTTATTACAGAACCTACACAGTACCAGCCTCCGTCCCATTACGGACAAGACGCCGTAGAACTGACTCAATTTGGTGACCCCGGTCATTCCTATGTCCGGAAACCTGACCGAGCAGAGTCGCCTCCACGACTTGTTCCACAGAAGGTCCTCATCGAGTGTGGACGAAGAAGAATGAGGGAAGTGAATATGGACGGCGTCAGAGAAGCCTTGCGGTTACTCGATGCCAAGTTCGGGCAAAGTTGATATATCGTCGCGCCGCCTCTAGTCCGAGCAAGATGGTTACTTCGTATTTCGACGTCAGTACTATGTAAATATGCTACTATTGATTTAAGTACAATTTCCCAATGCCTTCGCCTCTGATGCGTTGGCAGCTTTACTGCGATTGTTTCCCCAGTATTGCTTCCAGTCACGTAGCAAGCGACGTAGTTTCTGGTGAAAGGCCCTTTGCTCCGGTTTGGTGAGTTTCTCTGACGGGCGCGACACGTTGGCAGGGAGAGCACGGAACGCCTTAGCAAGTTGTTTCAGCGATGCATCATGCATCTCCGCCGGGAAAGATGCAATTTGCGGCCACAGTTCCATGAGAACACGTCGCGCCATCTGATACGCGCCTACGGCGAAGTATGCATGAGCTACTGCGTCAATGGCGGCAACATCTGGCTTGATCGCTGCGGAAACCATCGCGTCGAACACCTGAGATGCCAATCCAGGCTTGCCCTGCCGGGCATATCCGGCGATTAGGATGGTGTAAAGCACGACGTTGTGTTGAACGCCGTTCTCCGCCGCAGTGTCAAGGAGTGCCTTCGCCTTGTGTAGTTGACCCTGTCGGGCATAGCCGTCCATGAGCGCGGCATAGTGGTAAGCATTGGGATGCATCCCTCGCGCCACCATCTTCCTGAAATTCGCCTCGGCGGAGGCGATGTCCGCTCGAGTGACAGCGTCATGGCGGATACGCATAGCGAACGTGGCTCTGTCGCTGCGGATTCCACGGCCGACCAAGGACCGAATAATTGGCCGCAAAAGCGAGTCGTACCGCAAGTGACGCGACAAAGACATGCCGGCAGATGGGTCTAAGCTGTTCATCACATCTATCAATCCATCATCGCCCAGTCGCCTTTGACGCCTTGTCTTTGAGAATGTGGCCGCGGTGACGTCCCATCCACTGCCAAATTTGAGAAACTTTTCGCGCCGTAGGATGCTGCGCAGGATGATATGTACGTGCTGAAGATTGGGCTGGAGAGGAACGGCGGCAAATGCTCGGAGAATACGGATGAGTTCACGAGGTCGAACGCACGTTGCTGAATCCAAGTAGTCCAGAATCACTTCCGCCGTTTGTTCATCAGGTTTGTGACCCGTTTCGTGGATGACACGAAGGAGGGCTCGCCCAGCAGCAAGACCACGGTGCACCAAGAGACCTTCCAAAAGCGAGTTCAAGACCTCTAAAGTCAGCGGAACACTGGTTGGGTCTATTGGTAGATCACTAGTGGGTGTCAAGCGAGTCACGCGAAAAAGCCGTTGACAATGTGACTTTGATGGGCAAATTCGAGAGAGCAGACTAACGGCGACGTCGTACTGACGATTGATGCACAGAGCGCGGATAACGGCAGCAGCAGCGCCGGAATTGGGAGGGATATTGGCGTCCTTCATGCGGGAAAGTGTCCGCAAGACGCCGGATAAATTCCCATTCTTTGCCTGATAATTCATGATGACGGCGTAGGTGGCAGCGTTGGGTAGGAGAGGGGGAAGTCCGATAGGGTCGGGTGCATGAGGTGGAAGTGTGAGGCTTGTTGATGCGGCGGGGGAAGCTGAGTGAGGCTGATAGCGAAAGCATTCTAAGATACGAGCAGCGCCGCGTTGATCGTGCGCGTCTAAAAAGTGCTGGACCATGCTGTTGAGAACGGTAGTTGCGGTGCGGTCGTCCATCATGCAGAGCCCTTCGACGGCCTGGGCATGAACTTCCTCGTCGAGTCCTAAAGAGCGGTATGCAGATATGATCACCGCATGAGTCGCCGGCTCGATGAGAAGGCCGGATGCCACCATCCTTCGCAAATTGATTTTTGCGAGCTCCAGGCTTCGATTCCGGAGATGCGCGGATATGAGGAGATGATAGGTGCGTCTTGTAGGCTGCAGTTTTTCCAAGATCATCTGTTCGTAAACAGCTTCCAAACGTTCGTATCGACGGATTTCGACAAGGGCCCGCAGCTTCCAGTTCAGCAACCGTACTGAAGGTGAACAGTGAAATTCTTCTGCCAAGGAGGTGAGCGAAGGTATGTATGTCCAATGCTTTGCTTGTGCTAGATGGAATGCAATGTTCTCCAAATGGCTGACCTTCAGGTGGTAGCCCAGGTGGTGTGCAATCTTGAGCGCTTGAAGGGAGCAATGGGGATTCTCGAGCGCCATGCGCTGTGCAGTTTCCAGCGAGGTATTTCGGTTGTGGAAGTAGCGGTCGTGTAGGGGGGAATTCCGAATTTGCTCCAAGTCCTCCTCCAAAGCTGCAGCAGTGGTACAGCTTGATAAAGCGCTGACTGTCTTTACGACCGATGCAGGGAGAGTGTGGTCGTAGCCGTCGGGTGAGGAGTGAGATTTGCTGGTGCGTGTAGACGCAGGGGAATGAGTATCGGGCCTCGACGTTTCTCGGACGGCGTCTTCTACATCTTGAAGAGGGGGCTGGACACGACGACTCTGAGGCAACGCACTCTGTTCCGAGCATGCTTGTGAATGAAAGGACAAGCCTTGTGGGTAGAATGGTACGGCAGGTCTCGGTGGGTCGGAGTGGGAGGACGCGTGCTGGTGGATACGCTGCCTGTAAAAGCCGACGACTCTCCTCAGCATGGACAGTCGAATATGTCGAGCCGAGGTGATCGTCCACCTGTGGCTACGAAACGCGTTAGCATACTCGTATGTGGGTGATACGCATAGAACAGACGTACGGCTGACCACACTACAGCGGATGATTGCCTCTACTAACACTTGTGTTTTGCATTGGGTGGTCAATAGAACCACGCCTCGGTTATTTCCGACCTGCAATGCTCCTAACTTGCCCCGACTTGGAGGCCGGCCCGAATCCATACGCGCTTACAACTCCTCCTCGGGTTTCTAACCTCCGTCTCAAGATTTCTATAACGTCAAGGTGCGGATCGGCCGCGATGACCCGCTCTAACAGGTTTCATGGCTAACCACATAGCTCACACGCCTGCGGAAAATCACCGGCGCCACTGGAGTCATTGACAGGGCAGCAACCATCGCAACTCCGTGCACGAAATACCTATCCTAGTCGGTGTTGGCACCGTGTCAATATCGACGGAAGGATGGTACATGCACCTTCACGTAGCGCGCTCAGGCACCCTTCTGGATTCCGGCGCTGCGAATCCCCGCTGCAAACACGACATTATCTCAATCCTCCAAGTTTTCAATCTTTATATTCTAACATCGACGTCACGGCATCCTCTGTTCTTCATCGAAGCTTTAGCCGCACAGTAATCCGGGAACTCGGCGACAACATGCATAGATGGCACACAAAGCAACACTTCGCGTGAGGACCTTCGATTTATCTTTTGAAATTACTTACGTGGTGTCCGAAACGATCAAGCACGGTGTCCGAGTCCGCGTAAGCCGACCGCGACCGATACGTTTTACGCAGGCTGTGCCCATTTACGCCGCAAAGTGCGTCGATCCAATCGTTAGCGCGATTGCCCTCGTACGCTGCCATCGTCCGACAGCTGAAACGCGCGTCACCATGCTGTCCGCGTGTCTATCGGCGGCAGATCACAGAGTCTCGAGATTTCTGGGGGTAAACGAAATTGTTTGACCTTCATGCAGGCCCGCAAGATGAATTGCCGGGCCTGTAATCAAGCCGAAGAAACTTGCATCAGATACGTTGGTCTCTTCAATTTTTACCTCCGTTCTCCATTCTCTCTCAGGAATAGATATTGCCCATTGGGCGCGTTGGACGTGGTTATTGCTTCGTTCAGTTTTGACGACAACTCAAGGTAATCCAAGGGCGATATGTAGCATACCATATCACCTGTAGAAGAGTTTGACGCAGTCCTGCAGGGTCATAATGACGTTACGCAGCAGCTTAACTGAACTGTGTGCGCCATGCCATGTCAAACCTTGGCACAACCGTTGTTTGAGGACTAAGATCGGACAAAACAACATGTTAGTAAGCGGGTCACGTGACCCGTTCCTGAACAAAGTACTTTGTTCTGAATCGAGTTTTCTTCAATCGTTCAATCTGGTTTGGTTCAGGGAGAACCCCTGCAAGGCTCCAGCAGTTGTCGTGCTCACTCATAACTTCAACCATCATAACCCCAGTCCTTCTCAGCAAGGGATTTATCTCGCTCCTTGGATTTCTCGTCTTCCCTGTTTGAGCGCCCTCGTGCAAAAGCCACTTGAAGCGGCCGCGTGCGTGTGCACGGCAGGGCAGTGTAAGTAATCAGTCGTGATGCGACTCAACCCGATTAACCCACTGGAGCTGAGTTTTTCTACGGTGGTGTTGTATTTTTAACCAAGCTGACGAGCAATAATCTTGAGTTTATCTCATGACTCTCATCTCATGACAATGATTACGACGACGGCAGAGTTTGGCAGAGTTCAGTCTTTTTAGTATCTCACAGTGATGCCGTGGAGGCTCAAATTTTCCGCTTGCGGCGGGCTCAGCCCGATGACTCTGATGACCTGTTGCAACGGCACCGGGACGCATCAGGGGCGCTGAGCGTTCGACTCGACACTTATTCCACAGCATCTCTCTCGGTTCCTGTGCCTTTTGCACACATGCCTGCATTGGCGGCATCTTGACTCGGCTACCAGCTCGGAGATCTGGTCTATATCCATTACTTTGCCCGCTGGGCTAGTCCACTCGCAGGGAGATATGTCATCGTGCTGTCCTTTTTGGTATGACCCTTCCCTCAGCCCGTGGCTGACTGACCGGTGCGGTGTTGTTTGAAACAATTCTCTCAACACTGTCCGTTGCTACTCTTGAGACGAAAGCCTAACAACGTCTCCGATCATTCATATCTCCGTTCCGAACAGCTCTGACTCGCATTGCTGGACTTTGTACAGCATCCATATATAAGTACGGTCAGGTCTCTGCTCTCAACCTGTATCCTTTCTTTGACTCACTTTCCGTTCTTTCGACCCATGCACATCCTATCGACTCACCTGTCTGTCCTGTACAACAGTGCTACACGCTTCCCTACTGCGACAGCCTTCCGCATCCCAAGAACGGACTCTGCCGGGCAGGTCACCGCCTGGGATTCAATCACCTACGCACAGTTTCTTGCAGACGTCGAGGAGTATGCGAGCTACTGGAGATACTCGCTGAGATCGCGTTGCATCCCTGAACGGTCCATCGTGGGTTTATGGTATGTGTGCCGTATGATCTCCAAGAATCCTTGTGTCTTAACTTTGTCCAGGTTAGCAGGATTCACTTACCAGGACGTTCTCCACATATACGGCCTGTCAAGAGCGGGCTACATCCCACAGCTCTTCAGTATACGCCTCCCCAATCCGGATGTTATTTCCGAGCTCCTACTTAAGGCCAATGCCAAGGCGTTGATCATTGATACAGCATTCGCCTCAGTTGCATCTTCATTCCCATTGCCTACATTCTCAGCTGCCAACGTTCAATCTGCTTCGAAAGCCTCTGAGCCCTTACCTCCGCTGTGTCCTCCAGGCGAAGATGACATCACCTTTGTTTTCCACACGAGTGGTTCGACATCAGGGAGCCCCAAACTCATTCCTTGTACTGGAAAGTGGCTCAACGCTATGATACGGAAAGCACGTATAGCCACGAGTCCCCGGTCAGATCGCCAAGATGTTGTTGTGTGGATGTGAGATTCAATCCTTCTTCTTCACGATGCAGCGACTGACTACATCACAGGGGTAGCATGTGCCATATCGCTCAGTCTTTCATGCTTATGGGATTCCTTCAGCACGGAGCCTGCACAATACAGCCAACCAAGATCGGTTTCTCTTCTGACGAGCTATTGGACATGATCCACCGCTGTCAACTCAACCGACTCAACCAGTTCAGCACATTCCTGTCCACGCATCTGCGTAACTCAAGGAGCAATCCGAAGTTGCTGAGCTTCCTCCAAGCACTTGACGATATCGCGTTCAGCGGGCTACCGATGGCACGAGAAGATGAGGAATGGGCATACCTCAACCGCTTAAACATCACGGTTCGTAGTTCACCGACATCATCATTTTCATCAACTCTGATCCGGACTTCTTCTTGTAGAACGTGTTCGGCAGCACTGAGATGGGAGCCATGATGCTTTCAATAGGTGGCCGCGGCCGGGATGCGCCATTACTGCGCCCGATCGCCAGCACTGTGTACGCTTTTGAGCCCATTGATCCCACCACACCCACCGAAGGCAATCATCAGTCGGGCGGGCGGCTCCTGGAGCTGATCATCCGCTCAGAGTCAGAAGACTGCCCACATCCCTCGTTGCGTCACAGCGATGGACATTTCCATACCGGGGATCTATTCCAGGAAGTTATTCCGGGAAGCTGGGCGTTCCGTGGGCGCAATGATGATTGGATCAAAAGTGAGAACAGCCTGCGGTGCGATACAAAGTAAGTTACTGCGCATTCTTGCCTAATGCAACTGAACTGACGTGGTCTGCAGAGCCATTGAAGACAATGTTCGCCAAGTCTGTGGGCATTTGTTGGAAGATTGTATCGTTGTGGGCAGTGGTCGACCTTCCCCCGCTCTGTTCGTGGAACCTGTTTCCGGCGTCGATCACACTCAACTGAAACGAGATATCATCCGGAAGACTCGTCCGTTCCATTCGCGCCGGTACCTTCACGAGCGTATCACATCCCCCAACCTCATCATCATTGTTCCGTCCAAGTCTCTACCTCGCACAGCGACCAAGGGCAATATTCGACGCCAGGCCGTGGAAGCCGCCTACAAGACACAGCTTGATGCTATCTACAGCGCGGCGCGCTAAATGGACCGGAATGGACAGTGCCTTGATTGGCAGGAACATTATCATTATAACTTACAGTATTTAATTCCCAGTATCCTTATCATCTCCACCAACAGCTTCTTAACTTAGTAGTAGTAATAATACCTGTATCATTCATTACTAATGTAGATAGTCAAACGTAGCATAGCACTACTGTAGCGTCACCTGGGGCACTTGTCCAACCAATGTAGCCTTTCTTTGGAGCAAATTATTCGTTGCAGGGCAACCCTATAAGGATTGTCTTCATTGCGCGAGCCTCGCACAAGCCACAGGAAGCGTTGCACACCAGGTAATATGTCAACATAGCAACTGAGTCGGCGCTCGCGAGCGGAGGAAGCTGATCGATTTTAGTACACTGTCATGCGGCCAAAAGTATGAGATATATTCGAACACTGCATACCATAAACAAGCTTAACCTAATGTGCTCAAGCCGATAACAACACCCTTTCAGACTCAACGCGCATGGTAAACCGGCTGCTTTCCCAACTACGCGACGCCCTGACATAAATCTTACACTCGTTCCGAGACCTTTCTTTGTTTTCAAGTGAGTCGATGATGTCCGAGTCTATCATCATGCCAGTGTTTGCCAAAGCTGGAGCCGGTGTAGGCACAAGAGAGACCCAACGAGTCAGCTGAATTGGAACAGACGTTGTAGGATCGGCCAACGTAACGGAAGAGCCCTCGTCCCCGAAGATGGGTAAGAAGCGAAGATGTTGCTTGTATGCCGAGATATGGCCAGTGTGCGAAGTTTCGGGATACAGTGCCCAGTCTGTCAACACGACGAGAGGCCGATACGCAAGATGCAAATCGCGCAACGCAGACAAGACGTTCAGTAACGGATGCGAAAGCTGGCGGTTCTCGGAGAGGCCGTTATCACGAGAAGCGTCTCCAGCAGAAAAGCGGTCTTGCCAGTAAAACGAGCTGATGGAGTCTATCGCGATCAGACCAATTGCGCAGTCCGGCATGCGAGTTGAATGGTAGTTGTGAAGATCGGCAATGGTTGCGGCGAGTTGCGACGAGGAAGAAGGACGAAAGAGGTGCAACCGGCACAAGCAAGAGAGAACGAGATCTTCGATATCAGATGGGTGAACGTTGGTGCGAGCGAGGTGAGATGCGAGGAGCTGATGGAGGCGTCGGATGCTAAACGCACGATCGAGGTCAAAGACTATCGCCGTGGTTTGTCTGCCACACAAGACGAGGGAGTGATGGTGACGAGGGGTGATGTGGGTGATTATGGTATGGTAGAGCAGATGGGTTTTGCCTGACGAGGGAGGGCCCTGGATCTGAACGACATGGGGTGCATTGAAGAGATGCTGGATGTGATCCGCAGGGGTACGCGCATCTAAGCGTGCGTCTGAAAGGAGCTTTGGGTAAATTTGCAATGAGCGAGATCTGTCAGAGCAGTGTACAGCGGGGCATTACAATCCGCAAGTCCTCCGAGGGACACTGACGTTGACCGGTTGTTGTGGCCATCGGCTGGGGGTGCGGAGAGCGGAAGGGATGTGAGGATGCAGAGGTTGACGACGTTGTCCTCGTCGCGGGCAAGCGCAGTGAGTACGAGCGGTGGCTATAGCGATGAGCATCATGATCAAATATATATGTAATGAGAAGTGCAGTATATAGAGATGTTCACGTGGCATGCCATGGCGATGGGCTGGGGACGGACGGTCGAAAAATACTGCAACGACTCAGTCCGTGACTCTGTGCATGGCCCAGTCTCTCTCTGCCAGCAACAGCACTTGTACAATCACCCGCACCCGCACATCCCCAGCCCTCTAACGCTGCCCCTCCGTTCAAAGCACGACTCCCCCACAACGTTGTCACCATGACCACTCTCTCGTCCACCGCACCCTCCAGGCCGAGACGCGCCTCTCACTCCTTAGCCCCCTCCCCTTCCGCTTCCCCCGCCCCCAGGCCGCCCACTTCTAGGGTCTCCCATCGACCCACCCCATCCCAGGCTGCCGCGGCGCGTCGTGCTTCAATCATAGCCGCTCCAGCAGATTCCAAAGATGCCCTCGCCGCCTCCCTCAAGCAGGAGACAGAACAGAAGGAGCAGGTTCGCTCCCCACCCTCCTCGTCCCTTCCTTCCTGTTCTTACATTCTTTCAAAAGCTGCTCATCCAGGTGCAGAACAAGGACAACACTATATCCGATCTGACGAAAGAGAACGCGAGCCTTCTTTCGACTCTCAATGCAGCAGAGACGAGCCTCAATGATCTCTATGCTGAGCAGGCGCGCATGGAAGACGAGATGGCAGCTCGTATTGACGTGTCCGACAAACTTAGGGCACAACTACGTGAGCTCGAGAAGGAAAAGAGAGACCTCCAGCGACGTTATAACGAACAGGTCAGCTATAGTCTTGGACCTGTTCTGCGTCATTAGCACTGATGTCGCCCTTTGTTTTCGCGTATTATCCAGACCTCGACGTTTGAAGCGGAACGTCAGGCCTTTTATGATAATGAACAGCATCTAAAGTCACGCATTCAGTCCCTGACTCAGTCACGGAAACAGGCCGAGAGGTCCCGGACGCCGGAGCCATCAGAGCCTGACACTGAACATGACCAGGTCGACCAAGAATCCATCAAACAACCGGACTCCACCGAACAAGATATCAATGACCCAGAGCACGAACCAGCAGAAATGACTTCCCTCAAGCTTGAGCTATCCACTCTTTCCACATCATACGCATCTTTACAGAATACTCTCGTTCTCTTGCAGACGCAACTTGTTGATGTCAAACGCGTTAACAATGAATTGCAAGAAGATAACGAAAGCTACATGATTCTCCTTCGGGAGAAAACCCTCAGCGGCCAATTTAATGTTCTCAAACAGGTCGGTGGAGCTACGAGCACGACGGACGGCGAGTATGACGACGATATGGACGAGGCAGAGCTTGATGACCGCGAGGATGTCGATAGCACGGGAAGCCATGGCACAGGACGGAGTCGTACACTCGACAGGGTGGACGAGGAGGCTGGAGAAGATGCCTCAGTACACGAAATCGATCCCGATGCAGAACCTCTTAGCCCAGGAAGCGGGTCTCGCCGCAGCGCTGGTCGTCGTCTTCGTGGCTCAGCATCTCCCGACAGTGTTCCTCGTGGAGAGTCGCTCGCAGGTCTTCCTATTACCGGACCAGGACTTGATTTGGCAGCCGAACTTGGACGGGCCGAGAGCAATAACCCTATGTCTTCCGAGATCGAAGAGAGCGACAGGTCTCTTGGTCGCAAGAACAAACGCGGAAAGAAAGGCTCCGCTGAGAGCCGCAAGGTTTCAAACCCAGATGGCGCCGAATTCCATGATATGGAGACACTTCGCAGCGAAGTCAAATCTCTCAAGGATGCAAACAAGGCACTGTCCCTTTATGCATCCAAGATCATCGACAGGATCATCGCTCAGGAAGGTTTCGAACATGTACTTTCCGTCGACTATGAGCCCAGTGAGCCAAAGTCTGAGACCACCCTCTTGCCAAGCACGAAAGAGTCTGCAGCCAAGAAACCCCGCCCTCAGACCACTATGTTTTCACTAGGCTCCTCCAAGCCTTTCCCCAAAGTCGCCACGCCCGAAACACCCAGCTCACCACAGCCTGTCTTGTCTGCCACTAATAGTCCCGATCCGTCTCGGCCTTCAAGGACGAAGCGCCGGTCCCTTTCTATTGATTGGAAAAGCTTCTCTTTGTTTGGAGGGAGTGAGAAGAAGGACGCCGCCACTCTTCGTCCCCTCACTCTCAAGCCAGGAACAACCCCTATGATGGGTGCACGCAAGCTGGATACCCAGGAGGATGAAGAGGATCGACGCGAGAGAGAACGACTCAACGCCACCATGAAGTTGATGGGCATAGAAAAACCTCTTGTTTCGCCCGCAGTGTCGAACTCGGCTTCTGGAAGCCCCATTGTCGCACCGCCTCTGGAAAAGACGTCTTCTTCTCCGGGTCCACAAACCTCTGCTACTGCTGCTCAGTCACGGTTCTCGCTTTTCCGCTCGAAGTCTGCCGCAGCCTCTGATGGCTCTGCCGCCAACTCGGGGCGGTCCTTCGGTCTCGGCATCGGTGGTAACAACGCTCAAAACGACCTCACGCAGGAAGCTCTGGAGCACGCTGAGGCCCAGAATTCGTTGGCTGTCCTGGACGCACGTGAGCGGACGCTGAGCGAGGTACTCTCAAAAGGCGGCAGCGGTGGGTTCACTGAGATCACACGTAGAAGCTTGGGCGATGAACGGAGAAGCAGACGAAGTCGTAGAACCGGAGATGGCAGCGGCAGCGGCAGCACTGTCTGGAGTGCAGGCATGAGTCGTCACGAGGAGGATGATGATTCCTGATTGACATGATACCTCAGGTGTACCGGAGACTGACCACCCGCATTTACTATACCCCCCGCTTTGACTCTGTAATCGACACACGACTGTGTTATACGATACCTATGTCAGACTAAGTATCTCTAAGTATGAAGTACGGTACTTTTAGAATGTAGAGTTGCCGGCATAGAGTTATGCTATAGTGCTGGCGCCGCGTAAAGTCCTGAACCTTCAGCTGACAATTCTGCTGTTTTGCACCAGCGTGTTCTGCGCATGTGTTCGAATCGTTTGAAACGGATTAGAGGAGTATCGCTTGTCCGAGATGATCATAGGATGTCTCAAACGCTCTAATTGTCTGCCAAGACGAAGTCAGAAACATGCTCAGTGTTGGGAGAAGGGCAAGGACTCACAATGCCTTCTGCCGCTGGCTCTTGCTGAATGGAGTCCCTTTGCCTTCGCCGATCAGTTGAGAGGGTCCACTGCCGCCAGACGCCGCTTGCGTTTCATCAGGCTGCTGGGCGGAACCAGTCACGATGGAAGGGACGCTGTCGAGCATAGAGAGGGCAGCCTTCATGTCTGACAGCCCGCCCCCAATCTGTTCTCGCTGTCTTTTGTTGAAGCGTCGCCTTTGGGCTTTGGTGTAGGTCGAGGCGGATGTGTACAGCCCTAAACCATTTACGGTGGCTGCTTAAGCCAAAGGCTACCAGAGTCGATAGTGTTTGTGCGTACGGTCGAGCAACGCCTCTCGCTTCAGCTGCTGTTTCTCTTTCTTGGTCAGAGTGCTTGGGATGTCGACCAATTTGTCGTCCTCCGCTGGACCAGTTTCTGCTACCTGGGCATGATGATTATATTGGAAACAAACTAGCAAGGAGGACACCAACAGGTGCATCAGGAACACCGATTTCCAGCCCGGTGCTGGATTCATTTTGTAGCGAATGGCGGCTTCTGCTTAACTTAGCTGAGGGCCGGTGCAGAGCACTAGTCCGACGCTCTTTGGGCTATCACAGGCTTTCAGCAACAGAGTGGATAGACATTTATGTGCTTACCATCAAGTCACAGTCTCACTGAAGAGTGTAGATCACCAATCACGCGAATTCGCAGACGCTTGGAATTAGCATATATAACAAATACAAACAACCAATATGTAAACTACTACGTGCTCTGAGCCTGAGAGGTGTATAGAATATTAGGCATGGGATGCTCCGAGTCCTCCTTCGCCATCCGAGCTCCTTCGAAGTAGATGCTCCTCGCCCTCCGTTGACCCAGTACTCGCTGACGCCTTCGCTGCAGTCTCTTGTGCGTCCTCCCTGCCTATTATCACAAACGCCACCAGGACAAGCAAAGCGCCGGCTAGAACTTGAATTGGCGCCAACTCGTGAAGGAAGAAATCCCCAAATACTGCCAAGGGGATCGTCAGGCTCAATCCAACAGTGACAACAAGCGGCGTGGTCTTGAGCACCGCAATAGCGTACAAGAAGTCGCTTGAAAAAGTGATGAACATCTAGGCACGCGATAAGTTGGTATGGCACAAGGGCAGGTGCAGATGCACGCACGTTGAATAAGATAGCCACAACCGCCCCGCTTGCGGACGGCCACTGGAAGGTCTCTATGCCAGTCAGATGAAGTATGATACCGACAGGCCAGCATGTGAGAACGCTCGCGAGCCCGACGAAGCCGAAAAATAGCTGCATGTCGATGCGAGATTCGTCTTTAATCTGGACCTTGAGGTAGGTAACATAAAACGCGTAGAAACATGCTGACAGCAGTGCGAGGCAGTCCCCCAACACAGTCTTGGAGCCTTCGCCGGAAAGCGCTTCCGAGCCTCCAGAGCCTGTGCTCGAGTTGCTGTCGGACAAGGAAACCAGCACGACACCAAGAAAACTATGGGACAAATGAACGTATATCGTACAATCAATACCAGTCATCTATCATAACACGCACCTCGTGGCGACTGCTAAGACCTTGCGCATCGACAAGGACTCTACGCCAAAGAGCCAGCTCAGTCCCAGAGTAGTAAAGCCTGATGACTTGAACATGAATAGGGGTCAAATTGAACCGTACAGAACGCGCTCACTACTCATGCTCGCGAGGATAGTCACACTCGCGACGGTCGTGTAAGCGAGGGCCGCGTTTGAAGACCAGTTTGCGATGAACCACAGGAAACTGAAGCCAAAGGCGAGCTTGGCGGTTTCTCTTGTGGTCAGCCGCGGGGATTCGTTATTGCCTACTGGCTGAACATTCTGCGGGAGATAAGCTCTGTGCATTCGCGAAGGAAGCAGCGACCGGCATACCTCCACCTCTCTCTCATTCGAGTCTTGCTGCAAAGGCTGATAACCCCTCGACTGACTGAATAATACTCAGGGACATGTCTTAAAGGTCCTACATAACGCACCTATCGTCTCTGAGATCGTGCTGTTCAAGCTTGTGACGCAGAAGGGAAGGTATGAGATAAATGGCAAATGCAGCAGTGTTCGTGTACGTTATTCTAAATTGTGGGTGTGAGTCGAGATGTTAATTAAGGTGCGAAGACTCGTACAGCCAAGGTTTGTTGTAACCACCGTCCACGAAGAGGTTCTGCAGACACAGCGCTCGAAACAAGTATCACACGACTTGATTTCGGCCGACTCACTTGAGTGACAAAGTTGGCTGCTGTCCAGAGGAACACGACCATCAGCAGGAGGCCGATGCCGACTGCATAATCTTTCGTCATGCCATAAAACCGTCGGGAGGGCCTAGAGGCTACATCTTCTAAGGGTGTGTTCATCTAGGCAAGGAGGCAAAGGAAGTGGTAGGTCCGACACAGCACGTTTTAATCCGCATAGCTGTATGTAATAGACGTGCGAAGAAAGCATGCCTTTGTGCGCAACACGCGCGTCTATCACGACGGCCTCAACTAGCCTCATATGCGTTCAATGCAGTACCTGAAAAAACCTGGTTTAAGAGAGAGTACGCTACTCTAGTATCACGGTAGTGCTCGTGAACATGTACATATATGCTTAAGGATATCGATATCTGGCGAGTTTATAAGATGGGGGAATAAATACATGCGGTCGAGTAGGCTGAATGTAGTAGAACGTGAGGTAAAAGAGTGGATGGGTATCAATGTCGAGAGCTACCTAAGTTAAAGTTCGCTTCGCCCGTGGGCGTAATTTTTCACTTTTTCAAATATGCGGAATAAACTGATGACGAGGTTTATGCAGTACATGATGAGTCCAACGCCAACGAGGCAGATGAGGACGAGCTGGTCGTCGCATATAGTGTCGCCAACACCACCTTCGCCGCGCCCAAGAGAAGGTAGATTGAGGCTAGGACGCGCAAGCTGATTGTACCACGAAGTGTCGCTGATCGAGGCACATGGTATAAGGGAAGTGAAGAAGTTGTCGAAACACAAAGAGAGTGCCGCGGACCATGCGCAGATAAAGCACACCTCGAGTAGTGTGTGTGCAAGTTTGGCAGAGGTGCGCCAGAGTCCCAGTGGCCGGCTGAAGTACTCTAGCTAGAAAAGTTGACTCAGATGAGTAGGTGAGAAGTTAGGCAGGATGAAATGGCGTACGTATATTGCCACCATAACGTGGACTAACGTTAGAGGGGCAAAAATGATCACCAGCGTCCTGAAGATATCACTTCATATAGCTGAGACTGAGAGCCCATATGTAAGCACTCACACTGAACTACCGACAACGCCCATGACATGATAGCGCATTTCTAGCTGTCGTATTCGAATGGCGATGGCTAATGCTGCAGTAGTGAATGTAATGTTAACAAATCTGAAAAGCTGTAAAAGTAAGGCATTCGTCAGCGTTCTAATTGCATGCAGAATGCACTTACTAAAGGGACGTAGATGTTGGAAAGCAAGAAAGCTCGAAACCTCTTCTTGCGAGACCTAGACTTGTGACTGACGGTATCATCGGGGCGGGAGAGTGCGCTCTGTGCCCCGCGACTATGATTGTCTCCATGAGTTAGAGCAGACATCTCCTTTGACTGCCATGGTATATCCCAGCCAGGGGTCTTTGATTGTGAGACAGTGAAGGGGTCAGGGCGAGGGAGATCAAGATAAAGGTTTGAGTTCTGTTCACGAAACGCTCTGTCTTTGGCGAGGTCTTGTGGGGACCTTCGGGTGCCAGACATGAGCCAGGGAGAACGTTCCTTGAAACTGACAGCTTTCTTGTCTGGGTTGAAGGACCCTGCTCCAGAGCCTTCAAACGGGTAAGCTTCGCCTACGTCGGCATGAGGCCGGGCAAAGGCCCACCAATGTGAGTGAGTGGATGGACCTGCCTGGCCGAGAGCGACGGATGAGCGCGAAGAGGTGACATCCGAGCTTCTAAGATCGACAACAGGACGGGGGCGATCAGGATCGTGTGGCTCTGTGGGGGAAGGTGGTTCGTCTTGTGCCCATGCTATGGGAGAATAGAAGTGATGAGACAAAGTTGGAGTGAGCGTTGGGGCATCAGAATGACATACGCGGGGCAGTAATAACTGTTCTTATTGTGGAAGGTGGCGCGTGCGCATTACTACGAACACTGAAGTTCCCTGTGAGACTCGCTGTTGAAAGAGAAGGTGTCGGAGGGCCTTTCTTGGGGCTTGCGGACATTGAACTTGGGGTGGAGGAGGAGCAAGCCAGCAAGGAAACTCACCCCCGCACAACCCCGACTCTTAATCAAGGTCCAAACCGACGGACACAGCCACCAGACCACGCTGAAAACGGCGCGCAGTCCCGCACCAGTGCATGCAGCGTACTACTATGAGGCTAGTATACTACGGAGTGGACGAGGCAGTACTAGTGACCCATGCATTGATGTGCAATCGCTGCAGCTCGCGTCTACTTTGGCACACACAGCTACTCACAAATAACACTGGCTATACGCGGCGAAAATAGAAACAACATTATTGCCAAATCGTTACATAGTACAGGTGTGACCATCACCTCAACATCGCTTCGAGCACAACGCCAAGCTTGCAATAACGGCGCGGTAAATATTTGATTACATGATTATTAATATTGTGTTCATGCCTAACTAGCACAAGCCCACAGTAAATCACTCTACCTCATCCACAACCATAATGGAAGAAGCTGTTCCCACTGTGAACTTGACCGGCGTTGGATCCCGCTTCATCTCCTCAAACGAGGTGGAAACAGCACGAACCCGAAGGGAGGAGCAATGGAAGGCAGCATATGCGCGGTGCGCACGTCGCAGCCGACTCTCCCCACAGACGTTACTGACAGACAGACAGATTGGGCCAGGAGCCTCCACCTCGTCCAACGGAGGACGCGTTTGATGGTCGTAGTCTGGCAGAAGTAAGAGTCCTTCCATCATCTAAATCCAACGCTCATTCAACAAGACCACCAGAAATTGGCAGCGAACCGAGTAAGACTTGCCCTCTCTCTTGTTCCCAGCATATGTTCATCTGGTTCAGGCAGCCAAGCAAGAAGAATGGGAAGAGAAGACAAAGCTAGGTAACAAAACATGATGAATTCATCCTGTTCTCGAGACTGACTGCCCAACAGCGAACCAATTTCGGGCGCTGGAGGAGGATGAGATCATGTTCCTAGACTCTATTCGGGAGAAGGAGGCTGAAGCAGAGCGTCTCCGTAAGGCTCAGGATGGCGAGGAATTACAGGACTTTAAGAAGTAAGTGCTTCCCCCCCTTTACGTTGAAACCGCGGTCAATGGTTCGGTTTGTAGGGCAGTCAAGGAAAGGGAGAGCGCCCTGAATAAAGCGTCCACGTCAACCCCCGCGGCCCCTCAACAGACTTCGAAGACTACCATCGACACTCCACAGCCAAGCAAACCTAGTCTGGCAAAGAAGGAGACGAATGCGAAGAAATCCCTCAAAGGCGTGCTAATGAAGAAGAAACCTAAGCCAGCCGCGGACGCTCCCAAGAGGGCTACAGCCAGAGAGGAAACGAAAATGTCCACCACCACGGGAGAGTCTACAAACGACGCCGAGGATGCACGCGACACCAAACGGCGCAAAATCTCCACTTCATGACATTATCATTAGTGCTTATTTAATTTACATACGGTTGTAGGTCTGTGACATTGCAAAAGTACAAGACATGGATGCAACACACGGTCATGATTTGCGACCGCTTGCCGTGGGGGTTGGCGTCCACCGAACATGACTGAGATCCTTTTCTCTAGTACGTTCGTTGCTCTGCCACTGCGAAGTACGCTGCATTGCCTCGGCTCTGCGAGCGGCGGCTGTTCCCATTGTAGATCGATCCAAAAGTCTCCTTGCCGCTGGAGTCAAATTTCCTGGTGCATCTACTCTTCGAGGAGTGAAGGATGGAGGGCCCATAGACCCGGGCTTCGATGCTCGGGTAGGTGTGAGATTCAGCAGTTCAGCCTTCGCACGCAAGTTTTTTGATGCCTGCGCCGAAAGCCTATGGGACAGAGCTTCTCGATTTGATGGTGCCGAGAGGTGGAACGGTGTACTTGGGGGAGGTAAGGCTTCAGCGGGGTCATCGGACTGATTCAAGACACGGGGGGTTGCACTGAGCGTTCCCCACGTCATAAGCTGTCTAACGGCAGACGGACCCATCTCAGCCGCGGAAAGCGATGGCATAGTAGGCACCAGAGAGAAGTTGTTTATCTGAGGTGACTTTGGTCGATCTACAACAAGATAGGTATTCATGAATGTCCGATGGACGTTTGTACCAAGGACTTACAGGGTGTGCCGGTGATTGCCGCTTCTATTCGACTTCGAGTGGGACTTGGAGGCTCCGAGCGAGCGCGAGGTTCAGTCTCAGATTGTTCCGGCAGTCGCGTGTTTGCGTGCTTCACGATCTTGGGGTTCGCCTCTTTCTTGCGTTCTTTGGTGACGGCTGTTGACGGATCGTACGGAGAGACGTCTGCGTCAGGAGGGAACATGAGTGAATTGCGAGTCTAGTGCAGGCACATCTGAGTCAGAACACTAAGGGGGGAAAGCAAAACAATCTCGCACTTTGAATTTCCAGCCGTCGACAGCAGCAGACCGAGTGTCCTTCGTAGGTGCCATCACGTCAACAAATTCTTCCGGTTCGCTCTGGTTAGCGAGAATTAATTGTGTATTGCTTCCATCATCCTTTGAGGAGTCGTCGTTTATCTTGCCTCCTGCATCCTCCTTTGCGGTAATGAGACCTGCGAGTTTTGGCTGCTCAATCATAAACTTCTCGCGCACTCCAGGGACAGGAGGAGCATCGAGCAGCATCTTCTCGCGCCCTTCCAGCATCCTCTCCCTCTGCGCCTCAACCCGCTTCTGTGCCTCCCATGCCCAGCCCCACATCTCTCGCCGCTTCCGGTTCTCGTCGTCGAGAATTTGTGTGAAGCTTGCGTTGTCCTCGGAGGTGTACTTGGTCTGAAACGAGTCGAGGCTCATGTCGCTGTCGTAGCGCGCACGCTTGGGCGGGGGCTCGCCTGCGGGACTCCGCAGGGGTGTCTCGAATGGGCCGCTGCCCAATGGTGTCTGCGACGGCGTTTGCCATGGACCCCCGCGACGGGGGGTTGGGGTTTCGCTTATTTGTTGGAGACGACGAACGGATGCCTGTATGAGATGTGGATCCTGCGAGCTAATGGCGTCCAGGTATTCGTTGGTAGCATCGAGATGGATGAGTGACGGGAAGAAGTCGCGTGCGATGATACGCGAGAGCGCAGCAGTGTATTCATCCTCTTCGAGGACTTCTTGGCGGTTCAAAGACCTTGAGGGCGGTTCAGGTGGAGGGGACGCCATGGGGCTAGGTGTGGTGGTTAGGAGATAATGGTGAATGGCTAGGCGAGCGACTCCTTACTGACTTTAAGTGCATCGCCACCTGGTCCGTCAATTGTGTAATCATATAGTGAATAAGTTCATTATATATGTTCCACAAAACATACAGCTATGGTAGTGTATTCCACAAAGCAACAGGACAAAAGAGGGTTTGCATGAGTGCTTGGAGATACCACATGTCCCAGCGCAATAGCATCCACATAGCGCTTCGTCAATAAAATTTAGGAATTCGTAATGAGTGTTGGGTACGGTTTTCTCGAGACCTATAAATGAATGATTATCCCAATCTTGGGGTGCGCATAATATCTGAGATCTCCGAACTCTGTCAGTATGATCTTGAAGAAAAAAATATTGAGGGGATATCAGTCGCCAAGCCTGGTATAGGGAACACTCCTGCCAAAATCAATCTTCAAACGCCATCCCTGCTAAAATCGAACGTGCTGCTGGCCTGGCCTCACTCGACTTCTCTTGTCAAGGACCGAATCTGACACGCCACCACTATCATCGTTCAGGAAATCCAAACCTCCGTTCTTCCGGCCAATGAAGGAACCTGGGGGCCTGCTTATCCTACTCTGCCCGAGTCCAGATGCCGTACTGTTGTAAGTAGGAAGTCTTGTCGAGGGGCGGATCGTGACATTGGATTGAGATTGCGTCATGCTTCTCGGAGACTTCGCGCTATAAGATACTGGCCGTTGTTTGGAAGTTCGGTCCGGAGATGAAGAGTGAGTTGCACTTGATCCCAGAGATGACCGTTTCGTCTGTCCGTTGTGCGAAATGACGGGTCGTCTCGATGGGCTTGGGGAATTGTTGAGACCAGCCCTCAGGATGGGGAAAAATGTCGGAGTAGCCGGGCGAGAGGATGGCGTAGGTATGGAGCTAACAGTGGCAGTCGTGCTTTGGCTACCTCCTGACAGGCGAGACTGCGGTCGACGGCTAGTAGGAGCCGCGGTACTATGATAGAGAGAAGAGGGTTGTCGGGTGTACGTAGTGGTGGAAGTTGAGGGCGTAATACCACGACTATATGCGCTTGGGGCAGTAGGGCTGGACACTCGTCTGATCTGTCTTTGAGGGTCTTTACTGGGCGACGGGGTTTCGTCCATGATGAGTACCCAGCCAGAATTATCAGCAGACGGTGTGACAGCCGCTTTGCTATCGGAGTCGCCGCTTCGACGTCGAGGACTGACTCCGCCTGCTACTGACTGAGCTGGGGTAGGATGAAGTGTCGAAGCCCTTGAATCATAGGATGTAGAGCTGGCGCTGGGACTCAGAGCTGATGCATCAAGTGGATTCTGATGAGCATCATTGCTACCCATCCGCAAGCGTGGGACCCTGGTGTGTATCTTCTGTTCCAAATTGCGCACACGAGCCCTCATTTCTGACACCATCTGCACCCCTCTGCTCTTTGTGGCTGCGACAGGTATAGCGGATGTTGCGCCGATACTAGAGCTCGCTGTGTGAATAGGTCGGGGAACCTGTGCCTGGGGAGGACTGCGAGTAGTGCCAGAGGGCAGCGTTCGGGATCGCGACACGGTCGCGGTCGTCGCCGCCGCCGTTGTGGGTTTATTAGCCTTCGGGTGGAAACCAGCCTTATGAAGGGCGATAGACTGCCCAGAGGTTGAAGACGATAATGATGTAGAATGGGGCCGTGAGGGCGTGGAGATATCTGTCTTGCTCTCGAGCTCGGACAGTTGAAAATCTGGGGGCGGGGTGTTGAGAAGACTTTCGTCTGTGGATGGCGGAGAAGTCATAGAGAATAAAGCGGACGACCCGTTGGAACCTGGGACATCCTCGATTTCTCTGGAGACCTTTGCTTGAGCTACGGCGAGCTGATCCCTAAGGATGGAAACCTCGAGGTTCGTATCTGCGAAAACCGATGAGACGGGGTTGGATGTGGCAAGAAGCTTAGATGGTATACCTCTCAAATCATCCTTGAGTCGCTGGCACTCCTCCTCGAGACTGGCCTTATCCAATAGCTCATGTTCGAGGAGGATCTTCTCCTCAAGCACTCGGGAATACTTTCCTTCAACATCGGCCAAAGTCGATGAGACAGCTCGCTCATTCCTTTCCAGATCATCATTTCCGAGTTCTAATTCGCGCAATTGAACCTTGAGCCTCTGCGATTCCTGACGAACGGTGTCCAGCTCTCGTTGCAGGGAAGTGGTAGTGGTGTTATGAGTAGTTTGAAGCGATACGAACTTTGACTAAATCTGAGGTTAAAAAGTTATGACCTTTATGCAATGAAGCGTAAGGGCACCTTCCAGTCTTCTTTCTCTGAGTCCGCCCTCTCCAACTTGATTCTGAGATCCTGCTGGGCTTTCTCTGTGCGCTCAATTTCCTTGATCAGTTCCTCCTCCAGGTCCTTGCTCGAGGTGTGAAACTCGTCGAGCTCTGCACGAGTCTCTGCCAACATGTCTGCAACCTCATTGTACTTTGCCTTCCAGTCAGTGGACGAACTGGGGATATTTGTGAGAGGGTTGTGGGGGAGAGATGAGGGTGATAGATACGCACTCTGTGTCATCTGCTGAGGACATGGTGGGACAAGTATGGGCATAGGCAGAAGAAAGCACAGCCGCCATGGGCCGACGAGGAGCAGATGAGGGCAGGCTACTATACAGGCTCGACGGTCCCAGTCAAACACAGCGTAACGTATGGCTTGGGGCAGCTCAGCAGAACTGGAACAGATGGGAACCCAGCCCGCCACGCATCGCAACATTGGCTTATTTAATCCGAGACAGCTCCCCTTCTTTCCCCCTGTCCTGGGGTTAGGGTCATATCCTACGCTAATTGCCTACTAATCCTTCCGGCTTCGCGCACTTGCGCTTCTCCAGCCGTCCCGTCTTCGGACATCGCATCTCCTTCCATGACACCGGGTCCATCGTCGCACCTGCTCAGCGTCGACATTGGCTATCCAGACCATTCAAATGGTGACGTACCGGCTTCACTTGTCGCGAAAACAACACCAAGATCGTTGCGTGCTGTGGTGATGTAGTAGCTACGTGCATCTCCCAGAGATATCTCGGCATATCCTCAGATGGTGTTTGTCCGCGGGGACTGCATCAGACTCACAACCGACCCCTTCACGACGTCCCCTCCTCGAAAGCAATCCCCGATCTTCACCTTGTCCTTTTCGGTCGCTCGAACGTCCTGATTACGGATTACACCAATGAACTCCTCCCCAGTGGGAAGCGGGACATCATCCACCACTGAAATAGACACCATTGCCTGTATAGGTGTCAGTCGGGTGACAGTACCAAGGACAACGGAGTTTGTCGTGGGTGGGTGCGGTCGAATACGAGGAATAGAGATTGTCTGCCCAGAGAATGTTCGATTGCAATAACATGATTGTCGACGTCAATGAAAGAGATTACATGTAACAAAAATGCGACGGACAGATCCTTGTTGACGCGGGACGCCCACCACACTGGCCCTGACCTGACCTTCACTGAGATAGAGACCCCCACCCAGGCTGGGAGCAGGCCCCCGTAGGAAAACTGGCTGTCCTGGGAGTAGAATGTCGGAGGCCATGGGATTGAAAGAAAGTGACAGGGGAAGCCAAATTTACAGACAGCTTGTATGTAATCAAGGAACGCTTCAGCATCTGAATCCGTCGAGGGAAAACTCGGAGAGACGCGCCGCACCGTGTCGCGCGAACTCGGATTTGCGTATATTTGGTTTTCCACACAAAAATATTGGCCAGCACTACTCTTCCTTCCGTCTCTCCTGGTTCTGCACTCAATGGCTTCCTCCCTGGCCCGCGTCCTCTCTCGCCGTATGTACTCCTCGTGCTTTTATGCATTCGCGTACTCATTTGTCATTTGCTCTAGGTATGCATGTCTCCGCACGGAGACATGCCCTCTCCAAGTTCGCCATGCCCGCCATGAGTCCCACTATGACCGAGGGCGGTATCGCTTCTTGGAAAAAGGCCGAAGGAGAGTCGTTCTCTGCAGGAGATGTATTGCTGGAAATAGTAAGTCTTGTCATATTCCTCCTTTCAGAGCGAGCGAATTGACTCTTCTAAGGAAACCGACAAAGCCACCATTGATGTAGAGGCGCAGGACGATGGTATCCTCGCCAAAATTATTGTACGCATGTGATTTCTAGCCGTGTGGTCTTTTTGCTCACTCATCATCAAAATAGGCTGCTGATGGTGCAAAGAACATTTCGGTTGGCTCCACTATCGCTGTCCTGGCCGAAGAGGGTGACGATTTGTCGGGCGCCGACAAGCTCGCATCGGAGACTTCTTCTGAGCCTGCGCCGAAGAAGGAGGAGGCTAAACCTGAATCTACGAAGTCGCAGGCAACTGAGCCCCAGCCCGAGGCTAAGCCTGCCCCCCAGGAGACTAAGCCTGAGCTCGAGAAGGGCGAGTGTATCTTCGCGTCCCCCATAGCCAAGAAGATTGCTTTAGAGCGGGGCATTCCTCTGGGTCAAATTAAGGGCTCAGGACCATCTGGCCGTATTATCAGAGAGGACGTCGAGAAGTATCAGCCTGCTGCTGCCTCAGCTTCAGCATCTGCTTCGGCCGCTCCTGGCACCCCGGCCGCTCAGCCCGACTACACTGATATCCCAGTTTCCAACATGCGTCGCACCATCGGAACCCGTCTTACTCAGTCCAAGCAGGAGATCCCTCACTACTACTTGACTATTGACATCAACATGGATAAGGCCCTCAAGCTTAGGGAGGTCTTCAACAAATCTCTGGGCGAGAAGGACAAGTCTGCGAAACTCAGTGTTAACGACTTCATCTTGAAAAGCGTTGCATGCGCTCTTAAGGACGTCCCCGAAGCCAATTCCGCATGGCTCGGAGAGGTCATCCGGCAGTAAGGAGAATATCTAGCGCAGGTTTTGCCTTGCTTATTTCTTTCAGGTATAACAAGGCCGATATTTCTGTTGCTGTTGCAACTCCCAACGGCCTGATTACACCCATCGTCAAGGATGTCGGCTCCAAGGGGCTTGCAAGCATCTCAGCAGAAGCGAAGGCCTTAGCCAAGAAGGCCCGTGATGGCAAGTTGGCACCTCAAGAATACCAGGTTTGTCAGATCAAATTTTGTAAATCCTTTGGCTCATTGTCACACGTATAGGGCGGTACCTTCACTGTCTCGAACTTGGGCATGTTTGATATCGAGCACTTCACTGCCATCATCAACCCACCTCAGTCTTGCATCCTTGCTGTTGGTTCAACCAAACCGACCCTCATACCTGCTCCAGAAGAGGAGCGTGGCTTCAAGACCGTCAACATTATGAAAGTCACTTTGAGCTCTGACCACCGGACCGTCGACGGCGCTGTTGGTGCCAGGTGGTTGACGGCATTCAAGGGTTACCTTGAGAACCCCCTCACCTTTATGCTGTAATTGTCGTTTTCTATGGCTGTTATGGCAGTTGCATGTTTTCTGGGATTATATCGTCAACTTCACGCTCTTTTCTAGTAATACACTTAGACTCCTATTCTATATTTCGCGTATCATGTTACGGAATGCTAGTATGATCAGCTCATGCTGAGTTTCCAACGCTATACAAGCACATGGCAAGAAAACAGATCAGTCCTTCACCATGCCAAGTCGTAATGCAGTTGAACCCCTCTCTTCGAACGCGGTCAACGTGAATCTCAACCTCGACAGGGGATTTTCTAGTTTAGTACATACACATTTGTTGGCTCAAGTTAACCTCATAGAACCCGCATATCACCCCGGATTCTTTGTATCGAATCTCCGGCTCTATCTAATCGCTATTAGTCCTGCCATGCCTGGTCGCCATCGCAAAACATCGCCCTTGAAGAATCCGTGTATGGCTCTCGTCATTGGTGACCCAATTCTCTGCAGATGCTTACTTTGACGTAGCAAAGGCCTATCTTGCATTTGGCTTGGAAGGCTCAGCGAACAAACTCGGCGCTGGCGTAGTCAAGCACGATAAGGACGGTTCTACTACTGTCTTGTCGAACGTTCGACATACATACATTACACCCCCTGGCGAAGGATTCTTGCCTCGCGATACTGCGAAACACCACAAGGAATGGGCGCTGAAGGTCATCCAGGACGCCGTAGAAAAGGCTAGCACGACAATCGAGCAGCTGGACTGCATTTGCTACACGAAAGGTAGGTGTCGGCGGGAATGAAGGAGATTGCGTTTGGTGTCTCAAATTCGTCCATGGACGTCAGGGCCAGGCATGGGAGCACCCCTACAATCCGTAGCATTGGTGGCGAGGACGCTTTCCTTGCTATACGACAAGCCTCTCGTTGGTGTGAACCATTGCGTTGGACGTAAGCGCACTTGCCTCACAACACGGGCGCTACGCTCATAGAACCCTGCTCAGACATTGAAATGGGTCGATTGATCACGGGCGCCCAGAACCCAGTTGTTTTGTACGTCTCAGGGGGCAACACTCAAGTGATTGCGTACTCTCGACAGCGTTACCGCATCTTTGGTGAAACCCTTGACATTGCCGTAGGCAACTGCCTCGATAGATTCGCCAGGGTCATCAATCTCAGCAATGACCCTAGTCCAGGCTACAATATTGAGCAAGAGGCAAAGAAGTATGCGTTATTTCATTCGGTGCTGGCAATGATGTTGATGTTGCTGCTTGACAGAGGAAAGCGAATGGTGCAGTTGCCATATACGACCAAAGGAATGGACGTCAGCTTGTCAGGGATATTGACCTCCGTCGAAGCCTACACGATGGATAAACGATTTAAACCGGATGCGGTGGCGGCTGAAGTTAATGATGAAGATATCATCACTCCTGCCGACTTGTGCTTCAGTCTCCAAGAAACCATCTTTGCCATGCTTGTTGAAATAACCGAGCGAGCCATGGCTCATATAGGCAGCAAAGAGGTACTTGTGGTCGGAGGTGTTGGGTGTAGGTACTTCTTGATTAAGCTGTCCACGATCCTCACCGATTTCTAGGTAACGAGCGGTTACAAGATATGATGGGGATCATGGCTAACGAGCGAGGTGGTCAAGTTTTTGCGACCGATGAACGGTAAGGATATCAACCCGTTCCTGCTTGGTCTGTATGATGAAGCATAATCCACAGGTTCTGTATTGATAATGGGATAATGATAGCCCAAGCGGGGCTATTGAGCTATCGTATGGGTCAAGAAACACCTTTGTCCGAGAGTACATGCACACAGAGGTATGGAGAACGTGCCAGAGGGTATCTTTACCATTGCTAAATAGGGTTTTCAGATTCCGGACCGACGAAGTTCATGTCGCTTGGCGTCTATGATAAATGTAAGAGTACAAAAGTGTGTCTGATCGGATGAGTATTATCATGCAAGTGTGCTTCGTCATTCTCAAGAACTCGTTAGGCTGGTGCCACATTCGCCCAAACCAGCGCCCAATCTTCCTGGCTAGTTTGCATCTCCTCTCTTAGTCCGACGAACCTATCCCACCACCACCGATGTACCTTGTCATAAACGCTACCTGTACCACCCGGAGGGACTCTTGCTTTCCAAGGCTTATCTGCTAGAATGTAATGCAGGCATCTAATCTCCTCATCTCTCCACAGAGCTGAATGAATGACCATCAAGGTCTTGAGCGCGTTATAGCACCATGGTAGGGGCGTCCAGCTGCCTTGAAAGAAGTCTGACAGAAGATCTTGATCAGGGAAAGTCCATGTATGGATATTGGGTGAAGTAGCGAGATGGTTATATATGCTGTTGGCTAGCTCCAGCGAAGGTTCTAGCACCACCAAGCCGGAGTTGAGTTGTGTGTAAGGGCGTGGACTACTTGGCGTAATGACGGGGGGAGAAGTGAGACATGATGGATGGACCAAAGGTGTGTAAGCACAATTTTCTGGGATCCTGTAACATATTGTTGCATTGACTGACAGTTAGGTCGGAACGACATAACTAGCTCAAACCGCTTACCAGTCTGACGGGTAGTGGGCTAGCTTGCGAGGATTGCAGGCACAGACATGACAGGCTGCGATGTTGCCTGAGGACAGGACGAGTTCCATTAACTCGTCCATGTTCCTCATAATGATCATATCCGCGTCGAGCAGAACTACGCGCTAGGAGAGTATCTCAATATATATACGATCGAAAAGGTAAGAGACCGTGCGTACACGATACTTGGTCAAACCGAAAGCTCTGGTGCACGATCAGTTTATCGCTTCACAATCAAAAGAGTCTAGCTTACCGTAATTTAGTCCATGTGTCTGCGAAGCGAGAGTCATGGGACGCTAAGGCATGACGTCCCTTGGGCGGAAGGAGGCTTTCAATGTTCTCCGTCCGAATTTGCCTTCGGCGGAGAATATCCTTGGCTTCTTGAGAAAGGGCTGAAGTCACCATGACCACGAGAGGAAACTTTGACCCTGTTGCACGAAGCGTGTGCTCGAGGACAAGCACCCCTGGCAAGTACTCGAGCCTGGTCAATAATGTCACATAGACGCATGGCTTCTCCATCTTCGAGTCGCTGTCAGTATGTACGTGCAATGGTTTGGCCAGAAGTAGGGAGGAAACCAGTTACTCATCGCGAGCTGCTTTCCCCCTCCGGTATCTCGGCGATCGCCATCCCCTCATATTCTATCTTCCGGAGAAGGCGCATCGATAGCGATTACCTGAGCCCTCTCATTCACCAGGGCGTGGTGACATTCAGATGTATCACGGTTCACATGGAGCTTCAGTGACCAGACAAATCATTCACCACCTCATGATACCCTGGGAAGGATTCTTGTCCTCAGGCAATTGTCATTTGAGTGTCACGCCAAAGAAAGTTGTGATATAGGCGGCAGGATGGGGTACAGAGTGAAAATGCTACGGGAAGAACAGCATGGGACTGTGCATGGCCATAAAGTAGACTCTGACTTTTAACGCAAGCGACTATGTAGTACCAGAATCAGCCAAAAGACAACAGGAAATGGATTCTTTGGACACACCGTGCTTCACGCTCACTCTCAAGGAGTGCCAGGATATCTTGCTCCCGCACAGGACCCTTGACGTTGCGGATGATTGTCCGCGAGGGATCATCCATGAATTCGACGCGCACTTGAGTGACGCCTCCACGAGAACCGGTACGTCCGAGGACCTGGCGATGATAAGTGAACACTTACCAAGTGATAATACTGATTCAACCAACCTTGACGACTTTAGCGAGTTTAACTGGTGCTTTTGATGAATCCTATGGCTTTATGAGCTATACGTTTAGCGGACAGTAAGCGTGGAACTCACCATGTTTTACAGAGATCTTGTCGAGACGACCGTTCTTGGTGTGTACACAGCGGGAAAATTAGAGTTCAACGATGTGCTGAGACGTTGCAGCTCCGCCGGGAATTTCCGTGCATATACGTCGACGATGAACTGGGACAAACGCGGATTTGAAGGGGGTAAGTTAACAGTTAATTAAGGTAAGATAACTATATATGTACGGGGCATTACATATCTGGTATTTGTAAGGACACTCATATGTGTTGATGACGTCTACTTGTCATGACTCGGAGATTCAGCATGATGTGGTAATGTCAGACTTGTCTTGCGGCAGAAGTTTCTTCGCTTTGTTCTCATTACCTTTGCCCTTTAGAACATTCTCTATGAAATACTCTCCAGCCTAGAGAATTAATGAATTTCGCAGTAGGTGTTAGGTAACCAGGCCGTACCTTGTAGCTGCTCCGAACCAAAGGACCGCTGGCAACGTACAGGAAGCCCATATCTTCGGCGACTTGCTTCCAGTGATCGAACTCAGAGGGTTCGACATAGCGATCGACCTTCATGTGTCGCTTTGTTGGTCTCATATATTGCCCAAAGGTGACCACGTCAACGTCGACCTTTCGGAGTTCTATAACATTTTACAAAAAGGTTAAGGGAAGGTTATGATAGATCTGAACGGAGAGCTGACCACGAAGAGCATCATAGAGTTGGGCCTCTGCCTCTCCTACTCCAAGCATGATACTCGTCTTTGTGATGCGAACACCCTCTTTCTTCGCTTGTTCAAGAACTCTGAGACTTTGCCGGAAGGTTGCGCGACGGTCGCGAACGTAAGGCGTCAAAGCTTCTACAGTTTCGACGTTATGCGCATAAACGTCCAATCCAGACTTTGCGACAAGTGAGACGTGCTCCATCGACCCCGCAAAATCACCTGTCAGAGCTTCAACTAGGATTTGGGGGGCTCTAGAAACAAATAAGACAAGAGGCATGATCACTACTGAACCGACTCACTTCTGTTTGATTTTGCTAATGGTTTCGGCGAAGTGGCGAGCGCCGCCGTCCGCAAGGTCTGTATTCCATCAGCAAATATCAAAGACAAGTCCAGCCAGTCGTACCGTCTCGGTCCACACTAGTAAGAACGATGTAACCCAATCCCCATCGACTGATAGCTTCCGCAGTATTTTCAGGTTCATGAGGGTCCAACGGTAGAGGGGCCCGTGATGTCTTCACAGAGCAAAAACGGCAGCCTCGCGTGCAGGTATCGCCCATGAGCTGAACACCGGATAAGCTAGATAATATACCATCATGAATTGAGTGTCGTACCATTATGGTTGCAGTAGCCGCTCTCTTTCCTTCTTCCTCCGTGGCACCTTCCTTGCCGCCCCAGCAGTCTCCTATGTTCGGACAGCGTGCCTCTTCACACACTGTGTGCAAGTTGAGGCCGCGAAGGTCTTTCTTGATCTTATTGAAGGAAGATCCTGAAGCTATTTTGGTCTTTAGGAAGCTGGGCAACCGGGGACTATGGGACGAGATGAGGACCAATGTAGAACTTCAAAACAGGAGTACTGACGCCTTAGTGTTTCCGAGAATCACTCGTTCTGGTGTCTCGTCAGAAGAAATGAAGTCTTCCAGGGAAGGGCCGTTGTTGAGGGTGTCAGCGAACTTAGATTTGGCCTTGGGAGCAGCAGGAGTTGCAAGGTATCGGATGGGAGCATGCCGTCTGCAAGCATGGGTTGAGCGCAATAAAACAGTTGTCCTCTGCGAGAAGGCCATGGCGAGAGTAAAGGATAGTTGGTTTGTAGCCAAGAAATGTAGCTAAGTCAGCAGTACAGGTCGAGGACGGTCAGGCTTCAGAGTTTGGTGCCAGAGGCCGGCAAGTTGACGGCAAAGAGTGAGAAAACGGCCGATGGGGTCATTTCAAATGCCGGCGCGTCTTCGATTGACACCTCTACCAACATCCGGACATCCGTCGGCGACCCGATCCGGCACTCAAGTACTCACCTGCGCTGCTTGCTGGGAACAGAAAATTAGTCACATTCATGAACGCTCTCTCCCGTCGAGAAGAAGACACACTCCAAAAGAGTGCCAAAGCTCGAGCACTCAAGGAGTGTGACGCCATCGTCCAAGGCGCGAATCTATGCCATATGATATAACTTAGAAGGACCGCTCAACGTCCATAATTTTCCAGACTTTGCAGAATGTGCTACTGGTCGCACGGTTTCTGTCGCATGGGCGTGCAGAGATAAATACAGTGCAGTACAAAACTGCATGTTGCGCTTGTGGGCATTTCTGACATTCATATGGCTCCGTCTTTCTTTCTCATTGACATTGACTCTAGCACGGGTCCAGATGCTATGGACACCGTACGCAAAGAGTACCTTAGGCTGAGAGACCAACCCAGCCCTCAATATTGATAAGGACTATTTTCTTCACTTGCCTGTATGCTAGGCAAGAATTAAAGCAACCACGCTTCTTATTCATGATTTCTCGCGCGAAGTGTTACGATACGTACAATTGCAAGGTGGCATATAAATAACCACGACTACATAAAAATGGGGAACATGGGCGACTAGTTCTTTTTAATGCCGTTGATGGTATTCCACTGCGCGCGAACACCCATGATGGAAGAAATCATCCTGTGAAGATGGTCAGTAATATATTTATGCATAGTCTTTCAGCGACGTACCCAGCGATGCCGACAAAGCCGTCGCTCACGCCCACAAGGCCAAGATTAAAAGCCGGTATCCAGACGTCCAACAAGTCGATTGCAAATTGGTGCCTGACGTCGCTGCGCATGCTAATGACGCTGTCGTTAATACAATGAATTACGAAAACTCAGTAGGTACGCACGATGCATTAGCGAGAACTTTCACTTCACGCTGGGCTTCATCAGCGAGATCTTTTTCGCCCCACGTCTGGGTTGCACGAAGTCCTTTAGCCTCCTGTGCCAGTCGGCCCAACTTGAAAGGCGAACGCAATGTCAGTAACGTCGTGTATTGGGGTTGGAGAATATGGTTGAAAGCATACTTTGAGAAGGTTATGCGTGATGCTGAAGAGGATACCGGCAAGCCAGAAACGGTTGGAGGTTTTTGTGACCTTGGCGGCCGTGTCCGGCTTCAAGTTTATAAACTTGACAGTGTTGGCCTACGGATAGATGTATGAGGCTCTTGTACGCTGTGCAGGCGGCCGGCAATGCTTACCCATACGATGGCGTCATAGGTAAGATAACCAAAGTAGCCCAGCTGGCGGCCGATGGTCGTGAGTTGTTCGGCGGCGTGAGATGCAGACTGAGCAGCACGGAGGGCTGCCTGCAAGTGCTCGACTGGTTTGCCGAGCCTCATAACTAGGGGACAGGGGCTGAGGACGATCACTGATGAGTACTACTATTCGTTATACTTACGTTTACGACCAAGGGCGAGGTGGCTCTTGAGAGCATTCCATCGAGCAGCTTCAGCTTTGTCACCCCGAGATAATAGGTACCACGCTAGAAAGCGAGCAAAATATTGGATGGTACGGTAGAGCTACAAACGATCCTTAACGGGGGCCCGTTGATGAGGTAGTCATAACTTACCTTGTCACGACCAACGTTGTTTCCACCGTACTTGAGCGACTGGCCAACATAGGGATGAAGCACAACTTGCGAGGCGAGAGTGGTCATTTCAGGGTCAAAGTATGCACAAGCGAAAGCAAGTAGAGCGAGGATGCTGAGGGAACGTTTGCAAGAGCGTTGAGCCGTAGACCGCAAGTGCGGGATTTGCGTATTTACCTTGCTAGTATCACATGTGACTTTGACAACAACCGGCTCCTCAACATGCTGTCTCCCGAAACCGTGATTGGGCTGAAAGACGTATAAGGGCGTTATGTCTACCTACTTTGACGCACCGAGGCGACTGGTGTTTACACCCGCCACTAGGCGGGCTCGGAAGACAGTCAGCATGCCCTCGCCTCTAATGTGAATTCCAGTCACCTCACAAGCGGGAGATCTCGGCCGGAGAAAGCCGCGACGCTACTAATATTGTCGCCTACTTTTTGAACGTCCAACAAGTTACACCAAGGTCGCTGGCCACATCCGGATTCCACCCATTATACCCCCTTTGCCGTTCCTCTTCCTTAGAATTTCCTCTCATAGATTTCAACCATGCTTTCCCGTGCTCGACTTCCTCATAGGGTACTGTCTCCTCTCCTATTGACTCACGTGATAGTGCTGAGGTCCACTTCAGTTGCCGCTTTATGCGAATGTTCGGTATAGGACCTTCTCATCCACTCCACGCTCGATGGTACGTCGCTGAGTGCGTTTCCCCCACTGTACTAAAGCGTCCCAGTCTTACCGCACAGAACGAGACACATTTGGAGATATTAATGTGCCGTCTGACCGGTACTGGGGAGCTCAAACCCAAAGGTCAAATATTTTGAGATATAGACAGGGGTTTCAACGGTGGCTGACATGCAAGCCGTCACAGATCACTCCAGAATTTCGACATTGGTGGTCCATCTGAGCGCCTTCCCCCAGCCCTCATCAAAGCTTTCGGAGTCCTCAAGAAGGCTGCCAGTGTTGTGAATGTTACATATGGCTTGGACCCAAAAGTAGGCGATGCTATCCAGAAAGCGGCAGACGAGGTGAGTGATCCTGGCGTCGCACATCTGCTTCGCTGACCAGTATGATAGGTGATCTCTGGCAAACTCGTTGATCATTTCCCGCTTGTCGTGTTCCAGACAGGCAGCGGGACTCAGAGCAATATGAACGCGAATGAGGTAAACTTGTCTTCTACACGCGGTGACTACAATCTAACGTCACAAGGTCATATCCAACCGAGCAATTGAATTGCTTGGAGGAGAACTTGGCTCGAAAAAGCCAGTTCATCCGAATGATCACGTTAATATGAGCCAGAGTAGCAATGACACGTAAGTATGCTGCACGTCAATCGCGTCTTACACATTCTAAAGGCAAGCAATTATTTAGGTTCCCGACTGTGATGCACATCGCTGCCGTCACCGAAATTCATCGGTCCCTGCTCCCAGCGTTGAAGGAACTTCGGGACGCTCTCGATGAGAAGGCTAAGGCTTTCAGTAATATTATCAAGATCGGACGGACTCACCTCCAGGTTTGTCGGCCTCACAATATTTTCTGTGTATGCTTATTCTTTATGAGGATGCGACCCCTTTGACACTTGGTCAAGAGTTCAGTGGCTATGTGCAACAAGTTGATAACGGCATTGCCCGTATCAATGACGTTCTCCCTCGCCTGAGTTTCCTGGCTCAAGGTGGAACTGCAGTTGGAACTGTCTGTACCCTCCATTTGTATCGCTACAATGGCTGACAATACACTATTTAGGGCTTGAACACAAAGAAAGGCTTTGACTCGAAAGTTGCAGCTGAGGTGACCAAAATCACTAGCATCGAGTTCAAAACGGCTCCTAACAAGGTATTTGGTGGAACGTGTTTTGGCTGCTCATGTACTTATTGGACCATATATTAGTTTGAAGCACTCGCTGCGCACGATGCTATGGTTGAAGCCCATGGCGCTTTGAATGTTCTTGCATGTTCGTTCATGAAGATCGCCAATGACATTCGATTCCTTGGCTCCGGGCCCCGTTGTGGCTTTGGTGAGATCAGCCTCCCCGAGAATGAGCCTGGCAGCAGTATCATGCCTGGCAAGGTCAACCCAACTCAGTGCGAGGCTGTCACCATGGTTGCTGCCCAGGTCATGGGGAACCAGACGGCTGTCAGCGTCGCTGGTGCCAGCGGACACTTCGAGGTTTGCAAATCACCATGATAGGAGCTCTGATATACTCATACGGCCTGCATTTAGTTGAACGTATTCAAGCCAGTCATCGCCAAAAATGTTCTGACGAGTATCAGACTGCTTGCGGATGGTATGTCATGTGTATTCTTGATCTTCCCGACGCTTCATCTTTATTCCAGCCTCACGGTCGTTCACCAAGAACTGCATTGTCGGAATTCAAGCCAACGAGAAGCGTATCAATCATTTACTGAACGAGTCGTTGATGCTCGCCACGATCCTCAACAGTCATCTCGGCTACGACAGTAAGTGTCCATAAATATCGCAATGCTGAGCTGTCCCTGACGATTGCATGATAGATGTGGCCAAGTGTGCGAAGAAAGCGCACAAAGAAGGTACTACGCTTAAGGAGGCAACGGTCGAGTTGGGATTCCTAACACCGGAGGAGTTTGACCAGAAAGTGCGCCCGGAGCTCATGTTACACCCTGACGAGGCATGATACTCTGGTTTGCTCTGATTACACTCGAGGTTATATATTGAGGTGTTACATATAGATGGTGTTATTGCATGAAGTGAGATATCGATATACAGTATGTAATAATGGTTCATTACGCATGAATGGGGAGACTCCATGGGTTAGCATGTGCACCGCGATAGCCTGTACTTAGGAAGCTCTAGTGGGTAGGCTCGGGTCAATACGGGTCAAGGTAGGCAAGAAATCTACATACATGCAGAGGGTGAAAGGCTAATTCTCCTGTACATATGCATCGCGACGCCATGCAAATTTCTGAATATTCTGCTTCAGGCCCAGCCAAATTGAAGTAGATGATCGAAAAGGTTGGGTTAGTGATCATGAGCTCGGACACGTTGGGAATGTGATTTTTGACGAACGTTTTACCAATAAATCCGGTGTTTTGTGGCAATTTGTGAGTTTGGTGACCCTCATGCGGGGACCTGCGGGGACTCGGCCTGGGACAGGTTGACGTCGGGTGTCAACCGGGAAGGAACGAAGGAGTGGTGTTGGCCAAAAGAAGCAGGTACCGAATATGGCTGAGTACCAATGCGAGCTAAATCCAACAAAACGAAATACCACGTCAAATCTGCGGCATTCCCGCCATCGCACCCCAGCGTCTCTTACAAAACAACAGCCATCGTCTCCGTCTCCTCTTTCTTGCCCCTCCGCTCGCTTTTTCCTCGAAAAAGTGGCCCTCCGCCTGAAGACAACACCTCTTACCGCAACGCGCCCCCGTGTTCGTTCGGCCAACTCGGTCCACAGCCGGTTCTGACCCTCCACATCCCACGAGGTCGTCTTCAGCCCATCTCTGTCTTTAGCCTGTGCTACTGCTAGACCTTCTTTCCTCGGGGAGACCATGTCTCTCAGCCGCATACTAAACAATGACGAACCACCATCCTTAATCTCGCGTGCAGCTCCTACCGCCACCCCAGCCAACGGCCGTATTTATGACTTACCTCCAGGTGAACCATCATCTATATCGGCACCCCGCCCATCCTCTCCTCGACGTCATTATGCATCCCACCGCAGTCCTAGCCCGCAGGCAGAACACCCACCTCAGGCTCGTGGTCATTCTTACCAACCCGTGTCTTATCAGGGCGCCGGAGGCTGGAATCCATACTCCGGGGAGTACGTACAAGGAGATATCTTCCCCTTGGGCCGCGGAGGCAACTATTATCCTCCCCGAGAAAGTAATGATCCTCAACCTCGTGCATCACGCGGGTCACCGACAGGTACAGGCGCGTATTACAAGGCTGAAGAAAACGAGAACACACCGCGGAAGCGAAGGAAAGCTGCAGACGAAGACACCGACTACCAGCCTCCTAGCACAAGACGCGTCAGTCTCCCTATACCTGCTTTGGTCGTTGCGGAGAGCTGACTTTCGAACATACAGGCCACGCTCCGTCGGAGTACGCGTTCGAAGACTGTACGGCAAGCGTCTCCCAACGGTGACATCGCACATCTCGACATGAATGGGGTCGACCACCGCCAGGTGCAGGAGGAACGTCGCTTGGTTTCTTCCGACCTCTCAGACTGCGAAGAACTGTGGATCAACGAACTCAGTGATTATGTCATAGAAACCCACAAACGTAGACGTCAAGTAGAGGAGTGGTTTGATACCAACGTGCTGGTGAGCGAAGTTGATAGTCCCTTCGTAATATGATGATAACCCTCATTGAAAGCAACGAAATAACGCCACTGCCGTCTCCCTCTCTCGTCACTATGTCTCCCGAATAGCGCGGATACCATTGCCTCCACCGTCACCTCCTCCTATGCCCTCCCGTTCTCTAGACGACGATCTGCTCTCGACAGTACAGGCTTCTCCTCCCCTAGAACCCCTAGACACCTATGACTATGAAGGGGACTCCAAGTCGCGACGAGCCGGTCATGGTAGATCCCTTACCAGTGGTGCTGAAGCTGCTGCTCAACTTGAAGAGACACTCCTCGGTGCAGGATCTTATAAACATGGCGGATCGTTGAAACGCTTGGCCGATGGTATCGTATCTGATGGCAGCAGCGAGATTGAGGTACCTTCTATCTCTATCAGAAAGAAGCCAGCCACGAAGAAGAGAAAACTAGACAAGGATGCTGTTGACATCACGGATGAGCTCGAGCGATCCGTTAGCGGCAGCAATCTGGCCCTTTCCTCGAAGAGTGCCCTATCCAAGATCAAGGGCAAAGCTAAGCAGACAATCGCACGCGAGGGTAGTCCCGACAGCATCTCAACGACTACAACACCCAAGGGTAAGAAGAAGATAGCTAGTAAGAAGAAGAACGAGATGCTTTTGCTCGATGCTGTCGATTCTGCAGCCTCAGCCGCCGACTCTGCCGCAGGAGATGTTACTCCTTCCGCTTCCCGTCCAACTTCGCCCGCACTTACCGTCTCTTCGACTGTGGTGTATGAATTAGATGAGGTAGCTCCGCCCCTCAAGCGTGCGAAGAGAGTAGACGACACCATAAAGACCAAGCGTCTAAAATCGCTTGAAGAAGCGCAAAGGAAGGTCTGGACAAACATTGCCAAGCGAGAGGTTGCAAAGGTGAGTTCACAAATTTCTTGACAAAGACCATCATACATCACGGCTTATGCATCCTAGGTATACAAATATGCAGCTCTTGGATACCAGGCTCGGCAAAGTCAAATGAAGCGTGTTGCTATGCTTTCGTCAATGCAGGCTCGTAAACCGTTCACCCGTACACCGAAAGGTGCCAAGGACATTCAGGCGAAAGGGAAGCGCATGATGCGAGAGATGCTGGTCTCGTGGAAACGAAACGAAAAAGAAGAGCGAGATGTTCGAAAGCGTGAACAGAAGGAGGCAGTCGACCGAGCCAAGATGGAAGAAGAGAAACGCGAAGCGACGCGCCAGGCTCGCAAACTTGAGTTCCTAATCAGCCAGACGGAGCTTTACAGCCATTTCGTTGGCAATAAGCTAAAGAGTAAGTGGCAATCCTCTACCCATGATCCGGGCTAATGTACTCGGGCTCAGCTGCGGAAATGCAGGGTGATGCTGAGGATGGCCCTACTCCAGCCGGAGCGAGTGTTACTGACATAGACCCGAGCGCATTGCTAGATATTGATTTTGACGACGGCAAGTGTTTGACCTCGGTCACAGTGATTAGCCCATTGACAGCAGTCCAGATGACCAAACCAACCTTCACCGACATGCCCGGCATAATGCACAGGAGGCTATTGCGCTCGCCAAGTCACGCGCTCAGGCCTTTGATACTCAGGCATCACTTGATCGGAAAACGAACGAGGCCCTCAAACTAGCCCGGGCTCAAGCACATATACGGGATGAAGAGGACGATAGCCAAGGTGGTTCCAATCAAGCTCCTTTGGTTGACCGTGAGTATTTTCCCGTCACAGCACTACGGTTGGCTGATTCAGTTTTACTTTATCAGTTGATTCAGATGAACTGAACTTCCAGAATCCTACATCATTGAGTGGTCCTTTGACCATCTCCCAACCTACCATGTTGATGGCACAGCTAAAAGAATATCAGCTGAAGGGTTTAAATTGGCTAGCCACTTTATACGAGCAAGGCATAAATGGTATATTGGCAGACGAGATGGGTCTTGGAAAGGTATGTGACACGACCGGTGAATCTACCAACAAGCTCACTTACCCCCTCTAATAGACGGTCCAGTCAATTTCCTTGATCGCGTATCTTGCGGAAGTGCACGATATATGGGGTCCGTTCCTAGTGGTTGCACCAGCCTCAACCTTGCATAATTGGCAGCAAGAGATTACTCGCTTTGTCCCTGGGCTAAAGGCGTTGCCCTACTGGGGTAGTGTCAAGGACCGCGCAACTTTGCGCAAGTTCTGGAGCAAAAAGGAGATCAGCTACGATAAAGACGCCCCTTTTCACATCCTCATTACCAGCTATCAGCTAGTGAGCGCTCATGAAATTTGCTTACCATGTGTCGCTTAACCTTTACATAGGTAATTCAAGATCAACAATACTTTCAACGGCTAAAATGGCAGTACATGATTCTGGATGAAGCTCAAAACATCAAGAATGCGTCAAGTGTTCGCTGGAAAACATTGCTTGGTTTTCATTGCCGTAATAGATTGCTTCTAACTGGCACGCCAATTCAAAACTCCATGCAAGGCAAGTCTCTCTTATCCCGTATCCCGAATAAGTGACGCAAACTATCGCTTACTCTGGCGTAGAACTGTGGGCTTTGCTTCATTTCATTATGCCTACCTTGTTCGACTCTCACGATGAGTTCAACGAGTGGTTCTCCAAGGACATCGAGAATGCAGCAGAAAACAAAGGGAGCAAACTTAACGAGCACCAATTACGGCGACTGCACATGATTCTGAAACCGTTCATGCTCCGTCGAGTGAAACGACATGTGCAGAACGAACTGAGCGAGAAGGTACGTGTATTCTAGTTGCGTAGTGATTTGGAGTTCTCATATTCGGTGTAGATTGAGATCGACGTATTTGTTGACCTTAGCTCGCGTCAGCGTGCTTTGTACAGAGCTTTGCTTGCCAATGTTTCCGTTGCTGATTTGTTGGAGAAAGCTGCGAACATTGGTGATGCAGACTCTGCCAGATCTTTGATGAATCTCGTCATGCAGTTTCGCAAGGTGAGGTGCCAGCGTTGATCGTACAACACCTGCTTATAACACTCTGTCCAGGTTTGTAACCATCCCGAGCTCTTTGAGCGTGCCGATGTCATTGCGCCTTTCTCGTTCGCGGAATATGGTCGTTCTGGGCCTCTGAACCGTGAGGGTGACTTTGTGACTTTGCCTTACTCGACACGAAATCCGATCAAGTACACTTTGCCTGAGCTCATCTACCTTGATCGTGGGCTGGTTGATGTCCCTCACGAAGAGCCCGCCATGCGCTCGAGGGGTGCGGATCTAAACGGCCTCTTCAATATCTGGTCCAAAGATTGGATACACCAATCCATGTACAATGACATAGAAAGTAGGCGATTCTTAATCTCTACATGTCTGATCTCATGATTGTTTGCAGGTTCTCCGGCATTTGCTTTTCTTCGGCTATTGAACTCATCGCCCAGTAAGGCACATGAACTTCATGTGTCGCCGTGGATTAGACGAAGGTTATTGGAGGTAGAGGCGGACATCCAATTGGTTGAAACCCGTGCTTGGTCCTCGTGCGTTACCGCCTTGGCGCCATCTCCAGACTCTTAACACTTTCCAGATGCTCTGCCTCAATAATACCCTCGATGGAGTCGCCTGTTCGAATCAGCCCACTTGCCTCTAGCCTCGAGCGCGCAGAAGGCCTCCCTCATCTGAAAGACATCGCTCCTTCCTTCTGGCAGCAATCATGTCTCAGCCGACCTGGGCTCAAGTGGTACGCTCCCGCCGCTGTCGCACCTCCAGTCACTATGTATTGCGACAATCGGACATTCCTTGAGATGCAATCCCGAACTTTGGATTCTCCCTTGGATTCGTTGGTTATGTATGGTGTACCTCGCGAGGTCCAAGATTCCGAAGATGCGCACAAAGCGTATCGCAAGCTTGTTCCATTAGTTCCTCAAACAGGCTTGTTCGACAACTCAACCTCAGATCAACTCCCACCTGTTAACATGCAAATTCCCGAGGCCAAGCGACTAATTTACGACTCAGCGAAACTTGCTCGCCTTGATTCTTTGCTACAGGAACTCAAGGCCGGCGACCATCGAGTCTTGGTCTACTTCCAAATGACCCGTATGATGGACCTTATGGAAGAGTACTTGATTTTCCGTCAGTACAAGTACCTGCGATTGGATGGATCCTCAAAGCTGGAAGACAGACGGGACATGGTCATGGACTGGCAAACAAGGTGAGAACTCGTGCGACCTTGTGTTCTCATAACTGACGTGCCCCATGATCAGACCCGACATCTTCATCTTCTTGCTTAGCACACGAGCAGGTGGTCTTGGTATCAACCTAACAGCTGCAGATACTGTGATATTTTATGACCACGATTGGAACCCGTCGAATGACGCCCAAGCTATGGATCGTGCTCATCGTCTGGGTCAGACGCGACAAGTCACTGTTTACAGACTCATCACTAAGGGCACAATCGACGAACGCATCATCCAGCTTGCCCGAGTCAAGAAAGATGTGAGCAATATTAGCATACTATGCCAAGTCTTTGATTTACTGAGGTTATACAGGTGCAAGACATCGTCGTCGGGAACAAGAACTTCACAGACGTTACGAAGCCAAGCGAGATCGTCCAACTCCTACTAAACGACGATCAGCTAGCCAGCCTAGAGAATAATCCCCCTGCGTTATCCGTTGCAACAAATGGCACTAAACGTGCGGACCCTGGAGCCGTCCGTGATTTATGGAATGAAGAAGGTGATGACTTTTTCGGCCATACAACTGGCCCGACGAACCAGGAGGGTGAGGAAGAGGCAGAGGCACCAGCTATCGCCACTACTACCAGCACGCGCGGCAAGAAACGGAAAGTGGGTTCGGGTGGTGCTCGCCCACGCAAGGCCGGCGGTAAGAATTCGAAGAAGGATGTGGCAGAGCAAGAAACTTGATGGAAGGATAGATCATTCTTATTTTGCTGTCGTGATAACGGGACTATTTATCTAATGCATATACTTGTATGTTCGTTGTATAATTGTTTTATGCATAGTTGTGATACGAATGTGCATGCTAACCTACCCAGGGCCATGAAGACACTACTTTGCATGATCAGAAGTAAGCGTGGGTGGCTGCCAACCACACTAGGACAGTAGGACTACACATGTGGCGGAGTCTAGGGAGTGGAGTGACTCGCAAAGTTATCATCGCGATCAAGAGTGCATGAATAAAATCAATGTTCCTACTACGTTTATAGCGCTCGTTAACTCACTTCCGGATCCCTATCAACCCACATTTCAATCCCAACCGCGATATTGCATCCCAGGGTTTGGCTCTTGCTCTCAGTTTCTAGGCCACGCATCCTTCGGCCCCTGCACTTGCGTTTTACGCCCGCCCCATTTTCAGTTTGAAGCCATGGCTAAGAAGAAAAAGTTGCAGCTGAAACCTGTAGCGCGCACATTCGCCACTACATCGATGCCGAAGAAGGTCGAAGCTGCAGAAGACGAGGCTACAGGAACAGCTGAGGAGTCTACTACCACCGCGACGTCCGATACAAAGGATGTATCCCAAGGGCCTCAGGAGGAAGGCACTACACGAGCTACATTAGGCGCTTCATCTGGAACCGGGGTTGAAGAACCAGACGAGTTACAAGCGATAGTGGACAAACACCAGGATAAAACCCAGCGAGAGGTGATGAGGACAATCAAAGTGTGACTCTCTGTTGTAAGTAGTGGAGTTTTATTGACACTGATGTGTGAGACAGGCTATTGAATATGATAAGCGGTTTGCGAAGACACTGCCGTCATTAGAACTTGATACGGATCTTATTGATGAAATATTTGTCTTGTATGAAAAACATGGTAAATGTGACGTCGAAAGCGCTCTTATTTTACTAACGCATAAATCCAGGTTTCAATAAGACCGTTGAAGGCTCCTCTGAGAAGGCATTGACACGCCTTGGAGTTACCTTTGGTGTCCTTCGCAGGCTTGGGTTCTCCGAGGAGGTGGTGGATCAATGTCTGCGTCAGATTGCTGGGGTCGAACTAGAGGAGGCATATGAATGGGTGAGCAAGAGATATACAGGGAGTCTTCTTTATTCCATGACTGACCACGTCAAGCTTGCAATGAATGTCCCGGAGGAGGACTTTTTAGCTGCAGGTACACAATTTTCGTGCCCCATTCGTTCAATGCTAAGGTGTCACTGCTTTGTAGCGCCTGACGCTGACACCAACTTGTCCCGTTCGAATCACCAATCTGCGGATTTCGAATCAAGTACTGGCTATTCAACTCCAGCAAGAGAGGTCGACACGGCTGCCAAGCCGTCCGCTGCAACTCGTGCAAGCGACAGAACAGCTTTGTCAGCTCCCACGAAAACCAATGCGGAAAAAGGCCGTGCCACTCTTGATTATAGCTCAATAGATCTTGATGACCCTACCGCTGAATACGTGCGGACGAAGATCCTACTTACCAAGCGCGATCGTAAACTGGCATCAAGGGATTGTACCGACAGCCTTAGCGATGAAGAGCTTCACAAACGCCTCGGCGCGTGCCAGACTCATTACTTCTTCAGAGCGAAGGATGCTGAGACTCAGTATCGACAAGAACTCAAACAACTCAACTCGCTGAAACTGCAAGCAAAATTGCATGGTCAAACCGCCCTACATTCAGAGATTACGCATTCGAGTTCAACGCCAGCTTTGGAGACGCAGGCAGTGAACATAGTCGCTTCACCTGCCGAAGACATCCTTGAAGCTGGCGATGACGACGATGGTGCTGGTTTCTTCCAAATCCTTGACGACCTACCTTCCCAAGAGACAGGTCCAGGGGGGACAGTGGTCACGCTCAAGAACATGACTGTACCCAAACACTGGTCAGGACGATTGCCCAAGGTCTTTCTTGCAGAGGCTGCGGCTAAGCTCGACAAGTATGCCGTTGTGACTTATCGCATCATATCAGGTGCTAGCAGAGCCAAGAGGGCTAGTGTTCACGTCTTATGGGAAGGGAAACGGCAAGAAGAGTGGTTCATGGAAGATGCTGCATGTCCGGATGACAATCAGGCCGAACAGTACATCGCTCTGGCTGCCCTCCATTCTCTGACATTCCCGCCCTCCAACGGATTTGCAGGTGGAACCCAGACCACTGTCCATAGTCCCACTTTTTTCCGGTTACTGCCACCTGCGTATAGGGACTTATGGGACGAACTTGAGGCAAAGCGAAAGGTTCACGAGGATGACGTCAACAAATCTGCCTGGGCGAAGGTGAAGGACATCGCTGAAGCAAAATGGGATCTCGCGCAGCAGGTACGCAAGATAAGTGCATACTTTAAGCGCAAACATACTAAAAAGTTGACAGAACAAAACTAAAGGTTCTGAGAGTGAAAGACAAAATCAAGGCTCCAACATCAAGAAGTCGCGTCCTGCCAAAGAGATGCATAGTGAGGATTTGGTGCAAGAACTTAGAGTAAGGCAGGAAAGTCAGGCTTACCAAGAAATGCTGGTACGTGTGGCTACATTCATTGTTCATACCCAGTGCAGCGTCATGACGCTCCCATAGCGCTATCGCAATGGACTGCCCATCGCAAAGTATAGACAGGAAATCATAAATACGTTGGAACAAAGTCAGATCCTTGTCCTCAGCGGGGAAACCGGATGGTACATTTTGAAAAACTGTTGTAACATTTTACTCACTGAACTTCAGTGGAAAATCGACCCAAGTTCCTTCATTCATAATGGAGGATCAACTATCACGAGGACAGCCCTGTCGCATTTACTGTACAGAGCCACGCCGCATATCTGCAATTTCGCTGGCTCAACGTGTATCTGCCGAGCTCGGTGAAGCACCTGGTTCGGTTGGCACTCTCAATTCCCTCGTTGGCTATTCCATTCGGCTCGAAAGCAACACTACCAAGAATACGCGTTTGGCCTATGTCACCAATGGTATAGCTCTACGTATGTTGGAGTCAGGTTCCGGCTCTAGTGGCCAAGGAAGTGCTTTCGATGAGATAACCGTGAGCCCTTTCTTCGGTTTCCTTGTGTAGACGTCTGAAACATTACTTTAGCATATCATTATTGACGAAGTTGGGCAGCATTTAGGATTCTCGAAACACACTGACGTTCAGCCTTGATAGGTACATGAGCGTAGCATCGAATCTGACTTCTTGTTGATTGTGCTGAAGTCGCTGATCTCTCAACGGCCGGACCTCAGGCATGTGTCATAGTGTCGACAACTCAAAGCAGGCTGCTTATGCTTCTCCAGGATTATTCTAATGTCTGCAACGGTAGACGCAGAGAAGATCTCCAGTTTCTTCGGTGGCTGCCCTACTTTGCATGTCCCTGGTCGAACATTCCCTGTGGATGTGCGCTTCCTTGAAGACAGCATCGAATTGACAAAGTGGTCGCTGACGGAAGACTCTGCTTATGCCAGAAGGCGTCAGTAAAGAATACTTCCTTTTCTTTCATTCGCTCATTATTGTTATAGTGAACGACAAGTTTTACCGCAGCAAAGATCGTGCGGAATGGTCTGAAGATGTTATCCAAAGAGAAGATGATGATGACGCGCAAGCAACTGTCAAGCTTGAGAAGCGCTACTCGCCCGAGACGACCAAGGCCATCAATTTGCTCGATGAACGTGCCCTCCCTTACGATCTCATTGTTCGTTTGTTAGAACGGTTGTGCTTTGAAGATCCTGCTTATCGTTCTTTCTCCCCCGCAACTCTGATCTTCATGCCCGGTTTGGGCGAGATACGGAAGATGAACGATATACTTCAAGAGCATCCTCACTTCGGAAACGAATCATCATTTAGGATATACCCTCTTCATTCTGCGCTTTCGACAGAAAATCAGACGTCAGTGTTTGACATACCTCCGCCTGGTGTGCGTAAGATCGTGATAGGTATAGTATCGCTTTGAATCTTCAAGCTTTGGCCCTAATCCTCATTACACATTCCTAGCCACAAACATCGCAGAAACAGGAATCACTATACCCGACATCACCTGTGTCATTGACTCTGGGAAGCAGCGAGAAATGAGGTCAGGCAATGATAGAATCTCTCGAATATACACTGACCAATCCATGGGTAGGTTTGATGAGAAGCGACAAATCAGCCGCTTGATAGAGACCTTTGTTGCCAAAAGTAACGCAGCACAAAGGCGAGGACGTGCCGGACGTGTCCAGAATGGACTGTGCTTCCACCTGTTCACCCGGATACGGCATGATACTATGGTAAGTTGATGATGCGTTCACCGATCATTGAATTCATCACAACCTCTAGCTTGCGGACCACCCTCTGCCCGAAATGATGCGCCTGAGCTTATCTGACCTTGCCCTACGCATAAAAATCATGAAGGTCAAGATTGGCACCTCAATCGAAGATGTCTTAAGTCGAGCGATGGATCCGCCCTCGTCAATCAATATACAACGCGCTGTTTCAGCATTAGTGGAGGTCGGATACTCACCGATAATCCACGCTTACTACTGAGTATTCTCCTCTTGAAGGTTCGAGCGCTGACACTCTCTGAAGAGATCACCCCACTAGGGCGTCTACTCAGCAAACTACCAACAGATGTTCATCTTGGGAAGTTCTTACTGACTTCCGTTGTCTTGCGCTGTCTAGACCCCGCTCTGACGATTGCCGCGGCTCTAAGCTCCAAATCTCCATTTGTCACCCCCTTTGGCTTGGAGCAGGAAGCTGATCGTGCAAAAATGACCTTCCGTGTCGGTGAGTGGTGCTTCTTTGCTAACGGCAAATGACTCAACGACTGACGATATTACACAGGTGACTCAGACTTCTTGACGATCCACAACGCTTTCGCTAGTTGGCGAAGAGCAACAGGAAACCATGGCTATGCTCGAACATTCTGCCGGAAGCATTATTTAAGCCAACAGAACCTACAGCAAATCGAGGAACTACGTCAGCAGTTTCTAGGGTATGAACTCCGGCATCTATCACGATTACTTGTTGTCTAATGAAACGTAGCTACTTGATAGATTCCTCTTTCCTTCAAGTAGACAAAGCGTTTGTTAAAGAGCTAACAAGGTAAGTGATAATGGTATCTGGACCTTTGATACTCCTGCAGGTGTCTGACAACGTTCGCAAGAGCTCGATCGACACGATGTCTTGTTACTATCCCACCCGTTTTGGATGAGAATAGCTTGGACCCAGCCTTCGTTCATGCCGCATTGACTGCTGGCCTTTACCCGAAGCTTCTGGCTCTGGATCCCACGAATCAACAGATGCGTACGATATCCAATAACCAGATGGTGTCCGCGCACCCGTCGTCCATAAATTTTGGACGAAAAGCTATTGATTTTGGAGTGAACCATTTAACTTACTTCACTTTGATGTGAGTACTACTACTAGATGCTGAGTTAAGCGTTTGTCGAACACTTGTTTGCAGGCACTCGAGGAAGCTTTATGCTTGGGAGACGGCACCTGTGGACGACCTTGCAATCCTTCTATTCTGCGGGGACTGCGACTTCAAGGTATTACTCCTTGTATTTTGGGCTACTTACATGTGTATTCACCTTTGCACGTCTCAGCTGATTGCAAATTCGGCTTTTGTGGATCGCAAGATCAGATTCCAACTAACACCTAGGGCTAACGTTGCGCTCAAGATTTTACGGACTCACCTTGCGGACGTCCTGTCTCAGCAATTTCGATGCCGACCACTTACAGAATCACAGACTGTCTGGCAGTGCGTAGCGATGAAAGCACTCGCCAAAATGAAGGAGGACATTCCATAGTGCATAGCGTTTACCCTAGAGCCTTATAGAATACAATGGTCGCTGAGGTGCCTCAGCCAATGTGCCGAACAGCAGTAAATATGAAGTGTGTTTACTTCATACTCGATGGGTAAGTGACGGGATTACTCGTCCTCCTCCTCGCCATCATCGCGTCTATATGGACGCATAATTTAGAACAACGAGGCGAATGAACTCGAATTGATGGCTTACGCGATGTTATAGAAGCGGAGTTGGTAGACATCCTTCGAGGATGCAACAACTCTGCAAGTGCATCAGAGGAGATTTTGACTTTTAAGTACTGAGCTTGCTTACCGAATCCAGTCTCTGAGGGTATTCTTCTTCAAGAACTTTTTAGTGAGGTACTTAAGGTACCGCTTCGAGAATGGAACGTTGGAGGTGACAGTGAGTTTGGAGTCTCCATCGCGGACAATTTTAACGTTTTCGCCAAGCTGTCCAGCCTTGCCGTCGATTTTTATGCGATCATGGAGGAACTTCTCGAAGTCAGCGCCATCGAAAACACCGTCTGATGCAGGACGTGAGTAGTCGATGATGAACTTGTGCTTGGAAGTAGTGGCTTTTCCGGCGGCGGCCTTAGGCTAAGGGAGAGATGACGGGGAGACCGCTGTCAGCCTACTGAGAAGAGAACTCAGCAAAGCAGTAGCGGGACTGACCATCTTGATGGCGAGAGGGGCTTGAAGGACGGTGTACACGACAAAGCCGCACAATAATTTGGGTTTATGGCTCACGAGGTCCTGTACAGTTGACGGCAATGCTCGGCATTCCGGCACAGCTTCGGCACGATCTGTCAGGAGTGGCCACATTGGGTATATTGTTCCCGCGATGTGATGCCGACGAATTTTGGCTTTCTGCTGGATGCTTTGGCCAGCGATTTGAAGTGTTCAGGTGTCGGTGAAGAGAGCAAAAATGGTTCAAGGTGAACTCACCCGCGAGCAAGTGGCCTCCGTCCAGAAGCAGTCAGACTATGCAATCAAGCCCGAAGATGTACAGCCTAAGCTCGACACATCCCAGTGGCCTCTCCTTCTTAAAAATTACGACAAACTCCTCGTCCGGTCCAGTCACTTTACACCGATTTCCTCAGGCAACTCTCCCCTCCGCCGAGACCTGCAATCTTATGTGAAGTAAGTCTCATCTTTGGTTGCTTCTCTGCATAGGTACTCACACAGCACAGATCAGGGGTTATTAACCTCGACAAACCATCCAACCCTTCCTCGCATGAGGTTGTTGCTTGGTTGCGCCGCATATTGCGCGTGGAGAAAACAGGCCACAGCGGTACGCTCGATCCGAAAGTTACCGGCTGTCTTATTGTTTGCATCGATCGTGCTACTCGTCTCGTCAAGTCGCAGCAAGGAGCAGGTCCGTATAAAATATGCATTCGTTACTACGGTTTTAATGTGTCGATCTACCAGGAAAGGAGTACGTATGCGTACTCAGGCTTCACTCGTCTCTTCCCGATCCTACCGCTCTGCCCCGCTCCCTTCAAACATTGAGTGGTGCTCTCTTCCAGCGCCCTCCATTGATTTCAGCTGTGAAGCGTCAGCTTCGCATCCGCACCATATACGAATCAAAGCTCCTTGAATTTGATGAAAAGAGGAACTTAGCTGTTTTCTGGGTATCCTGCGAGGCGGGCACATATATTCGGACGCTTTGTGTCCATCTTGGTCTTCTGTTGGGTGTTGGCGGCCACATGCAGGAACTGCGGAGAGTACGTAGCGGTGCAATGTCGGAAAATGACGACATCGTCACCATGCACGACGTGTTGGATGCGCAGTGGACTTATGACAATACCCGCGACGGTAAGCTTTGCAGAAGCATATACTGTGGGTTCTATCGTTGAGCTTTCCATGCAGAGTCGTACCTTCGCCGCGTCATACGGCCACTCGAAAGCCTCTTGGTCGGGTATAAGCGGATTGTGGTTAAAGACAGTGCCGTTAATGCCGTTTGCTACGGTGCCAAACTCATGATACCTGGCCTTTTGCGCTACGAGGCAGACATATCGGTGAATGATGAAGTGGTGCTTATGACCACAAAAGGTACGGTCCTCTTGGGATTACGTCGTTTCTGCACAGGTACTTAGCTGCTCATAGGTGAGGCCATTGCTTTGGCCATCGCGCAAATGACCACCGTGGAGCTTGCGACGTGCGATCATGGTGTAGTTGCTAAAGTAAAACGTTGCATCATGGAGCGGGATACATACCCCCGACGTTGGGGCTTGGGTCCGATGGCCATCCAGAAGAAGAAGATGGTCAAAGACGGCAAGCTCGGCAAGCACGGCGAAAAAATTGAAGGAGTCACTCCTGCTGAGTGGAGTCGAGATTATGTCGACTACAACCGCGAGGTATGAGACACGTTTGCCAGCCTCCATTATCGAATGACATCTTTCTGCAGCAACCTGTCGCATCCACATCTGCACCGACTGTGGTCACAGAGACTACAGTGTCCATCACCGAGGTGGAGACGGCGTCAACGAAGAAAGACGAGAAAGAGAAAAAGCGCAAGAGAAAATCCGAGGTAGTCGACACGCTGATCGCTGACGTTTCGATGGTCTCGGAAGCACCTGCAGGAGAGACTGAGGAAGAAAAGGCTGAACGCAAAAAACGCAAGAAGGAGAAGAAGGAGAAGAAGGAGAAGCGTGAAGCTGAAACGGTAGATGATGATGATGCGCGGAGAGAAAGAAAGCGGCTCAAGAAGGAGCAGAAGGCACGGGAATCATTAGCTGCTGCAGACGGTGAAGATTCTGATTCGTAATGTTTTCTACACCCTTCCCTTGATATCTGTAATAAGATAACCATTCTGTACCTGCTATGTGGCACCACATAGGACAGGGAGACAACAAACAAGTACCCATTACATTGAATAAAAGTAAGAAGCTGCCATCTCGCAGACCAGTCTGTGGATGGACGACTTGGTCATAAATGATAGGAATTCAAAGCAGAGCAGAGACTGTGGCGCCTAGCATGATGGTCATCCCAGCGATAGCAATTCGACGCAGGGTATTTCTCGCTAAGTTGCAGCCTCGGTGCTGGGTTTGATTCCTTGGAAAATGGGCCACACGACCTCGGCCGATCGATTTGGTTTGAAAGGTGGACACATTCAAGGACGAATATTTGGCCTATATTTCAACACGTATGAGCGGTCCAAAAACAGTGATTTCAAAGTACTGACCTGGAATTTAGATGCGGAAAGGATGTTTTCTTTGAGCGAGTGAAACTCCAGCATACGCCCTGACTGTGGCAAAGCCTGCACATTTCGACGATAGTAGTAGTTGTTAGAGAGGTTGGGGAAAATAACATAGATAAAGACAACTTGCGTAATCCTCACGATGCTTTTCATCAAGGCACTGGCCATCAATGTCAGCTTCAGCAAGAATATCAGACATGTAGAGCATATAAGACGCGGGGTCGCGGGTGGAAATATCCTTGACTACGTATCAGCTATGCTCGGGATACACTGAGGAAGACAAAGTTAAGCACCTCCACAGTCCAGCCAAGGGAACCGTCATTAATTTGCATCGAACCCAGACGAGCCTCGCAGGAAGCGAGAGAAGTCATCCCCAGGCCCCAAAGGAGAAAGAGACCAAAACAACACTTCAAGTAGAACATGACGTATGTTTCGTAAATCAGAAAAACGAGCGACGGGGGTAGGAGTGGAGGGTGTAACGCTAATGAGTGATCGCTGCACCAGCGGGCCTCTCAGAGGTTTAAGTGATGAGCTGGTGGTGGGGTTCCAAGGGTTGTTAAAGGTTTGGCCAGGACCGGCAGCATGAGTACGAAACTCGGAGTACATACTCATGAGAGAGAATCGACGATAAAGAGGGGCTAATTCAAGGCTAATTGCTTCCAGAACCCTTAAATGGTGAAAGCGGACGGACAAAGTGGCTCGCGTACCTGACTTCATGAGAGGAAACCAGGTGCGACGCGGGCCGCCCTGATGGATGGCCGCCGGCTCATGCTCGGCGAGATAACGCAACACAGGGCCCCATCGCAGCGGCACAGTGGAGGGGCTGTGGCTCATCTGGAGTTGAGAGGTATGAGTTCACTATGAACGACGAAGGATAGTAAAATCAGAAACACCCACAATCTTCAGATGGCATCGCCGACTTCGGTATGCATCCAATCTTGCCCAGTGCGATCATGGCTTCATTTTAGTTACAAGTACTGTGCCTGTCGGCGGGATATAAATATCCCTTCGACATCCAGATATCCATGCTCAAGCTCGGCACCGGTTTTCAATACCGTGGTTATTCGTGAGACCTAGGTGATTCATGTAGAGTTCTGTAATGAGCTTACTTTGGTTAACTGGTGCAGAAATTAATGTTGGTTTGATTGACGCTTAGGTTCATCGGTCTCTTGCTCACAGCTTTGCAGATCCTCTTACGGCGCCACCCACTAGCAGCGCACGGACTATCGATCGCGAACCTTCGCGAACGCCTTCTCTTGCATCATACATCATCGATCACTACGGAGTGTATTGCGTAACTGCTCATCTGAAGCACGAAGATTGCAACGAACTCGCTCACCGGGGTCGCAGTCCGATATTTGACCACGCGGTTCCGATACTTAACCACGTACCCTTACGGGATGGATACATCAATGCTTTAAGGTAAGGGACGTATGTAGGTCTGGGGCCTAGCGGATTCAAGAGTCTTAATCAAGCCACCGAGCAACCCGAGATCGGGCTGGTGTCTGGCACTGGCTCGCTATGGCTGTGCAGGGTTTGTACCTGGCAAGAGGCTAACACTAGGGTTCAACGAGTTTCAACATCGCGCACTGCAACGCGCCCGTACGCCCGTGCCTCAGTTTGTTGACTGACTGAAGTAACCGAAACGACTCTCTTGTCCTGCCGGTATATATATGCCAATCCCTGCTGACAAGCTGTCAGACCACGGTGATCAACGTGGTTTCAGGTTACGGCCAGTTACGGCCCAAACGAATTACTGCCACTCGACACCGCCCGTAACTACTGGGGCTTGATTGAGTGGATCGCTGTGCTTCATCAACTCCATCACATCAATTGCACTTCTCCAATATGCATCCCGTATTGCGCGCGTCACTGAATCACATATTATATATACACTTCCACCCATCATGCCCCGTCAATACCACTCCTTCAGACCTTGATTCACCTGTCACCGCCCACTAGTAAGCATGGTTGCTGCCCCCGCCCCTGTAAAAGCCAAGGTTCCGAAAGCCATCCCAAAGTTTGCTGTGGGTAGGTTGACACATCCCTTCCAGGCCTTTGAGGCATATTAACCTGACCGGGACATTGACAGGACCTGACTACGAGATTGTCCACAGTCTGGGTGAAGGCGCTTATGGCACAGTAGCAGCCGCCCTCCATAAACCGTCAGGGACACAGGTAGCCATCAAGAAGATTCTCCCTTTCGATCACACCTTGTTCTGTTTACGGACGTTGCGTGAGCTGAAGCTTCTCAAGTTCTTTTCGGAAACTTGCGTGAATGAGAACGTATGTTTTTCATAATATTATGATGCTACACTGTCTAATGATGCTTTACAGATCATCTCGATTCTTGACATCGTCAAACCGTCATCATTGGTTGAGTTTAAGGAGGTGTATTGTAAGTTGGACCGGCTTCAGTGACCCACGCGTGTTGCTAACTTCCGGAGAAGTTATTCAAGAGCTGATGCAAACGGACCTCCACCGAGTTATCCGGACCCAACAGCTAACGGATGATCATTGCCAGGTATGGGCCCCCTAATCGTTAGATTGAGTCTCTCATATCGTGTCTATAGTACTTCATTTACCAAACGTTGAGGGCACTCAAATCCATCCATAGCGCTGACATTGTCCACCGGGATTTAAAGCCTGCCAACCTACTCCTAAATGCCAATTGTGATCTCAAAGTATGCGATTTCGGACTGGCACGTAGTGTCAAGTCAACATCTTCTGGGGGGAAGGAAGTCGGGTTAATGACAGAGTACGTTGCTACGCGATGGTACCGTGCTCCCGAGATCATGCTGTCATTTAAGATGTACACCAAGGTACGTGATTTTGCCATCCCATGCACATCATTTGACTCACGCCAATGATGCTGCAGGCTGTTGACATCTGGGCTGTAGGATGCATCCTGGCTGAGCTTCTGTCTGGGAAACCACTGTTCCCTGGTCGAGACTATGGCCACCAGCTGGATCTTATTTTGGACGTCATAGGTATTGAACCTTGTCGCGTCGTTTCATGTCAGCGTTTCACACTCGTCTCAGGTACACCCACCCTTGATGAGTTTTACTCCATCACCTCGAGAAGATCCCGCGACTACATTAGGGCCCTGCCCATTCGTAAACGAAAATCATTCCCTGCACTCTTTCCCAAAGCATCTCCAGACGCTATCGACTTCCTACAGCGGACACTGGTGAGTTTCATTCGCGCGCAAACACAGCGGGTGGCTGAGGGGATTCGCGTTCATTCTCCAGACATTCGACCAAAGGAAGCGTATGTCTGTCGATGAGGCATTGGAACACCCATATCTCGCTTCCTACGTAAGTTACATGCAGCCCCTTGACTTGGAGAGAAGGTCTTGACTATCCGGCATAGCATGATCCGGAAGACGAACCAGTTGTCGCCTCGTTAGATCCAGATTACTTTGACTTTGACCGTAAGCGTATCCAATTTTCACACATTTCCCGTACTTACATCGCGTTCAGAGTACAAAGATGATCTCTCAAAGGCAGAACTGAAAGGTATGCTTAACTTGATTTAATGTCTGACGTGTCACGATGAGCTAATTTCGTCGCAGAATTACTCTATGAAGAGATCATGTCATTCATGCCAGCAATCTGATAAAGGTCAAAGGCGGATGACGGCTTCGGGCTGGTCGGACTCACTAAATTATATACATTGCGCATACTCACGTTTGGCCACATGTCTTACGCTTATTTATTAGCATACGTCCTCTTCACTCTGTAATAATGGGCATCTTGAACATCACCGGATATAATGGAATGTATCTAAATTCAACGCTCGCGATCCATCTAAGTGACTATACGGTATTGAACGTCAAGATCGAAAAAAAATGGGATGAGCAGCGATTGAATTAATAGATGAAAAGCTTTAATAAGATTAATGTTAGCGAAGCTGAGTGATGCCAGAGCATGCAGGGAAAAATACAAGTTGCGATAGAGAAACAAAAAATGAGAGTATGCTGTGTAATTCAAATGCGACCCCCTGTCCAAAAACCGCTCGCGACGCCATCGACGCCAAAGTCTCCGAAACGCGTATCGCCTTCGAGCTCAGTCCCAAACATTGTTCGATTGACGGCAGGCATATCATCCATATCAGCATCTCCGGTTGCTAGGTTGGTGAGTCCGAACCCTGCGCCAATTTCACTACTCGAGGGCTGCCGCCGTATACTCCGCAATGAGGCGGGGTCGACCGTGCCGGAACCTGCTCCTGCGACCTCGGAAGGAGCTGAGGTGGGAGGTTGTGTTCTTCCGGTCGATCCGCGTCCAATGCCGAAAGTAAACCGTTGTGATGTTCGGCTATTTGGTCGATCGGCTGGGGAAGGGGACGTCGGGGGCTCCGGGTAGGGGAAAGTGCCCATCGCAAGCGGAAGGCTATTGGGAGCAGGAGTGGCTGTCGGTAGGAAGTTAAAATTATACGAGTGAACGTCCATCATACTAGGCCCAGCACCATCACCTGTGGGAGTTGGTGATGTGGCAAAGAAGTCCGGAAGGCGCTCTGCGGGTGGAGGTGAACCCATGGTTCGCGTGTCATCATTGATCCTTTCGATGTCGCCGGAGATTGAAGGATCTTGGCCACCGCCATCTATGTCCATGTGCGCCCCTGAAGATCCTCCGGCAACGTCCGAGTCGCCCTGTATCTTGGCGCGTTTTGGAGGAGGTCTAGGGACGAGCTTTGCTAGCTGCTCATCCGTCAGCTCGTATTCATCTCCTTGTTCAAACAACCCTGTAGCGTCACTGGTGATCGAGTCTCGCGGGCGCTTTCCGAGCAAACTTGGAACGAATGCAGGAGGTCGCTCGGGAGACTTGGATGTCGAGGCTGGTGGCCAGTAGGATGTTGAAGCATCATGAACGGAAGGTCTCTCGATGAATGGACCTCTGCGGATGACCAAATTAATACTGAAAGTTTGAGCGTACAGAAATATTTCTTACCCTAAGGCAGAAGGTTGTGGTGGTGTGCGTACTCGCTTCGGAGTAGGAGGGGGCATGGGAGCCCGGTGAGTCTCATGAATCGATGCTCGGGGTACCCGTTCTCGTAGTTTGTCGATTTCAGACGAGAGGACCCGGATCTTAGTTTCAAAGTCCTCAACGAGGCTTTCCACCTTTTGCTGTAGGTTTTTGAGCTCTTGCTTTTGAGATTCGTTCTCCTTCTTTAACGGTTTCATCTGATTAGACATGGACGTGAGTATATAACGGCTAGCCAGCTCGTCACGTCGCTCACAGCTTCCGCCACAACTTGATGCATCGACTCTAAGGAAGCGACGGGTAGTGCCGGCCTGCGCTCGTTTGTAGAGCGGGGTGTTGGAACTGATGCACCAACGCTGTTATCTCGAGCTAGGTCGTTCACTGAAGTTTCGTGTGAGCTAGGAAGCGTGTATTAGTAGTCAACATGGTTACCTTTAGAGGCGAGTGACCTGACATCTTCTACAGGCATTAGCACTTAGCAGGGGCTTATTTCGTGGCTTAGATGGTCTATACCTTCTTCTACAATAGGAGCACCAGTCACTTGGGCAGGCCGAGCACTTGGACCAGGCTTGCTGCCTTTTGACGAGTTGGAAGACCTGGTGACAATACGCGCTCCACTTCCTCCAGCAGCTGTAGGCCGGCCAACGCCAAGCCGGTACTGTGTTACCTTTGCTTTTCGGCTGTGAATGTCTGTGGGGGGAAGAGATGACTGATGGGTTTCAATGGTGGACGGCTTTGGAGGGACAGTTCGTTCTTCGTCCGAGCCATGGACAACCATGGAGCCATTCGAACGATTGCGCTGTCTAGCCGAGGTGCGGCTAGGAATGCGGCTTGGCCGATGAGGGTGGATTGTGGTTGGCCGTGGAGGGAGGGGGCTGGCATTGGATCGTCGAAGCCAGTCAGTGGGGAGAATATGGCTGAGCGTGGGAGATGGCGAACCTGGATGCGTCAACAAGGAGGTCGATGAGGGCCTCCGTCTTAAGGTTGGCCTTGACGCCAAAGTCCTGGAGAAAGGGTAAGAAACGAGGACCGGTGGGAGAAGTGGAGTCGCTAAGCTACCTTGCAGAGTCGTTGTATGTCAACTCTCTTCATCACCTCAAGCTGTTTGCGGGACGGGACGTGGACCATACTGGCGGCAGGCGTGCAACAGGGGAACAGTCTAAGTGACGCCGTCACGTCGGCTTAGTTCGACTTCGAGACGATTATGGCAACCGCCCAAACGCGATAAACAAAGCCCACTCCTCCACGTGATCTCTAACGCTCCGACGCTCCGGAGGACGATGGGGAATTGGGAACTTTTGGAGTTCGGCGTTCGGCGTTCGCCTTCTAAGTTCGGCGAAGAAATCGGGGGTCCCGGTCAGGGTTAAAGCATACGATCATGATTTAGACATGTCCCCAGATGTCCCCTCGTTCTAGGCAGTCATCATTACAATGAAGAAATCCGCGGGCGTTATCGCCCCGGCAGCACTGCCAGCCCAACACTTGCATATGCCTTTTCATTCGAGATCTGAGCCCGAATTGAAATGTGTTACATATATTCGGTCTACACCAACCCGAGTGGAATCAACACTTGATGGGGCTCGCCACCGGCGTTTGACAGTGTCTTTAGTTTTGCTCAACAGCAACTACTCACATTAGTACTTAACAGACCTTCAAATAAAGTATCGGGCTGTGGTTTATGTTGGGCTGGCTCAATGGGTCCAGGATAAGAGGCACGATGTGGTTGGTACATATCTTGTTGGGCGGGTACTGACCTATACACAAGGAGAGCTGATTGTGTCCCGAACCGTCCCAGGCACGACTGAAATAATGACCACATATTCCCTTCCCCCCGCCACAGGAGAATAGGGACGCGACACGCGAATGTGTTGGTCAATCGGGAAAAATGTAGTAATATTGTGTATACATTGTGTATCAGACTCGCCCAGTCAGTAACAGAATAATAACACGCCTATACCATCCTCAGGCTCTCGGCCGTCCTCCTCCATTGTATAGACGTAGGCATCATGATTGATGCACTCTTGAGTGCGGGGGATCATCCAGATTGTGTCCTTGAATATGTCCCAAAGAGGGCGTAACAAGGAGATTGGGATCCTGGTTTTACGAGAGATATAGTAGAGCGAGCGAGAGGTATAGCGGGCGACGCTACAGTTGTGTCGCGCTTTTCCTGTTGCGCATTCACGAAATCGGGGTGAAAGTCGCAGCAATAGTCAACGAAGTCGGTTATCTGCATAGAGGAAATATGATGTGTTCGAAAGCTGGGATTACGCTCGACGAGGACGTGAAGGGATAATAAAGTGAATATACGCATCTTATAGCGCGTTAAGAGGATACAAGAGCTGTGGATCGACCGTCACATCTATATGCTAGGATTGTGCTAGGAGGGCGCGGGCGCGGGAGTACTCAGGGGCTGACGCGGACGCGCGCCACCGCGCGTCACGCATAGTTGATTTTCTGGCGAGACTGTGCCGAACGCCGGACCGTGGCGCCGAACACCCGCGAGAAATGCCCAGAACCCCATCAGCCTGACGCTCCGACAGCCGACCAAGTGATTGCCCATAAGACGGGCACCACGGTCCGTATCTTCCATCCCGCCTGTCCCGCGCGACCATATAAGTATGAGCGGCTGTAACAATATATACCCTTCTTCGACCCCCAGACTATCTTCAATCCCACGCTGACTGCATCGGGTGCACTCCGTCATGCCTGAATACTCCTTAGCCCAGGTTGCTCAGCACAATACCACGGCGTGAGCCGCTTCAACCGGTCCTGCACCCAAGTACTGACTTATTCCTACAGTTCATGCTGGGTCGTCATTCGTAACAAGGTTTATGACGTGACTGACTTTCTCTTTGTGCGTCTAGTCATCTCAAAGTCGACTTGATGTAAATCGTTTCTTTACAGGATCACCCAGGAGGAGCTCAAGTCATTCTGAGATACGCTGGCAACGACGCGACAGAAGCATACGTTCCTATCCATCCCTCCGATGCTCTCGACAAGAACATCTCTCTAGAGAAACATCTAGGGAGTCTCGACTCTGCCTCTATTGCGGAGCTCAGGCAGGAGAAGAAGAATCAACCCAAGACTCGGGATGAGGAGCGTATCGAAGCTGCTCTTAAGGTCAAGCCTCCCTTGCGGAGAATGATCAGTGTACGAGACATAGAGGTGAGAGAACATTGACTCTGATATACAGCGTGGTTGACTCTTGCGTAGGAAACAGCGAAGCAGATACTGCCCTACAAAGCCTTTGCATATTATGAGTCTGCAGCGGACGACGAAGTTTGTACGTTCTCAGTAGGTTTCTTCGCTCGTGTAGACTCATTTCCGTTGCAGCAAATATCGAGAACGCCCGTGCGTTCTCCAGGTTCTTCTTTCTTCCTCGAGTCATGCGAGCCGTGTCGAATTGCGATACTACATCTACCATCCTAGGCTACAAAACCACGATTCCCGTATACATCAGTGGCTCTGCGCTTGCCCGACTTGGACACCCTTTGGGAGAAGTAAATCTCACCCGAGGCGCCTACAAGACCGGCATACTGCAAATGGTTTCAACCAATGCGTCGCTCTCGTATGGTCAGATTGCAGCTGCTCGCGGCCCTGATCAGACTATCTTCTTTCAGCTGTACAAGCATAGGCGTGACGACACTGCCGAGAAACGTATTAGGGAAGTCGAGGAACTCGGCTATAAAGCAATCTTCCTCACAGTAGATGCACTGATTGCTTCCAACCGCGAACGTGACACTCGTGCGCCATTCTTCATCGAGGACTACGAAAATCAAGGACTCAGTGTTAAGAGTGAATCGGAAGCGGATGAAGGTGAAGTTGACATATTGGGCACGGCCGGAGGCCTCATTCGAAACAATGACATGGACATGACCTGGGAAAAGGTCAGTGCCACTGTCCAGATTGTGGTCCTATATCTCATAAAGACTACAGACCATTCCATGGATACGAAGCATCACCAAACTTCCTATTGTTGTCAAAGGTTCGCTGATTTATATCCGACTCGTAACATCTTCTAAAGGTGCTTCAATTAGGCGTGCAGTCTGTTGCGGTGCGTTCAAGACGAAACAGCCAACATCACATTATCTAATAGCTTGAAAGGATGCTGTTCTTGCCGTGGAAGCTGGGTGCGACGGTATCGTCTTATCGAACCATGGCGGTCGCCAGCTTGAATAGTGAGCGCACCACCCTAGCTTTATTTATGCTCGCTCACAATCATAGCTCATTGCCACCAATGGAAATACTTTACAAGATACGCCAGCAGCGCCCAGATATCTTCGACAAAACTGAAGGTGTGTAGCCCTCGTGGCATTGATATATGCGCGCTCATAGAATCCAGTGTATATTGACGGGGGCATCCGTCGAGGAACTGGTTCGTTTGAGATATTACCCATGTGCTGTCCGATTAACGCTATCTTATAGATGTTGTTAAGGCACTGTGTCTTGGTGCCAAGGCGGTTGGCTTAGGACGCGCGTTCTTGTATGCTCAAAGTGTCAGTGGTTTCCTATCTTCTTGTCCCATATTCCGATCACTCATTGACTTATCGTAGGCATATGGTGAAGCCGGTGTTGTGCATCTCGCCCGCATTCTTCAAAGAGAAATCCGGTTTTGCATGGAATCGCTGGGTGCCCGCTCTGTGAAAGAGCTGGTCCCTGACCTGGTAAGTTTTGCAACAAAACATTGAAAGAGCACTAACAGAGCGCTAACACACATATTCAGGTCGAACGGGTGGATTGGCAGCCACTAGGAGCTAAATTATAGAATCTAATGGATGGTATGGAGCCACAGTCCAAGATCTTTTCCATGTATATGTATGCATTGATTTTATCCCATTTTTAAAATTTACTGCAATCTTTCGTACACAGACGAAGAAATAAATAAGTATTGCTAGTATTAGTATTTATATACCACGTGATGCCATGTGTTTGTTGCGTTTTAGCACGTGACTCTAACGCCTTGTGTTCAACTCGTGTTCTGGTTCGTGTCTGAACTAGTCCATCACGATCTTGCAACTCCTGTCCCTCTCTAACATCGTATTTCTCTTTCATTTAGGTTAACAAAACTGCAATGGGCTTCTGTAGGAGGTGCGGTGACATTGTATCAGGCCCTCGGTGTAAATGTGGCGGTCTCCCCGTTGGTACGTCTTTGGTGATTGATGGCTTTGCTCAGGTAATCGCAACCGACAGCTGACGCCTATAAATCGCATACAGCGCCGGTAGTCCAATGGAACAGTGATAAAGATTCCGGCGTCGACAAATGGTCGCGCACGTATGTTACCAAGGAGGGTTCACCGACAAGAACGAAACCACCGGTGATCGACAGCCCTTCACCCCATTCTCGGTCACAGTCGTCTGAGTCGACAAACAAATCCTCTCACCCCCTTCGCCGCCCTCGGTCCTCCTCTTCCCTCGGCAATCGTGTGTCTCAGTACTTGGCCGCTACCTCACGTCCAGCATCGCCTCTGAAGCAATCTGCCAAGGCTTCTCTTCCCCAGCATGACGAACCGATCATTCTCTCTCACCGTACTGGCACCCATAGTGATATATTGCCGTCACTCTACGCCCCGGAACTATCGAAGGTATACGGCTCAGTCTTGCAACCGAAAGAGAGCCGAGCATCATATCGATGTGCTCTTTGTACCACTGAATTCCCGCCAGATGCAACCATTTATCCAAATCCCAGAGCACCTGAAGGTTTCGAGCAATTCCTATGTCGCTCTTGCTTCGTTGAGAACGGCGGATCCAAGGGGGACTGCGCCTCCTGTCATCGTCCCGTTCTCATATTGAAAAGCGAAGGGGGTTTCGTTGAAGCTTCTAGCCGGGTTTGGCATAAGCGCTGCTTCCAGTGTAACGGGTGTGCGAAGTACATAGGCGACGCGCCCATGGTGGATCTTCTTGGACGACCTTCATGCGCTGACTGCTTCGACACTTGTTTGAAGCGGGATCCAACGCCCACCCAACCTCGAGCTTTAGTGAATTTCAACAGCGTAGACTCTCCGACAAGTCTCGGCGGTTCTCGCTCTCGTTCAAATTCTGATCGCCGAGAGAGTGGCTCTCCCATGGATGAGCTACAGCAAAGGCTCGGTGTCCTTCGAAAGAGGCAAAGCAGTCCAGCCCTTGAAGTTCTCGCCCGGCGGTTAAGCGACGTCCTTGATCGACCTCCGACAAAAGGGTCCCCCACAGAGTCACCTTCAGCGCATGATAATGACTATTCTGCACCTCTCCGACCAACACTTACTGGTAGTAGTTATCGTGAAAGGAGGGTCTCAACTTCTTATACTAGCCGCACTGTTACTCCTCGTGCGAGCCGTGATCGTTTGGAAAGCTTCGAGCATTCTGCACCCCAGACTCCAGCGTCTACTACCGGATACAAATTAATGGAAAGTAGCCCTTATGTGGAGAGACCTTCCCGTGACGCCGTTGAAGAGATGAAACGACGGTTCTTGAAGCCCTTCTCTTCCTCCCCCGACTCGATCGTTAGCCAGGACACTGGCTCACAGAGCTCAAGCCTGAGCTCGGACTTATCCCTTGTTAAGTCGCCAACTATCACGCCCTCCAAGCTACCTGTGGCCAAGAGGCCATCTTTGCGAAACAGTGCTAGCTGCTCCAGCTTGGGATCGCCTTTCAATAGTCTATCTCGCATGCCAACTACACCTGATCTCCTATCGGACACTTCAGACACCACGTCACAATCTTCACTGCCGTCCTCACCTGCTACATTCGACCCCAAACCTACCAATGTGGTGGATATCATGAATGTAGAGGAAAGGTCGCCACATTTCAGCTCGAGCCGTAGCTTTAGATCCGATAGTATCGTTGACGGCCAGCGTCAGCGCAGGCTCTCTACGAAGTTGTCCAGGGAAGCGCTCAATCCAGCACCATTGCAAGTTGCCGCGCTTACGGCAGACTCCTTGTGTGCAAAGTGCGGCGGGTCACTGTTCTCTGTACAAGGCGGTGGCCACTTTGTCACGGTTCCAGAGGTTGATTCAAGTAGGCCTCCAAAGACATATCACAATGAATGCTTCAGGTGTTCCGTGTGCGATAGAGCATTCAAAGAGACTCAAGATGGTCAGGCATTGTTTGTTCGAGGAGAAGGAGGAGCGTGTCATGCAGAGGTACGTCCCTTGAGAGACCGCCGCCGGACAAGGTTGTGACTAGCTCACGTAAAGTGTACACCCCCCGAGCACGTCTATAGCCGCGCCGCAGCTATATTGAGTCCAGTCAAGCGACCAGCGCCTTTGGAAGCACTAACAATCAAGAGCAGCACACCGCCCACGAGACGGTCGATGCTTCCGATATCAAAGCCAACCTCGTCATCAAGATACGAAGCTCCTACCCCCACGGCACCGGTTACATCTTCGCCGTTCCAGCGGTTTGGAACCTCTTCAGTCTGTGGGGGATGTCACAAGTCTGTTTCTCCTATGGAAAAAGACACAGTGCCCGGTCCTCAGGGATCACGTTGGCATTCATCGTGCCTTGTTTGTGGTGGTAAAAGTGCTCGCCTGAAGCGTGAAAAGACGAGGCCCGGCTGTGCAAAACGATTGGACAGCGCTGCTAAGAGGGACAGTGACGGTAACGTGTGGTGCCGGGAATGTTTCGTGAGTCACTCGATGCAGTTTGACAGTCGCCATTTGCTGAATCTAAATAGTTACTCCTGCCATCGGATGTAAGAACCTATCAAACGCATCATTCGCACTCAAAATCCTTGGTCTCGTCTCCAAGCCGATCTGCGAGCATCTTCCCCCAGAACACGGGAACGACAACGATCGCGCGACAGTTCACAGGGCGCGGACCGGATCCGGGGGTGATGAGACAGCTAACGGGAGAGAGCTCGAGCACGAGGCAACGCGCGATGTCGATCAGTCCTTCGAAGCAACTCGCTAAGACCAGGCCGCGTCCAAAGAGTGTTATCGGCATGCGGTCGAGCAGAGAGGAAGGACGAGGAATGTTTCTGGTGAGGCAGATGACCGGCGCGAGCTTTGGGGTGTGAAAGATGCCCTAGTTGCTAAGTGGACCTTGTTCAAAATTGCATAGTGACGAAACGTTCTAGAGCGTATCTTTGTAGGAAGATCTGGGAATTTGTGTCGGGACGATCTGATGAGCCATGTGTACGACCAATTATGAATGTTATGTACTAGCCTGTTGCTTGGGGCCGAAAAGGGGGTCAACACCTGTCAACACCAAATTCGAATATTCTGAAGCAAGTTTATCTCCTCCGCCGGCGACTTCTTTGTTGTGAGTTTCCATTCGCCAGTCTCACGGATGCTTGAAATAGGACAGCCTGGGAGGTACATTTGCTCATTGCCCGGGTCAAGTGGATCATATAGCGCTACACTTCTTGGCCCGTCGTCAGGTCCCCGGTCCCAGGCCAGGATTTGTTCGCGTCAAACTTGGGCACGGTTTTGTTTTCGCTTTGCTTCTCGCCCTCCTTTTCTTTCCGCTCCATTTCTCCAGGCTTGTTCGTCTCTTGACTTGGCCTATGCGGCCAGAGGGATCATAGCATTCCCTGCACTTTCCTTCCTTTTTCCACCGCTTTCTACAGGTCTGTGTCCCATCTCATCAGCTAACTTGCGCAGTGCACACTGCTCGAGTGGCTGCCTACCATCGGACCCGGAGAGCGTCAAACTCATTTTCTCATCCGTGCGATTGCTGGATCAACGTCTTCTTCTCTCCCGTGACTCGCTGGCTATCGACAGGTAACGGTGCACCTTCCACTTCGTTCGAGCGCTAGCAGCTCTCTTTGCATTCGTTCTACGGTATCATGCCCACCCATGTGTGCGATACCGGCCTCAATGGATATATCCCTCCTGCCGCGCTCTTGCTGAGCGGCAACTGTGCAGTACGCACCCTCCTTTTTTGGTCAGTCTGGCTCCCACTCATCGTTCCTAGGTCAACCTCGTTCTCTCTGATATCCCCCTGATCTCCGTCGGTATTTTGGTTTTTGGAGCGTCCATGTTTTTCTTGACTATCAGGCGCTTCACCGTGTACGTCCTCGCATGACATTGCGAGCATCTTTCTCACTTTTTGTAGACCGGCACTTTGCCTCTATTTTGCAGTTCTCGTCGCATTTTCGAGCGCCATACTAGACTTGGGTCAAATTCTGGTCTTGGAGGCATCAAGACGCCCCTCCCTGGCTGCCATACAGACTGCCCATGGATTAGTCCTTGCCAGAGAGGTCTTGCTAGCTATCTCCATCGGATTGCTGTTCTTCTTCTATTGGATACTGGTTGCGGAGCCATCTCGTCGCGAGTCCAGACCATCACCCTTGCTGCAAGGCAGTTGGTCCGACTTTCTCATCTTGGAATCCAACGACGGCCTTCATAGTGGGACATGGGCTAGGTGGGGCCTTGTCGGATACACTCTCAAGTATATTCTTCTTGTGGCCCCCTTGGTTATCTCTGTTCTGTCAATTGTCTGGAGGGCTGACTCTCAGTTCGATCGATACAGCAACGTTTACGCCGCAGAAATTTCACTCGAGCTTATCGCTTCCATCTTGCTTGGGCTGAAACTGATGATTAACGCACTCGGCGCCTCATCCACGCTCAAAGAGTATGCGGCACCATTGTTCGCCCTTCTTATCCATATAGGAATCTCCATAGGAAATCTCCTAAGCTGTGCGTGTTTTTTTATATGAAGCATTTATATCACCTAACCTAGTCGCATAGTTGCTTTCATCGAGTCTACTCCAGGTCGCTTCCTCTTTGGCGCAGAAATCTATGTTCTGATAGTTCACGCCATGTCGGCAACTTTTCACCGGATGCCTCAGGCCTTCCCTATCACCGAGTTCGAGATTGAAGAGCCTTATTTTCAAAGCATGAAGCTGCCTCGTCAGCCGCGTAGCTCGACCTTCAGAGTTTCGCCCCCGGTGGTTACTACTCCTCGCATGTCTACTATCGTCCTCAACCCACCACCGAACTCAGACAGAAATCCGAGTACAGAAGCTTTACGCCGGGTGGCGCGTGCTTCAAGTGCACGCATGGCATCCTGGATTTCTGGTCGGCTGTCGAGGAGGTTGTCTCGGCGAGTCACAACTCTCGATGACACCACTCACCTGTGGGCTCGACGAGATGCTGAGGAAGGCTCGCTAAACTCGTCGTCCGCCAGCGAGAAGGATGTATCTCCCCTCTCAGAAGAGTCTATTGATTGGAGAAATCTTGTTAACACAGTTGTGGGTAACTCGTTGCCCGATTCTCCTGTGGGAACGAGTGCAGCAGCGTCAAGACGTCAGACTGCTCTTATGAGCAGTAGCCAAGAGCTTGAGTTACCTGCACGACCAGCACCGGCTGCACCACCGAGATTACGGACAAGTGAACTGGACTTTCAGCTACCCAATGCTTCAGCCTCGAATGAGAGTCTGCCAATGATGATCACACCTGCTGAGGCCAAAGCACAGGATTCACCGATCTATAGTCTTCATGGAATACTGCCTCGCATACCTCCACCTCTCCCTCCACCTCCGCCGATGCATGACCCCAGCGTTACGTCTTCACCCAGCTCCCGGAGCGACACCTCAATTGAGGAGCTATTGCGCCAACAGAATGAGCTTGATAAGAGCATCGCTGCATTGCGTCTCTTCGCTCACCACAGCTCCGTCTCTCAGATCTCAGATTTGGGCGAGTCAGATGGCGGCCATGACCCACGGGAAGGTGCTTCATCCCCAGATACAAACAGGACGTCGGACTTTTCGCTAAGTCATTTCCCCAACCCACCTTGGGCGGCTGCTACAACGCCCGGGCCATCATCCCCACGTTCAACGTTGACGGTTCCAGGGAGTCGGCAACGTCGATCGGGCATATCTCGACTATCTAGTGGTGACACAGTGGTCCTCCAACCACCTCGACTACCGGCAGTGGACATGCCAAGCTCGCCGCATTCACAGTCAATCCCTGAATCGCCCAACCAGGATACTGACTCGTTAAGCCCGAACGTTGGCAGGCTTGCGCGATTTAACTCTGGCGGAACACAGTATGACGTGACATCGTTCATAGGTGGTTAGTGGTGCCGGTTGCCTCGATAGTGGTCTGGGCTGATCTTTTTGAATGCAGATCTGACAACGCCAGGAGGACACAGGAGCGGCTTTCCGGAAAGGCCTTGGGAAACTCACAAGAGGTCCATCAGTGAAAATCCTAGCCTCCTAGTACCCCCGTCTAGGAGCAGCTCGCTCGTCAAACCCGCACCTACAGGTCCACGACTCGGACCGGGCCGTTTGTCGGGGCTGCCGTCATCTCCAGCGAAGTACAGGAACGCGAGTCCGATAGCCTCGGGATCCGTTGCGCCGCTCAAAGTGGGCTCTTCAAAGTTATGCCAAGTGGAAACGATGCCTACAGAGACGGAGACAAAGACCGCGCCCGACCACTCACGAGCTCCCGGGTCGCCGAATTCTCCAGAACCAGTCACTGTTGTTTCCATACAACCGACAATACCAGAAGTGCCGGCACAGACATCCCCGAAACGAATACCTGGTTTGAGAAGCGTGGTAGGTCTACCGGCTAGACCAACCGTATCTCGCGACATCAGCGCACCAAAGCCTCTGCCACAGGATGGCAGAGGCGACCTAGCGCCCCATGCTTTTGAGCGACCCCGGCCGCCGCCTCTGTTACTGAGACCCTACGCTGGCACCAGTGCTGGTGAGCCAGGCAATGGATCATAGTGGTTTGGAGACCGCATTTTGCTCTGCGGAAGTGGTGCGAATGGGAGTGGGACTAAAAGTTTGAGAGCTGTATCTAGTATATGCCTGCTACTTAGCCACGTGGCGCTGATGTCATTGTAATGTTACAATGTATTACTAGTTTCGAATCGCAGCAGCTTGCTTTGCTTGCCTTTTTACCATTTCGGAGCATTTCCTCCCTTTCCTCCCCTTTCCCTTGCCTCCTCTTTCGTAAGCTATGTCGACCTTCCCAGACTACTATGCCCTTCTTGGTGTCTCAAAGACTGCTACAACAGACGAGATACGTCAGGCTTACAAGAAAGAGAGTCTTAGGTGCGTTTCGTCTGTTCAAGATGTGTCCCTGTCAGTGCTTCATTGCTGTAGTCTTCCAGGACCCACCCAGATAGATTGACCAAGGCGACCGTTGAGGAAAGGAAGGTTGCCACTGAGAAATTTCAGGTATAGTCGTACCGGTCTTGTTCGGCCATACGATCTCAGTTTGTTGACTTGAATCACTCAGGCTGTGGCCGACGCTTACTACGTTCTCTCGGACCCAAGTCGTCGCTCCGAATATGATATCTTGTATAGAACCAAGGCTGGCAACAAGTCCAGCGACCCGGGATCCTCGCAAAACTTCTTCTCTCAGTTTGCCAATATGTTTGCTGGTGCATCCACTGGCGCCGGAACTGGCGCCGGGCCCCATGGTGCCATGCCTGGGCATCAGCCTGACGCCAACGGCGTGTTTGCGGACGTTTTTGAAGAGGTGAGTTTGGCTCCTATCACTCTGTTAGATTCATTTCTTAAGCACCTACCTGCAGCTTCTTCGTCCCGAAGTTGAGCGCGTTGTCCCGTGGTGGTCTTATCTCGGAGCCGCGTGCGGTGCAGGTAACCAACTACTTCGTTCTTATTTGATTGATCGTGTGCTCAGTGATGTACAGGACTTGGCTTCATTATCGCCAATATACCTGGCGTCATGGTAGGCGCTTATGCCGGCAACCGTCTCGGTGCGATCCGAGACGCAAAGGGCAAGAGTGTCGCCGTGGTCTTCCTGTCACTTGGCGGTTCTCAGAAGGCTGCGGTGAGCATGACACTGGGTCCTTTGAGCTTTCGCTGACCTTCTCCTCAATAGATCCTTCGGGCACTGGCGTTGAAAGTGTTGGGCTCCGCTGGAATGTAGACCTGGCATGATGGTGTAATGGATGTGTTTTTTTCGCAAGATTGTACATGGACTTTACTATCACACATCTGTTGTAATTTTACCCGCTTGATCACAGTACAACTGGTATGAATAATAACGCTTAGTTACAGCAATATTATGCACTGCTTCGGCGATGATATTTGTGGCGGGCTGAGGTGTTCAAACTTCAGCATAGCCAGGGAAGAAGTTTTGTGTGAACGTCCTTTCGAGAGTTGAGCATGGCTAATCTTTCCATCGACGCCTTGGCATACTTGGGCGAATATTCCTGAGGTTAAATTGCCATGTGAGTTGCGTTAGAGTTTTTTGCCGACTGAGGTTGAGGGTCGTCTAGTAACTTACTGTTGCCGAGCGAAATTTCGAAAGGTCTTCAGATTACTTGCAAAGATTCAATGACCAGTCATCGTCGACGAGCAAACACTTGTACGGACGAAATTGATGGCGGCAGTAAGATAAGCAAGTCTCTTGGATGGTTCAAGCAGTCAATAGGTGAATGGCTCCAGCGACTTTGATTGCCCCTTTTCAACCCTCGTGCTGACCTCTTAGTATCAGAAGCCCTTCCACAGACTACCAAACGTCCCTCTTATGATGCCCGTTCTAGTGGTCAGTCCGAATGTTTGGGCGCCTGCGTCTATTCAGCTGTCCTGGGGACTGTGCTAACCGCGAGGACACCAAACAGAACCGGCTTCTGTCGTACCCCTAAAACGAGGTACGCAGCGCAGCTATGGATTGACGTTGAGTGCATGAATCACGCTGACGGCCATGGTGGTGGATGAATAGGAAGATCTTTGCTACAAGTGCATACCCCGCCTGCATCTTCATGTGCATCACTGGCAAGCTTTCGGTCAAACTCCTCTGGTGAGTGGTTTCTAGAAGATCCTTTGACAGCGATCTTCTTTCCTAACGCAACTGACACCATAGACTCTCCACCCAAAAAGTCCCGGAGGACCTCTCGCTCAAAAACGTCTGCGCACAGCTCAAGATCTGGGGTTGAACCTATCACTCCTAAGCCGGCAAGGCCTGCGCTGCGCTCAAAATCTCTGCCTCCTGAAACGTCCGCTTCGCGTGCATCCCTGCGTCTTGCCCTTCGCACACACCCATACATCAACAGTCGGACAAGCCTCAGTCAATCTCTTCGCGCCGCCCACTCTCATGACTCAAACAGAGGTGCTGCAACCTCTGCGAGTCCGCTGCTGAGGTCATTTGCAAGCCCTGCGCCATCGGATAACACGATCAAGGGGAAGGGGAAAACGTCTACTCGTAAACAGCATATGTCCCGCATGACTGATCAGCCGAGTTCTTCGAGCATGGTGCTTCCGGAAACGCGAGCACGACCAAGCTCTCCTCCGCTCATGTATCCGCCGACACCGCCTATCGATCCAACGCCGATCTCTGAAATCCCCCCTCTGCCAGACTTTTCTCCTTCACCTCGAGTCTGTCAGGGCTCGAGCGTCGATGGTACAGGGACGTCAACACGTAATCTTGACGATGTGGTCAAAGGCAAAGACGCGGCTGCCTCTGAGTCAGACTCGACATTGCATTCGTATGAGCTGGACGAGGTAGTTGGCTTGCCATGGGTATCATTCGTATCAGATCAAACGGACGTGTATATCCCTCCGGTCATACACCGGCTTATCGACGGTCAGTACCTTTTCGTCCATTCGAGAGTCTGTCTCATTTCATTGCTATCAATTAGCTATGAAACGCGAACTGGAAGCAGAGACTCGAGCCCGGTACCGCGCGGAAAGCATGTACAATGAAGAATTGAGGAAGCGCGTCGCCCTTGAGCAGCGCCTGGAGCAACTAGAGGCGGCACGGCAGGAGTGAATGCAGCGCAGCCCTCCGTATTCACTTGCACGAATGGGTGTTGTCAAATTGCAAAGTTACTCGCGTCTGATTCGCCATTTACCTCCGAAACATTGGTTCTATAATCTTATAAGCCATTCGGAACTCATACTGGGTAACATGTATTTATGCATGAATAGAGGATACACATGTGGACCACAACACCGTTGAAGATGATGTACAGAACATGAACTATGTCTTTAGTATGATGCAAACCAGGGAAGATGACCAAGAGTGTTATTTGTAATATGTTTAGCTGTTGGAAGTCAAGAAAAGAAGTATAATGATAAGGAGCTTTGATGTTATTATGATAAATGATATGTGCAATTTCAGTCCGTTTGACGAATGGTATGATAGGTCCGGTTTTTCTTATCCTTCACCAGTTGTAAGTACACACAGGTCAAGCTTGATATTAGTGCCAAAGTTCGCCTGCCTGGTTAGCAAGACTGTGATCCTCGACACCCGACGCGTCAAGCGCGCGTACACGGGAGTAATCGTCCAGCCCACCGGCGCCGCCGGCGAGCGCAAGGCTCAGAGCTGCGATCGCCTTTTCGCTGCGCGAAGCAGTGGTCGGGAGGGGAAGTGGACTGTGCGGGAAGCTGCACGCCTCACAGGGATCAAAGCTTGATGGCATGTCAAGCTCGAGCGGTCCGAGCGCTGGAAGCCGATGCTCTGCACGGAACAGAAAGGGCTGTGAAGGGGCACTGGGAGATAAACACGGAGAGCTCGATGCAGACGTGGACAAAGGCGTCGTGGAGAGGGATGCCGGGTGCGTTGATGGAGACGAGGTGGATAAGATACAGTCATCGTCCACGTCCATGTCAAACTCGATGTCCGTCTCCTGGGTTGCATGAGAACGATCCCTGCTGGCACGAAATGGGAAACCACCTAAAGATGGGAGGGCGGAGAATATCTGTATGTCATCTACGTCATCTGCAGGGTCCTCCTCGTCTTCAGAGCGGGTAGGCACACGGTTTGCAGTTGGGGAGAGGCGTTTCCTGCGGAGACGACGCTTATAGACGCCTTTGGGATGGGAGACGGAGCGCGTCCTAATAGCTTGATCTCTTGAACGGGAGTGCTCGAGGTCGCGCATACGGCGAACGAGATCCTCCCCATTCTCCTCAATCGACTTGCGTAGCTCGCCGAATGCAGATGCCCGAAGCTGCGCTACCTCGGCAAGTTCAGCGGGAGATATGCCTTGTGATTCCGTGGGATCCTCATGCATGCGATGAGACGGAGACGCTATGAATGGTGCGGGATGAGAGGCGAGAAAGAAGTCTGCGGGAGATGAGGCAAAGAAGGGAGTACGCGGGGAAGAAGAGGAGGTGGAACGACTCTCGCCACTCGATGAGAAAGGATTTGCAGGGGAGCAAGATGTATGATACGGCTGTTGGACGGGAGATAGCGTGAGGACGAGGGGGCGAATTTGGAGATAGCGGAGACGCACTGAGGGATCTCGCCTAAGTCTCTTATTGAAATCATTCCATCCGTCGTTGGTATATGGATAGGCAGAATCCAAAAGATGGGGGGACGAGCTGCTGCTTCGATGGGACGAATGAAGCCTCTTGACGGACAACCGGTGGGGTGGGCGGGAAGTGGGGAGCGGAGAAGCGAGCGGAGATGCAGACGGCGAGGGTGACGAGGACGAGAGGGAGTGGGATCGTCTGCGGGTGAAGGGAACGGACATGTCACGACTGGCTGGTGTAAGACTAAGGAGGATAACGGCGATGACGCTCACGACTTCAGCTCTTCCGCACATTATCTACTACAGTAACTATGTCACATTAATATTCACGGAATTCGAATTCAGTCCCAGCTGGCACTGTACAATAGTAATGACACATCTGTTTTTGGTCACCTCACAGCCTTCATGCCCATGTACATGCAAACCTTACACAGCGCTCTGCAACTAATGTTACAAGCCAGGTATGCTTTTGAGGAATCCAGTCATGTCCATTTTGCACTCCAGCTGGTCTTCTCGCCGCGAGAACGTCGCTTCAAACGACGCGCCAGCCTCTGCTGACTACACAAACCGATCAAAACGAGATCCAAGGCTGTCAAGCAATGATGAAAGCCTACCTCGCCATCATAAAATTCCAGATCCTCCCATCCTTCGTCCTCTTCTGCTCTTATAATGTGCAATATCTCTCGGCGTGCGGCCGAGAGTCCGCCCTGCGGGATGCCTGCCTTGTCGTCTCCGGCCTTGCGTGCCGCAACCTGAACTTCCTTCACTTCGAGGGGCTTTTTCTCCTTTTTCGCAGTTGTCGGCGGTGGAGCAACCTCGTCTGGATCAGGGGGAGGTCCATCGTCAGAGTCGTCGTCGGACTCTCCACCTCGCGATCTTTTACTTCTCCGACTCAGGACGTCGAGATATGTTAGAGTAGGTCGAAACTGATGTGTTTCCTCGATGGGATGCAAATTAAGACGTCCTGCAAAAGTAAAAATGTCCAGCCTCCTAGCATCATAGTAAGATTCGATACGCACCATTTCGTATCACCCCCAGCATGTATGCACCTTGGTGATGAATCTGCTCACTCCGAAGGCGCACCTCAGTCAACTTTGACTCCTCCCCATCTCTCTGCTTTCCTTTACCAGAGTCTTGATTTTTCTCCCGATCATCTACTTGCCGTGCTGATCCAAGGTCCCTGCTTTTCTCACTGTTCCACACTTCTGGGCGAGGATCGACGGGCACATGGATTTCTAGTCTGCGCACGCCTGGTTTGATTCGCGCTTGTATGCGCTTTCCACTCGTCACGGCTGAAGGAGGCGTTTGTAGCGGACGGGAGAGAAGAGGGAATTGGTGTAATTGGATGTTGGGGTTAAGTGCATTGGAGAAATGGATTGGGAGGACACTGACGAGCTCGTCCTCTTCGATAGTGCTGTTACTGTTCATTTCGAAAACGTAGTGGACCCAGAAAGGCATCCTACTAATTCGGCACGGAGTGGCTCTCCGGCCCGGCGAGATTGATCGACTTCGGTCAAAGATTAGTTTCTCTTCCGAACGCTTTTCCTGGTAGGTTTGGCAAGTATTGTGACTACCGTCCACATCCCCATCCACTCAAATCTACCAGCGCTTTCATTGTGCAATGTCTGGCGACCATCCTGCGAGGACCTCACCTGTCATCGTTATAACAGGAACACCAGGAACGGGAAAGTCTACCCATGCGCAGCTATTAGCCCAGGAATCTCCTGTTCCTCTCAGACATATCAACGTTGGAGACATTGTCAAAGACAAAGCCTTGCATGAGGGATATGATGATGAGTGGCAGAGCTATGTTGTCGACGAAGACAAGGTGTGCCTCATCCACCCATTTGCTTCTCACCTTGTGGAACACTCCCAATCAAGCTCCTAGATGAACTAGAGCCTCTGGCATCCGCTGGCGGTGTCATTTTAGACTGGCATACATGCGAGATATACCCTGAAAGATGGGTTGATCTCGTCATTGTTCTCCGGTGCGACCACACTCGACTTTGGAATCGCCTAGAGAAACGGTCTGTCCATCTCATGCAGCTTGTTTCGGGTTGTGCTTAGATCTATCTATCTAGAGGCTACCCGCTCAATAAAATACAGGAAAACAACCAAGCTGAGATCATGGAGACAGTACTCGATGAAGCTCGGTCCTCATATGCACAGGAAATCGTCATCGAGCTCAAAAGCGAATCCACGGAAGACCTTGAAGAAAACGTATCCCGCATAGTGCAATGGATTACAACATGGCGAAAGGACAGAGGCGAAGAAACCTGATTTATTTGTATGTCATGAAAATTGGCTGATCAAAAAGTACCCTATGGACCGTATTAGATGATCCCGTTCCCCTCCTCCATTTGTAGCTGGACGTTCGGCTTACCTCCCTGAAGTAGTCTACTAGTCAGTAAAGCGTTGAATGATGCTTGGACAAGTATCCGCAGAATCACTCCATGCAATTGCACACTACACATGTCCATAGTACAGTCACTGAAGCATACAGCAACCCAGGTATCCAGCCCAGTGTATCTACATGTCCATGGGTTTGGAAATCACGAAAAGTCCAATGTCCAGCTAATATACAAGCTGTTGTTAACTCAACAAGACCAAACTCGACGCAACTATAACAGAGCAAAGCAAAAAGACAAGACTACGGGAAGAGTATGATGTTCCCTCGTTGATCGGGACAAATCCAGTGGTAGAGCTGGGTTGCATAGTTACCACTGTCGTGGATTCAATTGTGACTCTAGAATAATATCCACCGATTCGTTAGTCGAGAGGATTTGGCGCTAAAATAACAAAGGGAACAAACGTTTGGGTCTCAGGAGTGCCAGAGACCGTGGTAGTGAAGATGCTTGCGGTCGTCTTCACGATTGTGACAGTTGTGGGGGCCACTGATGTGGAGAATCTCGATGAGGTGGTCGGGGTAGGCAGAGTCACGACTGTTGTGCACGAGCCAGATGAGGAACAGCTCTGCGAGAGCCATGGACAAGTAGCGGGAGGCGAAGAGGGTTGCGGGGCAGGGAGAACAGGATTCTGAGAAGGGCAAGAGTCTGAGGATCCACCGGTGATAGATATAAGCAAGGGCGTGATTGAGTAAAATGGCTCATCCGAGATAACCGAGTTTTCGTAGAACGTAAGCTGCAACAATATGAATCTTGTGAGTGGCTAATGACCACGGCAGTCCGTCGCGGCTTACATTATAGTTCCCAGAAGGTAAAGTCGATGGTATCGTCCAGTTCAGGTGTTTAACAGGGCTGCCCACCTCTTGGGTGAGGAGGCTCGTGCCATTGGTTATAGTCATATTCAAGTTGGTATCGTACGAAACCAAGTAGATCTGAAGCTCTTGAAACCTGGTGGGTAAATTTGAGCCAGGCCCTTGAGCAGCAATAGGCAACGCGCCATCTCCCGACACCTGGGGCGCGTAGTTGAATCAGCACGATGTCGAGAAGACATGAGTGGATTTACAAACGTCAACAGCAATTGGGAGGGTACTCCCAGCGTGGTATTGGCTGTTGTGACCGAGTTAGGTGAGTCCTGAACCATCCTTGGTCTAAGTACTCACCTGTTGGGCGCAGGGCAGTCGACAATAGCCAGTCCTCGTGTGAAGTACTGGCCGTTAATGAGAGTTTGAGCAAAGGAGATCTGAGCCAGAACCAGGAGAAACAGAGCAGCTAGGAAAGAGCGGCACATCGCGACGGACCAGCAGAAGGCAAGTGCGGCCACAGCGAAGAAAGCAGGGGGATTTGCCCGAGGCGAGCCAGCACCCTGGGCGAGGTTCAAGCTCAAGAGTGGGCGCTGACTGTGCTTGGCAGTATGCAGCTGACGTTGTGAGGGCGTGCGTTGTCTCCCACCACGCTGTTACGGTCGTCATCGCAGTGCGGTGAACACACTTCCCCTATCTTTACCGTGGACAATCTTTCGAGCGACTAGTATTGGTTCCGACCGGTCCGATCTCGCTTAGACACATTCATACTGTCTCGGCTGGCCTTGAAGGCTGCACCACTCTTTGAACTTTCCATCTAACTCATCGACAATGGCAACTAATGGCAACGCTACAGACGCGTCGCCAACGGAGAAGAAAGAGGATCAGCCAAAAAAGCCGCTGTACGAGTCGAGCACCCAGTGTAAGAACTGGAGGTACTCTCCGGAGATGCTCGCGGATGTCCGCGCGTCCATGAACGAGGCAGCAGTCGCGGCCATTCGCAACGCTTTCGAGGCAGACGAGGTGCGACCGAGCTGCATTTGAATGATTTCCGGCCAATGCTCGTATCTCCAGCCTGGTTCTTCGGCGAGCGTCTCATTTCTCAATGCACAAGATGAGCAACTGCTCGTAAAGCTGTACCTCAGCAAAATCCCCCAACTATGTGGCCATTTTCGCTTCCCAGAGGAAGTGGAGGCTACCGCCATGACATATCTTAAGCGTTTCTACCTGAGAAATACAGTCATGGACTGGCATCCCAAGAACGTGATGTAAGCAAAGCAGTCTCCTTGAATGTAATGATTGTTCTCATGCGAGCTCTAACGTCAGGCTTACTGCTCTTTTCTTAGCCACTAAAACAACCAATAACCCTATCTCGCTGGAAGCATACGCAGGCCACATACCAAAAACACAGCCGTCTGATGTACTAGACCTGGAATTTCTCGTAGCTCAAAGCCTCGGGTTCGAATTCACAGTGTGGCACACTCATCGAGCACTTTGGGGCGTCTGGCTAGATCTACAAGTGAGTTAAATTCTTTGCGAATAGTATGCCTATCTGAAGTTCTGGTAGAGCTTAGACATCGGACCTGATCTGCGCCCTCCTGATATCTATGAGGCTGCTCTCAACCATGTCCGCACATCACGACTGACCGACGCCGAATTGATCTACACGCCTTCTCAGATAGCACTCGGCTGCCTTGCAATGACATCTCCTATCCTCGCGCAGCAATGGATGGAGTCGAAAGCTGCTTTGGCCAAGAACACACATCCGACCATGTACGAGATATTGGCACAGACAAACGAAGAGGTTCGCGTGTTACTTGAGCAGACAGGTCAATTGCCTGAGGTGGAGACGGTTCGAGAAGTTGATCGCCGACTGAAGTTGTGCAAGAACCCGGAGAAGGTCGTCGGAAGCAAGGCCTATCTTGCGAAACAAGCTGAAGATGAACACAAAGCACAGCAAAGACGTGCCAAGAAAGCGGAGCAAGTCCGACGAGCTGCTGAAAGCAACGACCCGTTTGGCAATGATATAGATGAGAAGCAAAAGGAGGCGCTAGCCGGAGACTTGGATGACGATGACGACTAACCACGCGACTGAAGTGGATGGATACAAAGCATGGTTAGATATCATTCATGTCTATCGAGGGTATATTAACCAGGCATGCCATGTTGTACACGTGAACTGCTATCAATACCATAGCGAACATTGCAAACAAAAGCAGAGCTGTATCCGTTACGACCAGTAAGGCATTGTGCCTGCTTTCGAGGAAAGAGCTCGAGACAGGGGTGAAACGGAGAAAAGTATCATCCATGTTGGCTTCTTTTTGACCACACGGACCACAAAATGGCGTCCGCATGGCTTCGAAAGAGCCGAAGTGTTTAAAAGAGGACGTTGACGAATGATCGACCCTTAATCCATGCATGGATAACACGAGTATTATTTCATTACTAAAAACCTAAACGTTCAAATACACGTTAGATAACAAGATGACGGGCAGAAGAAGGGTACTGACAACATTCACAGTCAAAAGGACACAGGGGAGTGTCTTAGGCGAAGCTGAGCTGTAAGTGTACCTGCACTGGGCAGCAAACGCACCTCCACCCCCATGGCTGATTCCGAGCTCGTCTTCCTTGTAGACATTCCAGCCTTCTTCGGTTCTTTTGCCTGGAGACGATGAGAGACGTGTATGACAGTGAACGAGGAAAAACGCACGAGAGCTAGTGCCTCTCGAATCAGCAAAGTGAACCTGATCTTTCTGGGACTTGACGGGAGATTGATGATCTCGTTGCGGCTCGGGGCCTGCAGATACTTTTTTGCGCTTGGAAGAAACGACTTTGATAGAAGGATCTAGGACGACATCTGGAGCCTTGCGCTTCCGTTGGCGGGCGTCATCAGACTTGGAGGAAGAAGCTAGCTGTGCGTCATGCTCGGTAGATGCCTTATCTTCCTTCTTTTCCTTCTTCTTTCCCTTCTTTTTCGATTTGTTAGAGGACGGGGTGGATGCCTGCTTTCCGTCCGAGACGATCGATTTTGCCTTTGACTTGGAGGCGAAAATTTCGTCTATTTCAGAGGCGGGCATGAAGGGAGGAGTGGGCTGTCACGCTGTCACTGCATTGATAGAACGCGTGACGTCCATCGTGACAGAAAGTCAGGCACGGGCCTGGAGGATGGACGATCCCCAGCTTCCCAAAGGGATGCAACTCAGTGATTGCGGGTAGAGAGCACAGTAGAGCAACAAGCCTGGTCTGAAGCGAAAGAGCACTGTCTGAGACCTCCTGCGTAGATAGATTGAGCAGTTAGTGTGTTTTGTGTGTCGGTTGAACGCCAGCAGTTATTGGTTTGTGTTTATTTACGCTGCTGTGGCGGGGCGACGCTTGTTGATGCCTGCAATTGCCGCTCCCTTGCATTTGCGCATGCGCTTGGGCTTTTGATAATAAATAATTGCAGAGTCGGCCGCTCGGATGGCCATGTTGTGAGTCCTTCCTCCGTTTGCTATCCTCCCCTCTCCTCCTCCTCCTCTTCCCTTGTCCTGCTCACCTTCCGCCCCCCTTCCTCCCACAGGTCTCAGCAACCACACCAGCCACGCCCCCAGAACCAGTCCGCCGGTCAGCCCTTCGGTACCCAGTCCGTCGCACAGACCCCAGACGGAAACTTCTCCAACCTTGATCCAAATGCTGCCGCGAAACAGATAGCCGCTCTCAACGCCGCTGGTCTTGCCAGGTTAACCAACGGTCGCCCGAATAACGCGTCCTCCCTCCAGCAATCAGCCAACGGCGCACCTCCCTCTTCATTCCCAGGTGGCATGCCCTCGGCAAACAACCAGTTTGGTCCACCTCTTCAGGACGGGTCTAACAGCATGCCTGCAAATAGCTTCGGTCCTCAGCAACACGGAGCCCAAATGGCAAACCCATCTCAAGTCAACGCTGACTCTTCTTCATCCCACCAAGGCCTCACGCCCCAACAGCAAGCAAGCTTGCGACAACGGCAGAGGGCATTCCTTGGCAGTCTAGCCAGCATCCACCAGAGTAAAGGCACTCCTCTCCCCCCAGCGCTTACCGGCGTGCCATACCCACCTAACCATGACCCTTCAAATTCGCCATGGAAGTCTCTAGACTGTTCTTCCGGCGAGCCTGGCATCCTACGAATATCAGGACGGGATATCGATCTGCTTAAACTCTGGAGTATTGTAACCTCAGCCGGTGGAGGGCCCAAGGTGCGTCTACTTCATTTTAAACAAGCACACAGTTCGTTTACCTACCTCTGCTGCTTAGATAGCCTCACAAAATCTTTGGCCGCTTGTGTTACAGAAACTGGACATGCAGTGGTGTTCATCTATGGCCCCCGAAAACCTGAAAGTTGTTGCCACAAACGTGGCAAACCATTACAGTGTCATCCTGCACCCTTTTGAAGAAGTTTGGCGGCGGAATGTGCAGGCCCAGGAGCAGAACAGAAAGGCCCAAATGGCCCGCCAGCAGAGCGATCAACAAGGCTCGCTTCCTGCCAATACAGGGTCTGCGAGCAACCAGCAGTCTTCCGCATCTTCACATGTCTCTAATCAAATGCATGTTGATAATGGGGGAGCCTCCGACGCAGCAGGACATGCTTCAACATCAACCTCAAGTCCCCAGGTGAACAATCTCCAGCTACCACGAAGTCCAATCTCCCAAAAAGCGTCATCTGTACCCGCGACTCAATCTCCTGCACCCAATGGATTCTCAGATGGTGTTTATCCTTTCCCGAACGTGCTCGGATTTTTATCTAACGATCCCCGCTGCAGGAGATGATGCGCAGAGTAGGAAAAGAGCTCATGAGGGGGAGGAAATGGATGGCAAACGGGCCAGACAGAAGACAGGTGAGTTGCCATACACCACCTTGCAATCGTGTTGTCTTGAATGTATGCGTCTACTGTAGGATTGCTAGATCTTCCTGACACCGTGCGTGATGCTGTTCATGTTCAACATCAATTACTCAACAGCTCAACATATAGTTACCTTCACTGACAACCTCACCTTTGCTGTCTTCTGGTGGACCTGTGCCTTCGCCCCAAAAGACCCCTTCATCTTCACAAGCTCAAACGCAGTACCTGCGTACTAAAGTCGAGTACGTGCCATATGCCCGCGAGGTGGAAACGTATGGCGGTCGCGACCTTAATGCGATGGACGAAGACTATGCCCGATCGACTATGCGTCCAATCAGAGATATCAACGAATGGGGCACTGTTGACATCGAAGCACTCACCATGTCGATCCGCTCGCGACTAACTGCGGAACTGTCGTATGCTCTCACCACTCTTATGCTTTTGTCAACCATGAGAGGGCCTACACCTGGGTCCGGATTTCCAATAGCTCAATGTCCGGACCTCATGGATGATGTTTTGGACCTCATGGAAGACGAGGCATTCGGTGGCACTCCAGACCTCGCAACGTACAATATCGACGCCAGGAACTACATACCCCGACACAAGGAGCTTGTTCAAACCGTGGTCGAAGATGAAACGTGTCCTTTTGCTGGTCTCGAATCTCGGGAAGGTTCGCAAAGAGGTCGAAAGCTCAGCTCCGCACAGCATAGCCCAGCCAACCTGATTCTCGCGGTGCTGAACGTCATCCGCAACTTGTCTGTAATCCCCGATAATCAACCTTATCTCGCACAACATGAACGTCTGCTCGACTTGGTGCTACGCATGGGAGGCATTGTGCAGGACGCCGACGGACAGTTGCGTGCTGTCTCGTCTGCTTTGTCTCTGCCGGACGTGATTAGCGTCCGGAAAGAAGCGATATCAATACTTGGCAACCTTGCAGGAATGATCCAGTATCCTTCAACAGCACCGTCGCCAGCAGTGATTCGTTCGTCCACCCGGGCGTTTGAGCTACTCGCTTCCGTCCTCGTTGAACCCTCCGATGCAGTTCCTCCGATGCAACTCCTCAAGGACAGCAACCTCACGTTACCCACGAGTCGACCACCACAGTTGGCGGATCTTGCACTCGACATCTTCACCCGCCTCGCACAACCCGATCAAAATCGAAAAGTGCTTGCGACTGTGATACCCGAAACGTGGATATGGAAGTTGCTGGAAAGCCTCGTAAGACGGCTACCCATGTCGGATCACGACTTTGCTTTCTTGAGCCGAGAACCATGGCTGTGCTACACGGAGCGGGCCGTCATGTCCATCTACGCGCTCGCGTTCTTGTCTTCTGCGGAGCTTAAGCGAAAGATTCGGACGGATCGCAAGCTGTGCTTCCCGCAGGTCATGATCAGAGTCGTGCAGAAGCTATTGATGACACCGCCGCATCTGGAGACACGGCAATGGTATCTGGTCACAGCACGACGGGCGGTGGAGGCTCTGAAACTGATCGATGTCGGACAAGACTCGTTTGACGCGGTTCCAGCAGTGACACCTGCACTCGCGTTTGGAATGGGATTCGGGGAGAGCGGAGATTCGGGTGTCGAGAGGGGCACGGGGCTCTTTGGCGGGCGGCGGGATGTGTGGGATCTGTTGATGCAGCGGGATCTGGACCCGATCATGTTCACCGAGCTGGAGAGCTTGACGCGGGTAGAGTTCTAGCTGCAGCTCATTGCACAACTAATGGACGGTCTCTAAGCTTAAATTTATTTGTTTTACGATACGAATTGTATACTCATAAAGTGCTCGTACTGCTGAGATTCAGAAGGATTTTGATTGATACGTTGTATCCGTGGATATAAAGTCACGAGTGCCGGTGGTGGTGTTTGTATCAAAACGTGCTTTTGGATTTTGCGAGTGTGTCGGAATGTGATGCAGTTCCGGTGCAGGCTCAGCCAGTCCAAGGCTCAGCCGAGCCATTTGCTCTGCTTTGGTCAGCGTCGCAGAGGACAGCCCCGTCTAGTTATCGCCTTTTTGTCGTCCACCTCGACCACCTCAACGAGCGCATGCAGATTGACGCTGCACCCCCTCATTACTCTGCCGGTGACGCCTCGACACAATCGGAGCATGGTGGAGGCCCACAGCTCGTCTTGGTCCCAGCCGCGGACGCGATCAACTTTCAGAAAGGATATCTCGGCGCTGACGACGAACATGCAGCCATCGAGGGCGAATTGCAAGTTAAAGGCATTGAAGAGGGTGAATGGGACAAAGTGTAGGCACATAAATCCGTCACCTACGAGGCGCAATATTGAGACAAGCTGACTCGGTAGGACGATCACACTCCGCACCGTGGAGGCGGCGTACGACCACGAGATCGAGCTGTTCAGCAAGCAGGTCGTCCTCTTCGACACTTTTGGCGGCAGCCAGCCCATCCCGTCTTCCTTCCCTTTTGCCATCCCCCTGACTTCGGATGTGCCCCAGTGCATTCATACTCCCCACTCATCCCTCGCCCATATTCTTACCGCGACTCTCCATCCAACCGCCTCCTCTCGTCTCCCCGTCTCCAAGACGCTGACGGTGCACACAAAACGGTACACGTCCCATACCCATAACATCCCTCCGTCACCCCTCGTCCATACGTTAGACAACCCTGCTCGAGTTGAGGTAGAGTTGCCCCGCGACACATTCCACGTCGGTGAACCAATACCTGTCTATGTTACCATTCCTTCTCCACCGCGGGATGTTGTCGTTAATGCAGGTTTGCGACTCCGCAACGTCAAGACGGAGCTGATACGGTCTGTCAAGGCCAGGCGGGGCGCTGTTGATGAACACGAGCCTAACTCAGATGACGAGGCTGATGCTGACGAAGGACCTAGCGTCGATCAACACGTACAAGGCTCCTCGTCCATGGTGCACTCGGCTGAAAAGCTCCAGTCGCCTCTGTTCATGGGAGCATCTTATAGGACAGTCGTATCGAAGTCGGGTGCATCTTGTCGCTTTCACTCGTCGAGAGCCATCAAGCTACGCTTTGTGCTGCACCAATCCTCGCCCTCTGCGTCTCCCTCGGACCATACGCGCGAGTTTGACGAGTATAGATCCATGGAGAGTGATACGCAATGTGTATCGATCACGCAGACGACGTTGCTCCATACAGTTACCTTCCGGCTGTTCGTTCATGTCTCGTTTGTCGACACAACCAACCACACCGAGCGCCTGTTCTCAATTGCGATTCCTCTCAATATGATCCCGCCTCCGGCCCCATTACCACAAGTCGAACAATCAATGGACGCCGCTTACCAAAAGAAACACGATCGGCCCCCTGCTATGACAGTCCGCCATGAAGACAACGAAGCTTCGGCGCCTCATTATCAGGAAGGCGAGGCAGGTCCCAGCTATGTCAACAACTCTGCACCGCCCCCTTTTGAAGATCGCGAGCAGCCACCACCTCCGTTTTGGCAAGCAAGCCCCTCGACGTCGTCACGACTCCCTACGTTCTTGGAGTCCGAGGCGGAGATTCTAGTTCCGGAAGATGCGGCCGATCACCTTGCACCTCCGCCTTTACCACAACCCATGATTCCCGGAGAAGGAGTTTTGTTTGGCTTCCCCGCGTCCCAGCACTTCGATGGCCACGCAGAAGACACTCGGCGGCCTACCACTCCTCCACCTAGCCTTGAAATGGCAACACAAGACACAGATGTGACAGAGCTTGCTGACATGGGCCAGCCGGTGCGTGCTGTGGAGGCGCTGGGGCTTGTATTGGACCGCGTAGAAAACTCAAGTGGAGATCAACCCCCGCCTCCTCCTGCGCTCGATGACCCCGCGGACCCGCCACCATCGATCGATTCAGACTTCCGGATGCCTGGTGACCAGCAGCACCCCTCTTCTCCTTCGCCTGGTATCAATTACTCCCAGTCCGAACAGCGACAGTCGCCACCACCGCATATATCCAATGTCGAAGGTCATCTTCCCCATCCTCATGCTCCGCCACCGTATCTGAACCCTGGAAGTGAGCATGAATCGGAGAACACCTTGAGACCTCCACCTTACGCAGACCTGGACATGGCGCCTCGATAAAACGTGTGATTATAGAAGTAATCAACCTGCATTGTATAATATTTTTGTTACCGCTGATAGCAAGGACGCTGTCTGCGAGGTCTAACGTCAAGCCAAGTGTACTCATAATTGTGTTGAAAGCATGTTATAATGTATCAAACGCAACTACGGAAGCACAGATCCAACATGAAAAGTAAAAGGTGTATACTAAAAGACATCCGATGGTACTAATAGAAATAAGTGTCCAAAAGACCAGGTGAAGGTAGATTGCTCAGCAGTTGCATGCATCCCTGCCCTTGGGCTGGTTCTCGTCGAGGTTGACATCGCCTCCCTGTCTACCGACACCCTCGCGGGCACCTTGCGCCCCCGGGCGACCCGCGCCGCCGCGCGTAGAAGCCAAAATGTGTTCAATTGGGATCTTCTTGGCTACAGCTTGTTCAGTATCAAGTGAAATGGGAGAGGGAGGGTAGCACGCACCAATCTCTGTAAATATCTCGACAATGCCCTCGCCCGTTTTCGCACTGGTCTCGAAGAAGAGGAGACCTGCTTCGGTTGCGTACGCATGTGCCTCTTCTCTGGAGACCTGTCGAAGGCTCTCGGGCTCACCATTGGGTGAGCCTGGCGTCTCGCCCGGCGTGGCGGTTGCATCGTCTGCCTCATCTTCGGATTCGGATGTCGACGTGTTGCCGCTCGAGGACGAGGATTGGACGAGGTCAACCTTGTTGCCGGCGAGCGCGATGACGATGTTGGGGTTGGCCTGGCGCTGGAGCTCTTTGACCCAGGACTTGGCCTTCTCCAAGCTCGACCCCTTCGTGACATCATAAACGACAACGGCAGCCTGCGCGTTGCGGTAGTACATGGGCTAGTGGAGAAAGCCACATGGATGAGACAAAGAAAGGTTTCGGCGGTTAGCGAGGTCGTGGGCTTACCGCGAGCGAGTGGAAGCGCTCCTGCCCGGCCGTGTCCCATATCTCATATCTCAGCACTCTGTCCTCGAGACGGCACTTCTGGGTGAGGAAGGCGGCTCCGATTGTGGGCTCTTTATTTGGCTGGAATTCGTTGGAGACCTGCGAAACTCTTCTTTAATCTTGGTTTGCTCGTATGAAAGGAGCGAAGATGAGCTCACAAATCGAAGCACGACAGATGATTTGCCAACGGCAGCCTCGCCTGGTCAGGGTTAGCCATCGTCAAGACAGGACAAGGTGGCAATACAAAGGTAATTAACTGACCAAGAAGGACGAGCTTGACCTGGACGGACCTATCAACTGAGCCTGAAGCAGCGTCGGCCATTGCAACGAGAGGGCGTGGGGTGGGCAGAGGTGTCGAGGAGGGTGGTCGGGACCGGGGTTCGCTGGCGGAGAGGACGAGAACTCGGAAGGACTGCGATAGTGGTGCTGTCCTTTTCCCACTTATTTGGCTGTGTGTTGCCGGTTGCTATTTGCGGTTTCATTCTAATGATGACAATGTTCAAAGTTGTTGTCATCTCCCCCATCCTGTACACTACACTACCCCCACAATCAGAACGTGACAACACACAGACGGGCACATGCACGCTATTAAGTTACCGTAGCGTTACTACTGGTCAGCTCGTACAAGGGTTTCAGGTCATCGCAAGTCACAAAGATCCCGTCCGCAATCTCTACCTGCGGCTCCACACTGAATATTTCAGGGCAGCTAAAGTCGGCCTCATCGGTCCCTTCAGAACAGCTTTAATCAAACAGTTTCCGGCTTCACAAAGATCGAGATCACGCACCTGGGGCTTGCCGTCGATGGCTTGCTGACGACTGCGCCGCCGGCGAATTTGGCAGAGCAGCCGTCTGATCGTAGTACCAGAACGGCTGGCTCTGGTACGACGCGTCGTGCTGTCGCAAGAACGCCTCGTATTTGCCACCTGGATCCCCGTAAGCAGCAGCAACCGACGCGACGTGCGGGAAGATGTCGTCAATTTTCTCCGTCTTGGGGTTTAACTTCATGGTGTAATCGAGTGCGTCTTGAATAGTGGTCCCGTATTTGGATTTCGTCGTCCAGTAATTCACTCCCAGTTGGTCTCCAAGCTTGGCATTTGTCTGTACGAAATATCAGAATCATTTGGTACCACTTTCGTAGGATCAGAGAAGACCGACAATCATCGCCTCGAGATTGAAGCATCGGTAGTGATATGGGCGTGTTCGCACAGCCTGTACCTACATCAGCAAAGGTAGCCATCATTGCCTGTTTTGCTTACCTCGAATGGCTGCTCCCCGGACTTTGCAATCTGATCCTTAAATTGATGGGTGAAGTAGTAGTCCAACGAAGTTCGCGCCCCGCTGAGATCACCTTGGAGAATCTGTACGCTAACAAACTGTGAATAGAAGAAGGTGCCGTGGTTGCTACCAGCTCGATCTCGTTAAATAATCGGTCTGTGGCAAGGTACCGCGACTGCCTCACTTTGGTCTCGATGCTGCTTTAGTGGCGACAGGAGCACTTCCCAGCCAGCTCGCGTATGTCTTCGACCACTGGAGCAAACCCTGGTCACGATCGTAGGTCCAATCGCTGCTCCCAGTACCTCGTAAGATGAGAACGGCGTTGACGATCTTGACCACGCCACGTAAGTCCAAGATCCCAGTGAATGTCCCTTCCTGGCCACTTGCGTCTGGACCTCGTACGACTTGACCGAAGTTGAGGTTAGGGTTCATCTTGGTATCTGAGTCAAGAAAGAAGGTATCAAGAAAGGAGGCAACACTCTGGGAGTAGTAGGTCTGCCTCGTCAGAGCATAAGCGATGGCGTTGTACAGAATCGACTGGGATGCGTCGTTGATAGCTGTAGGCCCGCGCAGTGTTCGTACGTCAGGATTGGTCTTTCCATCGCGCGTTACGTATGGACAGGTTGTCCAAGCTGTTGATGTTCTCGTCAGGATTCACACATAATACTTGATAAACTACAAGGTGTTACATACTCGCGCTTAGTGCCATGCTTTTGGTGGGAGAAGGTGTGCATTTTGATTTGGAAGTGTGGGCTGGATCCTGAGCTGCGGTCGGAGACCCGTCTATTGTCCGGTACGATGTTGGAGAGGTCATAGGAGGAGGCCTCGCCTGGCTGGTTAGATCCGATGCAGACATAGTGGTCGGTGCAGCGGCTAAAGACGTGGGCGACAATGACGACGGTAAAAACGAAGAACTCGGATAGTCTGCTGACTGGGAGCTGGTGGCTTGGCCAAGAGCATTCATGTCAACGCCGACGAAGTCACGATTTGATCCAGGCGAGACGCTGCTTTGCTCAATGATTATAGAACCATTGGCCTCGAGCGTCACGTCAGGAAACATTCACTTTTAAGGAAACGAAGCATACCATATTCACGAAGTACATAGTAGGGTGTGGGTCAAGAGCAATCTCTTCTGCGTAGGGGTCCTCGTCTTCACTAGGGCTGTCGCCATCGTCTGAAGAGGTTGGAGAGCTAGCTGGAGCGCCAATAGCACTGGATCCAGATTCGGGAGCGATGCGCTGATTGCCTCCATTACACCAATTACAGTCTGGCCAGTGACTGAACGGAAACCGGTCAGCTAACAAGCGGATGAGGAAGCAAATGAACAATTACTATGGAGCCCAGCTTAGATAGTCGTGAGGATCTTGGCTGGGTGGGAGGACATCGACGTTCGTGACGCCTGCTCGCTGAGGTAAGCGATTTTTATCATACAAAGAGCTGAATGTACTTACTCCAAGGGCCCTTACGACCCGTGTTATACGCACTCTTGACAATCTTTTCCTGAGCATCACGAGTCGCTGATGAAGGTGAAAGCCCTGTTACGTAGTGTATATTGACCCAGTCGTTGGAATCAGCTGAAAGGGAAGTATTAGAATTAGTAAGCGACAATCAAGGGTGCAGACTGACCTAGAGCTGAAGGAACGTAGACGATGGCCCATGCAACAGTGGTGAGTAGGGTGAGCATCATTTCAGCGTATGTAACGGAAGAATAGAGGCTCGAGAGTATTTAAGCGCATTTGAGACGGGACTGAGGCACCGAAAGATGAGGAGGGGCTGGGTAGAGACATGCATGTTGGAAGAACATGGGATGAACGGGCGAGATCAGAATGCATAGACCGCAATACCGTTGTCCGTGCGCTACAGCTCAACCTGGGATGAAACAGGGTAGTTTGCCTCAATTCCTAGTTTTTCGCTACGCGTTTCGTCAGCTAGCGGAATACGTACTATGTTCCAAAAAAAAAAAGTAAAAGTTGGGAGACCAGCAATAAAGAACTCGTCTGTCACATGTTTTTGGTTTCAACATTGGCCCAAGCCCAATCAGGGTGCACGGAAGGTATTATTATTAGCCCCTGAATGACGGGGAGATTGACGGGCGGCAATAAGTGGGTCCCGGCTATTATGTCGCTTGCACTTTATAAGTATGGGGACTGTGATTAATACTACTCCGCAACAACTTGAATAGCCTACCAGATGCACTCGCTGTCTCCGTTCCAGCCAACAGCAGCTAGCCTGCCTCCAAAAGGCGCCACGTATCTGCAAAAGCAGGTTCAAGGGATCTCCGTCAACCATCATGCCCTCGTACGACCGTGACTCTTCATTATGCAGGCCCGGGGCTCACTATCACACAGAATCCTCTCTCGTTCATCCTGCGTGCAGCTACTGTCTATCCGGACCGCATAGCGCTCCTTCACCCGGATGTCAAATATCCCGTTCAATACACCTTTCGCGTCTGGTCCGTCGTTCCGAATACCTGATACCTGGCTAAAAGGCTCACGCATGTCGCGTTGTAGGGCACAGAGGATCCAGAACCTCGCATATGCTCTCATTGAAGCTGGTATCAATCCCGGGGACAGGGTTGCAGTCATAGCTCCCAACTGGTAAGCTTGCAAGATCCATGCCAAGGTCCCGTTTGTCACCATCCCTCCCGCATCATTCAGCCCGATGATAGCCGGTGCGTGACTTCAAGCTTCACCATAGATTACCTAAATCTCAGCTCAAACCTACCCCAAGATGCTCACCACGGTGTCCTCGGTGCCCGTGCCATCTTCACCCCTATCAACACCCGCCTCACACCTCCCGAAGTCGCGTATATCCTAGAGCACAGCGGAGCGAAGCTCATCCTTGTTGACCAAGAGTGTACCCATCTCATTCGCGGGACGACTATACCCACTATCGTCAGTAATGATACTGGTAGGGACGATGATCCCTATGAAGCCTTTTTGGCAAGCGGAAGACGCTTCAGTAGGGAGAGAGGCTGGATGGGCTTAGACGTAGAGCGGGACGAGGACGCGGGTGCTGTTCTCAATTACACGTAAGTTAATGTTTATCTTTTGTCCTCTGATAGGTTTGAATGTTGTGCCCTCGACTTGAAAAGGTCCGGAACGACGGGGAAGGTGAGCTCGAACTCTGTTGACGCGGGTTCATGCTGACCATTCGGTAGCCAAAGGGCGTGCTCACGACCTTGCGAGGTGAGTTGTAAAGGAAAGACCAAACACCCCATCACTCAACGCGCCTTGTTGTCAGGATCTTACCTTGCTGCTGTAGGAAATGTAGTAGAGGGACAGTGAGTCAAGCAAGTTATGATATTTCGCGCGCTGAAATCCTGCAAAGGATGAACAAGGAGTCTACATATCTTTGGTTAGCGTTCGTCATCGCATATTCCTACGAGGATCATTGACAGCAATGTAGGATTCTTCCGATGTTCCACGCCGCGGGATGGACTTATCCATGGGCAAATGTGTTCGCCTGCGCAAAACAGGTCAGAAAAGCACAATACAGCTTTAAATGTATTCTTTGTAACAGTGTTTTCCAAGGTCACGATCAGAAGTGTTGATTACAATGCAATTTGGAGACACTTCCTCCACTCAAGGGTCACTCACTATTGTGCAGCTCCTACTGTGCAGGTACGAATATTTCTTGGGCTTTTACTTTTGTCTTTACACCTGTACTCTATTAGATTGGCATCGTGAACCACCCGGATGCTCGACCGCTACCACAGCCTGTGACTGCCATTATTGCCGGGGCGGCTCCTACTGCGCAGTTGATTGGTCAGCTCGAGCAACAAGGTATCAAACCAGTTCACGTCTATGGCCTAACGTGAGTCAATCTTGAGTACTTTAGTTTGAGAGACCCACCAACTAAGCGCCCTTCCCTAGAGAGGTGCACCCGCTCCGCTTTTCCACCGTTTTCCCCCTAAACTCATGCATCCCGTTGTCAGACCTACGGTCCGTTTACACGATGCTACGACCAAGATTCGTGGTCGTCGCTCTCACTCGAGGACAGGGCAAAGCTCATGGCACGCCAGGGCCAGAGCTTCGCCACTGCCCAGGAAGTTCGCGTGGTGTATCCACCACGGCACGATAATGACCAGGAACTCATTGACGTGCCGAGGGATGGGAACACCGTGGGTGAGATTGTCACCCGTGGCAACATTGTCATGAAGGAGGTGCGTTGATCTAGCATCGGTCGCTGCCATAATCATGAGGCCGACTGCTGTTCCAGTATTTCCGCGATCCGGACGCGACGAAGAAAGCTTTCAGAGGCGGCTATTTCAACTCTGGGGATCTTGCGGTAATGTACCCAGACGGCGTCGTTGCTATCATGGACAGGAGTAAGGACCTCATCATATCTGGTGGAGAGGTGTGTGAGATGCCTTCGCTAGAGCGTGATCAATCTTGACGTCCTTGACTCTCTGAAGAACGCATCCAGCTTAGCTATTGAACAAGGTAAGAGCGTTCATGAGGCAAACCGCATATGCCATCCTTGTTCAACCTTTTTACTTGATAGAACTTGCTGCTCATCCGGATGTCCTCGAGGTTTCCGTCGTGGCGAGAGCCCATGAAAAGTGGGGCGAGCGGCCGATGGCCTTTGCAATCTTACACCCTGAGCGCAGTTCCAAGTGGGAAGGAAATCACGACGCATTCGTTGCTGACCTCAAGAAGCATGCTCGCACCCGTCTACCAGGCTTCGCGACCCCGGAGTGGGTGGAGGTCGTTCAAGAGCTTCCGGTAAGTTTATCATATATTCAGCGTTCCTGCTTTCAATCAGTGTGACACCTTCGCACAGAAAACATCCACGGGCAAGATCCTCAAGACCGCATTGCGCAAGCGGGTAGCCAAGTTGTGATAAATTGCTGGTGGTAAATAACATGCACTGCAGTTGATATAATGTGAATAATATGCTGTGGAAACAATTCCTATATGCTCGTGTAATAAGATAGCCGAACCAAGCGTCCGTGACGGTGGTCGTGATCATGACGTTTCCGGGCCAAGTCGTAATATCCTAAATGCCCCTGCGTTGCGCTCGCAGAAATAAATCTCGTCCTCCTTGCGACCCATGAAAAGGAACGCGTCCGCAGACTCGAGTTCGCTGTCGGTGGTGCCTCCAAATTCGGAGCGAGAGGGAGACTTGCCGGGCGTATGATTTGGCTTCTTGCCTCCTTTCATTCTCTGCGTCAGTGCCGCCGCCGGATTCGACGACGATGCAATCGGAGTTCCGATCTTCCACACGAACGGGCTGCGGCGGTTGGTGTTCGATGGCGGGGGTGTGTAATTAGGGAGAAGGGTACGAGACTCGTCCGCGGGCTTCAACAGTGCATCACCAAAGTCCATGGCTTCCAACCCGCCCTGTCTCATGGCAACAATGACGGAGCGTTCCTTGACATCAAAGGCTTCCAGTCGCTTCACATCGCCCATTTTGAACACGGACTTGGAGTCATCCTCAGGATCTGCGCTCCACACAAACTTGCCCTTGATGATAGAACGCCCACGAGCATCCACGATGGATGTGCTGTGACCACCCCGAGTAGAGAAGAACAACGCAGGGGGACCAAAATGCCGAGGCTGCACGAGGAGCGATATTGGGGCAAGCAGGGGCTTGGAAGCATGAGGCATGGGCAAAGCTGTTTGAGTAGTGACGGGCGGTGCGGCAGTTCGGAAGGGATGCACGGGATCTATGCACTGTTGCCGGAGTTCCCTTAGGAGTATGTAGTCTTCGTCCTCTTCCTTGCGCACCGGTAGATCTGGAGGAAGCAAACCCTCTTTGTACCATGACTGCATTAAAGTCGCTTTCCATGGACCTTCATCTGCTGTGAGTACGCAGGCCAACAGAAGGAAGATAAGGCCTACCGTGAATATTGCCCTTGGGATCCTTGTAGAACCACTTACACGGCGGCGAGGGAGCAGGCATGGGTAAACCAGGAGGTGAAAATTGGATGCTAGCAAGGTCGTTGACGCTCGTGTCCGGTTCAAACTCAGAGCGATAGTCAAGGAAATCGGGATAAGTGGGTGGTATAATATAATCGTCTGCGATTGAAGCGAGCGGGAACTTGGGAGCAAACGAGAGCTGCTGGAAGGTCGTGTAAGGGCCTACCTGAGCAGAAGCCAATGCTACTAACTCCTCGGCGTGAGCCAGAGCGGAGCCATGTGTGCTACCCGTTGGCGTGTTGGTCGCATCTGTTAACTGAATATCGGAGTTACTAGGGCGATCTTCCGCGGGATGAGGAGGGGTTAATCCGATACTGATGTTGACGTTGGTCTCTTCGTCCTCCGCGGGTGGTGGATCTGTATCAAAGACATCGTTGTTTTGTCCTGAGCGAATTTCCCTGACTCTCCGACGCGCTGCTCTGCGTTCAGCTCTCCCAATTCGGACCTCGCGAACTCTGACCGTGGCAGGCTCCAGACCAAATACGTTCTGAGGGAAGACTAGGAAAACCTCCACTAGGTCATCCCCTTGCAGCTGGAGTTCGAGGGAGCGTGGTGAGTCGGGAAGGATGAACGTCCGAGAGAGACCTAGTGCTGTTTTGTACGTGCCAGCGAAGAGCTCAACCTTTTCCCCGTTCTCGCCACAGAGAATAGCCAAGAAGCTGGCCGAGAAATGAGCATTGAGACCATAATAGAACAAACATTCTGATATACCTTTTCTTGGGCGTTTCAACGGCCTTGATGAGCAAAGAGCCTTTCGTGCCAGGTAATTTGACATATTCCAACTTGGGAGGGGGTATATGAGGGATAGAAGGTGTTTGCGAGCCGGTCTTCTTGTGCTCATTTTCTAATCCCTTGATATTTAATGCAATGGGGCGTTCTTCCGAACGTCTAGGACCGAATGCACCACTAAAGAAGCGTGAAAAACGGGAGGAAGTAGTAAATGGGGGAATAGAGGGAACAGGAGGTGTATCTTGGGTCGGCAGAGACCTCGGAAGAGAAGGAGCACCGGTATGACCGCTAGCAGTGGAAGGTCGGCGGGGTTCTGAAGTACGATGGTGATTAGACTGGCGAGAGCGATTGGACATTGACCGAGTGAGCGGTCGTGTTTCGACCTCGGTAACTGTTTGAGACGCAACAGAGGTTGGGGAAGCAAGCGGACTTTCCATGGCATGCATATCTTGATCTTGAGATGGCCCAGTGAGGATATTGCCGAGGACAGACCATCTACGGCGTCTCCTAGTCACGCTGGGTCTGCTGTGCGAGGACTGGGCGTCATTGGTATGGATACTTGTTGATGGTTCATCGTCAGCCTCCCTTGATGATCGAGTCGTATTAAGGAGAATCGGCTCTTGCGGTTGTACTGAGCCGGCCGGGGGTAGTTCTGGTGACCTACTTTCCATGAGAGCCTGGGCAAGTGTGATACGCTCTCGCACAACCGGGCGCTCGTCTTCCTCGTCGTCATCCCCTTCTGGGGCTGCGCCTGCGCTCCTTTCCGCTCCAGCCTCATTTGCAGGGCCTTGGAGCAGGGCTTGCCGGAGAGTGAGTAAGTTAGGAGAGGGAGCAGGGTCGGGTATGGTATTGGCCCGGGATCGCGTAAGGTCTAAACTCCCGGGACGACCCCGCCGATTCCCTTGTAAAGTTTGACTTCGTATTGGCAACGGACGGGAGGCTTGAGTTTCCTCCCTAGATGCACTATCTCGCGCTGGAAGGATCGCGCTTGTTCGTTCATCCAAGGCCTGGCCGCCACTCGCACCAGCAGTTAGCACATCAATGGCGTCGCCATCATCACTTCCAGTCTCCATCCAGGCACTAGCTTTCGAATCTCTGCGTTCCCTCGAAGGTCTTTCTTCTGCACTTGTGCCAGGAAGGGGAGGAGTAGGCGAACGCGCGGGAGGAACCACCACATGAGACACTGAGGAACCTCGGGGTCGTTCAATGCTGATGGACACAGCTGATGGCTGGTTCCGCAATCTGGGCCGAGTCGAGTCTGCAACAGTTGAGTAAGGCGGGGGACGCCCCATAGGAGGGAGGGTTGCAGAAGGCTGCATTGTCGGCGGCCTAGGTTTCTTGGGAGTGGCGGGAGTCGGTGAGATACCTTGCGAAGGCCACCGGGTGAGCTTTGAAGGACGAAGAGGTTCTGACGGTGCAGTTGAAAGAGAAGCTTTGCCTCTCCGTTCAGAGGATTCACGATAGTCGAAGCCAGAGCCTACTGAACCGCCGCGTTTCGACTCTTCCCTACGGTACCTCTCTCGTTCCTTACGAACCTCCATGTCTATCCGCCATTCGACGGCCTTCTTGACTTCCTCAAGAGCATATACCCTGACGCCATCTCTGCGACCAGCGATGGCGACGAGGACGCCTCTGTGCTCCATGACGACGACGGACTTGAAACTGACTCTCCGGATGAGGGCATATGGCTGGGGTGCGGGAGGGGAGACAAGGGGAAGGACATCGAGGCCCTGCTGGTGGCAGAGAAGGAGGTAATGTGGAGCGAGAAATGTTCCGCTAGTTGGGGGTGCGGTGAAGTGGGAGGGAGAGAGATCTTGAGTGAGTGCTGATAAAGAGAGGCCGAGCTCGTGCAGGGTGGGTGGGGGTAGCGACGGCGGTGGGGTAACGGGCCGGGTGGGAAGGGGCGAGGAAGAGCGAGAATTAGCTTCCGATGGCTCGTTGCCGGCTTCTTCTTGAATCGGGCGGGTCGAGGGAACGCCGAGCGGCTCGCGACGGTGGATCAGATTGGAAAAGAAGCCAGAGAGCCGATTAGCAGACGACCGAGGCTGCAACAAGGCGTGGTCAGAACAGGCGTGTTAGAAGCACAAACAGGGAATATGGGTCAGTGGATAGGCTGTTTACCTCGGCGCGGCGAGCATTCGGTCTCGGAGTTGGACCATTACCGGCTGCGATAGTGGTGCGGGTGGTCGAGGTGGCAGGTGTGAGCCTGGATTCATCTGACAGGTCGGGCGTTCGGGCAGCAGAACGAGCTGTGGAAGGGCGAGTGGGAGAAGAGGGTGGCTGGGAAACGTGGACAACAGGAAGACTGTGCACGCTGACAGCATCAGGGTTCTGGATGGAGGGTGGGGAGTGAATGGGATGGTCGAGCATGGGTACTGGCTCGGCCTTTGGTGTTGCGACCTTGAAGGCGGTCGGAGAGGACGGCTGGTCAAGGCTGAGATGAGGCTCGTCGACGTCTGTGTCGGCGTGCGAGTCGTCTGGGTGTGGGTATGATGGGTCCGCTACGGAATCGGACTGGCCTGGGTGGGCGGCATCCGTCGTGTCGATCGAGGGCTGGCTGTCGTCATCATGGCCGTCGAGCATGGACGTGGCGGAGTGAAGGTGTCAAGGAGAGGAGGAGATGGAGGGAATATTAATGAAGGTGGCGAGGGGACAGAAGGACGGGAGGACGGGGGACGGACAAGGCTGGCCAAGAGAGGGAATGGGAAGTAATTAAATTACTGTACAGAATGCAACAAATCTAAAACCAAGGCCTGTGGTCAGACCGGCAACGCGGCCCTCTCACGCCACGCAATCACATATTAATCATCCCAATTACCTACTTAGTTATGTGGTCTTCACCATCAATTGCAAAACCCGGTCAGACATGCTCGCCCTCCACCGCCTCCGCCGTTTTCCCCGTCTCCCCGCACCCCGCTATGCTCACAGCACGCCCTCTTTTTCCCATCTCAACGACGTAGAGCAGGTCGATATAGATCATTTTCGGTCGATTCTCCCCTCCTCAGCTGTTCTTTCTACTTTCCCTCCTGCATCAAACTCTTCAGACGACCTCGCTCCCTACAATGTCGACTGGATGGGAAAGTACTTTGGCCATGCTACTTGCGTTCTCCGTCCACGCACAACGCAGCAGGTCAGCGAAATTGTGAAATACTGTGCTTCCCGCCGCATTGGCATTGTCCCGCAAGGAGGCAACACTGGCATGGTCGGAGGCAGTATCTCACTTCGCAAAGAAATCGTCCTTAGCCTGGGTGCCATGTCAAATGTTCGTTCTTTTGACCCCGTCTCTGGTAACACAATGCTACTCTTCTTCCCCCTCCTATCACTCACCCTTGTCCAATTTCCGCCCTTCTCTTCTTTTAGGCATTCTTGTCGCCGATGCTGGATGCATTCTTCAATCTTTGTCAGACCATATCGCTCCCCATAAGCATATCATGCCTCTTGATCTCGGGGCCAAGGGAAGGTGTGCTGTCCCGCCATTGTTCTCAGGACATTCGCTCAGCTTCCCATAGTTGTCAGATTGGAGGCAATGTTTCGACCAATGCCGGTGGTCTCAGGCTACTCCGCTATGGTTCTCTGCACGGGAATGTTCTTGGGATAGAAGCCGTTCTCCCGGACGGCACGATCCTTGATCAGCTGAGCGTCCTGCGCAAGGATAATACTGGTTAGTACTCATCAGTGCAAGGCACGTTCCGAGTTCATCCAGTCGCAGGCTATGACATGAAGCAACTGTTTATCGGCGCGGAGGGTACACTTGGTATCGTCACTGGCGTGTCTATCATGGCGCCTCCGGCACCTCAGGCGTCTAACAACCTCTTCCTTGCTCTTCCGAAGTTCGACAATGTCCTTCCACTTTACCAGCAAGTCAAAGGACAGCTCGGCGAAATCTTGTCTGCATTCGAGTACATAGATCGCACGGCATATGACATGGGTGTCAAGCACGGTCTCGGTCCCATTCTTAACCTTGACGAAGTAGGCGATGCCGAGTGCTTCGTTCTCGTAGAGACCAGTGGTGGGAATAACACTCACGACGAGGAGGTCCGCCTTTATCTTAACTCCGCCCCGCAAACATCTGACTTGTCCCATGATCGCTCTAGAAACTAAACATTCTTCTCGAGTCGCTCATGTCGGCCGATGAGTCGCTCATTAATACCGGTGTCTTGTCTCAGTCACCAGGCCAATTTGAAAACATCTGGGCACTTCGCGAGGGTCTGACTGAATGTGTCCAGAAGGAGGGGAAGCCCTACAAGTATGACGTCTCCGTTCCTCTGACCGACTTCCAGAAGGTTGTCGACCAAGTACGTGAGCGGATGATATCCAAGGGCCTGTATGGCGACCATGGCATCACAAAGGTCATGGGCTACGGTCACGTCGGTGACGGTGAGTGAAACCTGAGATCATATATTCAGTCGTGCTGATATTCCACTTACAAGGCAACCTTCACCTGAACGTCATTGCGAAGAATGGGTATCGACCTGAGTTGGAGGAGGCTTTAGAGCCATTCATCTACGAGGTTGTTGGTAAGTGCATCAGACCGAAGAGGAGGCGTGGTTCTGATATCTTCAAAAGCTTCGCACAAGGGCTCTATCTCTGCTGAGCACGGGATCGGGTCTATGAAAACCGACGCGCTTCGGTACTCGAAGAGCGATGTCAGCATACAATGGATGAAAAAGATCAAGCAGGTCTTCGATCCTCTCAATATTATGAACCCTGGCAAGGTTCTACCTTAGATCTCCATATTTATTGGAGAATGTGCTGTATATATATTGTGATATACGTTGGTAAATATCTACATAGAATAAATCTAGGTTTTTGTCAGCGTGCTTCACTCATGCTCACTCTCGTGTTTCGCTGTGACCTGTGGCGGTGGTTTTTGCCGTTGTTTGTTGACCAAACAACCCTAACCTCACACGCGGGTTCTGACCCCATCTAACCCCAACCCCTCCCTGTGGTTACACCCTAGGCCTCTGCACCCCCTTCGCTATGGTACGGATAGAGCGTTCTTTGAGCAGCTCCATCTGCTTACGATATGTTGTTACTGTTATTCAGCCGATATTCCAAGACGCAAACGGACTTGCCGTCAAGTTTTTCATCCAGAAGGACATCCCACAGGAAATTCAAGCCGAGCTATGTGAAACCATAGCGGTGAGTTGGTAGAATTGTTTGTTGCGCTAGTCGCTGACCTCACGAAGGCGCTGGGAGGCCGCGTAGAGTCCAAGGTTCCCAGACAAGGCCACGTCCTTGTGCAACCAGGCACCGCAGAGGAAGAGCGCTTGCGCCTGTGCTGGACGAGCATAGATCGACCAGAACGGCACTTCGTGCCGTACACCTATGTCGAGGCATGCAAGATTGCGGGAATGCTCCTCAAGCAAATATTCGTTCACGAAGGAGAGCCTGTTAAGATGCACATTCACCCGAGCATCGCCAACGTCAATGCCCGGGCCGCGCTCAGTCAGCGAATCATGGTGCGTTATGCTTGCTACGAGCACATCAACTCTTGCGGCGGTATTGATGTGTATCGTATATGTAGCACTCGGGAGGGGATCCGACAGCCTCCGCTCAGTCTGCCCGTGTTATTCTTGCGGACCCTAACACGGAGGTGTTTCAACACCTCGTCAAGTCAAACCAAGGAATCCCTGACAAATACATTGAGTCATACCTGTGGGTCAAGAAGTGTATCGAGAAAGGGCAACTGGTATACACCCCACTGGTTTACAAGAATCCAGGTGGTCGACGGCCAGGCGAAGAGTACGTGCTCATTCCCTTCCCGCTTAAAACAGTTACTTTAATCCTCAAATCCAATCATAGACGCACTCAATTTACCGAGGAAGATGAATTGCACCTCTGCGAATGGATAGCAGCCAAAATTCCCTATAAGGAGACGGGCGGGCGAACTGGTAACCGTTTGTACCAACAACTATGCGAACAGCACGCCGACCCCGAGTTTGCTTGGGTCACTCGACACACATGGCAATCTTGGCGGGAGCGATACAAAAAGAACTCGGTCCGATTGGACAACATGATAGGTGCTATCGTCGACCAGAAGAAACCAGTTCCGGGTGAAAAGGGACAGTACGGTTACGTTCGCAAGGCCGAGGAAAAGCCAAAACGACCCCGCAAAAAGCGCGAAAAGCCCGTCGATGAGCCTCAGGACCAGATTATCGGTAGTCATGGAGAGGGGCTCATGGTAATGAACATGCCTCTCGAACATCTTGAACTGCACCCTGTGCCTGTGCCAGCATCAACCTCTGCCATACTGGCACGGAGATCCCCAGCCGAAGAAGAGGACGGGGAGGAAAGCCCCGATTGGGGCGTGCGGATAGGCGCTGACCCTCCACCGTTATGGGCTAAACGCAAAGCCAGCGAAGAGCCAGAAGAGCAAGGGCCTAGCAAGAAGCGGCGGACAGAGTACGTTGTCTTTGATCATCACTGGGAGAATTGCTTACATTACTTGCTAGAGAACCAGCCATATCTATACCACTTGGCTCGATTTCATTCGGTCAACGCTCGGAAATGCCCCCAGACGGCGGCTTACATGTCATTGATCAGACTTTACGAGAAATCGCAGCGGACTACCGATTCACTGTTGAGGAAGTCAAGGAATTCTATGACAAGTGCGGGGAGATGGAACGTACTAGGGAAAGGTTCAGACGGATGAGGACAGTGCTTGAGCAGTTGGAAGATTCATAGTCATAAGATTGACAAGGGTTGTATATACTAGGTTATGCTAACAATCACATTATATCTACCTCACTTAGCAGTTTGTAGTCGGCTGCTCTCGCAGGGGCCGATGGACTGTCGAACGGCTTCTTTCGTCTGTCAAAGTAGTAAGCCACTCTGCTCGCGAGAAAAAGGCGAAGGACCAACTTTTCTCCAGCAGCAGCCGAAGGGAACGAGCCGAACATGTCAGGATGCTTCGGGAGTGGTGATTCACTGTTACATTCGAAGCGTTAGCGTGATATCACTAGCAAAATGAGATGTACTGACGTGAAATAAGGATGTTGTAGGGCCTCTGCTGCCGTAATCCTTTGCTCAGGATCGTAAGTAAGCAGCGACATCAGCAGGTCGAGGCCAGCAGTACTAAGGTAATGGAATCTCTGGCGAAATTGCGGCGGGATGGGCGGAGGTAGAGTAATAGTCTTAGCCAAGGGTAGGGATGAGAAATCTGGCCAAGAGCCGTTCGTCGGAGGACCAAGCAGTTTGAAAATCATCGATAACAACTCAATTTCGCCCTTGGCTTGAAATAGGGGTTCTTTAAGCAATAGCTCAGCGAAGATGCAGCCTACAGACCACATGTCAATGGCGGCAGAGTACGTCGTTGCACCTAGGAGTATCTCTGGTGCCCTAGAATATTACGGTGAGGTCTTGTTCAAAAATCCTGAGAGGAATTGCTTACCTGTACCAAAGTGTAACCACGAGCTGAGTTAGTCCACCGACTCCGACAGGATCTCCATAACGTCTTGCGAGACCGAAGTCTGCCACCTTGATTGTGCCTCTGTTATTCATCAATAAGTTGCTCGTCTTTAGATCGCGATGCAGGATCCAGTTCGTATGACAGTGGGCGACCGCGGATAATAGTTGCATCATCAATGTCTTGATCTCAGACTGCAGAAACGGAGACGGCATGAGTGTGAGGAGTGTTTTGAGGTCGTGCTCTATGAAGTCCATCACAACAAACACTCTCGAGCAGGTGAGCCGACTGGGTCAAAACAGCATGATATGGACATACTGAGTCAACGTTTCGCCGACGACCACTTCTCGTATTCGCACAACATTCTCGTGCCTACAAGACATGAGTGCATTGACTTCTCGGAGAGCAGTGATTGGGAAGCCATGTTTCTCCTCTTCGAGTTTCAGCTTCTTCAGAGCAACAATATCTCCTGTCTGCTTGTCACGAGCACGGAAAACAACGCCATACGAGCCTTCCTCAATCTGGTTGAGACGCTCATAACAGTAAACTGAACGAGAAGGCGTTATCGACGGGTGATGAGTCCGTGGTGGCACGAACAGGCTAAAGGACGGCTGCAGTCGCGACTGTCGCGGCGTGTCTGGAGGGATGCTGGGCGTTTGGGAGGATAGACGGCTAGTGTCAGAGGTTGCCGACCTCGCCTTTACGCGTCGTTTCATAGCATTATGAGACTGGACATCATGTGGTGACTCCTCGTCCCATTTGGACCGTTTACGCGAAGGTGTGGATGATTCTGGTTGTAAGGACATGGTTGTGATGTATCAAGCACTACGAAGCATGGACCGGTACTTCTTTCCGTCAAGAAACGCGGATAGCCGAGCCACGAAGTTTACGCTGCGAGGTTGTCAACCTATCATTATTACTGCAGAATACCCATGCTAGCCCTATGTCATCATACTTCCCATGTATTCTAAGCACCTAGACCCCGTACTTGAACCTCTAAACATTTGTGAAGGTTGTGATGAACCTCCCCTACGTGCCACTCGTCCCCGTCTGGCGATATTTTCGTCCCTCTGAGGAAGGGCTCAACGCAAACTTGTCCTATTGCATTGAACATGTCTTCTAATATCCACGTCAAAGTGGGACCAGTCATTTCGATGGCAGGCTCAGCGTTGACCTCTAACAACTTGACCTGGAACGGGAAACGACTCTCCTTACAGTCTGGCTCGTGGGAGACCAGAAAATCTACGCCATATAACTCGAAGGCATTCGGTAAAACCTGGCAGTGTTCAATGTTCAGTTGGGTCTGAGGTCACAATGTTTGACGACGTACTTGGAAGTGAACAGGCATTTCTAGGGCAGCTTTGAATGTTTCAGAGAGAACATCTGCCATTTGTTGTAAAATCAGTTCGATATCTTGCTGAGTAAGCATTCTTCGTTTTCCATCACCAAGCCCTGACAGTACGTCGCAACCGATTAAGTCGTTAAACAGTCGTACGCCCTGTTCGCCCCTATGCATTTGCAAGCAGGTGTTGGTGAGGTGTGCTGCGAGATCTGAAGGTAGCAGCCGATCTTCATGAGCTTGCTCAGATGGAGAAACATAAGGCACGCTAGAGAACAGCGCCAAAACCCTAGTGTACATGTACACTGTCAAACTCCCGGAGGCAATGCAATAAGTACGCAGGTGGAACTGTCAACCTAGGTTAATAAGAGAGCGAAGGCCTGTAAGAAATACAATTCAACTTTGTAGCCTTGCAAAGCATCACTCCCGGCCTTCAAAGATTGTGACGGATCCATGAGAAGAGGAGTCGGTAGGTATTTCTGATAACGACAATTAGATCAGGGGAGCACGAGCTGGTCGCAGACATTACTTGGATGACAAAATGACGGAGCTGAGAAACCATCACTGAGGTAGACTCATCGCCCTCTTCGTCACTGTCGGCGCTTTCTTCGAATTCTTCAAAGATATCTTGCAGGCCAAGCTTGCTGTTGAACATTCTTATGCCCATTCCTCGATCGGCCATGCCTGGCTTAAGAATCCACCAGTGCGACGGAGAGGCTTCAAGCTGATTGCCTAAGTCGTATAAGTCATCGGTCCACATCTCATCAAGCTCGTCTGCGAATGAGAGCTCGATATCCCAAGTCTGAAGCGTGCCATTCTTTAGTAGCGACTCAGGATGCTTGGTGAGATAATTCAATATACAACGAGATAAAAAATGTTTCCGAATGAGTGCTTTGCGGATGATATACGAAGAGGACAACACAGCTTGAGCGTTGTCATTGACCAGAGAATGTTCTATGGAGTCATAGGTGGACCATTGTATCAAGGTCGCGTAAGATGAAGGAATTGAGTCCACGACCTGTTCTGACAGCCCAAGGTTGTGCAACGATTTCTTTACCAGCGTGTCTGTGAGCGGGGCAGATGGCCACGAGACATAAGCTTTCGGCTGCTCGTTGATATTGGGCATCTATAATGGAACTAATGTCAGATAATGAGCCTGGTTGAAAAGTAGCGTAGTAGAGCGTAGTCCCCCGCGTACGCACTTTAAGTTGGTGTGCGAAGGGATCCAGAATATTGTTAGATGGATACGGGCCGGCGGCGTACACGCGCTATTCGGGTGACGAAATGGGCGTTTGTGGTAGCCTAAATCACGCCCAACCGGTTACAACTTACCACCTCCCCTGCTAGTGTCCGGTGCATATAACCTGGATATAAACACTCAACCTAGCAACATAAAATTGGTGTGTCGCTAACGTGCTGCTTAGGTATCACACTTCGTTGAATGTCCATCACTCGCTCTCTTCCTCAAAATCCGACATGGCTGGCTACTTAATGTCATTAACGCCGACCTTCACACAAGGGCTTGTCCTCGGCCAGCTATCTATCATTGTCGTGCTTTGGCTCATCCTCAAGTACTTGTTCTTGACCCAGTCTTCGGAGGCTTCCCCTCTTTATCATCCAATCCCAAAGCTACCAAAATCTGATGGACCTGCATACCAGCAAGCGGACGATTCAAGTGACAAGAGCTTAGAAGACACAGAGTCCGCTGAATGGTTCAACATGCTTGCGCAACAGGTGTTTCATCACGCATATACTTTACGAATACAGAGCGCTGAAGTTGCACAGATTACAGAGGTTTACCGCTCAAAATTGAGACAGGACACTCCCGGAGACGCAGGGGACGAGATTGCGAGACAGCGAATAGAAGAATTCGCCAACAAGATTCGTCCTGTCGGGCTTCTGGTTTGTCTCTTAAGCACAATGGCGTTTATGGCTTCTCAGGCGCGCTTTTAGGACCATATCTCCGTGCACACCGTCGATCTTGGCATCTCTGCCCCTCAAGTATCTAATGCTCGGGTGAACAAGAACGCTATATCCCAGGAATCAGTGAGTGTATTGTTAACAACATTTCTCCCGCAAACTCAGTTGTCCCACTGTCTCAGAACGTGCAGCTGGACGTCACCTATACAGATGTGGTATCGATATCACTCTCAACAGCATACCTCTTCAATTACCCTATGCCGTCATTTGCAAGACTTCCTGTGTCCATTACGATCGCTCTGTCATTATTCCAGGCCTCAGTACGTTATTTCTTAAGATATCTTTCGTCGCACTAAAATTGCCTACCCTCCTACATAGATAATATTAACGACTCCAGCACCTTCATCACCCATACCAACGCTAACTTTTTCGCTGCTGCCTGATTTTACTCTTGACGTCAAGACATCGTCACTAATGGGCAGTCGAGCTATGCTTAAAGATGTACCCAAACTCCATGAGCTAATTCAGCAACAAATACACCGCGTCCTGGCTACACGCGGGGTTTGGAGCGTCGTTCTTCCAGGCCTGAGTACTGTCAAAGCCGTCAAGGAGGAATTGCTAGGAAGTGGCAGCTAATGTTGTGTTAACGTTACTGTTGTCAATGTGTAATGAGCGTAATGCTATAATTTACGACTATTTAAAAAAACTAGAAATATATCTGCATGTCTGATGAATCGTCGTAGTAAACAGTTGGAACCGTCTGTCTGGCTGAAGCACAGCGACACGCAGCTGTCTATCTACTGCCTTCAATTGAGAGCCCACAGGTGGAATTGGATGATATATAGTAGCTATATAGAGGCTGGCATTGCAAGTTACTGGTGCAAATACCCGAAACATTATATCGAACAAGATGACATGTATGGATCAGCCCCTGTTAAAGCGTCTTTACTTCTGCCCAACGATGACCACCACCGCTTCAAATATCGTCTTTGACGATATCTTCACCATCAATTCGATCGATAAAGAAGGGAAAAAGTTCGACCGAGGTGAGCTGTGATGTGTCCTCTAAGGCACCTAATATTTGTTGATGACTTCCAGTGTCCCGACTTTTTGCACACTCTAAAAACTATGACATGGACATGACACTTGATTACAACACTGAGCTTTATCCACTTGCGAACGGGCAAAGCTTTGCTATGGCACTTGCATCCTCTCTCTCGCGGGAAGGTGGCCCCGCGAATGCCGATGGCGAAGAGAACGAGGAGGACAGGGATGCATGGCGTCCGGACGGAAAGGGTAGACGCGGGCTCGAGGAAGACTATGACTACGTGATGTACGGCAAGGTAAGCCGCCATGTCTTTAGTGTGATGCCCGCTCATATCATCGGAACCCTCTCTCAGGTTTATAAGTTCGATGGAGGCACCTCTGAGATTGTGTACGCCTCACGCTGGTGCCAGTGGATCTGTGGATATCTTGCTGATGAAGTTATGATACAGGACGGCTTATGCCTCGTTTGGTGGTCTCCTACTCTCGCTCACAGGCTCATCACGACATATGACAAATATTGTCCTGGGAGATCCCGTGTATATACTCCTTCGCAAATAATTGGCAGCTCGATTTTGAACTCGGATCCTTGAAGTGATGTGCGCCAGAAGTCTTGCCTTGTAAATCTGAGGTACCGGTGTGGCCATGGCGTATATTATGGAACAAAAACAGCTGTTGGTCAAAGATCCTGGGGTCCGTAGTTACGAAGGATCGTCAGCTTAAAGAGCAGACCATGTCATATTCGCTTCGAAAATCACAAACACGGGGATTCATTAAAGCGAGCAGTAAAATTGTATATATACAAGGGGATGATCTTTATCCTACACTGAGTCGTGACAGTCCCGCTCAATCATCTGGCGCGCATTGTCCTCAGTTGCGTCATCACGTCCTCTGTGTTGGCCTGCTTCACCACTCCACGCCCATCCACAAAGTGCCAGAATCGGCTCGGCTGGTCAAACTCAAATGTAGTCTGTGAATCCAAGTCGGCGGGCTGGACTGCCAAGGTGCCTGCAGAACTCAACAGCTTCAATCCGTTGGCGTCCTCAATGCCAAAAAATTTGGCCAGCTTCCTTTCCCGCCGGGCACGTGCAACGTAGGACTCTGAGCTCGTGCTTTCCGCAGTGGTAGGTCTGCGAGGCAATATTGGTCTTCTGGCCGGTCCAGACAAAGCGCCGCGGGTCCTACTAGATATTTCTACGCTCGGTGTGCCTGAAACAGGAGCGATGGAATTTGCCTGAAGCCTAGCAGGAGCATTCGCTCCCTCAGGTCGAGGTACAGCTGAGCTTGATGTCGCCTGAACATTGGCGGGGAGAAGTTCAGTAGCCAGAGGTGGGCCCTTGAGCTCTGATTGACCTTCTTTCGTTTCGAAGTCTAAGCTCGGGCGTCTCGCCGCTGTGAGCTGACCACGTGGCTTTACCCGATATTAGAAGTATTCCTTGGACTGCGCCGGAAAATATATATCAGCGTACCTGCGTTACTTTAGACCGTAGAGATTTGGATCTGCCATGGCTGGACGTGGATTCTATGCCCGTTGAGCTTTCCGCGTTATACGTTATATTTGGTGGTGACGTGGGACCCTCCCGTGGTCCGACTGTTAGGTTTCCATCCGAGGTTTCTCTAGGATTATCCTGGGAATATTGTCTCCTTGTCGATGTCGGGGGAGCGGAGATGAGTGATGGGGGGATCTCTTCACCTAAGTGCCTTCGTAGTTTAGCTAGCCTAGCGCACTTGATATTCTCCAGATCCACAGGAGAGGGTGCCACATCCTCGTCAAAGGTCTCGTCTGGGTATTCCCATAGAAGAGTAGACATGGGCCTTGATCGGGCAGGTTGAGAGGGTTGGGGTGAAGGATTATGTGCTGAAGAGGTCGATGGTCGGTCCGGGCCGGGCTGATCACGTTTGAGTGATGTTTGACCATTCCGGAGAGAGCCCTTGCGCGTTACTTTGCGAACCAGGCGTTTCCGTGGACTCATTGCTTCGTCCGTTTCATCTCCCGTGCTTGAGGGTTCTGAGGGGCTTAATCTAGGATGGCTGGTGAATAACCAGGGTAGAGGCAGATCACTGAGAACCTGGCTCAAGTTGCGCCCCCCTTTCGAGTGCCCACGCTTGAACCCCGTAGCCGATGATGTTTTGGAGGCAGTATGAGGACCTCTTAGTGTAGATGTAGCAATGTCTGTAGAGGACGCTGACGGCATGCCGACTGAGATGGTATCGGGTACAAGACGTTCAATGGACAAAACTGGCGACTGCTGATGGGGGGAAAGGAGGCCTCGACTAGCTGCGTATCCGACAAGATGGGGGGCACCTTGTAAGAGGCAGCGAGCAGCAGCGACTTACATTCCCTCGGCGGTATTACGCTGAAATGTACACAGCTTCCTGGTAACTGCGAACCGTTACCATCACCAATTCTATAGGATAAGTTTGCTGGATAAGCCTCAGAAATATGTCCAAAATACGATAAGCCCTGACTCACGAGGATACGTCGGATGAGGTGTTAGTGGGCTTAAATGGCGGGGCTCAGATGATCTGATCAGTGAGCATAACAAAGTGACGTTGATAACAAGCGCGTTATGCGGCATGTGGACATTCGAACACTTCCCATCCAGGACAAAGTTTGTGTGAGTAGCAAGATGTAAACTTAGCCTCGACGCGTCAGGTTACTCACAGGCGTGCCTGCCATTCAAAGGACAGAGGGCAGGTACCAGGGGAAAACATTGTAGGAGAACATGCATGACGGAAGTGCAGGTCCTGGAAGTGCCCGAAGAACGGATCCCCGGAAGAAAGACTTTGGCAGATTCTGCCCTGTCGGAATTCGGAATACTGGGCCCGCCCTCAACTGAGCGCCGAAATCTAAGAATCAGTGAATATACAGGCGTTGATGAAATATCGATGATCTGCAAATATTATTCTTGAAACGGACAGACCCATTTGAGCATATCTAGTGACCCAAACCTCATGCAAGATGAAGATCAACTGAGTAAATTACATCCGCGAGAGCTATAAATGACTGCTTCTGTTCATTACGCTAAATCAATGAGCTCCTAAGGTAAGTAGCATGGTATCAATGGTACTCTATGATAATGATAAGTCTCGTGCTCATGATGACTGTGATGCTGGCTCCTCCTGTACAAGGGGTGTGGTCCCGCTTGCAGGCGTATGCATATCCTCGTCTATAATGGTATCGTCACGACCGTCTCTTTTGTAGTGTGGTCGAGATAAAACAGCAGAAAGACGTAAGTCTGGCGGTAGTCGAACCAGAGATACCCTTTTGGCCGCCCGGGTCTTATCCCATTCCTCAGCTTGCTCTTCCACAGAAAGTTCCTCGTTCCCCACGGTGGGGGCATTGCCATCGGGAGTTTGCAAATCAAGGGATGTGTGGGCTGATGGATGACTTACGGGTCCAGGGAAAGGGTAAGCCCCTGGGTTGCTTTCATCGTTCTCCAAGATCGCAGGGGAGTCTGGGACAGTGAAAGGAGTTCTTCCCATTGGCGATGTCCACGCCAAACCGGAGTCAGAAGAAGCTGTGAGACAAGTTTGGGAAGTAGAGCGAGATGGTGTTTGCTGAGGAGCGTGTGGATCTGTGAGAACATCCCGAGAAGACGACGCCGAGTTGACGATATTGCTGCGACGTGTCTGTAAAGTGTGCGTGGCAGCCTGTAAGGCAATAGAGGTAGCTTGCTGAAAATCTTTCGCCTCGGCATCCATGTCCTTGGAAAGTACGTCACGGTGACAAGCCAACCGGGTCATTTCCAGACGCAGCTGCATGACTCGTTTTGAGACAGTGTTTATTGTCTGCTGCAGTCTATCCCGAGTGGCCTTCTGGAACGGGGTCATCCTGTCAATGTTGCGGACTAGTCGCATATCTGCCTCTAAGTTCGCTTCCGTGGCTAACATCTGTGACTCCAAGCTTCGCAAATAATCTGATACTGATGCAGCTCGCGTGGAAAGATGGGTGGGCGGGGCAGAATCCGTGTCGACAGATGATTGGGTAAGGCTGGATGTCTGATGCTTTAATTCTGGTGGTGTGGGATTCCGCTCCGCAGCTGCAAGTTCGGCTTTGACTTGATCAAAGGTTGCTTTGAGTTGTGACGCTCCGTCAATTTCTGGTGCAGCGGCCGACTCTAAATCAACCGTAAAAGCATGGTTCAATACCATGGTACTTCGTTGCACAGCGTCGTCACTGTCTGGTCCGTCTTCGTTTAAAGCCGAGTTGGAATCCCATGACCGCATCTTCGGTTGAACATGAGCTGCGAGCATTTGCAAGTCATGCAAATGAGACGTAGCCGCAGCCACCCCGGTCAGCTCGACTTCTTTGAGGGACATGCCTAGTGATCGCATCCGAATATTGCCTGTTTTGAAGGCGCTAGCATAATTGATAGCAGATGTCCACTCGTTCAGCTCCTTGTCATTGTATGCTTGGAAGAGGATGTGACGGCCCTCGGGCAAGACAAGACGGAAGGTATGATCATGCTTCATTGTTTAATTAGAAAAGATCACACACGTGTGAGTAGCCACGTACCTTGGTATAGGACTTGTCGTATACAGCTAGAATATTCTTCAGCGAGTACACATCATCTGGCTTGAACAATGCGGCTTGGATGACAGGTTTTATCGAAACAGCTGTTTGAGAGACAATCATGCCTGCCCAGGACGGATCACGGAAGAGAAGCAGTTGGGTCGCAGTGAGGATCACAGTCCAAGATCGCCACTTGCGATTGGGTTTTTTGCCCCCCTCTAGTATCTCGTCCTTCCTGTTGAGTATAGAAGCTTTAATGACTTTCAAGGTCCATACCTCCTTTGAAGGAGGGGCAAAATCGGGCAACGCTCCCACCATAGAAGGGCTTGGGATGCCCCCAACGGTCAGTCCGAAGAAAGCAGACGGGAGCCGAGGACTTTCAGATGAGGTAATGTCGACGATTAGAGGATGAGAGAACCTGTTCAATAGGAAGCCCTCGTCAAAACTGCTTCTCGCTCCTTGGGCTGAGTAAGGATTGTCGAGAGGGATTAGTGCCGGGACGTCGACGCGCAGTGGATCAAGAAGATGCTGAGCAAAAGGGAACGTAAGTAATTGAACGACATTAGCAGTTGACCACGTACATTTATAATAAGGTAGTAAGGATCTATCTTGTTCTTGCTGAGCAGAGTCGCGGTACTTGGAACCACAGGACTTGGCGACTGGCCATTGAGCAGGGTCTGTGAACGACTTATTGATCCGTCAGCCGCGGCCCCTGAGTCGAGAGGGTCTTCGATGAAAATGAAAGGCGCAAACACGATATTGTCATAGAAATACTTGACAGAATGAAGATCAATAGGTAGTGGAGAAACGCTGAGAATATTCCTTACGTCTAACATCTCCAATAAGACACCAGGTATTGTTGTGTTCTTGATATAGTCCGCTTTGGTCATCTTCCGTTTGTTTGACTTGTTGAAAGCATCCGTATGAAGCATGATTAGACTGAATGCCAGGATATACGGATGATCTTTCGAAGCAAGTCAGCGAGCTACACCAAAGAGGATTTGTAGGTGATACCTTCGGACGCGAACAAGCCAGGGTTGCATGACCGATAGCTTGAAGCAAATGCCTCCATGACTCGATCTATTTGCTGGGTTTCCCGAGGAAGTCCGACATGCATAAGGAGCCGGCGAACTGCTATATCCAGAGGATCTCCCCTAAAGTTGAAGCTGGCGATGTAATGATTAAGAGCATCGACGTAGAATCTCCCATTGCTGCATCTTTCCATAAGCTCAATATTCACCGAGTAAAGTTGCGGTAACGTTACCTGGAGGCCAAGACTCCCACAAGCTCGGGCTTGGGCACACTCTTGGTCAGTCTAGCAACGTAATCCTCCATAGATTCATCAGCTTCGGGTTTCGGAGTCTCGATGCTTAGTCGAGAGAGAGATTGACGGGGAGAGGCGCTGACGGGTGAGCTTGTCAAACCATTGGAAGCAGCGATCGCCGCTTTAGAAGCGGACGGCGGAGACGAAGAGAAGAAGTTTACGGAAAGCCTGTGGAGGAGGGGTGGATTTGTCGAGGAGCGCTGGCGGGGAAAATTGGGTTCGCGGAGACCAGACGAGCCTGCCGTGTCAGGACGTAATCTTGAGTTAGTTGGCGTCGGGAACTCAGCGGAAAGTGAAGAATGTCCTCCTACTGCTGGATCAGCAGTGCCCGGTCGGGAAAACAGGCGGGAACCTGCACGCTTAGAGGATGCACGTGCGGTGGAAGGGCGACGGGAAGGAGAGGACGTGGAGACACCTACTGAAGAGGTAGGGGCGGGGGCAGGAAGTTTCTCTGGAGACGGAGGCGGCTGTTTGACTCGCGGAAGTTTCTCAGAATGACGGCGCTGCAGTGGTGGTGGTTGCAAAGTTTGTGCGTACGAGGACGTACTTGACGTTGAGTGCTCAAGGCTGAAGGGAGTCACGGGCTGCATTGCAGGAAGGGAAGGAGACGCAGGTATGTTATTCACGCGATCAGGTAAATCCGGCACGGCTGTTGTTTGTTTTCGCGACCAGAAAGATGACTTTCGTGATTCACTCTTGACACGACTGCGGGGCGAGGCGTCTGGAGAGTTTGGATTAGGCTGGACGTCGCTGTTACGGCCAAACTTGACGGACTTCATAGACTGCACGTTCTTCCTGTGCTGTGGAGAAGGTGAAGACATATCTGAAGAATCCTGTGAGCAGAACTGAACGGAGTTAACCGCTGTCTTATCAAACGAGCTGGATGGACGAGGAGATCTGTCTTGCGATGCTCGAGGATGTTCAAGAACAGCAGACGAGTTCAGGGTAATGGTAGGAGGTTCTGGAGACATGGAAGGCGAAACATTAACTGGAGTTGGCGGTAGGTCCTTATCCGCCCTCGGTGTCCTTAGCGGCTCCCCATCCAAGGCACCGAACTCGTCAGCCGGTAGGCCTGCAAGGCTCCTGCGTGCGGACGAGGTTGAAGCAAAGATACGCTTGGTCCAGTGTGGTATGGAGAAGAAATGCGGAGAGTTGCCTGTTGGTGGGCGATTGTCGGTTGCATGAGGGACATATGACGTGCTCGGTGTACCGCTGGGTAGTGTGTGGTCATTGAGTTGTTGAGCAGATGCGTCAGGGAGGTCTTCGTCCGGTGACCCTCCGCCGTTCTTGCTCCCGCGGCCAAGGAAAGTGACCATGGCCTGGAGTGGTACTAGGGTGGAGGAGTTGCGGGAGCTTGACCGCGAGCGGCGACAGCGACGGGAGAGAGGGAGGCCGATCCAGGGCGGGGGGCAGGAGTACGGGTGCGGTTGGAGGTGTGAGGGTTTGTGGGGTCGGGCAGGAAAGATGGGATCGAGCCAGGAACGGTCGTGAGGTCGTCGGTGTCGGTAAATGATATACGAGAAGCACCCGCCTCGGCTTACTTTAAGGGGCCTTGCCAATCCACTGACCTCACCCCTCTGTCATTTTTCCAGCTGATCAACGCATAACGTTTCATCTATCGTTATCAACCGAGGGCCGGTGTCCTACACAAGGCTCATAATCTCTCATAATGCCCACCCGCAAGGCAATGCATTCAAACCGCTCTAAACCTGTATGTACAATGACGTACAGTCTAAAGCCTACATACACGCAGTGCACACTCCAAACAGCATCCAGCATCAAACACCACATATGTGTAGGAGGTCATGACTTCTTCCCCTTCACCAGCTGGCGACGTTTGTCCTCAAGCGCTGCTTTCTAATCTTCGGTTAGGTGGGAAACCGTTTACAAGATGAGAAGACATACCTGCGCCGCTCGGTTTCGTTCTCCGTACTTCATCCGCTCGTATAACTTCTTTTGGCGGTTACTCATCATCATTTTGTTCATATTTTGCTCGTCCGCGTTTACTTCTGAGGCAGGCGCTTTGTCCTTGGACTGTTTTCGACTCTTCTTGACTTGTTTGTCGAATGTCCCGTAGTCAAGACCCGCTGCTTCTGCCTGTAGCTCGATGGCACGTAAAGCCTCAGGGTCTTCTGCCGTTATCGCTGGCAGGCTGAGACCACTGTTAGCTTCAGTTACATTCTCTTCCATCTCGCTCTCCTCGCCCTCTTCCATTTCCGCATCTTCATCAGCCTCGGTGGCCAGAAGAGGCGCAGCAGGATCGTATGCTCCCAGGCGGTCACCGAATGGTGAGAGATGTGGTGGTAAGGTCTTGCCCTGAGCATACGGCTCCTCCAGTAGGATCCTGCCTGCATTGATGCAGTCCACTACCCACTGAGGCTGCACATATTTTCGCTTTATCCTTCTTTCTCGCTCTTCCTCGGTCTCATTTGGTTTTGATACAAGTGGTCGGTCAATGATGACATGCGTTATTGCGGGATCATCTTCCGATACGGGTGAGCCACTGCCGGAAGATCGTGGCCACCCTATCTGACCACCAAAGGACCGAACGAGGAATTCGAAAACTGAGCGCGATGTTTCACGAGACAGGAAGAAAGTGTAAGGGGCAAAGAGAGTTGTCGAGGTTTGCCGAGGGGTAATCTCTAGCGAGCGGAAAGTAGGAAGTTCGGGAAAAGTCTGGCCTTCTGTTTTAGACGGTTGCACAACAAAATCTTCATCGGCGTCAGCGCCATCGACTGATTCTGTGGAGGGCATTGGCTCCATAGTCTCGTTTGTTGTGTCTGAAATGGTCACTATATCTTTGAGGGCTTGACGCACTTCCTTTCCTGAGGCTTTTTTGACCGGATTTGCTGACCTGGTGTCAGCTATGGGGCCAGTATTCTCCACCTGTTTTATTGTAAACGCGCCAACGCCGGCACCTGAATCATCCTTTGCTTCGTCAAGCGCAGGAGGATATGAGAGACCAGAGTCCATGTAGAGCCTGAAAAACACGAAGCCAAGAAGTGTCTGGTAGAGCTCCAAGAATGTTAACATGACCCGAACGTCAACTTCCGTAGGGATCTACATAAAGAAGTCTGAGTATAGGGAGTCAAAAGAAGGAGAAATTGACGCACGCTTTGCGTGAACTGATACGGCACAAGCCAAGTGATGGTCTGGCCCATGACCTCTGCTTGGTAGTAAATGCCTTTGATCGACAGGAAAACCTTTCGGAGCGCCTGTGAACGCATAATGTAAAGCTGCCATTCGGCGGCTAGGCGAGTGCAATTAGTGATGAGAGCCGGAGAAACACGAGGGTTCGAAGGGAGAGAAGCGAAGAGGAAGATCATGCACAATGCATCGTCGATGTCTCGCAAAGCGTCTATGAACGTTGGATAGCTAACACAAGACAGTCAGTCAATTTGCCTGATCAGTGCCGCCATCGTGACCTACCGTTCCTTGACGATGTGGTCTAGACGATATGTCGGCTTATTCTCCTCAAGGCTTTTTGCGGTACTCCATTCGCCTCTACCAAGAGCGCGCGATATTTTTTTGGCGAAGGCTTTGTGCTCACGAAGTTTCTTTAGCACGGGTTCATGGGCAAGATAGGCGATATCCTTTGAATAATAAAAGGTCTTCGGAGCGGTCGAGCCTTTGTTAGCCCGCTTTTTGTTTTTTGGCTCACGGGGGAATATCCCTACAAATGAATGAGTAAGGGAGATCACGAAGGCGGGATATTTGCCGACCTTTGAGGATGCATAACCGTCGAAAGTCAGCGAGCGAGCATTGAAGCTTTTTGACCGCAGAGGAGCGAGTTACGTAGGCTTTCGCGGCGCCAGACTTTCCTTTCTGCTTCAAGCGGGCCATGTCGGTTGGAAAGTAGCTGGGTGTGGTCGAGGACGTCCCCTGGCTGAAGACGGCGAATATGCAAACTGATCAATGCCTTTTTTTGCTGATAAGTCCATAAGTGGACATGGCATAATATCTAACTCGTATTTTGGCCCTCCGCGCCTCGAGGTCGGACGCGTTGTTGCATCCTCCACATATCACGATGAGGTACGTCCCGTGTAACCGTCCCCGCCATAAGGCTCATCTACAACTCCTCAGTCAGTACGTGCACGTTCCAAAGTCCGAGCTTGACGAGGGTCAGCTCCGGCAGCTGGAAGAGCATGAGATCAGTCAAGGGCCTCTCTCTGTCCTGCAACAGGCCGTTCGCAACCATGCTCAGGTTCTCATATCCCTGAGAAACAACAAAAAGCTTCTGGCTCGTGTCAAGGCATTCGACAGACATAGCAATATGGTAAGACATCATGTCTCATACCCTTCAGCTTGCTTGATGACACCTTTAGGTGCTTGAAAACGTCAAGGAGGTATGAGCAGCTTCATCCAGCTTGTTGACGCAGGCCTGAGCTACTTTTAGATGTGGACCGAGGTTCCAAAAGGCAAGAACAAGAAACCGGTGAACAAAGATCGCTTCATCAGCAAGATGTTCCTGCGGTAGGTAATTTGTTATCTGAAGTAGCCCATTTCTCATACTTTGCGTCGAACGCAGGGGTGACTCGGTGATTCTGAGTAAGTACACCAACCACCACCATTCTTCATGCTAACTAGTCACCTCAGTTCTCCGAAACCAAGCTTAAAACGCGTCCGTTGGACAAGCTATGCATACCATTGTTCCTGGTCACACATCTGGTCGTGTATACAACAGCAATGCAAAATTCAAGCTACTAACTAATGTGTGCATTCGATGCTACTTACTATGAGTAGCTTATACAGCCAAGCCTCTTATGCGTAAAAGATGATTGCATTCTTTGTCGTTGCTACTTCGTGCGCTGGGCCCAGCCTTGGGAACGAATCCATTAGTTTGGCATATGCACGTTGATGCCTCCAGTGCGGGAAGCTCTTCAGCGAATATGTATCAATCAGGGTGATACTAGACCAGCTTTAACGATTGAACCGTTCGGGCTGTTGGAAGGACCTGATACATCTCGCGTCTCATGTAAACCAACCTATGTCGGATTTCCTCCTGAACCAAGCGCATTAAGTACTAGAGCTAAAGAGAACAACGGCCGATCAAAGAGCACGCACGACGTCGGTAAGATGTCTCCCTCTCTCTATCTCAGCGCGAAACCAACGGATTGTTTCTGCACGCGCTGTAGAATCTGGGAGAGCTTTCTGAAATGTCGGGTGACGGTAGCGAAGCCGACAAGAGACGACTCACTTCGTGATGCCCGGATGACTTGGCGGTAGAAAGTGAGAAGCTGCTGTTGGAGAATATACTGTTTGAGGGTAGGGATATGATGCATATTGAAACGTCTTTGTGGTTCGAGTTCAGTCGAAGTTTGAGTGGGATTGTGCACTTACGCGCGGTGTCACAGGCGCCAAGTCTACTTGCGATTCCCAATTGAGTCCGGTGAAATCCCACTCTTTTGCCTTCCACTCATTGGCAAGGCAAACTGCTGTCGACTTGGATCTTCATAACTCTCCCGCCGTTTCCCACCTACCAACTTAAACAATGTCCGCAGATACGCCAGACTCAGCAATACCCACTCAGGACCTTCCGATACAAGATGCTGGCGCGAACGCCATCACCCAGGGAGTCGCAGCCCTCACCTTGCCAGAGCTTGAAGATCCTTCCCCGTCACACAATTCCACTGATCTAAACCTCCGGCCACTATTTGTTTACACTCGCTCTCAAATTCTTAACCTTCACAATTCTCCCTTGGTGTCTGTTCCTGAAGGCATGCCGCTCCTCAAAGACTGGTTCGGGTACGAGAGACCGCGCGTTCTTGCGCTTGTTGCGGGAATCGCGATCGTCACCTGCCCAGCGGCGATCCTGCCGGTCATTAGACTCTGATGGCATGTTGTTTCTGTCGCGTGGATGCTCGCGTTGTTCCCTGTCCCGCTTGGATGTCAGCCGCTCGTCACGCTTTCCATCGTCTCTCCACCGACGCGAGTCATCATCCTGATCGTCTTTGTCACGAGGATCGTCTCGGTCACGACGACCTTCCCTCAAGTAGTCGTCTCGATCGCGCCTTCCTGTTGAGGTCTCGTTCCTGGATCTTGAAGAGTCCCGAATACGTGAGCGGGCTCGTTCATCGCGGTCGCGACGACCTTCTGTGCCTAAAGAAACTTGTTAGCGGTGTTATGATGCTTAAGAAGCTGACGAACGTTCTCCTCGACTGGGCCGAGGGTTCTCGCCGCCTATGAGCCCTTTATCAGTAAGGAGTAGGTCAGTATAACGGCGTCCACACCTCTCCTCCAATCATCACTAAAGTCCCCTTCTTTTTTCTTAGAGGTATCGCGTGATGCTGGTTGACCTGCCGGAACAGCCCTTGGAGTGGCAGTAGCCCCCAAGTGAGGAGCTTGGTCTCGCTCCTTGCCACGGAGGGCGGTTGAAAGCGCCCGCCGATCGCGGTCATACTTATCAGAGAGCTACAGAAGGTTGGGCTTCCCATCTGGACTTCGTGCACGACAGACTCACATTGCGTATTCTTTCCTGATTTTCTCTGGCCCTCGTGTCTTTGTCCTGTTCTCGGTCAGTGTCTCTGTCGCGGTCCCGATCGGTAGTTCGAATGGACTGGTGCTTAAAATTGCCCATCTGCGAGGGCTGAGTGACAGCGTTCCCTCGGAAAGACAGCCGACTGGAAGCTGCTAAATCATGTGAGGAGGCAACAGAAACTACGAGGGAACGGCTCACCGCTATCTTCACCATCCCGACGAAATCTGAAATAGACCTATCAAGTTTTTACTCATTTCAACGCAACGAAAGACACACCTTCTATCACGTCCGTTGTTTCCAGCAGAAGACACTTCTCCCTCCTTTCGAGAAGTTGACTGCTCATTTTCTGTGCTAGATTGAAGATGAGACAGATATGTCTTTGAAACCCAGTTAAGGATCGGAAGTCAGGCGCTTTCGATGAAGGCAAGGACGGCGATCGTAGGGATCGTGACCGAGAAAGGGAAAAAGAACCGGCGTGGATGGAGACATACATCCCCGATGACGGTGCGACTACGTTCCTTGGCCAGGGCACTACAGGAGAGGTCGACGGTATACAGGCCTTCAAGAGGGAGCAAAGGCAGAAGGAACGCAGAGATGCGTTAGCTGACAACTCCACTATCTCACTTGCAGAGCCTATGAAACCCGCGCAGGAGTCCTCAATGAACAATTCATCGGAAAATCAGCTCGACGAGATCCAGTTGTTCAAGCTCATGATGAAGAGGGAGGAAGAGAGAAAGGGCTCTGAATCTATGCCTCTTGAGACTCCTTCGGACCCCAATATGGCCAACAAGCCATCTGCTGTGGTATCATCAGAGTCTGCAATATTAGCAGGTAAAGTGTACCATTATGAATGTTCGACGTGGTTGCTGATATCCGTAATCAGGTTTTGGTGCTATACGCCCGCCTAAACCTGAGTCGCCGGCACTTATGAACCCAAGGACTTTTATCCAGTCAGGTATGGTTACACCTTATACTGTTATGCCAGCTACTCACAAGTCCCAAAGGTTCTCCCCTCTCGCGCATTCAATCCACAGAACCACGGCCTCCCATTCCATCATCAGCGGAGGCAGTCGGGTCCCGCTTTTTCCCCAGTATGCTCGCCGACCAAACCTCAAACCCTCCAGCTGCCAGGGCTCCAAATGCTGACGCTCAAGGCAATTTACCCGTCGGTTCACGCCTCCTTGCACTTGGCTCACGGCCATCTCAAACATCCATTACGCCACTGCCTGCTCCCCAACGACCTACTTCGCGATCTCCCGCTCCCCTACAGAATCCGTCTATGCATCCCAACAAGCTCAGTGGTCAGCGCACGCCGGACCTTGGTTTCACTAACACGATAGTACATGGAGACCCAGGCATCCTTCCATCTCTATCCCCAAGTATTTCAGGCGGCATACAGGCTATGCGCTCAGGGTCTGGGCCGGTAAACATGGATCGCTCGGCCTTCTTACAGTCAGATCCAAGGCAAATGCACGGGCTGGGAGGCAGTCCTCACGACCCTGCATCAAGTTTAGGAGGGACTGCTGCCAAAGGAAGTCGCTTTGCAAAGTTCTTCGACGAGAAGGCCCGTGAGGCTCAGGTTTCTGTTAATCAGCAAGAACAGCTACTTGGAGGAGCCCCCATTGCTTTGCGTCAGCGGCAGGACATCGGCGGTAATGGAATCCATGCCGACGCCCGTGCCATGGAAGATATATTTGCTATGCTTAGCCAGTCCGCTCAGCAAGTAAGTTGTTGTTGTGACAAATGCGACGTGATCTAAGCACAGTGATGACAGGGAACGAGATTACATCCTACTCAGGACACGTTCATTCCGGATGCACGGTATTTCAAGGGCCATGCCAACGGCTCCATGGTCAGTCAGCAAACGACGCCGAGTTTCCAGGGCAATCATTCTCGCTTGGATTCGCTATATGATAGTCGTATGGATGACAAGAACTTCGTTCCCGATGGCTTGGTACCTGGGTTGCGCACGGCTCCTCCACGGCCGCGACAAAACAGTGCGGTATACTCTGACATGATAGAAGATGCTGCCCAGTTGAACGTGCAGAGAGGACCACATCAACAACGTCTTTTGGAGCAGATGTACGCCAACTCGAACCCCTCTATGTATGGTCATCAACACAACGTTGGGCGCGGTACCAATGCTCTTCTGCAACAACAGGCTCAGCTCCGAGGGGGACCTTCACCGAACGGCTTGCCTAACGATGGACAAAGGCTACCCCCTGGCCTCGCTAATTTGGGAGGTCGCCCACCTCATGACGGTAACTTTGTGCCTCAACACATGCTTGCGGGGGGCAACATGAACGGGCCTTTACAGAACAACCCGTCTCCGCTTCCCTATGGCAACTTTCCGCCAAACGGTAACAACTTTGGCGGTCAAATGCGAGCTCCTCATCCTGGGCACCAGCTGCCAAATATTCCTCATAACCAAGCTCAGCTTCACGGTCTGGCGAACAATTCGAACATGTCTGCAGCACTCAGAGGGACTGGAGGGGTGGGTCAGCAAACTCATCAGGGCCCAGGACCAATGCTCGGAATGCGCCAACAACCCCAGCAGCAAATTCCACCACATATGCTTTCCCAAATGTTGCCCCCACATCTCCAGCACCAGGCCATGGCGGTATCGAATAATCAACCTGCGCACGATCTAATGGCCTTGTTGATGGGTGGAAATCGGAGAGAGTAATAGTCTCTATATGCCATGTGGCTAGCTTTGACCCTGTCTCTTCTCTTCTCTTTCGTTTCTCATCTTTCTTTTGGACTTGGCGATTTCTTTTTCTCACATAATATTGTCTTCTGCTCCCGATGCTTGCAAGTCTCGCATTAATCTAAACCCCACCACCTGGCCGCGATCATGAATATGTCTTTCGAAACTGGGATGTCAAAGGACGTCAACCCAGCTGCGCCATCCGCCCGTAGGGTGCGCCCGATGACACCTAGGTGTTCGGGAAATCAGCCTAAAGTTCGGCCAAGTTTCCGGCGACTCGGATTTATTTCTCCGAGCATCTGGGTTTTGGCAGGCATCTTCGAATTTTTGACGAGACGAGTTTAATTAACTGTACCAGGGTTCTAGAACAGGAACAATCTTTACATCTCACCAAAGCTCGAACTCATACATTACTGGGCACAAATCAGCCGCTGAGAATACCTTAGTTTAGTGTGGTTTCAACTCCGGATCCTTAGTTTATCAAGTCCAAGAGGGTGCAAGACATACTCAAGGCCTTGGTTGCAAGATATTGACCTATAGCACGCTTGCAATAGCGCCGTCTGAATCTTTAATTCGCACTCATGTGGTGTGGACCGCCTCGACCAACCAAACGGATCCGCAAAAATCCCAGCACCGGTCTGCGACAGGCCCGCGCCACAAGGCGCTTGTGCTCACTATAATAAGTGATGGATGAAGTTTAGGGCCGTGACGTTCGGATTGCAGTGGAATGGAACGACAGCTGGAGCATGTGTGCACCCCGGCTGCATCTAATGACCGCTCTGGGGGAATCTGGGGAAGTGTCAGGTTCAGCCTGAGCTACCAACCAAGGGCGTAAGAAGTAAGACCCTCCAGACGCCTACCTGCTGAAGGACAGAAGATTATATACGTTTGCAAGATTTCCTTAGGAGAAGCACAGCAACTCAATCAAATCTTAGATACGAGTATGGGCGGGTGAAAGAGCGGCGGCCTGAAGCTGGACCTATATGGACCATTGATCATGATGGATGGGCCAGATAAGACGTGACTGATGGGAGGGTGTCTAATTGTGGGAGTCTGCAACTGCCACCATCGAGTTGGGAGGAGAACGAATATTGTTTGCAATAAGAAAGCGAGGCAAACGTTGAACCGGGGACATTATGTGCGTGTGTAACCACTGCCGTTTGTTTGCGACACTATTACTTAGTATACGTAGGCTGCAAAACTGAGTCAAACCACTACTGTCAAACCCATAGGTCAGAAGGGAGATAAGAAGGTTTACATAATGTGATGTCTTGCATCTTTCCCGCCTGCAGGCAGGAAAACGTGGGCTGTCAAGTGGTCAATGGGCGTTTCAAGAAGTTATCCATATATGCCGAGACCATAAGCTAAAGCGTGAATCGGCTGGAGGATAAGCGGGACACGCCTTTAGGTCATTGCGCGATTGCGTTCCTGCACACCATTGAAAATTGCAAGAGGACCATCCTCCTGGACCAATAATTTCCTGCATCCTTCCCCCACCCCCCAAGGCCGACCAGCCAGCTCTTGCGCTCTTGTGCGTACCTGCGAACAGCCTCGGCTCGATTAGGTTCGAGTGAACTTCCGCGGTCTTGGTCGTCGTCGCCCATATCCATCCAACTACCCACTCTCTTTTTCTGTCACTCTTTCGCTCTCAGCCTACACACTCCCTAATCGACTCCCTAATATTTTCTATACGGGACATACAGGGAAGTGAACCTCGTTCTCTCGGTGAGTCTGGATACAAATTGTTTCCTATTGGAAACCCTGAAATTTAGCAGGGTCCAAACCAAGTCCAAACTTGTTAGTAGAAGACTCGAAGCTTTTCGATACCATTGGTGAGTAGTCTGTAGAAGGAGGCGCATACTTTTGTCCTAACGATTTTATTTGAAACGGTGAATGTAGTGAGTACGATTTTGCTTATGGCTCGAACGACGTCATGGGCGAGTGTGCTGCAAAACGTGGGGCGTGTGAATAACCCCGCGGTGGCGGTGGTTTGCGCTTGCCGATGACGAGACTTCGGTGGACAACCGTCCCTGACATGGACAGCCAGTGGGTGCCTGATGGACGCCGATAGGTGTTGCACATACATGGGCCACTCCTCACTAGCACTGCGCCTGGATTTCTCATTTGCTCGGTTTGAAGCCTGGTTTGAGGGATGGGACATTTTATTGATTGAGAGGACACGTCGTTTGTTTTCGTTCGCTTCCTCCCATGGCGAGCGTTTGTTTTGACGTCGGTGGATTATTTTGCCGTTCAGTTCCACAGACAGCTACCGGATGACTTGATGCAGGCTGTGGGCATTTTACTATCAGAGGGCCGGTGGTTGTCACGATCGATTGTGGGATCTCAAGCAGAATCCCGGGTCGTCTTGGCTCTCGACGTTATTTCCCCATTGCATTTCTATTTACAAATTGTTTCCTTTTGATTATTGTCCACCGCCCGTGACAAGCGGGTTTCGCCGTGCTCACCTCTTATACTGTTTCGGGCCTCACCTTCTTCTCTCCACTGCCCAGTCTCTGTCGCAAGGCGTTGAGGTCTGCGTCCTCCTCGTCTTGCACAGTGTTACCTCCTCGTCATTCCCCTCATCTGTCTTTCCACGATCACGACTTGGAACGCTGACCACGATCTTCCTTCTCAGCTTCTTCCCCGGCACCGCATCACCCTCCCTCCACTCTCCAGAACTTCCTCTCCCTAGGTGATTCCCACTCCGGTTTATTTCTCCTGGCCTACAAGCAGCTTTCATTCTGTCTGGTGAGCTTACATTCCTTTCGCTTTTATGTTATCTTCTATCGGTAGGGTGGCGTCTGCCTATCGAGCATACCAGCCACACCTTTTTGAGATATGCATCCACGTGGTATCCCTATGATCTAGTGCGGCAACCATGTCTGTTTCTTCCAGACCGCTTGGATTTTGCACAATGGTGTGCACTCCGCTTCGCGCCAGTCTTCACGAACAAGCCGCTGTAGGCTTGGACCATCTAACTTTTAATTCACTCGCTTGCTTAAAGGCGAATGCTGATGCGTTATTCCCTCCACTTATCGGCATTCTCCATTGCAGCTCCTCATCTCCAAACGTCTCCAGTCATCCCACGCATCCTCACGTCTCCGGCATGAAAGACGTATCTGTGACCACCGTCAGAAACTCAAGGAATGTCGTCTATCCGAAGAAACGCCCATCTCCATCGGGAATATCGAAGAACAAGACTCTGCTTCTTGGAGCTCCTCCCATCGGACGTAAAAACTTTACCGCGAAAGCCGCCTTATTGCAGCAACGGCAACGTGAAGCCCAGATAGCAGCACTTCGTCGACAAGGTGTTCTTCTGGAGGACGAATATAGAGACGACATTCAATATTACATGCATGAAATGGAGGTGCGCATGGCCTGGAATCTGTTCCGGCTCGGTTTGTCTGACCGGGCGTCATCTTTAGCGCTACACAATGCCTTCGACGCAATCAATGGACCAGCAGCCTGAGATTCGGTGGCACATGCGACCCTGCCTAGTCGACTTCCTTGTAGAAATCCACTTCACCTTTCGCCTACGGCCAGAGACATTATACCTGACCTTGAACATCGTCGATCGATATGTTTCTCGTCGCGTGGTTTACGTCAAGCACTACCAGCTTGTTGGTTGTGCCGCGTTGTGGATAGCAGCGAAATTCGAGGATGCCAAGGATCGAGTCCCTACCGTGCAAGAACTTGCTCAAATTTGTCGAGAGACCTACGACGAGTCCGCCTTCATTCAAATGGAGAGTCACGTATTGGCCACCATACAATGGACCCTTGGGCACCCTACGGCTGAGGCCTGGTTGCGGCTAATGTGTTGTGATCCATATGTCGAGGAGGACAAGGTTCAGCACACTGCGCGGTTTCTAATGGAAATCACCTTGTTCTACCGTGAATTTGTCAAATATCCTCCATCTGTGATAGCTCTAGGTGCTCTGACGTTAGCTCGGTTCCTCAGTGGCAAGGGCCGTCGTACATTGGAGGAAACAGAAGAATGCTTGGAAATTGTGGAACATCTTGATAATCGTCTGGCAAAGCACGTCAACGACTTGTCAGAGGTCCTTGTCAAAAAATACTCGTATGCATTCTACTCGAAGGCAGCGACCTCTGTTGTGCAGTATTACCTCAAAGGCGGCCGCTTCATCCAACAGCCTGAAGTACCGTTCCCTGTCACTCCGACGCGGGCCTGTGCATCCGGCGCTAGCACGCCTATGAGTTCAACTACTTCTGTATCCGACGTATCAGAAGATTTCCCCTTGACTCCTACTAGCCCACAGTCCTATTCCAGCGACGTGTTCCCAGAGACTTGCCTTCCTGACGAGGACAAGGAGAATTTGCCGACGTCGTTCGAGCCTGTCATTGTCAAGCAGCGAACAGAAGCACCCCCAGATCAATATCTGCCTCATGACTTTGTGACATTTGGTCGGCCTGCACTCCACAATCTTAACGTATCGCCGCGGTCAACGGTTGTTACATAGGAGTCGGCCGTGTTCGTTTGTCAAGCGCCTCTTCGCTGTGCTCTCCCTTTCTCTAATTCTCAAAATGTAACACCACGTACCGTCATTCGTGCCCATTTTCCGCAAGACGTTCCATCAAGCAATTCTCTCTTCCTCAAGCATCAAACTATCCGTACCAGTCGCTTCTCCTCTAATGGTGGCTCGGGCAATTCGGCTCACTGACCAGGGGTTAACCCGTGACGGCGCCGATTTGTTCTACTATCTCCGAGTCGAAGAGCTCAATTATACGCTGTTCTCAGCACACCTCCGTCCTACATCACACATTCCATCAACACTCATCTGCATTCATTCAATTTCCTGTTATTTTATGCATTCATCGTCTGTCATCATCCCCTCTGTCGCGTGTCAACGTCGGCGTCAGTCTCTACTTGAATTCCTGAATTACACGTTAGTGCATATCGCATTCGTTCTACCTTATTTCTCATATTCTTCTTAACTTGCCACCTTGTGTCTTGGTGCGTTGCGAGGTTAAATTTTTGGGGTGTGCCTCCGTTTCCTCCTGCATCGCGTACAAATACGTCACCTTTTACTGTTCCTGCACATCACCCACAATTCTCGTTCACATCGCCGCGCAATCCTCTACACACTCCTACAGTCGAACACTCTGTCTTTAGCAACTGTCGTTTCCAGTCTCTGGGCTACCAATGTCATGGTTATTCGTCGAAGTTGATTGTTCATTTGTCCTTTCCTATACTGTCTTCGACTGGCTCAAACCGTACCAGGTAACGGCCACTGAGTAATACGCTCAGCTGTTTCAGAGGTCGCGATGTTACTCGACTCCAGTCAATGCACGTTCTATCAAGGTGGCCACCACTTGGGCGCTTAAAGCGTCCAATGCAAGTACTGCTAGCCTCTTGGCCCAACACGACAGTTGTGTGAAATGCACGGACCGGTCCCCCACCACTCAGTGATGGCTATTTAATCTCAGAACGCATTGAAGGTAACCTGCTGCGATCGTGTCTTTGTAGACGTAACTGAGCATATGTATGCCATATGCACCTTCTGATCGGGGACGCGGGGAAGCGCCGGGGTTCTCCAACCGAACCTGGTTGTATCACGGATTCACTCGACCTCACGCCAACCTGTGAATATAATTTTAGATTGACAATCAGTGTTCTATACAGCTCTCTAAGCTTACATATGAGGAAACCTGTCTATACGTCTGACAACCTTACGCATTGATAGTATACATGACACTTCAACCACAGATCACCTTTGAGTTTGAGCTAAGGATTCCGGTAATTCACTCAAGAACCCATTGTTCTCCATTCTTCTTGATGTTCACCGGCCTCTTCTCGTCGAGACTAATACGACCGGCGTGGAGGATAGCTGTCGTCAGGACAGTGTTTGCGATGGTAGGATAACCATGTCCGTCGTAATCCGAGGGTTTTGCAACTCCAGCATTGACTTCGCGGGCGGCGTCGATGAACGTCTCAATTGATATGTATCCATACCCACGCTGACCATCAAAGTGACCGGTCTCTGAAGGGGAATATTTCATGCTAGCGCATCAAAAAGTGGTAAGTCAACAACTTGGCCAATGGCGCCATGTAAACGCACTAGAACGGGTTGTACCACGTCTTGCCAGTTTCATCAACGGTAACGTCGTAACCACGATGAGCTTGGTCGACGTTGATGTCGCCCTACCATAGATCTTGAGCAAATTTATCCAGGGAACCCGAGGGATCATTGTTACCTTTTCGCCCATGTAGTACCACTGTTGTGCAGAGTGCACACCAGCTTTCAGAGGTGCCGTCCATGACGCCGTATAGACAGCAGTTCCTTTGTGCTTTGTGCTGCTCGTTGACTGCCAGTCAACAAGGAGCGTGATAGTGTCTTCGGTCTGAGGTACGCAGTTGTACGGTTCACTGGTGGCAATCCCGGTGGCTGCACTAGCAACTACTCTGGTAGGGACAGCTTTGTCTTGCAAAATCCAGCAGCAAACGTCGATATGGTGCGAAGAAAGATAGTAGCTGTTTAGGATGCGTTAGCTTGGAATCTTATTGTCCAAGAGACGTCCTGCCTGATGTCCGAGTCTTTACCTGCCCACGCACGGAAAGTCTCTAGTTGGCTCTTCGGTTGGCTCATCCATGCACTGAAGAAGTTGAACTCTCCCAGCGTCTGTGCACGGGCTTTGGCATCACTGTAAACCGGATCAAAACGCTTGTGGTGCTCTACGAAGCAAACGACATTGTGCTTCCTCGCCGCCTCGACAAGTTCGATGTGGTGGGAGAGTAGCTGAGTAGCCGGTTTGGTGATCAGCACATGCATCTTTCTCTCGATAGCATACATCGCAATGGGATAATGAGTGCCTAATATACCAATGAGGCCCAGAACAACACTTTGAGGCGGTGTGAACATACTGTCTGGGGTGAAGACAATGATAGCACTTCCTGGGGGAAGCTTGTTGATCGCCTCTTTATCTAGTCTTATCAGTTTGGGTATTGTTTTGTGAGTGTCAAAAACATACATGCTTCAGGATCCACCTTGCCTCCCTTCGGAAATTCTTCAAAGCTAAGTTACATCAGATCATTAGATGCTACTGTTGGTTTTACATAAATGGTGTTACTGACGAAGTGTCCATCTCTTTGTAAACTTGACCTATGTTTGTGTCGAGATGATTTCGGATTGCAGGGAATTTAGAACCATTGACGCCGACCATGGCAAGGCTGTCCACCTAGCATGATATCAGCCTATGCGGGGCTTGTTCTGAAGTAATTTAGTCACCTTTCCCCGCCTTCTCAAGTCAAACATCGTCAAGCCCACAACCTATGATTAGCATATTTATCAGCATTGCAGTTACCTCAGAAGATGTTATAGGCGTACACCAATCTACGCAGGCGTGTAAATAATATCTTCGTCACTCCATCAATTTAGCATACCTTCTTGTCGGAGGTCGACTGCCCGGAGCCCGTCCAACCGGTGGTGTACTCTCCCTGTTATACAATTACGAGATGAAGTGCAGAACTACCAGCGCAAGCTTACGGTACCACCTGGACATCGAATCTATGTCAGTAAGTACAACGAATAGAAAACGTGAGACCAGCGAACACATTAGAACGTTCAGTTTTGATAGGGATGACATTCTGGTGGATGTTGAGAGATCCTAGGCTGACAGTGAAGTGGAAGAGTTAGAATCAGGATCCGATGGGACAGACCCAATATCTGGGCTGCTTTTCAACTGTGAAAGGGGCTTTGCGGACCGAACGGACCGGGATACTGGCTTTCTCGTGGGAACCGGTATGGCAGAACAGATGATCTTCCTATTCGAAAGTTGAACACAATTTAGGTCGCATGCTGAGAGATGCGGCCCAAACGGTCCAAACCTGCTGCACCGACAGAGACCGGACCACATGAGAGCACTCGTCGCGGGCCGTGTGACGGCCTGACGCCTACCCGTTCCGCAAACCAATTTTACGCGACTGAGGACGAGGGCCTAAGGCTTAAGCTCAAGGTCTGTCACGGAATACTATCAACCTGAAGTGGCAAAAGTCGGGAGGGTGTTGTGCCCTAGGACATCTGCGTATCGTGTCATTTGGAAGGTAAGGGCGAAACATATGACTTACCTGAGCTGTAAGAGGTGTGCAAAGTAGATCAAGCTAGTTGCGTCATGAGTAACCATGAACGGTTCTGGCTGGAGCTGCTAGGATCTGCTGTTGCATCTTGGTTGCACCGTTAAGTTGACGCGACGTCAAAGGAGCATCGCCACTAACTACGGTGAGGGTGATGTCACTTGATAATTGCCCCCATGAAGTTTAAATTTGTGGAGAGCAAGCTCTCCCATTTTGCTTTTTAACTGGCACTGTTGCAGGGTAAAACTTGCAGACGCTAGATCATAACTGCGCACAAGTTGAGGGCTGCTTGTCCGATACTAGAGGGCAGAGCCCCGTTTACAGCTAGTGAGTCGCCTGCTGTCGCCTGCTCACCTGCATGCAAACACGCAGTAGCTCATTTGTCTGTAGACTATCACATTCCTTCCTCACCTCTCTTTGACTGCTCAAACCATGCAGCCAACCTCGTCTACCGACTCTCGTTTCGTTCCGAGGAAAGAGTTCATCAAGGAACTTCGGACACCTCACAATTTCTCCCTCCTTACAGTATCTGGTTCTAGCTTCGTTCGACTTTATTCCTTTCCGCCTGCCGTCATTGAAGCTCTACACAATCTCTTTGATAATTTCTACTTGACTATAGCCTTTCGTAAAGACGAGGCCCATAGCACCTGCGAGTTCACTCTCAACCAGAAGCCGTGGGCAAGTCCAAAGAGCGATCGTACTGAACGTATTCTTGTCGATATCATCTCTGTCATATACAAGCACGGGTATTCTCTTTTGTCGACGCTAGACTATGGCCGGGAAAATGACGACCGCATTGCGCTTGCATTTTCGGCACCTGCTCTACCTTCAAATCCCATTCTCCGGAATTCGCCTGTTCCACCTGGTTCCGGCAGCACGCTCTCGCACCAGACTAATGTCAAGCCCGACGCAAGAGTTCCCTTTGCCATATCTTTCGTTTCAGCGACTGTTCTACGCGTCATATATCCTCCGTTGAATTCAACGCCTGCAATATTGCAGGCTGTTCGAGGCTCGTGGCCTCGCGGTATTGTTTCGGAGAAGAAAATCGGAGATGCTACGTATGAGTTCAAGCTTAAAGGATACAAGTGTGAGTATATACTGTTCACTACCAAGTTACTTATGTGTTAATAGCGTTCTGTGTGATCAGGGTTTCACGAAGATACTTTTGCGTCGGACTCCCTTACACACATACTATCATTGTTTTCATCGCTGGACAGCCACGCGTGCAGTATGACTGCATCACTCTCACTCGGAACTCGCTCGCGGGTTAAAGATCTATGGCTCTTCACTGCTCCTGGCACTGGAGACACTGCTGACCATGCGCCAGACTCCCCCATCAGCCATGCAGGATCCCATCAAGAATTCCGGAGGTCTACGCTTGGCCAAACGCCCGAACCATTGTATGGCTCAGATGAGGGTGTGATACCTCATTCAATGCATCGACGAGCGCCATCAGCCCCTCAGCCTTCTCTGTCTCATGCACTTCAAAGCTCAACATTTGCACAACCTACCAGAGGGGAGAGTGGTGCGCTGCCTGCCTATACAAGTGGCCAGACACCCGCGCCTCCTGTAGGTTCGGTGAGAAAACCGGCCCCTCGAGCACAGATACCTGTTTCTGTAAATATGGATGCTCAGGAGGATGAACCGGCGTATAGCTACAAGGAGCCGCCACCTGACGTCGTTTCCAACAGCGCCAACATCGTCGAGAACATGGCTGGAGTGGGGACGCACGGACGCGGCAAATACGGCCCGGGTTCGAATTCTATGTATACCGCCGCACCAGCCCCAAAGCTGGAGCACTCGAATGACGACATGGCTACCTCCCCCAAGATGGGTTCGACGTACAAAACTCATTCACAACCTCCCTCACTAACATCGTCTTCACCAAATCCTCGATCCCATTTATCGTCACCTCGACATAGCACTCGTCCCGCTTCTTCACAATCGAGGTCGCCACCATTTACCCCACCCTACAGTCCTCCAAGCAACATTCAGTTTATGTCTAATACCCCGCCCCAGCTTCCTGACGTCTCCCCTGATGCCAGTCAACCGCTTCTGAGCCCTGGTATGTTCGCTGACAAGGGAAGGGACTCCGCCTTTTCGAGCCAAACAGAAGATACCAGTACGGACTGGTCAGGGACTAAGAGCAACATCCAGAATGGAAATCGCAATGGTCGAGAATCAAGCCTCGCGCGCAGGACAACCTCCCCGGCCCCTGTGCTGCCCGGGGGATGGGTCAAGACGCCTGACGACGAAGAGATGGAACCTAACTCATTGCATGCTCATTCTGGCAATGCAGCGCAACAAGCTGTGGGGGAGGGGGTCAACATACAGCAGGGTCGAAGTCCTCAGCGCTCATTGCATGACGTGGATGCACGTGTCCGGTCACCAGAACTAGTACACGACCACGACAATGCGCAGCGAAAGAGTGAAGCCGGGTTAGTAGGTGTAATACCTCCACGATCCCAAACTCCTTCGCCCGCCGTTGCCTCATCACCAACCAAGGATACCTCTGGAAAGGATGGTGCACCGCTTGGATCCCCGACGAAGAGTAGGGGTGCTAAAGGAAACGGATGGGTGCTGGTGAATGTCGAGGGCAAGTCCACACCAGAAGATAGTAACACCCAACAAAACGCAGCATCCAAGGAGAACACATCTGTAGGTCCCAAGGATGTAAGAGAAGGCGCTTCAATGTCTCCTGCGGCGAAGGCTATTGTCATGATTGACGCCAAGGAGGCAAAGGAGGCGAGAGAGGCAAAGGCAAAGGCCAAATCTGGTTCAGGGCTTCGCAGACTGCTATCCTTTTCTCGCTCCGACAAGAATGCTGACAGCAACAAAGCTAATCGGCCTGATAGTCCGCCTACAGAAAAAGGCGGAAGAAGCCCTCGATCCCCTCCAAATAAACTTCGCAGCAGGCTAGCCCGCCTGAGTGGGTCAGACCAGTATAAGGCAGCTGGTAGTAGATGAGCCATTGAGCCATTATGGACTAGCGCATCGTGTTTGCGTGAACTTCACATATTTACTGGATAACCACTTGACCTTCTGTGACTTGCGGTTCCGCGGTTAACTGCACCTGTGCGTATCTAGAATTCTGTACATGTATTCCCTCAAGCTACCTTATCTCTCTCTAGTTAACCGCATTGGATCCCCCTATGCATTGCAGCGTATTTCCGAAACTTCTAGCTTATGAGTATTTAGATTAATTGTAGACCATGGGACATTTAAGAGGTGTTAGTCCCCTTTAACTAGGCAGACCCTATATCAGAAGATAGTCGTTCTTGATATTATATAAAGAGGTATATGTTGTAAGGACGAACCAATAATGGCAATACAACAACTTGAAGCTACACGCGATTGGGGGACCCGCCGCGGGGACACCCAAGTTAGGGGCTACTTACCACAACCCGTTCAACGAGAGCGCTCATTCATGCAACAAATACTAGCAGTCCTTGGATGCACGCCATTCTCGTGTCCTGAGCAAGGGATGCCCAAAGTCATGGTAGGCTTTGTGCGTTTATATTGTGAGTGATTGACTAGGTCAAATCAACAATGCAGGCCTCGTTTCCCCAGTACTTGGTCCTCCTGGGTTAGCAACAACTTGAAGTCGAATCTCGATGAACAATGTGATTGATTTTCCCGATGATCATCGCGGACCAGTTTTGTTACATACGGCGTCGGGTGATGCGCACTCCCGAAATTTACGTAGCTGTTGTAAAATATGGTATACTTGAGGAATTGCAAGGGTATACAACGAAGTGGATATAAAGACGCGTTGATGCACCATGCACCAAATTTGTTGGTGTCGAACCTGGGACATTGTCAAGCGAGTATCTTGCAGGAATTGTGCCCCCAATGAGAGGAATACTTTCAACTGGCGTTGAAGAGCGTGGGCCTATACAGCGAATATGGTGGTAAGACTTAGCTAACACAGCAAGCCTAGGAGGGCTCCCTTTGGCGGTCCGAGTGAGGCGAGTGAGGAAGCAAAAAGCATAGCGCGATCACTACCACGCCAACTCGTTTCCCTGGCCCTTGCGGCGGTTCCCTTTTCCCTCCCAATCCCACCTTTCCGCTATACCACCACCACCTGCTACCCGCCATGCCAATATGTAGGCGAAAACGTGTCGTCCTCACTGTACCCTCCCATACCCTCGTCGCGGGCAAGACAAACCTAGCCAAGGAGGTATTCTATCTCCACCAGACCGGCGAGGTTTTTGAGACCTACGAGTACGAATCCTTCGAAGTCTTCTATCGCGTCAATCTCACGTACGCGTCTCATCCTGCAGGCAGTATGCTGCCAGAATGTCATTTTACAGGCTGAAGCAGTTTCAGTGCGAGGTCACTGGCAAGAGCGGCCTCGACTACTTCCAAGCTGTGGAAAGTGAACAGCAGGAAGCTCGAACAATGCACTCCAGATTTCCGGAACCGCTCAAGCCAGCGGTACTCAAGGCCGTACAATGGCGTGCGTTTGCTATTGCGTCTACCGAACTCTTTAAATAACTCCTATCTATAGAGGTGGTGGGCCGGTTGGACCACCTCGTAGAAGCCGTCTACGACAGATTCAAAGACCGTTACTTTGCTGAAGAAAGTATGTTAGTATGCTACAAGTGGTGTTTTACTTCGTTCCTGACTCTTACATCCCTTTCAGAAGTTTTCGTAGACGTACAAGGCGACAAGTTTGTTGTTCTACCCTCAGCCCAGTCATCTCCCCTAACGAACCTATCTCCCTAGATTTTATGCCAAAGTCGTTCAAGTCTTTCCGCCCAAGTCAGCTATTGAAGCTCTCATCGGGCCTGTTGAGAATCACGCGTCTCCGTCAAACTCGCCCCAGCCATACCAAGCCTCAGACAAAGGACACCTTGTGCACAAGATTGGAGGTGATCTTGCCGTTCCTGCGAAGGAGGCCATTGCGCGTGACGATCCCGCCAAATACTTCTACAAAGTGCAGATACTAGAAGAGCAGACAGAGAAGAATCACGAGAAGGGTAGGTCCCTGAAGGAGAAGGCGAAGTGGAGCGGGAGCTTGATGGACGTCCAATGCACGGCTCTGAGGTAGATCTTATCGCAAGTCCGAGCTAGGTATGGTTACTGAGAATATGCAGTCGGGACCGCCTCGCGTTCTCGAAGTCCATCTTGCGACGTTTTATCAGGGATTGTGTCGACCGAGACGCAGCAGTAGCTTCTCCTTGGACTGTGAAGCCTGTCATTGCAAACCATTATGGCGTTGACACGCAAATGCCCGAAGAGACGCGTAAAGGCGTCGAGAACATAAAGAAAGGAGAGATTGACAAGCGGAAGAAGATATGGGAAGACAAGGAGGGCCCACCAACGAAGAAGCAGAAGAAGCTTACTGCCGCCCAAGAAGAGCGAGGTGCGACAGTCAAACATTCACCAAGAGTCCTTGAACTAACCAATCCGACTTCAAGTGAAAGCACTGGCTGTTGCTGCTGAGAAACGGGAGCGTGAGGCTCAAGAAAAAGCGGACAAACAGCAAAAGGTGAAGGAGGAGGCGGAGCGCCTGGCGGCAGAAAAGAAGAAGAAGAAGCCTATCAGATACCCTACGGAAGACCTTGACGTTCGGATTACAGACAAGGAGAAGAAAGCAGGAATGAAAGTCAAGAGACCGGTTCCTAGCAAGTTGGCCCTGCCCTTTGCTGAGAGCCAAGCCACATTCGAATCCTTCCTCATGACGTGGAATTTCCTTGTTGTCTACGGGTTCGTGACACCTGCCTCTGCCATTGTTATGAATCGGCTAACCTTCAAGACAGACATCCTCTACATATTTCGAACCTTACCATGGATGAATTCGAGCACGCGATTCGACATTCTGTCGCGGAGCCGCAATGTTCTATTCTGGCTGAGATCCACTCGACCCTCGTTTACAATTTGCGGACAGTTCCTTTTAATCGCCACAGCGCACTCCTTTCGTTGATGCGCGAAAGAGATGCACAATGTCAACAGCATGGGCACGAAGAGACGGTGTTCAACGTTGCGACCACCACGCTCACTAGCGCTCTAGCAGAATTTGGCAATAACTGGGAACGGGTTCCTCTTCGGCATACCGAGGAAAGGGATGGGTGGCAAGACGCTCTACTTGGGTGTCTGAAGGACGCAAGTCATTGGTTTAGAATTTTATTGTTCCCTATTAGCTGACTACTTCTCTTCTGGTGTAGCATGCTACCGTTGAAAACTTCCCGCGCTTGAGAGAGGTCCTTACCCGCTTCCTTTTCGCTCCGGATTCTTCAGGAGAGCCATCAGCGTCCTCCGCAAGTTCCCGGGTGTCGAGTCCTACGGGGCTTTCTCTGACTGTGCCTTCGACGCCAGCGGAACGGTATCATACGCTGCCGCCGGCGGACAAGATTGCCATCCTCTCCTTCCTGTGCAATATCGCTGTGTCTAGCAAAGCCATCCATGGCCATATGGAACAGTGCGAGGAACAGCTTACGGCGTTGCGAAAGGAGAAAATCGAAGTTAACCGACAGAAGAAACAATAGTGAGTTTACCTAGTCTCAAGACGGATGATGGAAACTCACAACCCATAGCCTGGAAGAGATGAACGCCCTAGCGGGTGAAGCGGAGGTCAAGGAGGAGCCCGTTAGCAATGGAGTTGACGAGGATACACAGATGCCGGACTCAAGTGATCTTTCTGATATCCCTTCGGATGACGGCTCAGAGTCAGTTTCCGTTGGCAGTCGCCCCAAGAGCTCTTCGAAAACCAAAGACTTGCGCGCCAAAGCCCATACTCAAGCACACGCTAAACAACGGGAGCTTGCCCGTGCCAAGACAGCTTCTGCCAAACAGGCCCAGGCAGAGCGGCGGAAACTGGATGAGGAAGTGAACAAGATCGAGCGTCGATTGGAGAGCATCGAGAGGGAATTCAGGAAGCTTCTGGGAGCTATACGGGTAAAGCCTCTGGGGAAGGATCGGTTTCATAATCGAATATGGTGGTTTGATGGCATGGGAGGGGCTTCTCTGTTGGGAAGTGGCGGCGTGGTACAGTATGGCGCTGGAAGGATCTTCATCCAAGGTGCCAGTGAGATCGACAGGGACTTGCTTCTTCGGAGAGATGAAGATGACGTCCCCGCACGCCGGATGGAGGAAGAGGGCGAAGAGGGCATGCTCGGTGTCGGAGAGTGGGCGGTTTACACGGATGTTGAGGAGGTATGTGAACCACGTTCGTCGGATAATGCACGCGCCTGATTCAGGAGCGGTCGAACTCTAGGTTGATGAGCTTGTGGCTTGGCTAAACCCCAAAGGTGTTCGAGAGCTGGCACTCAAAAATGCTATTAGCAAGTGGTGGAATCATATCGCCCCTGGAATGCGGAAGAGGACAGCGGTGGGTGTGATTGTGTTGGCTGATAAGAGACACGATAGCACTTGATACTGACGCATTTGACACAGGATTTGAATATGAGTGCGAAGTTACCCGAGGCCCGACGAAGCTCGCGCACCAAGAGCACTGCAGGACACGACCTGTCTCGGGAACCGTACATGATGTGGACCAATCGGCGAGCAGTCAACCTGACTTGAGGCCATTTAGGGCTCGAAAAGATACTATACTTGTTATGCCACGCGTAGCTAGACTGCAGATAGAATATTGTACTATGACGGACGATTCACGCTGTAATGCATCTGAACACCAGCCATGGCCTATAGTGTATTGCAAATGGGCGTGGCCACGGAGGATTGACATCATCGGTGTGATCGGTAACAGACACGATAAGAGTGGGTACGGAGATTGCGGCTATCTATAGTAATATTCTAGAACTGGATCTAAGCGCGAGCTCTTGGTCCGCCCGGCCGTGCTTCTTCTTACTCCACCCGTCACCCCCGTCAATTCCAGCCGCGTCCTGTACGTGTACGGAGGGCCCGGAGCCTAGCGCTTATGCTGACTGAAAATTTTCGGACCTTGTATTGTCACTATTCCAGGGGTATATAATATATCTATCAGGCCATGTTTAAACCGGCGTGGTTCAACACATCTGTAGACGACTTCTAACGACCTTCACGCCCACACGAAAAGGAACCGCCATGGCCTCGCTGCCCAACCAGTTTGTGTATGGTTCAGCATCCAGTGCCTACAGCTTCAGAGACGCGATTCAGTCATGTAAGTCGCACCGGCTCTTTTGATAATACGAACACCAATATCGACGCCCTCGCCAGACCGACGGTCCCAGTACTATGCTAGCGCCAACATTCCATCCACTTCTGATCTCTCCGGTTCTGGAGATAATGTTGACCATGAAGCCCACCTCATCCCGGACGAGGATGATGAGGATGCCCTCTCTAACACGGGCGATGACACTGCACTCGCGGCGGACGAGGGTGTCATCGGTCAGTTTGAGTGGGATGATTTAACACCTCGCCCACTGCCACAAAGTATGGACGCGTTCCATGCTCGCCCATACCGCCCCGACGACCACCCTCATTCCCAAGCGAACGAAGAGACCCCCCTCCTCTGCAAACCCGTCTCCTTCATCGTTCCTAACCCATCCTCCCGCGCGAACCTTCCCGACTCTCCCAGCCAGCCCAGTTGCTCTGCAGAAGAAGCAACTGTACCCAGACGACCTCGCCCATCTTTCTCAAATAACTCAATCAAGCTAGCGCCGAATCTGCCCAACGTTGAGGGAAGGAGCACCTATGGGCAAACGGTAAGCTACGATACATACAGTTTGACGTCTGCGTCAGACTAATGACCTGTTTGTGTCAGCTCTTCAACTGCATTGCAATCCTCTTGGGCATCGGCATGCTTTCAGAACCTTTGGCTTTCGCATACGCTGGTTGGATAGGCGGCACTGCTCTCATCGTTTTCTTTGGGTATATCACTTGTTACACGTACGTTCTGCTATTTGGTTGTATGCTCCCTGACTTATGATCTGAGCCGTGTGCAGGGCTAAAATATTGGCTCATGTTATATTAGACGATCCGCGCCTGCGCTCATATGCAGATGTGGGTAAAAAGGCCTTTGGGCCTCGATCAACGCTGTTGACCAGCTTTCTTTTCTGTTTGGAAGTCTTTTCTGTTGGGTATGTGCTCAATACTATCGTAACCTTTCAGATCCCTGATATCTGAGAACACAGCGTCGTCCTAGTTACTTTGGCTGCGGACTCCTTGCATTCCGTTGTTCCGACTTATTCTGCCAACACATACAAAATGTGTTCTCTTATTGTGTAAGTCAGCTCGCATCATCTAGCTTTCAACGAGGTAAACTGACGCCTTTTGCAATCAGATTACTACCCACAGTCTTTGTTCCATTGTCTGTTCTTTCATACACGTCCGTTCTGGGCATAGTATCGACCATTCTTGTCGTCGCTGTTCTCTTTATTGATGGGCTATCTAAGACGGAAGGCCCTGGCAGCCTTTGGGATCCAGCTGAAACGTCTATCGGAGTTGGTGGCCTGACTGAGCTTGGTATGGCGTTTGGTTTGTTTATGGCTGGTGTACGCTTTCTTGTCCTGAACGTGAGGTGTCCATTAACTGTCCACTTTATTTGCCCTAGTTTTCCGGCCACGCTGCCATGCCCTCGCTTGCCCGCGACATGATCGACCCGTCGCAATTCGACCATATGATTGACCGGGCCTACGTGAGTACTCAATATCATGAATTGCTCATGTTCGGTATTAATCACCACGCAGATCATCGCAGTAATCGTATATGCCGTGATCGGTTGGGCTGGCTACGTCATGTTTGGCACGAATGTGAGCGACGAGGTCAGCGGCGATCTGCTCGCAACGCCAGGCTATAACCCTGTGCTCAACAAAGTCATGCTGTGGATGTTAGTCATCAGCCCACTGTACGTCCTTATATACCATAACTATCAACCTATTCTCAATCTCACGATCTGCAGGACCAAATATGCACTCGCGACCCGTCCAGTGAGTTACTTGCTATACACTGTAAACTTTCTACCATACCCATCTGACACTTTACTTAGCTCAATGTCATCCTTGAGGTGATGCTTGGACTGGAAGGGAATACGCATGGGCCCGCTGAAGATTCCAATCACGAGCCTAAACCTGCCATTCGGAGCAAGGCACGCATGGGACTGAAGCGCGTCCTTGTCATTGTTGAGCGCGGTGTTATCCCGTTCCTATCTGTCGCAGTCTCTATCCTTATTCCGGAGTTCAGTTCCATGATGGCCTTCCTCGGATCGTTCTCTGCCTTTGTGATCTGTGTCATTGGGCCCATCTCTGCCAAAAGCTCGCTTGCTGGTCACTGGACTTTCTTCGATGCTTCTATATTGGTCATTGCTGTTATTATGGCCGCCTGGGGAACTTACGCCGCGTTCTTGACTGCTTGAGACTCAGTTTTTGTATATCATAGCGTGATCGAAACTAGACTTAGGAGCAGGAAGCTAGGATACCATAAAGATATTGTAGCCTATCGCATTGTCCATATAGAACAGAGTGCATGAATACATGATGAATATTGAATCATTGGGTCTTTGTGCTGTGTGCAATGACTTTTGAGAGTTCTATAATGATTGTCAGCAAAGACCGTGGATAATATAGTGTAGTGAGGAATGGACTGACGAGGCAGCTTAATGCTTTCCTGTACGACAATCGCTTCTATCTGGTTGTCTGGATTCGACGGAATGACAAAGTTAGAGGAGTCCGATGTCCAGCCTTGTCGTGCTGCAAACTGCTCCAGTTCCTCGCCTATGCATTTTTTTGAATGAGGAGTGCTTAAAGACGGGAGTTTGTGCTTACCCTGAAGATCGACGTAAGATCCCAGCCTCTCCTTGCCTATCCGAGTGAAGGTTGCTCGGACAGCGCGGGCAACAACTTCCCGGATAGAGTCCTCAAAGCCGATGCACTCGACTGTGTAGTTTTCACGGATGGACTCCAATGAATCAGATCGGTAGAGAGTCCAGAAGGCAGGGAAGCGACATTGGTGAATCAGGTTATGAAGGTTGGTGAGCAGTGGGAGAAGTTGAGGGAGGGGATCAGGCTCGTCTGGGTTGGCATTTACTGGGCGATCATCTATGAGAGATATGCATAGATTGAAATCGGGGAAGGGAGCAGCGGTGAGGGCTTTCAACAGGATATTGACGACTACATCCGGGTTGTACAAGTCTGGGTTGAACTGGTAGCTGATCTACTGTTAGCCATAAGTTGTCACAGACAAGAACGGCGTAGATTTACAGTTTCAGGATGGCTAGGTTGGCAAGACAGTCGTACTCTTGACTTCGGATTTGGTGATAAAGATAGTCTTCGAGGATGCCGACGTTGGATGGGTTGTACCGGTCTATCATAGCCAGGATTAAAGCACGATCGAGTAGACAGTAAATTATAGCACTCACCTACACCCGAGACCAAATTCTCAATGAGCTCTGTACGCGTAGGAGGAGTCAGCCAGGTGGAGGTAGCGGTGGCCATCGTGCAGGTCGACTTTTTTGAGTTGACAGTAAAAAGGAAGGTTAGATCAAGATTTGGGTCCCTTGCGCGTCTCGGTCCTTGTACGGCTCATGCACCGACTTGGACAATTTGCTCTAGCCCCTTACTCTGTTGTCCATCGACATGGATGTTGATAGCACGTCTCCAGCTTTGGACCAAGAGCATCCGCCAGACACCAATGGAAAGCTTGAGAAGCCAAATTACAGACTGAAGTATATTCTTAGTGGACACACCATGTCGATCTCCACGCTCAAGTTCAGCCCGAACGGCTCTATGTTGGCATCTGCTGGTGAGCTGTTCATCCATGTGGTTCATGTTTTATCTTATACAATCATGCAAGATAGCCGCTGACAAGCTCATCAAACTCTGGGACGCCTACACGGGCGAGATAATACAAACTTTGAGCGGCCACGCCGAGGGCATTAACGATATAGCGTGGTCCGCGGACGGAGAGTATCTTGCTTCTGCCTCAGACGACAAAAGCATCATATTATGGAGCATGGATCTTGTGAGCCCGTGATATACTCGACTCCCTGGCCGTTTCACTCAAGAATATCAGTTCGAAAGAGTCAATACGCTTGAGGGGCATACGAATTTTGTGTTCTGTTTGAACTATAACCCTCGATCAAACTTACTCGTGTCTGGTGGCTACGACGAGACTGTCCGCATCTGGGATGTCGCGCGAGGTGAGTGAACTTCTGCTCTCGCAGTGTTAGACACGATACTGATGTTGACCAGGAAAGTCATTGAGGGTTCTGCCTGCACACTCCGACCCTGTCACAGCAGTTAGCTTCAATCACGATGGGACTCTTATTGTTTCTTGCGCAATGGATGGACTAATGTAGGATATTTGCGCTCGTTTTGAAGGTATCCTGATGGGTGATAGACGAATATGGGACGCGGAGACGGGCCAATGTCTGAAGACTCTCGTTGACGATGACAATCCAATCTGGTCAGTGGCCTAGTTTTCTTTATGATGCTCGCTGACATCTCGATAGCTCTCACGTCAAGTTTGCGCCAAATTCGCGATTCGTGCTGGCAGGCACACAGGATTCGACGCTCAGGCTTTGGAATTGTCAAAGCTCGCGCTGCGTCAAGACGTATACAGGCCATTCCAACCGAACGTATTGTCTCACTGCATGCTTCAGCGTAACGAAGGGCCACTACATCATCAGTGGAAGCGAAGACGCCAAAATATTCATATGGGACTTGCAAACGAGGGACGTGATTCAAGTCCTAGAGGGCCATAGAGGTGAGCACCCGTTTGCAATCCCGGTGTGAAGCGCATATTCACTTATTCAACAGACGTGGTGCTCGCCGTAGCTGTAAGCAATCATCTGTTGATTTCGATTTGAGCTAATCGCTGCGATAGACACATCCCAACCAGAACATCATAGCGTCATCGTCAATGGAGAAAGACCTCACCATACGGTTGTGGGTGGACGAATGAGGTCAATGGGTCACTACTACTGCCGACGGCTGTCGAACGTCAACCCCGCGTTCTCTGCTTCTGTCGTTCGGCCTGTACTGTAGCACGCATTGAGACCCTTATGTATGCGCATGTTGAAGATACCCTGGCATGCTGTTGTTCTGGATTGTGAATATTTGGATTGTTCGAGAACATCGTACCACTGCATTGCACTGGAAAAGGCTGTGTTGGATGCAGGGAGGCGGACATGTGTTGTTCCATGTTGTTCTCCGGCTGGCTCCCGCGCTGACTCAGACCGCTTGAAACTCCGCTCCCCGAGTTATAAAACAACCCCGCGCCCTTATCTCAACGCCAACCGCACTCTCCTCCACACATCACCTCTCTAGACCCAACTTCTACCTACAACCATGCAGATTTTCGTAAAGACCCTCACCGGGAAGACCATCACCCTTGAGGTTGAGTCCTCCGATACCATCGACAATGTCAAGGCCAAGATCCAAGACAAGGAGGGGTGAGTTTGCCTCTTCTGCCTCCGTTTATTTGTACTCATGTCGCACAGAATTCCTCCCGACCAGCAGCGTTTGATCTTCGCTGGCAAGCAGCTCGAGGACGGGCGTACCCTCTCCGACTACAACATCCAGAAAGAGTCCACTCTTCACCTTGTCCTCCGTCTGCGTGGCGGTATGCAAATCTTCGTCAAGACTCTCACCGGCAAGACTATCACCCTGGAGGTCGAGTCTTCGGACACGATCGACAACGTGAAGGCCAAGATCCAGGATAAGGAAGGGTAAGTCTTTGTTTCGTGTCCTCGCTCCCCGTCTGACGTCACCCAGCATCCCCCCGGACCAGCAACGCTTGATCTTCGCTGGCAAGCAACTCGAGGACGGGCGTACTCTCTCCGACTACAACATCCAGAAAGAGTCCACTCTTCACCTTGTCCTCCGTCTGCGTGGCGGTATGCAGATCTTCGTCAAGACCCTCACCGGCAAGACGATCACCTTAGAGGTTGAGTCCTCGGACACGATCGACAACGTGAAGGCGAAGATTCAGGATAAGGAGGGGTGAGATTTCTCTCTACATCGTGTCGAGACTTCGTAGTTGACTGCTGTCTAGTATCCCCCCTGATCAGCAGCGCTTGATTTTCGCTGGAAAGCAGCTCGAGGATGGTCGGACCTTGTCCGACTACAACATTCAGAAGGAATCTACTCTTCACCTCGTCCTCCGTCTGCGCGGCGGTATGCAGATCTTCGTTAAGACACTCACCGGCAAGACCATCACGTTGGAAGTGGAATCCTCGGATACTATCGACAACGTGAAAGCGAAGATCCAAGACAAGGAGGGGATTCCCCCTGACCAACAACGCCTTATCTTCGCCGGCAAGCAGCTCGAGGACGGTCGAACCCTTTCTGATTACAACATCCAGAAGGAGTCGACCCTCCATCTCGTCCTCCGTCTGCGTGGTGGCTGTTGATTGTGTAGCATTCTCACATGGTGTCGGAGCACGGATGTAGTTTATAACGTTCATCATGAATATTATCTTGTCGAGCACTGCGTTGTGCATGGTTAGCAATGCTATGGTGATGGTGTGATCATTCTGAGAAAAATGTCTTCCGTACAATTGAGTGTATCTGTGTTTACAGCCTTGCTCCGTTCATTGAATTGTAGGAAGTTTAGATTATCGCGAGCTCAAGAGGGAGTTTTGCGACGGCGACAATGAAGTATATATGTGTGTTACAATGAAAAAGTTACTATAGTCCACTTTCATTAGGTATTACATCTGAGTTACTCTGTCCCTTATGCCGACGTCGTTTTTTACGAGGGTTTTGAGGCTTTGAGGCTTGCTGCTCGTCATTAGTTATGTCCATGCTTTTGCGTTTTTGGCCCGCGTTAACTGCCTCATTCGAGTCCGCGGCCTTCCTCTTCACACTCAGCGGATTTGGACCTTTGGGGCCCTTTTTCTTGACATTGGTCGCTGCCTCCGTCCTTTGAGGGAGAAGCACAAGGTCACGGTCCTCAGGGTTTTGAGATTGGTCTTCTGCCTGCAAGGCAGTTTAATAAGACTGTAGGAATGATAACTCGAATACACATACCCTCTCTTTTGCTTTCAGAGTCGCGTCGCTGGGTGGTTCAAGGATCACAACGGAGCGGTTGACATGAATTACCGGAGTACCAGCAACACCCCTGAGGTGTGCCCGCAGCTCATGAGACTTCGTTGCCACCACATAACGATGCTTGTTAGTTTCGCCTTGCTTCCAATGTTAGTAAAACAACAGGTGCTGCGAATATGACTTGACGCACCGACTACGGTTTTAAGGCATTCATCCCCTGCAATAGGTTCTCTGTGGTTACACTTCCGCCGTTCAAGCGCTTTCGCAAGGTCGACCGCAGGTTGCTGTGTTTTTCCCTGCAAATATAACTCGTGTATGCAGCACTGGGTGATCACTATGTGACTTGTGTAAGAAGCGATAAGCCGGTCGTGGTCGACGGGATGTGTGCGACTCACTTGGCTTCACCGTTCCTTGAAGAACGGTGCCCAGGTGCTTTGCGAGGTCCAGGCTAGATCCTGTAGCGAACTTGCACATCTCGGAGTCGACTAGGAGATATCAGCCAGGAAGCTGAGGGGGAGCAGCGAATATGACGTGCCGAGAACCTGATAGGGTTGTCTGAACCCAAAAAAAGTAGAGTACGAAGACATGAGTTTGCGATAGGTTTTAGCGCGTTTTTGCCTCATGTTGAAGGATCCGAGATTACGGGGTGGGCGAGAACGAGATTGAAGAGACGTTGTGTTTGGGTGTGTTGTATCAACGCGAACAAGCTCTACTGCTCGCGTCCATTCTCAGCGCTAGACCACGTTTTCGGAGGTGACACTTCAGGACGTCACAAGTACTCACTGCGTCACCTATACCACACCACACGTCGATGAAGCTTACACTCATCTCAACCTTGTTGGCACTGTCGGGGTATGCATCATTTACATTCCACGACGCGGCACTCCAGGCTAACTTGAAGTAGAGGTATTCTTGCGTTGGATGTTCAGGGCACCATACGATGGAATGAATTATGTCCTTGTGCGCTTTTCACTCTTTCTTTCCACCTCTCGGGATGTTAACGTTTATTGACATTCACAGCTTATGATAACTTGGGTAACTCTAGAGTTGTTCTTGACAACGGGCTTGCATCGGGGCGCATAACGCGTAACGGGACGTTCTCAATGTATGTCCTCCATAGGTTGAACCGCCGCCGACAGCTCACCGTTATCAACGTAGACCAGATGTCCCTACTGGTGCTTACGTTCTGTCAGTCATCTCTCATGACTATGTTTTTGACCAGGTAATATATGTCTTTCCTCTTGCCTGCGACATAGCGTGACATGATCAAGCTTCTTCTAGACGTTGCGGACTCAGAGTCAACGCCTGACGTTCGATCTCACATTATGGGAACGTCTTACTCGCCCTCGACGAGTGCAAACTTACCATATCCTGTGGTACTCGTTCCCCGGCACAAGAACAACTACTTTACGCCTCATGAGTCTTTCAACCTTCTGGGAATGTTCCAGAACCCCATGATGCTCATTATGGTCTTGACTGGTGCAATGATGCTGGCCATGCCCTATATTATGGTCCGTTGCGAACTTTGTCGTGAGTACCAGAGGCTGAATGATGTCTTATTAGAAAAACTTGGATCCCCAAACGCTGGAAGAGCTCAAGGGACAACAGGCTAGAGTAACAAGTCTTCAGAACTCGTTACAGAACGGGGATCTTAACGCGGGGTGAGTGAATGCTGGCGTATCGTGGCATCACAGAGAGCTGATGTGATGGATGTAGTCTGTCCGCCCTGCTCGCTGCCGAAGAGGAAGCAAAGGGATCCTCCACGGCTCGCGCGCCACCACAGGTAGCCCCGCAACAGCGCAAAGGCGCAAGAGGAGCCAAACGGCGATGAAGCTTAATAGACCTGAAACTTCATCATGACGATGGCGTGCCATTCGGATTATAACTACTACTTGGGGCGGGTTCGACACCACTCTTAGCTTTGACTGTATTTGGGTAATCAAAGACAGAGCGAAGAATGGAGTTCCTGCCAGCTCATAAGTCTGTCGCTCTGGCTGACAATGCACAGCATACATACCGGTGCTTAAACTGTGCCAACGTTTGATGCGGGTTCGGTGGGTGGCTCTGAGATGCTTGCGCCTTGCTGCTGAGGGGTCAAACATTATCGCTTGGCATTCAGGTAGTACTTACGAGTCATCCGAGGGTGACGTGAGATCGAGAATATACATATTTTCATTCTTTGCGATCTCGTCGTCGGCGCCTGCCCCACGGGCAGCTACGCACTTGACAGCAGTTGCCGCGAGAACACTAGACGTGCTATGCAGTGTCGGATTTATGGTAGCCGAGGTATCGTACTGCAGCACAATGACGTGCTCATCTGGATGACGAGGCAACAAGGAGCGCGGTGAATCGTCAGCGAAGCGGTACTCAATAACCGGATGAGACAAAGCAGTTGAACTAGGATTCGATGTTGCCTGAAGAGAAGAGTGGGCATAAAGAATGTAGTACGGTGGTTGCTCTGCCATCTGATGTAATGTGCGCAAGGGTAGTAGGGGCTTGAACAAGTTTGAAGTCGTTCCCGGCCGCGGCAAACCGTGGTGGAAAGATGAGCACGTGGTCTACGTGTCTCTGCCAGCAAAGGCCCCTGGTGCAGCGCGTCAACATTGATACTTTGCCCCCATGTCATCTGGCAACCGCTTGATTTTCTCACCTTCTCACCTGGTCTGGGCAGCTTGCGACCCTATACAACCTCGATGCGCGACGAGTTGCAGCGACTCCTCTGCACGGATATACAGGCTTTGGCGGAAATCTGGCCTGCCAATGGCGAGACGAGGACAAGTTGACAAGAAAAGCTGATGCTTGCCTTCGCATCTCGATCATGGGATCTCATGAGACTCAACTCCATCTAGGATCTTCGCTACGGTGTTGCTATAGGTCACCCAGTCTCTCGGCTTGGTTTAGCTTGGTACCATAGCTTCATTGATTTGCTGGCATGCACTGGCTCGACGATCCACATGGTCACGTCTCATCACACCAACTGTTGCGGTGTTCAATGACTTCTCCGCTTCATGTACAAATACTCGAGGTTCTCAATCCACTGGCCTCATCAGTTTCTCCCTCCTTTGCTTCTTTTCGCAGACATCTAAATCTTCTTTTTACTCACCATGTTCCGTCTCGCTGCTCTCGCTCTTTGTGCCGTTACTCCCGCGCTGGCCGGTGTTGTGCTGGTGCGTATCCATAGCTTTCTTGAAAAACAAAAATATCATCTCATCCAACGCTTATTTACAGGTCCGTGACCCCTCCCCCAGCGACATTCAGACTTACCTCGACGTCCACAACGCCGAGCGTGCGCAGCACGGCGCCAATGCTCTTGTATGGAACAGCACCCTTTCCGGCGCTGCCCAGAGCTGGGCCAATGGCTGTGTCTTCCAGCACTCTGGAGGATCTCTCGGCCCCTACGGCGGTAAGCATTATGTTTGGCTGCATGAACTAAGTTTCGCTGATATGAGCTCGCGTCTTCAGAGAACCTTGCCGCTGGCACCGGTAGCTACAGCATTACTGACTCCATCAACAGCTGGGATAGCGAGGAGTGTATGTCCAGCGCGTGATTCGTGTCTCACAAACTCGCTCACACGTATCATTAGCCCAATACGACCCCAGCAACCCCCAGTACTCCCACTGGACCCAGGTTGTCTGGAAGGGCACCACTGACCTTGGCTGCGCTGTCGCAACTTGCAACGGCATTTTCGACGCTAGCTACGGTGTAAGTGCTCGCTCAGGCATGTTGACATTATTTGCTCATGTTCGTGCGACCAATAGCCCGCTCAGTACTACGTCTGCGAGTACTACCCTGCTGGCAACGTTATCGGCGAGTTTGCGTAAGTATTTATCCTTACTACTGGGTCGCAAGGCGTTAACACCTTACTGTAGCCAGAACGTCCAGAAATAAGCGGCTTCCCCTCTTTATCTGGATGCACTGTGTGGAATATTGGTCTCCATTCGTAGAGAGGAGTATCTTATGTGTTAAATTAAGGAATAAACATTTTAGTCCTTCAAGAAAGATTTGGCAGCGTCAAAACTTCCCTCAGAAGGTTGTCTTAGATATTTCGGTCGGAAAACCAGTTGGATCACTGGCAAAAGTCTCGCAGAGTTAGTTCACGGTCCACCAAATGTCAATGAGAGTACTCGGCCATCGATGCATGACAGTTGCGTAACTTTGAATGGTCCCCTGGATGGACTTGATACCCGGCGATAAATTGACTGATGGTAGACTGGAAGCTTTGTATATCGTTAAGTAGTTGCTTCCATGCCATGGAAACAATGGTATCAATCAAGCAGTGTCCATCCACTCAACTGAGTCTCCTTGAAGCTGCAATCATCATTAGCTAGTGCGGCCTACGGGCCGAATACTGCCAATCCGGAAAGGGGTAAGTATCTCCCTTTGCTATTAGTTAGACTCAAGGCCCTAGTGGGCACACCTGGACCCGAAGGACGCTTTGTCTACACAACCACCTCTAGCATACATCTACTAGTTGCACTGGCTGCGCCCAGGAGAACACATCTACTGCACAACGAGGCCCATCTTAAGAGTGCTAGGAGGAGATCAATATTTGTGAATAGCACATCAACGGCAGTGGCTACTTACGGGCGAACTATACGCGTTTGTCTACATAACAACCTCTAGCATATATGTACTGAACAATGAGGCCCGCTGGTGGAGGTCGACGGAATGCAAAACAAGGCGACCGATATTGGTGCCAAATAACTGTTCATTTTTTTGTACTACAAACCTGGTCATGTTTAGAGGAACGTCATACAAGTCTCAACAGGGTTACCACTGTCGGGGCGTCAACGCATCTGGCCAGGTCCACCGCATTGCGCACATTCAGAGCACCTGACATTAAATGCGCTTTGAGTGGGCGGAATCAGTAAAGAACACATGTAAGTGCTGCCGCAGAGACTGAGACATTGCCAAATTTAGACATAAACCTTGCGGTGCGGGCCATCCGCGCTTGCGGGCCGCGAGCCGGCATGATCGAAGGGATACGACATTTCTTTCCTTATACCTGGAGTCTTCGGCTCCAGGAATTCTCTGCATGCTGCAGCCATCGCCTCGGGTGATCTGGCTGTGGGTCTCCAAGACTTCATATGCTGCCATAGTAATCATAACTGCTTGCTTTTTGGTGATATCCTACGGCGCGTTGTTCTCTCAAGCAGTGCGGACTTCACCAAGACAAACATGGAAGAACAACTGGTCCGTTCTCACTACCGGAGCAACATACATTGTCGTCGTCAGTCGATTTCGATATTCGACGTCGTTCGCATTGTTTCTCACCATTCTCCAGCTTCTCATCTCTATAGTACTATGCGTCAAGCGAAGAATTACGATCGCGCGGAAGATGCAGCGTGTCTCTAAAGCCCATACTGGGCTCAATAAGCGAGATATACCAAAGGTATGTCTGTTCACTTGTAGCTAGGACAAGCTATAATATTAAACGTCGCAGCCTGTTCATGACTATATTATGGAAGAATACGCTCGTTCTTGCCTGATCACTTACGAGTGCCAGCCGAAGAACACCGTCCACCTTGGGTGGGGTCGACTTGGTATGTAGTACTGTTTCTGTTATACACCGTATTGCGGGGGCTGACAGCCTGAAGGCACGAAGTATAGCGGAATGCGTTTCCGACGCACGCTTCTTGATACCATCGCAGACATCGGTAAAGCTCCTCTCGCGTGCATTGTCATTAGTCTAATCTGCGGCTGGGTTAAGATAATCGTGCAAGATTGGTTATACCTAGTCATCCAGTCCTTAAACCTCACGCGCGCATCTTACACCACTTTCGATTTATTCTACCACTCCTTCCCAAGGACGAAGACGGGCTGACTGCGTTACACTACTATGATTCGGCCATCCAGCTCGCCAGGATCTCAGAACAGGAACTCACGGAGGAAGAGTTCGAGACCGGTATGCGAGCTGCAAGCGACATACAGCAGATGTGAGTTCGAAGCATTTTTGGTACATTTTACTCGTGTTCACTGTGGCCAGACTGAACGAATGTCGATTGGAGATGTTGGAAGAGTCAAGGACACAACTTAATGTCTCCCCACATTCTGGGCTAAAGAAGTACTCATAAACTTGTCCCATAGTCTAACTCGGGCATGTTACATGCACTGCAGATTATGTCTATTGCCTTGTGAATTCACTATCATCCATTAATCTAATTACAAGGTATGACCCATTCGAGGGCTGCAAGTTTCTGCAAGCGCACACCTCGGACAGAAGCCAAGAGACCAAGATCTAAGGCTGGTATGATACTCCGTAACTTCACAGCAAACGAAAACACTATGTTGAAAGCAATTAGAACAAGAAGACCTGGAGAAAGATTGTTAATAGTAGCGACTCCAAGAAGACACGGTATTACCTGATCATCAAGTTTGCTGATAGTCCGAGGAGCAGAGTAGTTGAGCTCCGACAAATGCTTCCTAACGAAAAATGAACACTCCAATGGGGTGAGCATAGAATTACCACTTACTTCATAGCGTTCATCATAGGAGGGGGTCCACACATAAGTACTTTGATGTTGTCGTCGGTGGGTGGCATAAACTTCTCGACCTGGTCCTTGGAGACGAAGCCGACGCCGCCAGTCCAGCCCTCAGGAGGGTTGTTAAGGACGTAGTAAACTTGGAAACGGTTGGGGTGTGCGGCGGCCAAGTCATCAAGCTCCTTCTTCAGGAGAATGTCCTCAAAGTTGACGTTGGCATATATGAGGCTCAGCTTAGTACGATCAAGAGGGTTCTTGAGCGCTGCACGGATGATCTGTAACATAGGCGTGATGCCAGTGCCGCCAGCAATCATTCCCAGCTCGCGCGACAGAGAAGGGCCGTATTTGAAGAAGCCCTTGGGTCCACGGACGCGTATCTTGTCGCCAACTTTGAGGAGGGAAATGTACCGGGAAATGTTACCCTTCTCATAAGCCTATGCACCCATGAGTACTTTTCATTCTCAGTAACATGAATGCATCAGCAGACCTTGACAAGGAGATCAAAGTGGCCGAGGTCATCGTCACTGCTGGTAGGGGTGTAGCTGCGCATGATGTCCTTGCCGTTGATCTCAGCGGAGATGGAGATGTGCTGGCCAATGGGGAGGCCTAGAACATCGTCAGGCCGGGGAAGAGCGAACCGGTAACTGAAACGAACGTTCATTCAGCGTCAAGAAACAGGGACAGGCTTATAGTTACTTACATAGCAGTGTTGGGAGAAATAATGATTTTCTCCTTGAGCGGGAACTCTTGCCAGACCTGAGGGCTGAGGATGGGTTTTCTCTCTGAGTAGGCGCGCGTCGACGACGCGTTAAACATTGAAAAAGCGCGACTAAGCTGTAAACATACTAGAGTTGGAGAAGAACTTCATGTAAACGAGTGTGGTGGTGGCCACCGCCAGAGCGATGGCGACCATTTGGGCATAGTTGCTCTCGAGGTAAGAAGCCATGACTTTGTCGCCTGGTTGTTTCTCGGTAACTTGGTCGTCTAATCCAATAAGAATGAGTCGTGCGGGGTCGTAGCCTGCTTCTCTAAGCTTGTCCCGAACGAAATGGAAGCCTATGGCCAAGGCAGAGAAAGTGCCCAAGAAAGAGGTAAGAAACGTCGCCTGTTCTCGGTTCATGGCGCGACGCAAGCAAATATTTCAAGTTCGGGGTTGCCGCGGCGAACGGCCGAACCAACTTCCACATCCAGACAGGTGTACAAAGTACAAACACAACAACAAAGCTTACGATTCAGCGCTTACTGTCCTACTACTAATAGGCCTCTGTTACTGCACTAACTGTAGTCTGGTGAATCGGACGCGAGTCTCATGCAAATTTACTGTGATTTCTCGGGTTTAAACGGGTTTACACGAGTCTAATCGGTCCTGTGAGTTAGCGTGCCCGACGCACGCGCCGACAGTGAGCACATCCATGAGCTCATTTTTTCTCGCCTTCGAGATCCGCCACTCCTCTGCGTCACTCCTGGTCCCCTATCGTGCCACCGGAGTTGTGCGCACGAGTACTTTATAAACCCCTAGGCAGGATAGGAGATGGGTGCCGGTCACTCACTCTCTTTCCTGCCAGGTAAGAGCTCACTCGCCAGAATTTCTGCTGGCGAGGCCGGTCGCTCACCCTCTTTCCTGCCAGGGTTTTTCCGAGCTACAAGTCGTCGTTCCTCCCATCGTCGTTTCACCGTATGTCCGACCACAATGGAGAACACTCCTCAGAAACCGTTAGGGAAAACTCGCCTGCACCCGGACCATCCCGTGTCACCGACGTCGCCCCAGAGCCTTCTCCAACGAATGTCCACGAAGCGTGCACTGACGCCGTCAGACGATACACCTCGGGGCAGACCCCGCGAAAGACAATGGTGATCCTCGAAATCCAGGCCGCACTCGCGGACGAGCGAAAGGACATCTCGGAGCTCGTCTACGAGAACGCTCTTGACTCGTATTGCGTCCTCCTCGACAATCACGACCGACAACGCCGCGAGTCAATCACCCGTGGCAAGCAACGTGCCACCGACGGCGATGGGGGAGGCACCCCTGAACCCGATGGAGGAGGACTCGGCGGATCATCATCGTCGGGTACGCCGAGGAGGAGCGAAGAACCGACGGCGAAGAGAGCGGCGTCTCAGGGAAGGAAACTCGGAGGCAGAGGAATCAAGCGCGGTCGGGCGACCGGCGCGGCTTCTCGATCGTCTAGCGGCTCCCCCGAGCCCGTCTTCAGCGGGGTGTTCAATTACCTCGAGGACAGCTTCCACTGGAGGGACCCCGACGGACCCGTCGGACGTGGCCTCTCACCTGTCGAACGCACGCTTCTCTATGTACGCTGCTGGTGCCGCAAGCCCAAGGTCGTCAGGGACGACATCCTCAACACAGTTGACTCGCCTCCATGTCCCTGGTCCGAGTGGCTCAACCTTGTCACCGGGCAAGCTGTCAACCTCGAGACCATCCACGCCGCCACCAACTCTAGCGCCATTGGGTACAACGAGACTGCCGACGTTGGTTCGTCGTTCGAGATCTCTTTCCGAGGAGCGGAGGAAGCTAGAGCCATCAAGCGGTATGGGGATTGGGTCACCTGCTGGACGTATGCCATGGACGCGTACGCGTTCCTCTTCCCTTGGAGAACGCGAGAGCTCGTCGACTATATGCGACATATCTGTCAGCTCTTCACCTCTACCACGGAGTCCGTGCACGCCCGCGTGCTCTCGTATGACAGGGCAGTTCGACTTCTCATCGGACGCCAGCGAGGCGTGCGTTTCAACGATTTCGCAACCTTTGAGCCTCTTCGGCTCGCCCACCTCCACACTATCGGGATCGTCGGGTCTGGACTCCCCCCGGTCGGCAAGACCCCTAACGCCGCTGGACCTAGCAGCAGTGGATCCAAGAATAAGCGACGCAAGGATGAGTCCTGCAACCGATTCAATGGGGGAGTATGCCCCAACGACGCCGCCTCCTGCTCATACAAGCACCAGTGCAGCAAGTGCGGAGGAGCGCACCCGAAGGCCGAGTGTAGGAAGCCGAAGGCTTGAAGAGGGTCAGGTAGATGAAGGCCCGCGTGCACGTCGTGGGCTCGTTTGGACGTCGGGGGGATCGGCCGTCAGCAGGACGGCGCTGTGGACTGAGACTGCAGACCCGCTCCCCGAACCACCGATCGACGCGCCGTCGTCGGCAGTCCCTCTACAGACCATATCGGACCGACCGGATCTCTTCCCTATTGTAACGCCTATCCGCGTCGATCGACTCGAGAGCCTGCTTGCATCGCACCCGAACCGAGTTTTTGTCGATTCAGTGTGCACCAGCTTCCGGCGCGGTTTCTGGCCGTTTGCACAGGCTAGGCCACTCGAATACCCGCTGACCTGGGACTACGCCCAAGCAGGATCCTCCGACGAGGCAAAGCAAAACTTTCTCCGAGCCCAGGTCGCCGAGGAAGTGCGCCTTGGGCGTTACTCGGCCGACTTCGGGCCGGATTTACTCCCCGGAATGTACTCTACACCCATTCACGCCGTACCCAAGCCTGGTTCAGGCAAATTTCGCCTAGTCAACGATCAGAGTGCAGGCCCATACTCCCTCAATTCAATGATCGATCGGGAGGATGTCGCAGGCGCCTCCCTCGACAACGTCCGCGATCTGGGGTATGCCTTACTCCAAGCAAAGCGAAATTGGCCGGATGAGACACCCGTCCTCTTCAAGTCCGACGTGAAGAGCGCGTACCGGCTGATCCCGGTCCACCCGCTCTGGCAGATATTGCAGATCGTGTCGATTGACGGCTGTCGGCACGTCGACCACTGCAACTGTTTCGGGAGTCGCGGAGCGCTGAAGGCTTTCCAGTCCTTCATGGCGCTCGTACTCTGGATCATCGTGAAGAAGCTCCTCATCCCGGCATACCTCTACGTTGATGATGGGTTTGGGCCAGCCCGACCGGGCGCGATGCGATTCTACGGCCCATACGGCGTCATGATGCCGACGGTACAGGCCATGGTGCTGGACTTGTTCGACTTCATCCGAATCCCTCACGACCCGGCCAAGCAAGTCCACGGCACATGCCTCACCATCATCGGACACGAAATTGACACGGAGCTCATGGTGGCGCGCATGCCTCGGGAGTCATTAGCGCGCCTCATTGAGCTCATGCTCGACTTCGTCACGACACGCCGGCGGCGGACGCTGCGAGAATTCCAACACGTTGCCGGCAATGTTTGCTGGGGCCTCAACGTCCACCCGCTCATCCGCCCGGGTTTATCCACAACTTACGAGAAGATGGAGGGGAAGACCCGGGGGAACGCCCGTATCTGGGTCAGCACGCGGCTGGTGGAAGAGTTCCTGTGGGCAGTGGGCCACCTCGGGACGTCTCACGGCGTCTTCTTCTTCAAATCGCTCACATGGACGCCTGACGACTACCGCAGTGCGACGACCGCGTACACCGACGCCTCGCTCTCGGGCATGGGAGTGTGGATCCCACATCTCAATGCCGGCTTCTTTGCGCCCATCTTTGACCCGGACCAAGCCATTGCGTTCTATGAGACGTTAGCGGTCCACTGCGCTCTCGTGTTTCTCGCTGCCAGCACGCCAGCGCACCGCCGCATCCTCATCCACTGTGACAACCAGGTCGCCGTCCACCTGTACTCGTCGTTCGCGGCGCGGCGCGGATACAACACCATCCTGCGCGCGTCGGTTGACATACTTCTCGCTCGGGACTGGGACCTCCGCGTGCGGTGGTTGCCGACCGAGGACAACGAGGTTGCCGATGCTCTCTCGCGACAGAACTTCATGCGCCTCGCGGACGTAGCGCCCGACCTCCACCTTATCCCGTTTGCGCCCCCGCCGGAGCTGCTGGGGGCGCGAGCATCGTGAACGACCTGGCGCGCACGTCCAGGACACCCCGAGCCACCTGGACGTGCGAAAGGTTTGACCACGAGCTGGCCGTGACCTTGGGCTATGCGCTCGATGCTTCCACTTCCTTGACGTACACATCCGCCTTGAATTCGTATTTGAACTTCTGTCGCCTGCACAAGTTTCCCGTCCGCCCCACTCCCGAAAACTTCACCAAATTCATTGTCTACATGCAGTTCTACATCAAGCCCAAATCCATCACTTCCTACCTGTCCGGCGTCTGCAGCCAGCTCGAACGCTTGTATCCCGACGTGCGTGCCGTTCGAAGGGCTCCCCTTGTCGCAAAGACCCTTCGCGGATCGCACCGGAGGTTTGGCGCTCCGACCGCTCGCAAGGACGCGATCTCGCGCGACGATTTGGTGTTCGCGGCCAACAATCTTGACACCGACACCAGTTTCGATGATGCCCTTGTTCTAGCCCAACTCCTCGTTGGTTTCTATGCCCTCTTGCGCGCCGGCGAACTCAACGTCGCCGACAGAGTGGAGCTGCGAGATTTCGCCAAGCTCACCCTGCGCCTATCTGCATCCGTATCCGACAACTCCCTCTCCTTCACGCTCCCGCGTCACAAGGCGGACAAGACGTTCGAAGGCGACCACGTAATGGTCGTTGACGCAGGCCAGTCCCCAAATCCCGTACGCGCCTTTGCGGCTTATCTGCGCCGGCGTGACTGCATGTTCCGCCTGCACCCGCAGCTATGGGTGCGTGAGGACGGATCCTCACCTACGCGCGCCTGGTTCTCTCGACGCCTCCGTGCCATACTTCCCCAAGGCCATTCCTTTTCGGGTCACTCCTTACGTGCGGGAGGAGCCACCGCGCTCGCCGAAGATGGTGTCCCGCCTGATCAAATCATGGCCTTAGGTCGTTGGTCCTCCGACGCGTTCAAAGTCTATATCAGAAAGCATCCCGCCCTCATCACCGCGCTCCTCCTCTCACGCCGATGACCCGCCCCGCTCTCGCCTCCTTCCATCGCCTTGCTCACGTATCCTTCCATCAAAAAAAAAAAAAAAAAAAATTAATAGCCAATACGGGCCGGAGGACTCGAGCTCCTAGCTTTCCATTTTCCTTAGCTACGTTTTTTCTCCCTCTACGCGTACTCTCCATCCGCGCACGGGTTACTTAGTCACATCTTGATAGACTTGTACCACTACGTTACATTTTGTCTATTACGATTCGGGCCCCGGTCCGTCCGGGAGCCGCGGCGCCTCTACCTCTCGGGTGCGACCTAACAGTCAACTGCAGGATCGATTAGTCGGGTTTAAACGGGTTTACACGAGTCTAATCGGTCCTGTGAGTTAGCGTGCCCGACGCACGCGCCGACAGTGAGCACATCCATGAGCTCATTTTTTCTCGCCTTCGAGATCCGCCACTCCTCTGCGTCACTCCTGGTCCCCTATCGTGCCACCGGAGTTGTGCGCACGAGTACTTTATAAACCCCTAGGCAGGATAGGAGATGGGTGCCGGTCACTCACTCTCTTTCCTGCCAGGTAAGAGCTCACTCGCCAGAATTTCTGCTGGCGAGGCCGGTCGCTCACCCTCTTTCCTGCCAGGGTTTTTCCGAGCTACCCACCCACCTTCCCCCTCGAGCTCCTAGCTTTCCATTTTCCTTAGCTACGTTTTTTCTCCCTCTACGCGTACTCTCCATCCGCGCACGGGTTACTTAGTCACATCTTGATAGACTTGTACCACTACGTTACATTTTGTCTATTACGATTCGGGCCCCGGTCCGTCCGGGAGCCGCGGCGCCTCTACCTCTCGGGTGCGACCTAACAGTCAACTGCAGGATCGATTAGAATCTATCTTGCCCGAATATACCTTGGTTACACTCGCTTATATGGTAGAAGACCGTTGTACAGTATGTTGCACTTTTATCAGGCGCTCGCCAATAGAGTCTTGGTCCTGATAGTGGAGCTACGAAGTCAGCGGGATCCAGAAGCTTGATTGGCAACTCTCCCCACAGTTCTAGGCTAAGTGCTCAGTCAAAGATCCGAACTCACCGCAGCCCAGTGGCCAATACATACCATTACCAGAAATCCTAGAGGCTTAGTGGCGTACTAAGATTGTCTACCAGGTGCACCTGACGACGCAGCTTGGCGAGCAACGGTAACCTTGTACTTTTCTGCAAAACGCCACTATGTCCCACGAATGTAGGGAAAGGGCGCAGGCGTGAACTTGGGTTTCATGTCTCTGAGACCACGGGGGACGTGTGAAAAGTGTGTTGTGCACGTTCTGATGTGCAGCGCTGCTCGTACGCAGCGTCACTTTTAATCTCCATCATGTCGAGGGAGGCAGTGCGTTTCGTATTCATAGGTGTTGTTGTGTGGTTCCACGACGTCCAGGCTCAAGGATGTGCCGTGGGATAGGGAAGGTTAGAGGGAATGGGCACACGAGCCAATCGGTGAATCGATATAATTGATCGTAGCAATTCATTAGTGACTATGCGTCACTACAATAGTACATAATTATAGTTGCAGTCAGTGGGTATATGCATAAACACGGTCAAACAAGTTGGGGCCCTGCTGAGCATCTCTGGAAAGCCTTCTTTATCCCAGCCTACCCAAGAGGACTGTTAGTACGGAGTCAGCCGCAACGTCAAGAGACTCGCGCAACGACGACACCCCAACGGGCTTATCTTTCTTATTCTTTTTCTTCGTATATTCCTTTTCGTTCTTCGGTGCAGTACTTGCATATACGGTCTGTCTGGTTACGACCAATCTTCGTATCTTGTTCCCGTCTTTCTTTGAAACCAACATTGGTATTTTGTAACCTTCATCGCTCACGCTGGTCGTGCTCTTTTCAACCTCAACGTTATCATGCAATCCATGCTTCATGACTCCACGCCTCAAACGCCCTCACTGCGCCCTCAGCCACGCAAAAGAGGCCCTCCCACAGCCCTCCTCATTGACACCAGCCTGGCGCGAAACCCCATAATAATCCTCCAAGACGAGGATGCACCATCAAAACCTCCCGTCGACGCTCCCCCAAGTCCCCTTTTACCGCCAAAGCCTAAACTAGGCGATCGGAAGAACATGAAGCGACTTTCGCTCAATCTTCCTTCCGCTCAGTCCTCCTCCCTTTCTCTTAACTCTCCCCTATTGGATGTCCCTCAAACTGCGGTAGATCCACCTCTCAATGGACCGTACTCTTCTCGGCCCCGCAGGCCCTCAGTACTCTCCCTTCCCAACACAGCGACACCCATAATCCATCGCAAAGACGAGGACGGATCGCCAGCCGCACCTTATACAGACGGTCCCATCCAGATTCTTCCAGGTATATGGCTTGGGTCAGAGGACAATGCTAGAGATTGGCCAGCCTTGATGGAACGAAATATCAAGTCCATTCTCAACGTTGCCAAGGAAGTTCAGCTTCCTTTCGACTCGGCGACCGGGCCGCCATTGCGCGCCTTCTCCTCAACTCCCAACCTTGCAGCTGGCTCGTCAAAGTCAAGTGTCTCGACGTACTATCCTCCGCATGTTCCCAGCGGCAGGCCTGGCATGTACTACCTCAAGCTCCCATGGTCTCATGGGCAGTCGGACCTTGTGCGCGATGGTTTTCCTACAGCGATGGCGTTTGTCGACGCCGCCCTAGCGCGCCACGAGGGAATACTCATCCAGTAAGGTTGTTTTCAATGTCTTTGATTATTCACTGACATGATCTACGTGAATCAGTTGTCAGTGCGGTATTTCCCGATCAGCGACCCTTGTCATCGCGTTAGTGATGCGGGCCTCTCATACGCGCTCAGCTTCTGTACCTCCTGAAGTGTGGGATCTGCATAGCATGCAAGCTGCTTACGCATTTGTCAAAGAAAAGAGCCAACAAGTGGGCCCAAACATGTCGTGCGTTGTCTCAGATGGACTTGGTTGTGCTTCTATTTTCTAACAAGGCTTAAAGGCTCATATACCAGCTACTTGACTATGAGAAGGTGCTTAAAGGTGGCAGCACATCCCCTACTCCTTCTGACAAGTCGTCGTGTTTGAGCGAAGAAGAACGGGAATGGGGTCGCCGCAGGTCGGCTTACGAGAATAATGATATTGATGATCGGGAGAGTGAGATCATTCAACAGGAGGCTCGGAACCTTGACCGTGCAATGGAAGAACGCATCATTGCGCGCAAACCGTCAGCTTCCTCTATCACATCTTCAAATGGAGTAGGCATGGGCGTTGCTTGGCGTAGTCGCTACGGACGGAACCGTGCTGGATCCACTGCTAGCGGTGCCAGTGTTCTCAGTGAGGACTTGGTGGAGGCCGACGAAGAACCGGAATTGTTAGGGGTCGGTGGTGGCTTTGATGAGTCTAGTGACTCCCGAACAAGTCCGTGCCTGTCACTTGCCAGCGGATCTTCTGGCACCAAGGACAGCATCACTGAACGGTCTTCGAATTTGAAAGGTGAACATAAGTTCCCTTTCCTGCGGACTATGTCAGAGTCATCCTCGTCTTCACTGCCTGAAGGACACGAACGTCAGGTCACAGTATCTTTGCCTCCCAGCGGCAAAGGCTCTTTCAAATCGAAACGCCGACCCCCTCCTCTAAAAACCTTGCCGCCTGTTCCTCCTTCCCCTGTCACCCCTTCACAGAGCATGCCTATGCCTCAGCCTTTGACTGCCCAGCCGAGGAGACGTTTATCACGCAAAGCCGCACCTCCCCCCCTCAAACTTCGGAGCAGCGAACCTACCAAAATTACCTTTCCACCCAAGTCTTCGGTTCATCAGCAGCCCATGGCAACCACACCGTCACAAACACTTCTTGTCTTCCCCCCTTCTCCTTCAAGACGGCCTTCAACGTTACGGACGCCATCGACGATGACCATCACATCCCATTTTGCTGCTTCAAACGCGTATCCTTTTCCTCCATTACCCACCCCTCGCGTTAGTGCATCGAGCAGAGAAGGGCGGGCTCGTTCCTTTATCGGCATTGGCTCTCCTGCTGTCCCTACCACTGCATACTCGCGCGTTGACGCGCGTGGATGGGTGGGACTTCGTGATACATCTGCCTCTTGAGGCGGGTGCTTTCATTCAAACATTTTTATGTATGCTTTTCTTCACAGTCTGGACTTTCTTTCCGCATCGAGTCACGCAAGAGTTAGGACTGGTTTTCATTGTGTTTTATGTATCTGTTCTCCAACTGGACTTGCATATTTTGAGCCCTTGGGCACCCTGTACATATCTATGTAACCTAACGGCGAGGTGTTGATAATATAACACTTATCGCTATAGCGATTGCATCATCCGAAGAGCTTCCCTACGCTGTTCTTCATGACACCTCCAACAATCTGACCGCCAATGCCTCCCATGCCCAGGTTCCATCCTGACGTAGCGATGCCTGTGGCCCATCGTTGCTTTGCATCACGGTCCCTAGTTTATAGACACTAGTCTTAGCGAGCGATGTGTGTATTGAAAGGCAAGCACTTACGCGTAAGTATACCCAATAACGAGCGTTATGTTGAAGACCAGCGCAAGAATTACGATGGGAACGAAGCTATACAGTAGCTCTGAGCATGAAAGCAAAAGAGCCTGCACTCTAAACTTACGATACATTGAAACGGATGATTGACACGACAAAGAGAAGCAGCCACGCTGCTGGAAACGTATAGAGGGCAATCTAGAAAGGAGGGTTAGCTAAGATAGACCATGGTTATAATGGACGATTTCACCCAGAACATCCTGCGGACGCCATTGAGCTTTATGAGTTACTCGATCAACAATGCGTACTTACTTGGAGTCGACGGGATTTGCGGGCCGCGACGGCTTTACGCTACTGTGAGCAACATCGGATGGATATCAATAAGGGAAGGCGAACATCTCTGCTCTCAAAGACCCAATAGCTCTCGCCGTCCTCATCAACCTAATATCCAAAGATTGGTGAACAACATAGCTCAGAGTAAGCTATCGTTTACATACTTGGTTCCAAAATCTCAATCCTACGAGTGTTCGTCCAGAGACATTCTGTGTGCATGATTAGCATTACAAGGGAATACTGGTGCAGTTCATCCCGCTTCACCCTGCAATTCCAGAAGTCCATAGACAAGAGTACGACGACGACAACTGTCTGTTCGCAAATCGTTAATGTGTAGATGGGTAGAGGCATCAGACGGGGCAATATACATACGGATACCACGTAATTGTCGGTGAAGAGACCACATAGAACATATACGGCGATCGCAGCTATGCGGAAGAAGTACAAGAAGAAGAGGACTGCCGGGTGGGCGGACTGGTGATAAGCGTGAGGGTCATTGCATACGGGAGGGCCGAAGTGTCATACTTGTCGAAATATGCCAGCAATCCCTGCATAGTTCCCTGAGCACTAAAGGCGAGGAGACACGAATGAGTTCCTACCTGACTCCGCGTCGCTGGCATTCGTGGCCATCTGCTGTGAGTTCCCAGGGGTGAGGACGACAGGCGCGGCAGCAGGCCTAGCGTTAGAAGCAGGGGCTGAAATCGCCTCATCCGGCTCAATGGTTTGCTGAAGAAGGGGAGTTGTTGTGCTCATTGTACCTCAGCGTTGACTAGTTACCTTATGCTTGAAAGACGTTCCCGGGGGCAATTATGATGCTGTTGTCGGTAAGTACCTCGCTCTAATCTGGAAGCTCTTGGTCAACAAGTCCAAATAACGCGTCCAGTTTGGGCGCGCCAGATTCATGCATGCCCATTGCCCAGCTGTTTCATTCGATGTCGAACCTCTTTAACAGGACTTATCAACAGCGCAGGCTCTTGGTGGTTGCACGCGAATAAACCTCTTCGTGAGAGGTCTTTGCCTTCAACACGGCAACACGCTCTACCAAGTGCTTGATTTAGCATGTAACATTCGTTTGGGAGAACAAGGCTTGCCCTTCCGGTCATGTTGTTCCACCACTCTTTGGCGATGACCTCATTCTGGTTAGTGCTTTAAAGAGTGCTCTGTTACCAGTCTTATAATGGCGAGTATGGTGGCGACTACCTTGCTTCCTCTCCGTGTTCACCGCTTCACCTTTACAAAATCTTGGCAGACGTGACCAACATCTACATCCCTCCCTGGAGTTACGCGCCAACGCTGCCTATCTCCTTGGTGACTAATAACTGATCTCTGTTGTGCCCATGGAAAACCCTGGTTTCTTCTGGTCGACCACGCCAGACAACGCAAGGCTGTCCATGGAAGCGGCACCAACTATTCAAGCCCGGTCCCCTCTCACATCTGTCATTTCATCGTGTCTTGATCGCCGTTCTGCCTTTTATCGGGTCCTGGTTTCCCCATATCAGCCCATGGTGACATTTTCGCAAGGCACTGGCTCTCTGTCAAAAATGTCAATGACCACAGCTAAATGTGGTTCTCAAATCGGGGAGTCTGCGGACAGCATGCAACCATTTATCCAACCCTTCGGAGCTTGGACATGGGCAAGAGGAAATCCAATGTCCCCTGCGCGCACGTCACCATACGCATGGCGTGAGTGACATGTTATTTTGGATTCGGGAGGCGAATTCATGCTAAAGTTTTGTTAGACCGCCTTGAACGTTCAGAATTAGGCTCTTTCGGGCGTCGTCCCATACTTACAATCAGCAGGCAGTGCGTTTGTTATGACTCTTTCATTCTTATTAATCATTGATTGTTAGACGGGACACAATTCCTCTCCAACAATGGATGGGCCTTCGTTGCGAGGTAATGAGTCACACATCCAGAGAGTTCCAATACTCATATCTCTCTCTAGCTGACGCTTTACAATGGTGAACAGTATCTCAAGCCTTTGCAGGGTGATGTCGTTCCTCGTATTGTCAGTGTTCGGGCATCATCGGAGGAGATTACCATGTCAATGGAGCCTCCCCATCCCTCGTTCTGGATAGAAGCTAGCGCCGACATGCCTGATATCTTGAAAGAACGCTGTATTTTGGCCTTTCAGAAGATCCACGCTCGCGGTGTCCTCCATGGTAACCCGCAGTTACGGCACATGCTTATTGGTGGAGACGGTCGAGTCACCATCGTCAACTTACAATGCGGCCGATCCAGTATTCCTCTCGGAAGTGCTGGGATAGGCATGGCGACTGAAATAGATTATCACAAAGAGATGCGCAAGGTCATACTTCTCCTTGAGTTTTGGGGAGCTCGCGAGCTATACGAAGTCAAGGAATCAGATAGACCAACCAATCAACTAGGCAGGCATTCGTCAACTCAAGGCATGCGGGACCTTCAGGTAGAAGCGAGCTGGGTATCTCCAGATGACGGACCTCTCAAAGACGATATTGTCAGCAAGCTCTCTGATGGGGAAACGTGGCAGGAGCATTGCTTATCTGCCATTGAACATCTACCGCTGCGTATCGTCGTTCCAGATCAACACGAAGACGACCTGGCGACAGCAATCAAGCATTTCCTAACCTCCCTCGAGCAAGGCGAGGACGATGATATGACGGTCAAATTTCCATCAAGCTCTGACGGCAACTCCAAATCCTCTTACGATCGCACGTCTGAAGGCCTCCTACCTTCTCCATTCTCATCAGAAGCATTCCTTACCCATTCCATAAGACAGTCACCGAACTTTCTCTTTTCCTCTGATGGAGAGTTTGGTGACACAGTCCAGGCAGGCCTTGCACAAACACGTACACGCGTCGGAGACTCTACACCTCGTCGTTTCCCCGATCATTTTGACACCCACTCGAACCTATCATCTCGGGGGCATATGTGGCACTCCGATGACTCTGAGGGTGAGGAGATCCTCCCAAAGAAGCACAGAGATTCGCATTCTCCTACAGAAAAGCGCATTCGGCGAGATAACTTAGCTCGGTGTTTCTATTCGAAATTGCCTCACCCCGAGCTTATCAGGGCTGGATTGATCCACGCTGATCCTGCTACGCTGGTGCGACTGAGAAAGGGCGGTCGCCGTGCTGTCGCCTATGGTACGCTTAAGCGGAGGTTTGGCACACAACCGGATCAGATTGAGTCGGTTAGCCGGGGGACCAGGCACCAGGAACAAAAAGAACTCCAAAATTTCCATGCCACAATTTACGCAGGCGCTCGTGGGGGAACGGCGGGACTAAGGGGCCGTCCAAACCTGAGGGATGATTCCCTTTGGGCCGACTTACTTGATTTCGGCGAGCCTAGAGATTTTCCGGATGGTCCTCGAATTCTCACCGCTATGGAGCTCGAGCAGCGTCAAGAATTGCTGTCCCTCGCTCCGTCCGATTCGAGGCGGAAAGGAATACTAAAGCGGCCAAGGCACAAAGAAGAGAAGTCATCTGTCCGATCTTCTATTGATCGCGACTCGGTGGCTGAGTTCGAGAATCTACTACCACCTCGAAAGAAGATTCGGACTACAAGCTTCCCGACTCGCGCCGCATCGATGTTCCGAGAGGTTCCTGAAGGTTCCGCGCGTTCCAGTTCTTCCCCTTCTGGCCATGGCCACCGCTTTACGCCTCAGCCCTCGCCGTTGGTGGTGTCGCCGTCCCTGCGGACACTGTCATTTTGGATGGAACTATTGGTCGGATGGTCATCTCGTTGACGGATGACACGCTTCTCGGGAATCGTCATATATCATAAATTTTGACTCTATGTACCCTCGTGGAATGGGCATGTATATAACAATATTAATGAATGCTGAGGATGAATAACAGGTTCAACGCGCGTCTCCGTTTCGGAGGGCTGTGTCCGCAGCATCAACCTACCCTCCCCACAGCAGCACAGCTACCTTCTGCGACCATACTTGAAGCTTGAAGTTTGACGTGTCGACTACTCTGAGATTGATCTCAACTATCTGTAAACCAATGTAAGTTAAACCTTCGGCTGGCACGAGAGGTCTGTACATACTTATTCTCTAATACGGGCAATCATTGTGAAGTGAGCCATTGTCTTCATTGAGCCTTATCGAAGCACCGGCTAAGGTAACTGGGGCATGTGGAAGGGCGGGGTGATAAGAGTGGTGACGCAGGGGTTGGATCACAAGCGTTATCATCATATGGTCTGAGCTGTTGGTGCAGTCTCCTCGGCACTAATAGTATCAACGCAGACTGCTGACTCGTTAGGCGCTCGCGGTGATATATAGCCCTGGCCGAAAGAATACGATGCTTGCTCTCCCCCCTCGCCGCCGCACACCATGTCCGAATCCCTGTCCGAAAAGGACACCGTCAAGGTCAACGCAGGCGCCGTCAAAGGCGACATCGAATCCGACTCCTACGATGGTGACGGCGTCCCGAACAGGACCCTCCATCGTCAGCTCAAGAACAGACATGTTGCCATGATTAGGTTTGTGATATCCGACGGCTTCTTCGCTTTCACAAGCTGAAAACAGCGTTCGTCTAAAGTATGGGTGGTGTCATTGGCACTGGTCTTTTCTTAGGTACGGCAAATGCGCTCATGCAGGGCGGACCAGTGGGCATGCTCCTCGGTTATACTGCTATGGGTACCGTGGTGTTCGCAATGATGGTCAGTGACCACCTGACGAACCCCAGAAAGAGAGCAACTGATAGTTTGACGTAGACCTCCCTGGGAGAGATGGTGTCCTACCTCCCCATTCCCGGTGGACACATCAAACTCGCCGAACGGTTCGTTAACCCTGCGTTCTCGTTCGCAATGGGATGGAATTACTGGTACAATTGGCTGATTACCGGTGCGTTTGAATGATATTTTCTATCGCGTGACTGTGGGTCCTGACGGTGGCGCTCCTGGTCAACAGCTCCCGGTTAGTGAATCGTGTCCACATCACACACTATATATGTCTCTAACCCCACCCGCTTATTAGTGGAACTTTCGGCTTCAGCTGTGTTGGTCAACTACTGGAACCACTCTGTCAATGACGGCGTTTGGATCGCAATTTTCGCTGTTGTTGTCATCGCGATCAACTTGCTTGGTGCCGGTGCTTACGGCGAGGCGGAGTTCATCTTTGCGTGAGATTGCACCCAGTCGTTGTGCTTGAGCAACTCCTCACTCTTCTTTTCTAGCTCAATCAAGATTATAACCATTGTTGGGTTGATCATTCTTGGAATCGTTTTGGACTTGGGTGGTGGGCCGGACCACGACCGCCTTGGTTTCCGGTACTGGAAGAACCCTGGACCCTTTGCTCAGTATCTCGGTATAGCTGGTGCTGAGGGTCGTTTCCTTGGATTTTGGGCTGTGCTCGTACAAGCCTCATTCTCATTCCAAGGAACGGAGATTGTTGCTGTACGTCCCTAAAATTTCCCGGAAGAGTCGAGATATCAACTATCTCTCTAGATAGCAGCTGGTGAAGCGAAGAACCCGCGTCGTAACCTCCCCAAGGCCGTTAAGCGCGTCTACATCCGTATTCTGTTCTTCTATATCCTTGGTACACTCATGATCGGTCTGCTGGTTCCCTACAACAATCCTCGCCTGAACCTTGCGGACGGAACGGCTGCTGCATCGCCCTTTGTCATTGCCATTGAAATTGCTGGTATCAAAGCACTTCCTTCCGTAAGGCTTCCTCGAGCTGTTTGTCCAATTGAAGATTAACGTTCACATCAGATCATCAACGCATCACTCCTCACTGCAGCAACGTCGGCAGCGTCTAGCGATATTTATACTTCTTCCCGCGCACTATGTAAGTGAATCGAGGTGTCCACAATTTCAACAAGTCACTAACACAACCCAGTTGGTTTGGCTGCTGCAGGCAACGCTCCCAAAATCTTCCTCAGGGTCACTAAGAATGGCATGCCTTGGGTTTCAGTTACTTTCTGCTCCCTTTTCGTGGTTCTTGCATATATGAGTCTTGGTAGTGGATCGGCGGGACAAGTGTTCGATTGGTTATCGACGATGACATCGATCTCCGGTTTAATGACTTGGTTCGGGATCTCGATCACATACATCCAGTTCTACAAAGGAACCAAGGCACAGGGACTCGACCGCACGACATTCCCATATTGGACGCGGTTCCAGCCCTTCTGCGGCTACTACTCCGCGGTGGCCTGTTTCGTTATCGCATTCGTAAGTCCTAACTCATCGCATGTGAACCACAGACTGAGAATCGGGTCTCAATAAAACAGTTTTCCGCCTTCAACGTCTTTATCCACGACCAGTGGAACACTGCGACGTTTGTCACCTCTTACCTTCCGTTCATCGGCTTCTTCATCTTGTATGGTGGAGCTTACCTGTATTACCGGGTTCCGCCTGTGAAACCGGCTGATATGGACTTCGTGACGAATATTGCGGAGATCGAAGCCGACGAGGTGGATGATCCGCCGCCGAAGAACAAGATGGAGGCATTCTGGGCCTGGCTGGTACGTGCATCTCTTTGCCCCCTTGCGCGCTCGATGGTGACTGACGGGGGCCATGGTCCAGATGTGAGCTACACGGTGACAGTGGAGGATCAGGTGCAGACGTGTTGTATTGCAGGTTGTATTTCGACGATGTTAATATCCAGTATAATATACATATCATAAGACTGTCGATTTCCCAGTACCGATTCGATGTGGTTCTCCGCGTTGTTCGGAATTAGTGTCGCGTGAGTGTTTACAAGAGAAACAAGGTAGGCACAGGCAAGGTGTGCTCCGGGACTTGCTCCAGGAAGGACGAACGATGATCGATTGATCACGCACCGCCGCAAGGCGCAGGTCTTGGCAAGTTCAGATTCGGGGTGTGGCTGGGACCGGCGCTGACCCTCGCTGACCGACGGACTGTGTGTGTGGATAAAGCAGCCGAGATCAAAAGAGCTTTATCTGGAGCTGATTGAAAACAATTTTGACTCGTTACCGTTATATGTCGTGGATCGTAACGACTGTAACTGGCCCAACAAGCTGGGATCAGCGTCCTAAGCGAGCATAACGCCTATCTCTGAGCGTCTTCGCGGATCCCATCACTGGTGAAACACGTTATCACCCATAGGCGGGGTCAATGAGACAGATCCAGGCACGCCTGGGAATCCCGAGAGGGGCATCTCCGTGCCCCGGCCCCGCCGCTAGTATGTGCGGATACGTTGATAACTGTCGAGGTGCAAGCTCAATGTACTGATGTCGCACTGGAGCACTGCAGCTTTTAGGTGTCTACAGCACTCCGCACGTGCCAACTCCTCCCGCAATTACCTATATCTTGGCGTGTCCGTCGGACGGCTAAGAGCCACCTCCTCCCTTTCTCCCCTTCTCTAGGAGCTTCTCCCTTCTCTTCTTCCTTTCCCTTCCATCATGTCTTCCGACCATTCTGAGAAGGGACCCAAGCCGTATACCAAAGAGTACGACAGAGATGGCTCTGAAGTCGAGTCCGCTTCTGGCCCTCAGGGCGAGGGCCCCCTCAAGCGTCAACTCAAGAACAGACACATCGCCATGATCAGGTATGTTCTACGATGTACTTTCCAGCTTTCCCTAGGGTTTAATCCTGCTATAGTATTGGCGGTGTCATCGGTACCGGTCTATTTGTCGGTACTGCCAACTCCTTGGCCGCTGGAGGTCCAATCGGGTTGCTCCTCGGTTACACCGTCATGGGTTCTATCGTATATAGCGTCATGGTAAGCGCTTAAATCGCCCCAACCTTCCAGGTGGAGCTGACGGCCCATGTCTAGATATCTCTCGGAGAAATGGTTGCTTTCCTCCCTATACCCGGTGGCCACATTAAGCTCGCCGATCGCTTTGGTCATCGCGCCCTGTCGTTTGCTATGGGTTGGAATTACTGGTATAACTGGACTATCGTCTGTAGGTTACCTCCCCCTCTCGACCTTTAGCGAATGCTAACACAATCAATTTTAGCACCAGGTATCTATCTAATAAAGCCTTGTAGTTTTGTTTTTGTCCTAACACCGTCTCGTCTAGCCGAGTTATCTGCCGCTGCGCTTTTGATTGATTACTGGTCCCACGAGAAAGTCAACAACTCGGCATGGGTCGCTATATGCCTTGTAGTGGTCGTCACTATCAACATGTTTGGAGCTGGTGCCTACGGTGAAGCCGAGTTCATCTTTGCGTATGTGAACTCCTCTTGCTTGCTTTGCTTTTTCTGATAATGTGTTTAGCTCGATCAAGGTCATCACCATCACTGGCCTTATCATCTTGGGTATTGTGCTTGACCTTGGTGGTGGTCCGAACCACGACCGCATCGGTTTCCGCTACTGGATCGACCCGGGTCCCTTCACGCAGTACAAAGGCATCTCTGGTTCCAAGGGTCAATTCTTGGGCTGGTGGGCCGTTATGACCCAGGCTGCATACTCTTTCATCGGTACTGAGATCGTCGCTGTATGTCCTTGAATTGCCGTCTTCTCGCGTACCTCACTGATATCTTGATTGTTAGATCGCTGCTGGTGAAGCCAAGAACCCCCGTCGTAACTTGCCCAAGGCTATCCGTCGAGTGTATATCCGTATCTTGCTCTTCTATATTGGCGGTGTTATCATCATTGGTCTTCTCGTCCCCTCCAGCGACCCTCGTCTCTCCTTGAACCAATCTACCGCTGCTGGCTCTCCCTTCGTTCTTGCCATCAGCAACGCTGGCATTAAGTACTTGCCTTCGGTAAGCGAACGCCGACCCCATATCATCGAAATCTCTCGTACTAATTGGTATAGATCATCAACGCGGCCTTGTTGACCTCTGCATGGTCTGCTGCATCCAGTGATCTGTACACGTCCTCTCGCGCCATCTGTACGCATACCCCCTGGGTTATCTATTCATGACAATAATTCTGATTATTTGTAGATGGTCTTGCTGCTTCCGGCAATGCGCCAAAGATTTTCCTGAAGACATCGAAATCAGGTCTCCCTTACGTTGCCGTTATTTTCTGCGCGTCCTTCTCCCTACTCGCCTTCATGGCCGTCTCCGAGAACGCAGGTCAGGTCTTCAACTGGTTCGCCAACATGACCTCCATCGCTGGCATGATGACCTGGTTCGGTATCTGCGTCACATACATCCGTTTCTACAAGGGCATGCAGTACCACGGCATTGATCGCAAGACCCTCCCTTATTGGACCCGCTTCCAGCCTTTCCCTGCCTGGTATGGTGCATTCACCACCATTATCATTGTCTTCGTAAGTATCGCAATTTTGAGTTGCCAAAACATTTGCTAATCGGTTGCTGTAGTTCGGTGGCTTCGAAGTCTTCCTCAAGGGTGGATGGAATGTCGCTACGTTCGTCACCACTTATCTTCCTTTCATCGGTTTCTTCATCCTTTGGGGTGCATCCGCCGCGTGGTACCGTACTGGCCTCAAGACGCCCGAGGAAATGGATTTCGTCAGCGATCTCGCCCAAATCGAAGCAGATGAAGTCGACGAACCCCCTCCGAATAACGCCTGGGAGCGTTTCTGGGCATGGCTCGTGAGTTACTTTTTGGCATAACCTCCGACGTCTCATGTTGACTTGTTTGAGATGTAAAACCCTCTTATTCCACCAGCTCTGAAATGTCACGGCTTCCCCATATTCCCCCATTTACCCCGCAACCATTGGCTTGTTTTATTTATATCTCGGTAATTCGTTGTACTAGCCTGACTGTGATTAATGTGTTGTTGCACACCGATGTTGACCAATACTTATATGAAACCTCCGATGCGTATGCACTGGACACCCGAATAAATGGTTGTTTAGTGGGATCATCTTAAAGTCTGTCTCTATTTTATCACTGTCGACTCGACAAGAGTGAAAGAAATGTAATGAATGGGTTTGATACAAATGGTGAGAAGGAAATGAGAGTAAGGATGCCACATGCATGGGACGTTAGTGGTTACGATATATATTACTGCACCAGCACGACACCAGAGGGTCACTTGGCCATGGCAGCTCGAGCAAAAAAGAAGAGAAAAAACACACGGCGATTCATGTCTTTGAACGCCTACTCACGGACAATGATTCATACATATATAATTGCGAAAGTCTATGTTTTGGATGCTGGGATGTGGAGGTTGATGGCTGATACATGCTACGATTAGTGGTCCATAGACTAGGGCAACGCAAGTTACACACCTCTGAACCAATTCAATGCATCGGAGGGCGACGGCGCATCAAAGTAGAGGATGGCTTTGTTGTCAACCAATCGCAGGGCTGGAGAAAGTAAATTCGACGTCAATGCACTTTCTCTTTCACTTGAATGGAGGTGTACAAACTCACCATTGCCGTGCACAATACTGGCTGGCTGGGGCAGAGTCTGCATTCTGAGGACTGCCCAGAGGTCGACATATGAATTTGGATCTTTTCCATCCGAGGTATCACGGCAGAGAACGAGAAGATCGTTGCAAAGGATGCCGACGAGAGGTCGAGGGGTCAACTCCGGAGATAGACATTCAACTTGCACAGACGATGCGTCGCCTTGAGCATTGAAACTCTCAAACGAAACAATGGTTTTCCGCACAACTCGCGTCAACAGCAAAGGTCCATCCATAATAAGTCGACTGAGTGGAAGGATCAGTACCGATTTAAAGCGAGATGCATGAGGGAACTTACCGATGAGGCTGAACCAAAGGACTTGGGAACTTGCCGCGGATTCTAGCCTGCCACAGGACAAGTTTCCGTCGCGATTCTGACTCCCGTTTGCCTTCGTTCATGTTGTTGGCCAAGGATGATATTTCGACAAGTGCCCTGTCAAGAGCATTATCTGCGAATGTGCTCGTCGGAGGGGTGCTCTTGAGCAACTGCTCCAAAAGAAGGCGGTATCGGGGTATCCGCTGAATGGGCAAAAGCAAATAACCTTCTAGGTTCAGCTGGGTATGCTTAGGGTTCAACCGGCAACGCTTCAGGAATTGCTTGATCCGCTTGCGTTGGGAAGAGCTTAGAGAGGGCATATTGCCAGACGAGGTTTCACTCTGTGAGTGAGGCATAACAGGTGCGGTTACCAAACCCATGTTGACGAGCTGAGCGGTACTAGACGATGGCGACAGTGTCCCTGACGGCGTCGAATTGCCAGTGTTCGGCCGATCACTGGACCAGTATTTAATACGCTGCACGGCGTTGTCAAAGTTACTGGGCGTAGCATTCAGTAAACTGGCCAGACGGGAAAACAAAACCCACATACTTGATGTACGATGAATACATCTTCATGAAAGCGGCATGCTTCATAAATATGTCTGCAACAGCCTTCACAACGTTGATGGACAGCTGACCGTCTGGATCGCTCCCTTCGGTAGATGCTTTCCTCATGACAGGGTCCGCGGCTGCCTCCAGTGCGGGAAGGAAGCTTTCCTTGTGGAACGAAAACAAAGCCTCTACTCCGCCAAAAACGATCTTGCGTTCTGCCGCCGGAATAGTGGTCTCTTTGTTTGTCCCGACATTACTGATTAGATTAACAGGTGCAGTGCTTGGTCTGATGTAGATGTCTACCAAGCCCTGCAGACCCTTAACATAAGTGCGCTCGGTTCTGTAAAGCTGCGTGAATATATGGGTTCGAGCGAGGGAACTGACATCACATACTCGATGATCTCTCGCACAATGAGACTTCGCTGGCTCTTATCGTCTTTGTACTTGCGTTCTTCAGAAGACCCGTCACTGTCCATAGTGACCACACTCGCCGTCTGCGATGGACCGTCGGCTCTTAGGCTGGCCATCGCGTCTGGTGATCGGAGCTGACCACCAATCTGTGAGTTTGCGCGTGATATCAACCCAATAGAGTTCTCGGAGTTTTGCCGACTCTCTAGAATAGTCGGTCTTCTTGAACGGCCAGTTATATCGTCACCATAGATGCTGAGAGTGTTGCCTTGGTTCTGGGTGAGATCGTTCATATCCTTCAGGTAAGCCATGACAGAACGCAAGGCTCGCGTGTATGCCTCCCGCGCTCTATCCTCTTCCCTACGAGCACTGAATTCGTTGCTGGGAACGGTGGGAGCAAGGACGGTAATGGGTCCCCGTGGATCCTCCAGTTGGCTAGCCAAAGAAATATCAGATGGCGTGTTCAAGCTGGGAACTCCTGAGCCATCAACGGGTAGGAAGCTACGCCTCCTAGCAGAGCGCGGAACGGGTGATGAGGGATTAAGGAGATTTCCAACCGAGCTTGATTTCTGTAACGTCAGTCCGTGCATTGAGGTCGGAGTATCATTTCCTGAGGTACCTCCCTCCTGCACAGATGGTACTGAGGGTGTTGATGCATTAAAACCGCCAAGACTGCCCGTTGTCGAGAATCGTACATCGATTTGTGGGGAGGTCGGACCGGGAACAAGCGCAGGCACATGCGCTACTGTCGAAGAAGCTTCTGGGCGCGATACACGGCCGTGAACGGTAGAGGGCCGAGCTGCGGGAGGGTCTGGTCTCATCTTGCCCATGGACATTTTCTTGAGGAAGCCCCAGCGACCTGTCTTCTCTTTCCCTTCTTTACTGTCTTTGCCATGATGTGCCCGCGTAGTCTTTTGTCTCTCTGGAGGGAGCGAAGTTTGCACGTGGTTTTCACCAGGTGTGACTGGCCGCGGGGGAGTAGCTGTGGCTGTAGATACCCTATTAGCCTCATTGCTGTCGAAAGCGGGCCTGAGTTCGGCTTGTTGAGGAAGATCATCGAATGCCTGTGAAAGCGATGGCCGGGACGGGCCTCCTGAGAGGGCTGAAGCTACGCCTAGACTAGCATACCGCTTTGGTGCCGCGACACGGTCCGCCTCCGGTGAGCTTGGTACGGATGCAAGTAAATTGCTGCTTGATGCCGATGAACGAATTGATCCAAGAGGAGGTTGCGGTGGTATCTCGGGTGAAGGGGTGGAGACATCAAACTTGGCACGTAGCTCACTTGCGCTCTTCATTTTGCGTATGTCGTGATCCGTGTAATAACCTGAATCCTCTGGGCGCCGAGGAGACTTTGGCATATCTTGGTCATGCCCCGTTTTAGGCCGTGGTCTACCATTAGGGGACCTGTTTGGCGCTGTCCGAGTACGCACGAGACCACGGTCAGTCGCTGATTCGGATATGGACATGCTAGGTGATTTAAGGGCACGACCAAACATAGGCGCTCTGGCAGAAGTGATGGTTTCGTCTTCAGGAGAGAGCATTGTCCCATGCGCTTCAGCCGCACTCGGCGGATCGGATTCGTAATCTTCGTCGTCTCCATCTTCGTCAGTGTCGGTATCTGCAGATGCCGAGGATTCCAAGAAGCTCGGTGTTGGCGTAGCGATAGGCGTTGATGGTGGGTAAAGAGACGTCACAGGCGCCTTGGCAAGAAGGGGCTCAACCAGCGCCTGCCATGGTCCTTGGAATGGGTTCGAATCAAGGTAGAACTCCTGTAGTGACGGAAGGAGGCACAGCCAGCTAGGCAAAGAGTGCAATTTGTTGCGCCGAATGCTGAGCGTAGTGAGTTTCTCGAGCTCGCAAAGACAGTCGGGGAGGGAACTGATCCCAGTGGCATCGGCGATGAGTACACGGAGAGATACTAGCTGCGACAAGAAAACTGGTAGCACGCGTAAGGGATTTGACGCGATGTTGAGCTCCTCGAGACACACGCATTGAGCGAGGATGGGCGGGATGGCCACCAGGAAATTCGTGGATATATCCAGAGCCAGAAGGGTGCTGCAAATGGGTGGTAAATTGTTGGTAAGAAAGGCTGGAAGAGCGTTGGGAGTGCTGGAAGAGCCGATAAGAAGATGGGTAGTTCCTATGTCGAGAGAATGTCGTTTTCAGTGGGGCTTCAAGTTGAACAAGTGCAACATACCTGGTTCTATCTGCAGCTGTACAACAGGTATACCGTCACCTTTTACAATTAGTCCTCGCCCCTCTTCAGCCACCACGACCGCCGAAGTCCTCTCCTCTCCTTTTTCCAACTCTTCATCGTCGTCACCAACGTCATCTGTGTCTTCTTCGCTGGTTAACCCAACTTCATCTCGCTCATCCACCGGCTGCCAACCCATACCATGGTTTTCACGCATTTTATGGAAAGCTGCTTCGTGCAGACTGCCAGTATTGCCGTAACCAATAGAAGAAGATCGCGATCGAATGCTGGCTGAGTATTCCGACCACCGAGCTTGGTCAATGGGTGTTCGTCCTGCAGCAGCTGATAAGCTGCCTTCACCCGGAAGCAGATGATGCTCGTCATCAGTTGCAATTCCCACAGCGACGCCAATCTCCTCGTCTCCATTCGCCACGGCCACATGACCATGGTCGCTGAATGCCAAAGCACTCCCGGAGCTCGTGTACGCGGATGAACGCGTCGAGGCCGACGACGACCCTGCAGATGAAAGGGAAGGCAGGGCTGACGAGATGCGTTCCGAAATGCGTGAGTGAGATGTCCGGACAGGATATGGATCTGGGAACTGGGAAGGGTCCGGAAGAACCTTAGGAGGTCTGGCAAACGATCTTAGAGAGGCTTCACCCTCCGAAAACGATCGCGCGAGGGCGTTGTGCGAGAGTGAGTAGGGCACTTTGGGCGATCCAGACACACTTGTGGCTGACGGAGGAGGCGAGTGCTCCGAAGTAAACTGATCCGCCACAGCCATGATATTGAGTTGCTGGCTTTTGTGATCTGGCGACCAAGTGTCGCCGTCTGACGGGGTTGGCGTCGGCGCAGCTGGACGCGTGGATGAGTTGGGAGAGTAGGGCGAAGGTGGCAACGCCGCGGACGGGTGGGCAAGGAGGTAGTCTAGGTCTTTGATGATGGGATCGCGTCAGTACGGTAAAAGAAAGGTATGAGAGGCATATGATAGGTTGATGGACAACGGAGCCGTGTGTTCAAGGCTTGGACACGGTGACAATAGACTATACAAAGAACTCCTCCGCCACGGTAGCTAGCCCTCGTGCACACGAGTTCCGGACCAATTCGGTGACCGTCAACGTGTACCCAGAGGAGGGCAATGCAAATGGCAAGGATGTGTAGTAGATGAGCGGTCTCACCTGGATGGTTATCGTTCGTTCCCTCGTGGTCGACCCAGCTTGGCGGGCGTTGTTGGCGAGGGTTGGCATCAAGGCCACCTGGAGGCATCGGTGGCAATGGTTTCTCGCGGTGGTCGGTGAGGTAGGGAAGGGAGGCGGAGTGGGGAGTGGTAGGAGAGGACCTGGCGGGGTAGAGTGAGCACTGGAAAGTCTGAGGGGTGGCTACTAAGAACCATTGAATGTGGAGAGCTTACATTTGCAATGCACAGAGGCTGGAATAAAAGTAATAGTACTTGCTGGATCTGTCGTCGTCAGCTAGCTCCGACGACCGGTAACCGTGCCTGGCCTGATGGTTGTCTACTTTCGCTCGGACTGGGCTCGTCGACAGTACTCGCACCCGCCACACGCGGTCCTCCCGAGTCCGATTCCTTCTCCCTCACAAAGTTGCTCGTGTCGCCAGCGTCGCTGGTTTATCACGACGTGGGGGCTGGACGTGGAAGGAACTGAGGTTGATTCGAAAAAAGATTGCGTAGGATCACTCGCGTCGTAATAACTCTGATGGATTACATAGATCTTCCGACATTGCAATTGCGCAGCCAGCCGCTGGTAAATTCCGATACATAGATTGGTCTTCCCTTCCCAGCGAAAATTCATCAAGACCTGTGCCTGGGTCACGTTTCGCACCTCCAGCTGTTGCTACCTCGAGGCTCGAGCTGAATGGCGTCTGATCGCGATCTCGCCCGTAACAAATTCTACCATTGCCGACCTACAGCCTGTCAACTACTTAAGCTTAAGTGAGTTCGTCGGTACCGGCGTGTGTCGATCCTCAAAATATGGGAGCTTCCTCGACGTTTCCAAGCCCAACTCCACCTAATCTAAACTTGGTATTCGTACTTGGCATTTCCCGCAATACTCAGCAGTAGTAGGGGCCTAACGGTCAATGGGCGTTCCCCCTGTTTGCCAGTTTTCTTCCCATGTCCTACTAAGAATTACTTCTGCGGCCGATAGAAGATGTATGCTACACGGTAGGTTGCCACAATCACCGCCACGAATGTCATCATAAATCGGGGCACTGCAAGCTACTCAACTCAACTGTAACCATCATATTAACTCACATAGCTGCACTAGAAATCGTACACATCAGGGCGCTCAGATTGAAACGCTACTTTCTTCTTTGTTTTGACTTTTGTGGGTGCATTCGGCGGACGAGGCTCCACGTCCGGCATCTTTCCTCGCTGCTCGGCCTCCGCTCTCGCCTGCTGCTCAAATTCGATGTTTACATTCGCTAGTTTTTCTGCGCGTTGCCCGATCACAGGTCCTTCCGAAACCTGGCCTATGCCGACGTCGGGTGTTACGGTGTTGTTAGAAGGTGTTGTACGCCTTTCTGAAACACCACCTTCGAGGTCGAGGTGCATCGTCTCAAAAACCAGACGCTTGCGAGTGCATTTGAAGGCCAGGTTGTTTTCGCCACTCCCAGCACTGGCGCCTGCCGCCGATGAAAGACCACGCAAGATGGAAAGTTTGTCACTTGCGGGTAACAGGGTGTTGGGAGCCGGGACTCTGTGTATCTGAACGAAACCGTGCTGCGATGGGAAAAGCGAAGTCAGGTGTGTGTCGGCTGCAAAACCATTTCTCTACATGAATACATCTTTCTTCAAACATAAGCATGTTTTGTAATTCACCTCCAAATGCCGACATGGTGATGGCGGCGTCGCTGCACCATGCCACCTTTTGTACCCATCCACCTCCACCCCACTTATCCGAAGAAGTATGAGGCGCCAGAGACAAGGATGCGCATGCCTTGGGATGCTGTTTCAGGAGAGATCGCAGTCTAGACAGAAAATATAAAAGATTCTAGTGACGTCAAGTTTGGTTTAAAGATTTTTGCAAACATTATTTACCGACGAAGAAATATCTCCCCAGGCTGGGGAACCTAGCGAAGGTATGCACAGTCGTATGGGTTGCGTCGCGTCGGAAGCCTTCAAAATCTCTTGGAGCTTTTGAATAACCACGTCCATCGTGTTGGGCGCGTAGTCCACGCCGATGCACTGCAGTTTCTCAGAAGACTGAGCAGTGCTAATGACGTCTTTTGATATCCGACAGGACAGATCGAACGTCGCGCAATAATCGTCCGATGCACTACACAGCGTCCATTTCCCTGTCGATCATTGAAAGTGTGACTTATCCTCGAGCGAGCCCACATACGAGTTGGGAGAAGAGACAGTTGTCTGGAATGTCTTCATCTGTTCATAGCGCCAGGCGATCCTGATCTTATCGTCAACTTGATTCGGTTGATCTTCTTCGTTACCAGCCCTAGAGTTTGGCAAAGTGGACAGTGGCGAGCTGCCAGTCCACATGCACTCCTGAACGAACGCATCTGATTCCTCGTGGACGACCCAGACGGTATGACCTGCCGCCAAACCCTGCGCGATGAAGTACTTTTGAACCAATTCACCGTATGCAGAGTGATTATCTGGGGCGAGGACAGTAAACAAGCATTGTAGTGGCAGACCACCTCCAAGTATGTCATCCAAGGATGCGATGCCGGTGGAAGTAATCACAGACGCTGAGGATGGTGATAGGCGTGTACCTGGAGCGAGTTCAACTTGTTTTGACTGTGTTCTCCTTTTGAATGATGACATGGTCGAAGGTTAGGATATCGTGGGAAATTCGGGGCAATCGCACATATTCACTTCGTTCCTTCATAACTCTTTGGGATATCATGACAACTTCCCACGTGGAAACGCGTCTGCTCTGGCTACCGTGTCCCAGTCGTACTCCGAGTCTCCGAAGCACGTTCCACTGGATTTTGGCAATCCATGTTGTCGCGGCCATGGCTCAGCCAACGTCGTCTTGACCTGAAGAAAGCTGGGTGGATTGTATTACACGTACAGGCTATTTCTTTTTATGCCTACTTCTTTGTACTGATCAGCGTGTAGGGCATCAACATTACATGTGCTTTCCACCTCTTCAAAGACTACGTTGGTAGTCCTTGCCTTGTATGCGCTTCGTCTTTCATAGTCGATCTCGGCTCACTGGTCCTGGCTTAGATGTCTGGGCCGTCTATGTTGCCCACCCTCGATCCCGACGGTGAAATTGTCGTCGAAAGTATCGTTCACCACAAACTCTTCCCCTTGGCACGTGGGGATTTAGTCACCGTCAAGTCACCAGTTGATCCTACTCGTATCATATGCAAGAGGGTGATAGGACTTCCTGGAGATGTTATTTGTGTCGATCCCACTGGACAGAAAGCACCTTCCACGGAACATGTCATTATACCAAAGCATCATGTCTGGATAGCAGGGGACAACATGGCCTGGTCCACAGACTCGCGCGATTACGGGCCAGTCTCCATGGCTCTCATACGAGGGAAAGTCGTGGCTAGGGTGAGCGTAGTGCAATGCACGCTTTGATCAAGTTGATGCTGACTCTTGGAAAGGTTTTCCCACCTTCCCGCTTCACGCTGTTTCGCAACCAGACTATTCCGATACAATAGCCCACCCAATGACTACACTGGTATGAAGGTCTGTCAAGGATAGGAACTATAAGCTCCTCGAGTATGCCAGTGCATCTCTCAGACGACGCAGAGCGTCAAGCGGGTCTATCGAGCGAAATTCATCGAGTACCCTCCATTGCCATTGGGCTCGAACTTGAAGTTATCGGTAGACAATCCAAACCGTCCTAAGAGGAACCTGCATTAGTGATTCCTCAGCAAGTAGTTAACCCACGCACCCAGAACACTGTTGCCTAGCCCTTTGAGCTTATCCAACATCTCGTCTGTCTCTTTCTTTTGAGCAACCTGGACTCGTGGCTCCAGGCGACGTAGGGTTCTTTCAATCTCGAGAACTTGAGGCGATGTCGGCGGAAGGAGCGTGAGGACCTTGGTATAGTCTAAAGTTCCTAAGTCAGAAATGTTCGCGCAATGTCATATTTGCTTGCAGAACCTTCTTGAGCACTGCTCAACGCCGACCAGGTATCAATCTTCTCATTGCAGGCGGCTCTTCTTTGAAGGGCTTTAACATAGTTGGGATCATCCTGCAGTGCTGCAAGGGAGATTGAGAATTACATGATGATACTGCTGCATTTACTCACCTTTGGTGCACGCATCTACTGCGTCCTTGTGGTTGCCCTGGAAATGTCTGACAAAGCCGGCCAACGGTAAAGCTCACAGTAACGCTCACGAGTTTCACAAAGCAAGCACCGATGTTGGCATTGAGCACCGATCTGGCCTTCCTACACTCCGGGTCGAGAGGACCATCAGGTTCATCAATAGTCTCTTGACGGCTTTGCGAGGGAGCAGAACTGGATGGTTGCTCGTCGTCTGGATCTGTCTCTCGTGAAGACGGTTGATACTTCTTGACCTTCCTCAAAGGTAGGTGACAGAGAGCTGTACGGTAGGAAACAATTGCTTCACTCCAATCGCTAGACTTGAACGCCTCATTGCCCGCCTGTTTGAGCTCCTCTGCCTTCGTGAGCGACTCCTGCGGTCGCGATCAGTTGGCGTTTATGCAGCAGCCATGATCATGCAAGACCTTTACTCGTGTTTCTGTCCATACTTCATCAGGTTGCGACTCTGCCGATGAGCTGGTGTTGCTCGATGAAGCGTGTTGGTCTGACATTGTGAATGATGGATCTATGAGGACGGAGTTTGAATCTGTTCGAGGATGCCTGGAAGATGCGCGTCTCTTTTGAATTTGAGAGTAGTTTGCTAACTACTGTAAAATATATGTTTCTCGGAAATTCCCTCAAGTTTGGAATAGGTCATTTAGGTCTCCACCACCAAAAAGTAGATCAGTGTGAATAACGCCGAGGAAAACCGATGCAAGTAAGTGGCGACGCGTTCCGTCACGTGTTACTGAGTCAATCTGAGTCGACGGGCGCTTCTTCAAACTCATACAAGTACTGAGCAACTTTAAGATTGTAGTCTCTCATTCCATCCATGGCCACCCAAAAGCTCTGGCTCCGCTGCGAGAAGAAGGAGTTTGAGCGTCGTTCCGCCCTCTCACCCTCTACGGCCAAAAAGCTCATTAAAGCTGGCTTCGAGATCTTTGTAGAACGCGATGAGCAGCGTATCTTTGATGATGCTGAATTTGAGGCGTGCGTGATCTTCCTTCTGACGCGATCGGACCCTAGGCATTGACTCTTGCGATCAGCGTTGGTTGCAAACTAGTCGATCACAATTCGTGGCCCTCTGCTCCCCAGGACATCCCAATCATCGGGCTGAAGGAGCTTCCTGTTTCGGAGGACCCCTTGCCGCACACTCACATCCAGTTTGCTCACTGCTACAAGAAACAGGCTGGTTGGTCCACTGTCCTTTCGCGATTCCACCGTGGTGGAGGCACACTCTACGATCTTGAATTCTTGACCGATGCCACTGGGCGCAGAGTAGCAGCCTTCGGGTACCATGCAGGTTTCGCTGGTGCTGCTGCAGGAGCTCTGGCGTTGGCGGCACAAAAGAAGGGCGAAAAGCTCGGGCGTCTTGAGCCGTATGAAAATGAGAGTGCTATGATTGAAAGCCTCAAAACCACGCTTGGCGGAAGTGCTAAAGGTGTCAGGGCCCTTGTCATCGGCGCTCTGGGTCGATGTGGCCGAGGCGCTGTCGAACTTTTCAGGAAGATCGGCCTCGATGAGTACGTGAATTTCCATTCAAAAAGGTCGATGCTGATATACTATTGAGCAGGGATGATATAGTGAAGTGGGACATGGCTGAGACTGCGAAAGGCGGCCCGTTCCAGGAGATTCTCGATGTCGACATCTTCGTCAACTGCATATACTTGTCCTCTGCCATCCCGCCGTTCCTGACACACGAGCAGATCAACTCGGCAGGCAGTAGGCGAAGACTGTCTGTCGTCGTTGACGTCAGTTGTGATACCACGAACCCTTACAATCCAATTCCGATCTACAGCATCAACACTACCTTCTCCGAACCGACGGTACCGGTCATATTGAAGTGAGTCCTTGGAGCTGTTGCCCTCTTTGATAATAGGTGTCAATCTTGTCTTCCTTCAGCGATGGTTTACCGAGGGTTTCGGTTATATCAATTGATCACCTGCCTACATTACTTCCTCGTGAAGCTTCTGAACAGTTCAGCTCTGACTTACTTCCTTCTCTCCTCGAATTGCCGTCGCGAAGCTCGGCGCGAGTGTGGACTGAAGCGGAGAAGTTGTATACAGAAAAGCTCGGAGAAGCGGTTCAAGAGGAAGGGCTGCGGTAACAGGCGGCAATCTACAGTAATATTGACCGAAGCTCCATAGGCATGTAGATCACGGATGGAGCCCCAGGGAGCTCCCGAGAAGAAAAGTTTATGACACATGATTCGTCCATATAGTCCATGGCTCAGTCGACGATCGCTGGCAGCTCGCTAAATCTCGCTGAATAGGTGTATCCAATAATATACTCCTCAAGAGTGTCTCAAGTTTCTCAGTCGGATAAGAAATGCCAGTATTTGGTGTCGGTCTGGCAAGTGCATTACATACACCCCTAACAGTGAAATCGGCGTGGTGGAGACTTGGAGGGATCGACAGACTTGTGAGCCGGAGTAAGGGATGTAGGTGGAGCATTAATATTGTCGATCCCCGCGTGGCCGGCGTCGTGGCTGATGATGTGATGATGGGAAAAGGCTGAGCGACGCTCGGTTGCAGGCTGTTCAACATTCAGCGCAACGAGTGTCTGGCACATGGTAACCGCAGTGTAACCGCACTTGCCGCAACTAAGACCGTCTGTAGCCGTCAGTTCTGTCAGTTCTGTCAGTGGATGACTGTCACGCTAGCACTAGTGGGCTCAACAGTTGATCTGTTATATACACCCTCTGCGGGCTGGTACTTCCTGCCGTCCCCCACTTTTGTCTGGCTTCACATCGTCTTTCTTTTCTGTGTCTTACTCTTCTCCTTCCCACTCTTTTTTTCTTCAGGCGCCGGTCGCCCTAATATCAGATCCTCTTCAATCTCAACCTCCCCTCTCCAGCCCATGTACTCGGTCAGCGCTCCGGTTCCCCAGATCAACGTTCTACCTGCTTCTCCTCCAAGCCATAACTCTGAACCATACTCCCCTTTCGACGCCCTCTCTGTTTCTCACGGCAAGGAGGATGATGGCTACAGGCCACGACACCTAACTCCTCCGGTCGCATCACCTCTCCATTCCTCGCCTCTCCGCCCCGCGGAAGCTCGCCCTGCTAAAGGACTGGACCCTGAGCAGTTCAGTGCGCTCCTCAAGCAGTCTCGCGAGCGCAGGACTTCGTTGGCAGGCAAGAAAGGTTCCGATTTGCGCCGGGAGCTTGCGATTAAGAATCAGCGGAACAAGCAGCGTAAGTCCCACTCGGCTGTACCCTGATCACTGCAAAGTAACTTCGCGTCTTTTCTCAATCTGTAGTGGAACGTCGGGCACTCTTTCTATCCAAACTCCGTGAACCGCCCTCCCCTACAGCTATCACCTTACCAAAGACACCGCCGGAGTCGCCTGTGCTCTTCCAATGTTCGTTGCCCTCTCCGGGCCTCGACTCCCCTCTAGCGGCATTTGAGACATTCGATCATGGTTCTGAGCACAGCGATGATCTTTTGCACGCTCGACGCTCCTGGGTGGAACAAGTGGACTTTCGTCTGCCTCAGGAGGCAGCGGTGCTTGTCTCGAAACCAGTACCTAAAGCCAACAAGCCCCACATGCCAAGATCAAAGGGGAAACGCCTCCCGTCCCTAGAAGAGATCACAGCACACCTTAACGTGACAACCTCCGAGCACACCCCCGCTCTCGTATCGGACTGCCCGCGAACTAGGCTGCCTGCCTTCTTGACGACGCAGCTTTCGCATGCAACAGAGACGCAGGAGAAGGCCACCAGGCCGGTGACGTCTGTCGGTCGATTGACGCTGCCTGTCAGGCGGTCGTCCGACACAGACATTGCGACGCCCCGCAAGGATGCCCCGCCGGCATCGCCCCGTCTAGCACTCTCGCCGAGGCTGCAAGTGACGACCGTGGTGGTCCCGCGCACGAACACCTTCTCGCCCTGCCCTCTTACGGAATCTAATCTCTACGCATTCGGCCGCGAAAGCATGGCACGGGAGATGATCTCCACGTTGAAACGACGTAGTCCGTCTCCTCTGGGGAATAAACAAGACACTGCCTCCGTGCCTATTCCTCGCGTGACAGTTACACCGCCCACGGCGCCGCCCCTTGAATCTGAACATCACGCTACAGCGGCTGCGGTTGCAGGCGAGAAGGGCGTCGACATGATTAAGCTCTTAAGGCGTCGCACTACGTCGCACTCGAAGAGTTTACCTTCTCTCCAAATAAACACGTCCGTGGACGAACGCAAGGCACGCAGGCGTAGCTCCCCTGCCGAGCTCCACGCAAAGGGACGCGTTGGCTTTGAACATCCTGTGCTGTCAATCCCAGGAGGCTTTTGAGTATTGACTGGTCTGACTTGGAGCTGGTCTCTTTTTCTTTCCCCCTTTTTAGGCTAGGTTTCCGACACTGCATGATGGTCCCATCATGCAGTTTTTGTTTTTATGTATATAGGGTTATTACACGACTGCTGCTTAGGACAGCCTTTGCGGATACAGCTACGTTCCGTCCGTTATCGTATGGACACAGCATGCGACCCCTTCTTTTTACTTTACGCCTTAGCCTATGGCTTTTCGGTCTTTACTATGATGGTTGCCGACAAATATATCCAGTGGAGGTTTGCATTTAACATACATATAAGCGTCCCACGGCCACCATGCATAATGTGACCAGAAGGTAAAATAGGTGACTATGCGTTGGACTGAATGATGCGTACGAGTGCCTTCCTTGTCTTGAAGGTTAAGCGCCTAATCGTGTGACGCTCTCGAAGTAAGGCCGTATGAATAGGTCTAACTTTGAACACGTAGCTGTAGTGTCTGCATCTGTGGTGCCAAGGACAGCTGGATCATCGCAACTTTGTCAGACGCCTGCAATGGAGCAATACTGAGCACTTTTGCAGCCACGCATTTACCTGAGGCATCACAAAAACTAGGGAGATATTGTACACGGCAAACATGTATTAACATATGTTGACATACGCCGGATTGAGGCGAACACAGCCACCGCGGGAATACGATCCCGCGCGTGGAAGACGCCCGAATAGCCCGACGGGCGCTCGCGTTGGTGCATACGGGGATCGAGCAAGTACACTACGCTCGATCCGCCTGTGCCACGGAAATGTAGATACAGACATACACAAGGCCAGTGCGTTCGTGTCGAACGCACTGACCAATTCCCTTAGTTAGATACGAACGGGAAAGTAGTATAAATAAGTGAATATATTCGAAGGGAGAATCTATCTCTTCCCCGGAATACATCCGTACGAGCGTCGACTAGACACGCGCTACCTACTCGATTTACAAAAACATACAATACACTGACCATAATGCATATCACCGAATCACAGATCCAACTTTCATTACGGAAGACCTCAACGTTTCATATTTTGAGTCCAGTTACGATACAGCATTATAGAGTGAGGCTGATATGATCGGGCGCGGTAGAGTAAGGCTGATACGATTGGGCATGATAGAGTAAGGCTGATACGATTGGGCATGATAGAAGGGTTGCAAAATGACACGGCATTACACGCAGAGTTCAAGTCTATAATAATACTCAACTCATACAATGGATGATTAAGACGGCAAGATCATATTAGAATCGATGGTACTAATAGTACAGGCCAAAGCTTCAGAATACTGTAGGAGCTACTAGACATGGTCGAGCACACACGTCAACGTACAGGAAATGGAATTGCGAAGGCGAAATAATAATGACTGGAGGGTTACATACCCAAGATACGCACGGAGAGATTACGATTAATGAAAGTCAAAAACGAGGGCCGTGGCCGTGGCTACGCACCTATCAATTCAACGCTTGCTTCTAGCCCTCAGGATATGCAGGCAGCCGGCGCCGACAATGTCGTGCCAGCGGACGGGCCATTTCGACGACAGTGTCGTGCCAGCGGACGTCCGCGGACGGCACGATAACACCGTGTCCGCGGACCGGCGGCGCACCTGTGATACACAGGATGTCAATGAGTGGTCGGCACGCCGGCGCCGTGTTCAGCACATATTACACCGGCAACCGGCGCCGACAACATTGTACCAGCAGACAGGCCATTTCAGCGACCTTATACAACTGTAATAACATATATAGTAACTATAAAGGCAATGATTATGACATGGTGGCACACCGGCGCGCATGCATGTATTTAAAGTGCTGATAGTGCACCAGAAACGGTGCTGATGGCTGCAAATTCAGCGCCGAAGATGGTGTTGAACATGGCGCCGAGACCAGCATTGAGCATGGCACCAAAAATGTGGCGCCGAAAACAGCGTTGAACATGGCGCCGAAAACATGGCGCCGAAAACATGGCGCCGAAATTGGCATTGAATCTGGCGCCAAAAACAGCGCCGAACATGGCACCGAAAATGGCGTTGAACATGGCGCCGGAAATGTGGTGCCAAAAACACGGCCCCAAAAACAGAACGCCGAAAACTGCGTTGAACATGGTGTTGAAAACTTGGCGCCGAAAACACGGCGCTGAAAACACGGCGCTGAAAACAAGGCGCCGAAATTGCGCCGAAAACATAGCACCAAAAATAGCGTCAGACATGGCGCCGAAAATATAGCGCCGAAAACAGCATTGAACATGGCGCCGAGTATATGGCGCCGAAATCGGCGTGAGAATACTATAA